ACAGGTCGCTTCAAGGGCCAGCCGCCTTCGTTGCCTCACCTCACCGTTCGACAGCTTCTCCCTAAAAATAGACCCTGGTCATCCCATCCTTGTGTGACGAGCGATCCGTCAGGCAAGCTGTTGGACATCACGTCCTTCATCAAAGTGCTCAATTTGTCCCATGGCATGCGTCTTGAGCAACGCAGCTCCTCGGTCGTTGTGTCGCGGGCCAACCTGCCATTTCGCCGGGGACTCGATTCGAATTTCTGATGACGCCCAGATGACCATCGCAGAGCGTCTCTTTTAGCCCTCCGTCGCTGCTCGTTGGACCGTGTCCCTCGCCCAACTTTCGTTTTGCGAGATGGGACAGAGCCAGTCTCGGGACCTCATGATTTTTCAGCCGTTTTGCGACAACCTTTCTCCATACCGATTTGTGGACTTTCTCTACAGCAGCCTGTCCTGGCTTGCCCGGTTCCGCACCAGACGCTGCTTGGCCATCCTGGCGCCGCCAATTGGCCGGGGCTAGTGAACCATGGATGGTCCGGAGATGGGTCTGTATCGGGCAACGGATGACCGGGGGGTTTTTTGTCTCAAACCGTGGGCCGGCCAAGCCCGCGCCAAAGTTGCCATGCTCAGCATCACATCAGTGGGGCTGCTCCTCGATAGTCAAGAGCTGAGATGCCCTCGCGAAGACACGAAGGCTCCTCGGCCGAGAAGGCATCAGCCAGCCTGGTTACCGGGCAAGGGAACGGTCAGCAATTGCCCTGGTGCTTTCTTTGGCCCCGTCTCGCGCTTGCCCGATGGATCCTCTGGTGTGCTTGCTGGCGGCGTGTGCTTGGACAGTGCATGTTTTGTTTGATGCCTCTTGTGCACTTAGGCGCAGGAGCCGCTGGCTCGGCCTCATTTCCAAGGGTCCATGTTGGCACAACGGGATGGCCGCCCGTGAGTTCCGACGACCCATGAGCCGCTGAATCTGCAAACGTGTGAGGGCCGTGATGAAGAGTTTCAGGTCGCTCCGCGGTCAAACTGAACTCGCCGATCTTATTATGGCATGCCGAGCCCATTGTTGCGCCCTCGGGACTGCAGCGGCAGTCGACTCCCGTGGCGCAACGCAAGAAAAGTCGGGCACCAGTCGGCATTCTGGCTTTGGCACAGTCAGGTGGCACTGACGCCAGCCCCAGATTGCCAGGTCCCAAATTTATCCGCCACATGCCGTTAGGTGCCGCGGCTTTTGGAGGTGCGTCTTCAGCCACATGGGCCGGGGCTCGGCCCTCGAGGCCCGGCGGCTGGTGGATCAGAGGGCGTGCTCCGTTGCGCCGCTGTCCGGAGTACGTCGTGCATGCCTCGCGATCCAGATACATCTCGCGAACGAACGGAGACGAAGCCTTGTGTCCAGATGCCGGCGACGCATTGCCGGCAGCGCGTGCGAAGGCGGCCTTGTTTTGCCCGCACTCGTACAAGCTGGCAGACGGATCACTGCCGGCGGATGGCATGGATGGGTGTCCACCCCCACCGGCTCTGGCTCTTCGATAACCGGACCCTTCTGGAGTGTGTGGGGAGTGGTTGGTCCCATCCTGTGCGCCGAGGGACTGTGCTTCGCACCCCGGCAGGCAGGGCAGGGCCACTGCCTGAACCATCCGACGGACCTGACGTAACGTGTCGGTAGTCGCCTAAGGCTTGTCGGCTCCAGAGGCACTCGGCCGTCGCATCAGCACCTCTCTTTGCCTCCGATTGGGCTGCTCCGACATACCTCCTGCGACAACTGACCCAATGATAGCCTCGTCCCCGCCGGTCGGAGCTCTCGTGATAGCACGTCGCGCAACTGCCTCGTCGCAATCGCTGGGTCAGCATCGCGTCAAAAGCGCGACACCCGGATCATCCAAGGGGAGCACAAGAGTGCCTCTGCCATGTCGCCACAACCAAGGCAGGTGTGCAGCATCCTGGATGCCCAGGTGCTCATGCTCCCCACACGCTCGCCGCGGGGTGCAGCGCTGGCAATGAGGCGACGTCTGCCTGTCGGATCCGAGCCCCCGCGGCTTCGGAAATCTCAAAACTGGTTCCATCTCCCGCTGAAGGCCACTCCACAAAAACCACAATTTGTTCGATCAGGCCTCCTCGCCACACCCAGACATCACCCGTGGATCAGGGGTGCCTGGCGGCAGACGGTCTGGCGGGTTGCAGGGAGGATCCGGCGGCACCTTGGCGGCAAACTCGTCCCCAGAAATGTCGCTGCAGCAAAGAAAAGTCCGTTCAGATCAGTTTGGACAGCCCCCCACGACGAAGCCTTTGACAGGGGGTGCCTCTCACCATCAGAGGGATGGAGACGCTGGAGCCACTACCGTGGCCCAAGGGATCAGGGCCGGCCCCTGGCGCGTCATCCGCAGCACCTGGCAGTCAGCATCGTCCCCTCGTCCAGGGGCGTCAGATAGTTCGACGCACGCGGCCCAATCTGGGAATCTGGAAAACGGTAAGCGAGGTTGTTGCCGACTCAGGTCGAGCATGGTCAGGGCCCTGTCTGGCTCGCCAGAGGGTCCTCTACATTCCGCAAGAGCCACCAGCGCTGAGCATGTACCGAGCTGTGCACAGGCCTCGTTCATCATGGAATTGCCGTGCCCTCTTCGACTCGGACACCGCAGCCTCTTGGTTGGGACCCTCAGCGACTCGAAAATAGTTCCGGTTCGAGCCAAATTCTGCTTCGCAGTCCCGCCGCGGGCAGTCGCATGTCGCGTGCCGTCGTTGGTTTAGCCTCTCAGCGACAACCTTGGCATCGAACCACGCTGGCAGCATGTCTCCTGGCGACGGAGACGATCAGCGGATTTTCCGTGCGTTGCTGCGCCTTGGTGCTGCCCTTCTTGGGCTGGGACCGACTTGTTGCCAGCCGGAGAGGCGCCCCGCCCTACACCCCGGAAGCTTTTGCCGTACCGAGGGCATGTGTAGGTTCTGACGGTGCCGTGCTGCACTACATACAGGTACCGGACCCGTGCGTGTTGCTGCATGTATGAATGTACGTACGAGGGGCCGCCCGGCCTCTCCAGCAAAGGTACCTGACAGCTTGCTGGGAAATGTCGTCGAGCAATCGATGTAACAACCGCGACTCGAACAGGAGCGCGCGCCGTGGTTCAACGCAGCTGCATGGTGGTCGCCGTCGTCCCCCTTCCCTCCACCGCGGGCCTTTTCGTGTGTCGTGCCCGCAGCTGTGACCTAATCGCTGTGCCGCCTCGCAGGCCACGGTCCGCTGCGAGTGCAACCGTGATCCCAGAGGGCCGGATGACCTGCCGAACGTATCCTGCTAGCGCTCCGAATACCCTGTCTCCGTGGTCAGACACCTGGACCCTTGTAGCCCTTCCGCCGGCGGCCCATGACTTCAGTCTTTGTCGCAAGAGGCAGGCCACCGGGTACTTTTGGCCCGTCTCACAAGACGCGCGCTCCCGAGGTACTTGGCCAAGCCACAGGCCAAGCAGTGTGGGAATGCCGCCTGGAACTGAATCCAAGGCCAACGTGAACTCTGTGCCTAAATCAGCAGCTGGCGAATCCGCGCCAATTCCGCCCCCTTCGATGGCCACCTCCCCGATCGTCTGCTCTTTGCCTGCCGAATAAGCGCCCCGTGCATGCTGCCAGCCCCGGAGCACACACTTGCACGTCGGCAGCCGGCGACTCGCCAGGGACCCTCACTTCCTGGCACTCGCGGCCTGGAAGAGACAGCCCAAAGGGCTCGAGGCCGAATGGCACCGGCTCGGCGACCGCCCAGCACGGTCTCATGGCCCGTTCGCCTCTTGCCACCACCACAATGTTAATCAGTGTCGGGTCCTTGGGCAAAAGTGATAGTTTAGTCCAATCGTCAACGATCGCTTGCTGCCCGCCACCGAATGCCCGAGGGGCCGCTGTGCGCTGTGCGCTCCCGTCAGGCGGCGTCTGTCTGCATACGCCTGTCTCTTTTTGGCCTCCACGTCCCTCTGGCGGGCTGCGGCGAGTCAGAAATCGTTTCGTCAGTCCTGCGCGCGACTGTCGCGTAGATCTGGCACAGCGAAGCCACCGAGTGTGTACCCGCCCCAGAGAGTCGCCGCCCTCATGAGATGGAATGCGTTTGTGCGGCTGGAAAGGTCGAGCCACCCCTCCTGGGGCCAGCCCCACGCCCCCTTCGTTAGACCTGGTCGTCGCTTCGTCCTTCGCCGACCGGGGTCCCGTCGAACACCTTCGAGCACACCCCCCCTCCCCCCCCCACACCATCCGGGAGTGTCTTGTCACCCGTCGTTAAGCCAACACCCACCAAATAAATGGCCGTTGTATCAATCCCACTTGAAGTCGCCCATTTCGTGTATGCCGTCGCTGCCGACAAGCCACCATCTTTGAAGCGCTTCTAGCGTCCGGATGTCATCTCATGGAGACAGGGGGCGCCACTGAGGGTAAATGCACGTGTTCTGCAGCCACCAGCCCAGGCGGTACTCGCATACTGCCGGCCGCCCTTCAGATTGCCTTCTAGACCTTGTTGTCATGGGCCAAGCTCAGCCCAGCCCGTTGGTGCTTTGTACTTGTGGCCTCGTCTTGGATCCTCGGTGTATTTCTCTTCTGGGCCCTTGTTAGTTCACTTTCCACCTCCCTCCCAACCATCCTTCAAAAGAGACCCTTCCCCGACTCCACGACTTCCACACCCTGCTCCGCGTTCCTGGACTCTTCCTCTGGTTCGTGTTCCTGGCTATCGACCTTGTCAGTGGATACTCGACAGCACTGTGAAGGGAGAGGCGATATCCTTCTCAGCTCGAGCTTGAGTCCCTCGCAGCATCATCGACCGCCCTCCACCGACGTTTGCAACGTCTCCCGAGCGGGACATGCCAACTCACCGTTCCTAACACAACCTTTTCGATTTCCCAATGAGTGCCTTAACCAGCCTAGATTCCCGACAACGCCTGGTACCTCCGGACAGCCCGCCTGAGCTGGCGAGCCCCGGCGCAACTTCCATCTCCTCCCGCTCTTCACCTTCCACCGAGCAGGCCTGGGCTTCTCACGCCTCCGCCTCCCTTCCCATGGCCAACTATGACAAAGGCCCAGCTGGCGATGTCTCAGCAGGAGCTGCTGCACCCGAGAAGGCCCAGGATCGGAGAGATTCCACGGGCCAGACTGCCCCGCGCCAGCAACTGCCGTCCTTGAGCAGCCTCTTTGGACCGCCGTCGTCCTTGCGGTCGCTTCGCACGCCGACCGACCGTGACGGCGCCTACCCGGCTCACTCGCCTCTCGACAGGCCTCGGGCCTCACCTGGTGTTGGCAACAGCAGCCTCAACTCGTACTTTCCCGCAGCTACTTCGCCCCCCGTTTCACAGCCTCGCAGCACCTACGATGTAAGGTATGATACGGAGAGGCAGAGCCTACACTCGCTCGCTCGCACGTTTTCTGCGCCGCGCTCGCCAAATTATCGCGATCATTCGCGCTCTGATGTTGACGGCAGGAAGTGGTCGGTCCACCATGATGCGGGCCGACACGAGTATTCCTTGGGGTCTCGCGACGTCTCGTTCCGGTCTCCTGGAGACCCGGCACGAGGTCACTTTTCTGGATCGAAGGACTCCGGCCTCGAGTTCTCTGAGCCGAGGCCGATTCACGGCAGCTCAAACCCGCCGCCCACTCCGAGCAGCACCGTCACGTCTGAAGGGATGCCGTCGAAGGATGGGTTGGGCCCTAAGATCTGGACAGGAACCCATTTCCTTCCACGCTTCGTGCGGGCTGCCGAGGTCCCAGGCGAGGGCATGTGTTATTTCTATGACGATGGCAGCCACTGCAAAACGGTCATCGATGGCGAAGCTGTGAACGCTCACTGGGGAGTGACCAAGGCGGGCAAGCCCCGCAAGAGATTGGCAATCGCCTGCGTCACCTGCCGGGAGAAGAAGATCAAGTGCGACCCCGACTATCCGCGGTGTGTTCAGTGCGAGAAGTTTGGCCGAGTCTGCAAGTTCAAGAACGCGTAAGAACAACTCATGCACCCGATCTCGGATATCGAGGGCTGGAAATGCTGACATGGCGATAGACCGAGAGGAGGACACAACACATCTCCGTCGACGCCTCCTGCTGAGCTCGACGACGCACACCGGCTTGGTGGGCGCTCGAGACACCATGACGGAAGGATATCCGAGAGCGGATCCAGCCCTCCTGTGTCCCCTCGGGCGGAGAGCTCCCCGGATGGTGGCTACAGCAAGCGGCTTAAAGTTGGTCCCGAGTCGTATGTGCCCAACGGCGAACCAGTCATGTCCTCGTCCCGGCCCCTGGACCACTCGAAGGCGACGCCGCAGCCGCTTCATCGCCCTCCTCCCGAGATCCTCCCTCGAATTCCCGACGAAGTCCTTTCTCGTGCTTGGAGCACTGATCCTTACGGGTCCGATCCGGAGTCCATCAGTGCCGTTCTCACTCAGTTCTTCGGGCAGGTCGACAACACCATGATTATGCGTTTCTTTCCCGAGAAGATCTTCCGATCCTGGGTCTCTTGCCCCCCTCGCGAGAAGACGGCCGAGGACCTGATGGTCCTCTACAGCGTGCTGGCCATTGGTGTAGCGCTTTCGGGTGGCCCCAAGCACATCGCCTATGAGTACGCCCAGGTAGCGTACTTTGCGCAGAAAATGACGACTACCGCGTGCCTGCAGCTCGTCCAAAGCCGAATCCTCCTCGCAGTATATCATATTTCGACGTCACGACCCCGGGAAGCCGCCGAACTCATCTCGTCTGCTGCGGCCACTGCGGCGTGCTTGCAGCTCAACCGTGAGTTGGAGAAGCCAAGGGACGAGTTGTTGTCGGCCTACCCCTTTGGGATGAACGGCATTGGCTACTGTGAGGCTCGACGCCGGACCATGTGGTCTCTTTTCATGCTGGAACGACTGAACACGCTGCTCCCCGACCGCCCGATCATGATTCACGCCGAGGATATATATGTCCGGCTGCCGGCTGATTCCGAGAGCTTTGAGAAGCAGGTCGAGGCCGTGGTACCCATGTTTGACCCGGACGAGTCGATCGTATCTAAGCTTGCGGAAAAGTCCTCGGAAATCACTGGCTACCTTATCGAGATGACGCACATTTGGTCCACCTGCCAGACTGCTATTTCCCGGCTCGCGAGTCGGACTACCGCCTCAGAAGTCGACTTGGCGAGGGCTCAAACGATTTCGCGGAGGGCCCGCGAGTGGCACAACTCGCTGCCTTCCAGGCTGATGTTTGGCGGCTCGAACCTGGAGTCGGCAGCCTTCTCAGGCAAAGTGGGCTCGTTCCTGACCATGCACCTTCTGTATCACCACACGGTAATCGGGCTGAATCGTTATCACCTCGGAGCCGCTCGCCTCCCTACTGATGGGAGAGCCAAATACCTCCAGGAGTGTCGGGAGCATGCCATGGCCATTCTCGACATAACCAACTGCCTCGACCGTATTCTCCGTGTTCGGCCGACGATTCTGAGCACTCCGCCACCTGCCATGTCAATGGCAATTACTGTGGCAGTGGACGTCCTGACGGCGAGCGGTTCCATGGCGTCCATCAACGAGCTTATTCAAAGCATCCGGGTCGCCAAGACTGCCGTCGACAGCATGGGCAAGGTCTGGGAGCACTCCCTCGTCGCCAAGGAGGCCATCGAGCAGCGGCTGCAGAAGTTGACGCAAATCTACCACAACCAGGGCTCGCGTCCGAGCAGCCCGACGGAGGGATATCGGGTGGTGCAAAGCAGCGAGGAGCCTCTCGACCCGAGGCGCCTCCAGTGGCAGATCCCCGAGCCCATTGAGAAACCGTATCCCATGGATATGGATATCGTATATTCCACGCTTGCTTGAGCACGTATATATGGCCTTTCGCAAGCGTTCGACGTTTGCGGAGGATTGTTGTTTCTTTTTTCTCTTGCCTGGTTCTCTCTGGTCAATGCATAGTTTGGCGTTGTGGCTGCCGTCAACATGGGCAGCGGAGTTCCAACCGGAGGTTTCCTGGGTTTGTTTTTCCAATGCATGAAGGGTACGAACCAGCGAGACGGCAGGTCATCATGGATGGACGCGACATGCCTTTCTGTTGTATGCTCTTCCACATTTGTATCATGACGGATGAGGAGCGGAAGTTTGGGATTTATCATTTGATGGACCTGCGGCCCCTTTGGCCAGTGGTCGTTCAGGAGAGGCAAGGCTGTAGATGAGTGGTTGGTTGGGCGGCAATCGCCTCAATGACGAAGATGAAGAGCAAATGGTTTTCGTATGCAGGAGATAACCTCGCCGTGACAGATTTACGAACGTGGCCTTGTAAGTCGAGGAAGTCGGCCGATGGGCATCTCCGGGCCCTTGCCCGTCGCCCCTGCCGTACCCTGGCAGAGTGGGGCGTGTCCAACCGGGCCAATCAGTCCACGTGATATGTCCGAATGTGGTTCAAGCATTCAGGGTGTTCCTCTCTCAAGTCAGCTCAAGCCATCACCCAAGCTCACAATGCCCATTGAGACGATCGACAACTCTTGACCACCCAGTGAGCCGCGAAGCCACGCAAATGCAGTAACGCACGCTGCGCGCCAGAGATACGATGGGTGCATGGCCCAGGCATGGCTTTTCCCGATAAGCCAGCGGCGCACCTGCTAGGGTCCAATGGTAAGTGACGAGTCAAGGTTCGTAACGTTGAGCGCAGCTAATAGCTCCGTCACAGGACCTGTGCACGCGCTGGCGTACTCTGCGTCTCCGGGGACCTACATCTTGACAGGCTCCGCGGACAGAACAATCCGCCTATACAATCCGTTCCCAAGCACCTCCGTACCCGAGGTGCGGCCCTCCGCCAAGCCCGCCATCCCTCAGGGCCGCCTGATCCAGACGTACGCGGCTCACGGGTACGAGGTCTTGAGCCTCGACGTCGCGAGCGACAATGAGCGCTTCGTCTCCGCGGGCGGCGACCGGTCCGTATTCCTGTGGGACGTGGCCACGGCTGTGACGACGCGGCGTTTCGGCGGCAACGCGCAGGGCCACTCGGCGAGGATCAACTGCGTGAGCTTTGCCGGCGACGGGGACTCGCTCGTCGTCAGCGGCGGGTTCGACACCACGGTCCGCATCTGGGACACCAAGAGCAACAGCTTCAAGCCCATCCAGGTACTCGACGAGGCGAGGGACAGCATCACGTCGCTGGTCGTACGCGGGCCAGAAGTCGTGGTGGGCAGTGTCGATGGCCGCGTCAGGAGCTACGACGTGAGGATGGGGCGCTGTACCACGGATGTGCTGGGCGCGAGCGTGACCAGTCTCGACATGACCAAAGATGGGCGGACCATGTTGGTAGGCACCCTGGACAGCAAGCTACGGCTGATGGACCGCGACAAGGGGACGTGCCTCAGGGCGTACTCGGACCCAGGCTGGAAGAACGAAGAGCTGCGGGTCCAGTCTCTCCTCGGCGGAAGGGAAAAGTATGTCGTTACGGGCGACGAAATGACTGCTGAGCCGAACGCAAGTGGCGACGGGAGGATATGGGCGTGGGACCTTATTTCCGGCAAGCTGGTGGCAAAAGTCACGGTCCCTTGGGGGCCACAAGGCTTCGAGCAGAGGAAGAGGGTGGTTGGAAGGGACGGCAAGGAAAAGCCACGAAGCAACATCGTCAGCTGCATGGCATGGCGGGACGGCGGCTGGGGCGATCAGTTTTGTGTCGGAGGCACGTCTGGTGTCGTGACGGTATTCGGTGCATTATGATATGTGCCTGAGCCAGATATACGGTACACCCCCAACGTCAAGACGTTCCTTCGTCAAGATATTCCTGGTCTATATGTCCCAATACATGACGCTGCGGCAAAACGTCCCTAGACGGCAACGCTTTGAACGCAGCCAACCCCGCCTTCGCGCCGTTAAACACCTAAATTCGACAATGCTCTCAACACACTCATGCCAGCCGCATTAATTCCGTTGTGGGTTGCGACAGACCACGAGGACCGCATTAGTTCCAGAGGCGAGGGTGCCCCGTTCGCTCTTGTTGCTCGCAAAATAAAGGACGAGGAATTAGCCCATGCCCACGTACTTGAACCAGTTGGGCCTGCAGTCTTCCCGATGGAGCCAGGCCTCGCCGTCTGTGAGGCGGCCGGTGACGCAGCCCTTGCACTTGGGCGAGTTGGGGCAGTTGAAGAAGGGGATGTGCTGGTAGCCGATGTCGCGGAACCTGTCTCATATTAGCGGCTGCTTGGAACCAAGGTTTGGTCGAGTACGCACCAATGCACCCTGCTCGCGTCTTCCCAGAGACCGAGAGCAATGCTGTGAACAGGAGCATCGCCCCAGCGTTCGTAGAAGAAACCACCCGCACGGTCAAGGTGGTTAAAGTAGTCGTCGTAGACCTGGCTCCTCCAGAAGTCCATGTCGGCCACCTCAAAGTTGCTCCAGAAGTGACAGGTCGAGTACCCCTGAGCCTTCTTGTTGTGATCGGGTCTCCTGATATCGTCGGTAAGCCACTTGAGCGCGGCGTTCTTGTGGACGACGTGATGAGGATTGTCGGCAAGGAACTTGACCGTTTCAGGCCACAGCGTCGGCAGCGTCTTCGGATCATCGTAGAGAGTGATGGTGAAGCCGTAGGTCTTGTTGTTGTCTAACATGTAGGCAAAGACATCATAGTCGACGTCGCAGAAGAAATGCACCTTGGGCTCGACGCGCCAGTAGTACCGAATGTCTTTCAAGGCAGGGTGCTTGTAAAACATGCCGCTGTTCCATCGGCACATCTGGTGATAGGATATTTTCTTGGCATACTGGACGCCCGACTCGGCGAGGACAGATGTGGATTCCTCGTATATAGCATCGTCGATCCAGGACGGCGTAGCCCAGTGGTCTTTGGGGATGAGCTCTGTGACGGCGTAAGCATCCGCAGGTGAGCACGGTCGTCACGAAAGGATATACGTACCGTAGTTGCACTTGGCCTTGGTAACAGCCTGTGTCTTCGTCTTGAACTCTTCGGAAAACGGCTCGTCGTTGAAGAAGGTCCATGGGTAGTTAAATTTGCCGTTCCACGTCCGTTCGAGATCCGCCATCGACTGCACCATATCATCGACCTCGCTGTTTCGGACCAGCGCCAGCAAGGTCGCAGGGATGCGGGCGCTATCTTCGGCATCGGGTGCGTACTTGTCGGAGACGCGGCGGAGGACGCCCTCTGGCTCTCCGGTGGCTAGACGGAAGGTCGTGTCAGTGTGGCTTTTGCGGTGGAAGACGGGCAACGGGGCAACTCACGATCCAGGGTGGGATCGCGCTCAAAGTTTTGATACCGCGCGCCGGGGCCACGTATCAGGCCATCGGGCTTGAAGATCTGATAGAGGAAGAAGCACCAGACGACGGCGGCGAAGAAGAGCAGCGCCCGGACGGGCCGCGCAATCGCCATAGCGACGTTGGTTCCGCAGCGCGGGCCTCTGCTGCTTGGGGCGTGCAAAAATTGGCAATCGCAGTGCCTCAGAGGGCCATGAACCGGGCGGTGAGGAACAGGTGCGAGGCTGTTCGAGGTCTCGGGGCCGTCGATATGTCGGGGCGCAATGGCCTGGGGATGATGGAGAGCTTTGGACACGACGAGGCCTTGGGTGTCGCAACTGGAAACGTCAACGGAAAGTAGTGGGATGAAAGCGTGATAGGGGCCAAGGCTGAGTCCCACAAAAGAAATGGCCGATCCTAGCCAATGTGGGGTCTCAGGGGCGCTTCCAGACGCGCCAGAAAGGCTTGTGACGCGGCACAGGAGCCCTGTGGAGGTCCCCTGCTCAGTGGTGCTGCGCGCTTCGGGTGTACGGTGCGCTTCGGGTGTGCTGCGCCGCGACGCGCCGCGCCGTGCTCTCCAGGGCTGTCATGACGCTGAGACGGGGGCATCTCATCCCACCTACTTTGCTTCCATCCTGCAGATGCACCGCGCTTCGTATCGGTAGCCCTCGCCCCATCTGCCGACAACAGCACGCGTCCCAAAGATGGGAGCCTGGCCATGGCATTTGCTGCACGACTCGCGCCCCTGACCGAGGAGCTTGTCCAGGCCCTGACGCAGTTGTCGCCACAGGTAGGTGCTGGCGATGCCGCAATTCCCGACCATAACGCATCATGCTTGTGCTGACTCGGCGGACAACAGGCAGATTCCAAACGCTTCAGCGCGACCCGGGACACCGCCCTCCGCGCCCTCAAGTCCCATTCATATCTCCGCACGAACCAATTCGACGTCGAGCGCAACTTGGACGGCTTGGAGGAGCGCTTTCGCGTCAACCACCGCGATGGCCTGGCCGATGCTCTGCGACAACGACGAGAGGCCCTGAGCCAGCACCCCTCGGATTGGCATCCAGAGATTCTGTCCTTGCTCCTGGAGCTCTCCGACCAGCCCACCTTCAAAACGAGGCTGAGTGACGTTGAAGCGCTCGGGCAAGATGTCCAAGACGCGAGCGTGCGACTGCGGTGGGAGGACCTCGCGAAGGAGGATGGGTGGGACCAAGACGCGGACCTGTGGAAGACGATAAACTACAGTGACGATTCGGACGACGAGGAGTACGAAGAAGAATCGTCAGAAGAGTCCGACGCGACAACCATCCCGAACAGTAGCGAGCCGGTTGGAAGACTGGCGCAGGACTTCATCATCCACCCCGAGGACAAGGCGGCGCTAGAGGCGGTCCAACGGGCGCAGGCATGGAGGACGACGACATCGCCCGACCCCGTCGGACAGTCACGTAAAGTCGCAACATCCGAGTCTCAGGTAGTGCGGGAGGTGCTGTTTATGCTCCAAGGCCTGGACAGCACGCTCTTCGACCGCAAGGGCTCCGCCGTCACAGCCTTTCAGCTGACGAACCTGGCATGGGAGACGCACAGGGCGTTGATGAACACATTCTCGACATATGGCAGACAGCTCCGCATCTTGCGCGCGTTTGCCAGCCGACCAGAGAGAGTGCCTCACCTGCAGGCGCTGCAAGACTGCATCTCCAGACGTCTTCAAGTCCTCGACGGCAAATTGTCCGAGATTCAAGTGCGCCTCGCTTCGCCTACGGATGAGGTCATAATCAGCCTGATCGCAATTCGAAGCGAGCTTTTGCCATGGCTAGAGCCTCTCTTTGTCCTTTCCAACATCATCGCCCAAGTCCAGGACGGGTCTCGGGCGGAGACATTTCGCTACCTCGAGCTCATGTTTGACGAAGCGGGAATAGCGCAGCTCACGGGCAAGCTCGACACATACCGGTTCCTCGCCGAAGTCTTTGTCGAATGCTTCAACGTCTACCTGAGGCCGATACGTCAATGGATGGACCAGGGCACGTTGCTTCCCGGTAACGAAGTCTTCTTCATCACGGAGCCTGCCAGCGACGTGTCAATGTGCGACACCTGGCAGGACCGATTCGAACTGCGCAAGTTAACAGACGGATCGCTGCATGCACCAAAGTTCCTCAAACCAGCCGTGAGTAGGATATACAATGCTGGAAAGAATATTGTCGTTCTGCGACTGCTTGGAAAGCAGAGCGCAGTACTGTCTCCGCAGACGGAGGCCGAGCCACCGCTTGACTACAGCGCCATCTGCCCCCCAGGATTCGAGCTGGCCCCCTTTGCAGACATGTTTGGCGCAGCGTTTAACCGATGGATCCAGAGCAAGTATCGCAAGACATCGACGACGCTGAAGAACGCCTTGTTCAACGACTGGGGCCTGGGCTCGTCGCTCGACGCGCTGCAAGCCTTGTTTCTCATGTCGGACGGTGCAGCGGCCGGATCGTTTTGCGAGAATCTCTTTGGGAGGATGGATGCGGCGACGGCTTGGCACGATCGATACGGCCTCACTGCTGCCGGCAGCGAGGCGTTTGCTTCGCTCGTGGACATCAACCGGCTGACCATCAGCGTTGACGCCGCCGGGAGACAAATCTCCGTCAAGCAGGCCACACAGTCCGTCAAGCATTCATTACCGCACGTCCAGATAGGCTACAAACTGCCTTGGCCAGTGCAAATGATTGTCACCCGCGACAGTATCGGCCACTACCAAGCCGTCTTTACATTTCTATTACAGATCAAGCGGGCGCTGCATGTTCTCCACGCGCCAAAGATCCTGGACAACCTCCAGACAGACGGGCAAAGATGGGACGAGCGTGCCCTATTCTATTCCTCACGGAACAAGCTCCTGTGGTTTTGCACCACGCTGCAGACGTACCTGGCGACGCTTGTGCTGGAGCCGGTGTGGCGGAAGATGAGGCTTGACTTGCAGGCCGCGGATGATATGGATGGCATGATTGCTGTGCACGCCGGGGCGATGAAGCAGGTGGTTGACGAAGCGTGTCTGGGAAGCAGGCTGGCTCCCATTCATGCGGCCGTGCTCGACGTGTTGGACCTGGCCTTGATGCTTGAGGATGGGCGACGCAGTCAACAGGCCGGTGCGGCGTCGGTGTCTTCGCAGCCTGGTGGTGAGGTGGCACACCGAGCCGCGCTGCAAAAGATCTCAGCCGAGTTCGATAGAAGCCTCCGGTTCATCACCGGCGGGCTGCGGAGCGTCGCCCGCGCAAGCAGCACCGCGCAGTCGGCCAAGTGGGATACCTTGGCGGACATGCTCCATACCGGAGAGTTGGCAGACGGACGGGCGTGACATGTAGCCACCACGAAACAGAAATGATACCCCCCCTTTTCCTCCGCTATCCCTCCCACATCGTGAACCGCCCGTGCCCATAACCGCCTCGCGTGATGCCACGCCATATCGTACCATGTCCTGTCCTTCCACGCGAAAAGCCTCGCGCGGCACCTTGCCTGCGTGCCTGCCTGCCTACCACCCGCTCCGTAGCCTCTCCGCAAAGAACTTCATAATGGGCAGCATCTCCTCCCTGTCCCTCGGCATGGCGACGTCCCCCCTCCGCCAGCGCACGACCCGCACGTCCCGGAACTCGCGCCGCACGTAGTCGCTCTGCTCGCCGTCCAGCTGGCACACCAGCGCGCTGGTGCGGCACTTTTCCCGTGCGGAACGCGTGCTCACCGATGAGGGCGGCAGCGGCCCGCCGATGGACACGACGCCCTTGAAGCTGCTCCTGTCCACCCCTCCGCCGTTGTCGTCGGTGCCCGCGGTGGTGGCGGTGGTGGTGGTCACGTCGACGACCTGGTTCTCCTTGGCCAGCGAGGCGGCCAGCGCTAGGGCAAAGGACCCGCCCTGGCCGAAGCCGAAGAGTAGCACGTCGGAGAGCTCCCATCCGCACTTGTCGATGAGGACGCCGCGCACGAGGCCCTCCATGACGAGGCGCGTCGCGCGCGTGAACCCCGGATCGGCGTCGATGTCGCCCGTCGCGGGGTCGATGGACAGGTCGTCGCCCCAGTGGAAGTGTCCACCTGCTCCTGACGCTGCTCCTTGCGTCACAGCGCCGCCGCCAGAGTCGATATCATCCGACAGCAGGCTCGCCGGCAGGACGGCCGTGCCGCGGACGGAAATCGCCAGCACGCCGGGGAGGTTGACGCTGCGGGCAAAGGACGCGAAGGGGGCCTCGGAGTCGCCCAGGCCGTGGAAGAGCACGAGGATGGCGGTGGTGGACTCGCGCGGCGAGGGGAAGTGCAGCGCGTGGGGGAGCGTCGCCGCGAGGGGCGCGAAGTCGGCCTCGGTGGGTATCCGCGGCGGCATTGGCGGCGGTGGTTGCTGCAGCTGCGGCTGCGGCTGCGGTCTCTGTGGCCTATAGTCTGTGATTTCTTGGCTTTGCGGCCTTTCACCCCAGGTGGGAGTCGTGCTGGATGGGCTGAGTTGTCGGAAGATGCGTACGTTGGTGGTTGCGCGATGCCGTGTTGTGGGTCGTGGACTGTGTGCGATCGATTGAGCAGTAGAGTATGGATCAAAAACCCGGCCTGGCAATTGCAATCAGATTAAAGGGCGGGCTGTCAATGTCTACACCGGATGAAAAAGTAAAGTCGTTGTGAGGAGGGTTCGAATAACGTGGGATGCAAGCGTGACGTTGGCGATGAGACAGCTTCGAGGTGGAGATGTGGGACCGGCACTTCGTACACCCAGGCCCAGTGAGATCCAGTTACTTCGTACGAAGTACAAGACATCAAAGTCACGAGCAGCTCTACCATACTTAGTACGGCCCCGCATAAAGATTCACTTCTCATGTGATATTCCAAAAGACACAGAAACTTCTAGGTAACCTCGCAGGCATCAGTCGTCAACTCATCGCCGCAGCCTGCCCTCCCCCTCTATAGCACTCCGAGCCTTCACGCGAGACGGCCCGGGCTGCATCTTCTTCCAGTCGCCGCCCGCCGTCCACGTCCCGGCCTTTGTATAGTCGCCGCTATCGCTGCCGCTCATGAGTGCGAACCGGAAATACTCGGGCAGGTCTAGCGTGCTATTCCGGGACCAGACGAATTCCTTCTTCTCGTCCTCGTCGCCAAAGTAGGAGCGGAAGCGCTCCACGTCGTTGACAAGAACGCTGATGCCATCGTACCGCTTCGCTTCGGGCACCTCCCAGCTGAAAGTAATGTTGGAGAGCGCCGCAGTGTTGTTGCTAAGGTGAATGATCGGGTCGTGAACGGTCGGAAGCAGCGTGCCCTTTTGCGCGTCGCCCTGCAGCGCCGCATCTGTTTCCAAAAACGGGCCAAAGCCCCAGCGTGCGATGCCGTTGATAAACAGCCCAACGAGGAGGCCCTGATACAAGAGCGAGGGCCGCATCTGCATGCTGGTTCCGGGCAGCAACAACAGCGCAAGCACGAAGTGGTGGATGCGCAGATTGAGCCCCGGCAGCAAGAGAGATATGACGATGCCGAGCAAGAATACCAGGTAAAGCTTGATGTACTTTCGGAACCGTGCTTCCATGCGGAAAAACCACACCTGGAACGCAACAATGACGACGAGGAGAATGATGATGATGGCCAACGCTGCCTTGGCGCCCGGCTGCTGGTTCAGATCATGCGCAGTGAGTCGCTGGATCGGGATGAAGTCGAGTGTGTAGTTTGTCATTGCGCCGACCCAGCAGCCTCCCAGCCACAGGACCGTCTTTTCGACCTGGGCTGTCAACCCCGTGAGCGTGCGGCGTACGCCCATCTTGTCGAAAATAACCCATGACGTGAATGCGGCAGGGATAAACTTGCCCAGCACGTTCGAGAAGAGCGCGGTAACGGTCTTAGCCGTCGGCGGATCCAGCGCCATGCCGACGGTCCAGAATATCCCGGTAAAGACGGGAAAGAAGAAGAGCGCTGGCGAGGCCGTGAACAGTGATAGCACAATGGTGAAGGTCAGTGAGATGCCGAAGAGCGACCACCGGGTATCGCTGGATGAGCAGTCAACTCCAGGCAGGAATTGAAATGACAGCGGAAAGTACGAGTCGAAGCCGACGCTCGTGAAGCCGTTGCGCTGCGAGGCGACAAAGTCTTGCTGCCGGCCCACGAGCTGCACGACGCCGCAGCCGCCTTTCTTGTTGGTGATGAGACCCGCGTGGATGGCCGAGCCGCAGATGAAGGAATCGCCACGGTACGTGGCGAGTTCGGGGTGCACGTCGTTGGACGGCCCGCCGACGACGAGAGGCTGATATATGACCTCCTGGTCTCCCACGGCGCGCGGGTTGAGAACCAGGTACTTGTCACAGCTCGCAGGGCAGCGAAATGCGAATCCGCTGTCAGCAAAAGGCCGGCACTGGCTGCCATCGATGCCACACTCGTTTCCGGCGTCCCAATACGAGGTGCCGCATCCGATGGCCTGCGGCGCACCCCATCCAGCGATTTCGCTGACAATGGTCTCCTTGCGCTTGACCAGGACGAAGGCGATCAGCCATATCGAGAAGAAGAAGAAGAGCAGCCAGGCGCGTTGTTTGCGTCGGGGCAGAAAGCGCTCGACGAGCCACAGCGGATACTCTTGCACGACCGGGAACAAGGGTTTGATGCGATATGGCTGGGCGTTGGGCGGGCCCTTGGACCACTTGCGAACGGCCCGGATGAGGCGGCGGACGGGATATGGCACCCACTTCCAGCGCTTCCAGGCATGTTCGTCTTGCACGAAGCGCGGCGTCGGGGGATCGCTGTCGTCGTCCTCGACGTGGAGAGTGTTGTCGCTGTCGAGGGGCGCGTCGGGGTGATGGCGGTCGTCGGGATGGCTCACGGTCGGGGCATCCTGGGCATTGGCAGGTCCGCGCCCGCGCGAAGCTCCGCCGCCGACATGGATCCCGTTATCGATATCCCCGTCCGTGCCGCCTGTGGCTTGGCGTCGTTCCGATTCAGTCATGAGAGGCTGGTCCTCGTCGCCGCTGTCGCCGTCAATTGCACCGTCATGGCGATCGACCATGGTGTCTGACGGACGGTGCTAAACAGGGCAGAAGAGGAGGCGGATGCCAACACCGCAATACGAGCCGGCCGCGGACTCGGACGCTTGCGCGGACTCTGGGCGAGAATGTATGACAGATCAGCGCTAGGTCGGCGGCAACCGCACGGCGGGTGGGTCAGACGCTCGTTGCGTGAACCAGACGGATGTAGCGCCTGCCGGGGAGGGCCAACTGCAGGAGCAAGCAGGTCGGGGTCGAAGGCGATGCGATGGCGAGCATTCGTCGACGGCTGCGCGGCGATGGGGAGAGAGAAGGGGAGGGAGATGCGTGGCCTGGAGATCATGTGGTGTTGCGTTGCTCAAAAGAAAAGACAATGGAGCCTTACGCGTCCGGTGGCAGGAACACAAAGTCAATCAATGGAAGCCTCCTTCCGCCGAGCGTCCCGGGCATCGAATACGCCAACGTTGGCTGCGGCCCGACTGCCATTGGCCATTGGCGGCGGGCTCAGTGGAGGTTGCGGCCAACTACAGGGGGGTTTGCTGGTCGGTTGCGGCACTGCAGAGAGCCCAGTGGCAGGTGTCTCAGCCCACGGGCAACCAAGGCCGCGATTCAGGGTCCACCGGCTGAACATCGGCAGCGCCCGCCAACGTCTGCCATCTGGGGCACACTGCCGCCGATGGCGTTCTGTGGGCAACCATCACGACTCAGGCACACTGACACCGAATTTCTCACGAGGTGCCACAGCATAGGGCCCGGCTGGGATCGACGACAGTTCGCATACAACAGCAAGCACTTCCGTAGCCGTTCTGGCACTTGGACCCTATTTCGAGCCCTTCAGCCACATTCTCAAGATTCAAGAGGACTGGCAGAGAGACGCCTGCTGTCCCCGTGCCAAGGCAGCCCCTTCTCTGCTGAAGCTGGCATCTCAGACGCTCGATACCTCGCAACTCACAACCGGTTCACTCAGACGCTCAGCCATGCCAACATGACGGACGCTGGCCCCCAAGATCCCCACGTCATGGCCGCTCGCAGAGTCTTTGAGATCCTCGGCTCAGCTGCCGCCGATGCCTGCACCGCACGCCTCGGCCGCATCGCCTTTGCTGGCAGACGCGTCATTGACACGCCAAACTTCACAGCCGTCACCTCACGGGGCGCCATTCCTCATCTTACCCCTGACAATGTTGGAAAGCATACGTCTGTAGATGCCACGTACATGGCCCTGGAAGACTGTGAGTGAGATGCCACGCCCCGGGCTAGCATGAACCTAACGGCGGCCATGACCAGTTGTGGAGAAGAAGGAACCCCCGATATACAAGACCCCAGCCGGTGAAGCGAGTAGGCTGCACAGCTTTACGGCCATGCCCTCAGATAGGACGACGATAATGGGCGCGAGGCGCTGTCCGCCAGTGACGACGCCGATGGGCAACAACGCCAAGTCCGTCACCCTCTTCACATCCACGGGCTTCTCCAGCGTCACAATACCACAGTACGCTGCAGCCATTGAGGCGCTGCGGCCGGATGTGGCTATTCCCCTGGCCGATGCGCTGCATACGAGCCCCACGCCCAACTCCAAGAAGCTCTTCAAAATGGTGGAGCGCACCGAGGAGTGGCTGGACGAGCTGCTGCAGCACTTTGGCCCTGGTCGCGACAAACTAGACGCCTTGGGGGTGTCTCTGTTCGCGCCGGTTCTCCCGGTTGAGCACCCGATCCAGTGGGACTACCTCAGGCACCTTGCCGAGGACGTGACGGACTCGCTGTCCGGGTTGGCGGTATACAACGTCGCCCTCTTGCCAGAGCTCACCTGCTACCAGCCCTTTGCGTCTCTGCCCAAGCTTTCGCTCGATCCGCCAAAGACACCACACGATATACTGCGGCAGATTTCACTCGGCGTCGACATTGTCACGGTGCCGTTCATAAATACGGTCTCGGATTCTGGAATCGCCCTCACGTTTGCCTTTCCGCCACCAAGTGCGAACCCCAACGATCTTCTCCCGATGGGGGTAGACATGTGGTCTCCAGAGCACGCCACGTCAGTGACGCCCCTGGCCGACGGCTGCAAGTGCTACACCTGCACGCATCATCATCGCGCGTACCTGCATCACCTGCTTAATGCCAAGGAAATGCTGGGTTGGAACTTGCTCCAAGTCCACAACCACCATGTCGTCCAGGAGTTCTTCGCTGGCGTTCGCCAATCTCTTGCCAACGGAGCAGCTGCTTTTGAAGAAGACAGGAAGCTGTTTCTCGCGGCGTACGAGCCGGAACTCCCGGAGGGAGCGGGTGAGCGACCTCGGGCGCGCGGCTATCACTTCAAGAGTGAGGCTGGGCAGGAGAAGCGAAACAAGCCCAGCTGGAAGGACCTTGATGTAAAGGCTACGAACGGAAGCATTGAGCCTGTAGTAAATGGGCTTCCGTAGAATAGATTACACATTCTATGCGACACTCGGAGAGCATGTACACGTATGGTATGCGCGGTGCCAGAACGGGCTGGGTCGCGGGCACACACGTGCGAGTGACACACACTAGGGCTGACGTAGATCATTATCCGGATGCACGATGAACGTGCACGAAATGCATGTAACCGCGTCAAGATGCACCTTTTGCCGCGTGGACCACGGGGGGTGCGAGGAGCAAGCCGGTTGGGGCGTCTGTGCCCCGCGTGCTCTGGCGAGACAAGGTACTGCCAAGATGGGGATAAAGACGAGGCGGTAATGATGCATGCGAGAGGCCAAGGTATGCGGGATAAACGTCTGTGGTCTGGGTGGACTTGTGATACTAGTACCTCACCTGGTGCTTGACGTTGTGCGACTATCGACTGTGTTGGGGGCTCGGCTCTGAGGAGTTGTAGCTCGGTGTGGGATTGGGAAGCTTGCCGGGGTGCTATATCACTCTCACACAACTGGCAACCCAGTGGACGAGCCGATGAAAGCCCGCCGAGGAGCCCACGAGGTATTATGCCAAGGCATTTGTCTGTGAAAAACGAGCGACGAAAACCTAGAAATTCGAATCCCAATATGCCAAGGTAAACGTGCTATACCCGTGACAATTGGCAGAGTCGCTCCCCATCCACCTTTCCCTGACCCGTCGCAAAAGCTTCATTCAGCAGCACAAGAGACTGCAGAGCCTTGCAGCGCAGTACCGTAATAAGGTACACGTTGTGGACCAGCGAGATTGTCAGTCCCGGGTCGTGGCCGAACTTTTGCTTCAAGCTTGAAGTGTAGCTTGAATAGAGGGTTGGCGGCGGCAGCAAACGCCACCCAATGGGGCGCCGACATGTGCCCACGGGGCGATCGTAGGCCCCCCGTGGCGGCGCTCTAACCGGCATAAGCTCATGCTCTAGGCCTCCGATGGTGGAGGGACCCCCTGTAGCGGTGCCTGCCCCTGCCCCTGCCGCCCGTTGGCCGCAGCCCACCTTGGTCGTCCTCCGTCTCCACTCTCCACTTCCATCCCATCCCCGTCCTTTCCTCGTTTATTACATCCATCATCACCACTGCACGCTCGCCAATGTCTTGGTGCGGCCATTGTCCAGCGAGCCTGCATGTGTGGTGCATAGTGCCTGCCCGGCGCGGGACCGTCCTCTCGCCCACACCCCCCCGCCCGCCGGCGAACAAGCTCAACTGCTCGGCGGCGCGGCACGTGCTCCTGTCCCTGGCGATGAAGGGCTCACCGTGACATCGCGTCCCGCCTCGACGGGAACCGATGGGAGGGTCAGGACTCGCTGCCCGCGCAACGGAGCCTCGCGAACGGCTCGGCTGCCTGCGCCTGATTCGCGCCGCCGACGACACCCATGGCCGGCCAAACGTGGGCATCTGTCCGGCGTCCCGCCGCGTGTCGTCCATTCGGCTGATTCCGACCCTCGTCTCGGGGTGCAACGTGCGTCGTTGCTCGTATGTACGCGAACCCGGGTGTGATCGTCCCTTTTCCCCCTGCCTTCCTGCTGTGTTCTGCGCGCGGACCCGTCGCTCCCCTGCCGCTCTTAAAAAGACATGGCCGCCCCTCGCGACCCGAGAGCTCTCCTCCTTCTCTGGTCGTGAGCCGCGCTCGTGTCTTCCTGTGTGTCGCATCACTCAGGGTCGATTAGCTTCGTCTTCCGTGACACCAATTGGCATACGGTAGCAGCAGCATTCAAGATGCTCGCCAAGCTCAACGTCGCCGCCGCCGCCCTGGCCGCGGTGGCCTCGCTCTCGGGCGTCTCGGCGCAGACCTACCAGCGCCTGGGAACATGCCCCACGCTGGGCTGCGTCCTGCCCCCGGACCAGAGCGACTTCCTCCCCGGCCAGCTCTTCGACCTGCGCGTCGAGGTCCACGCGCCCGTCAACGGCTCCGAGGCCGCCCACGACGGCAAGCCCGACGAGAAGTTCAAGGTCACCATCGCCAAGGGTGGCGAGAAGCCCAAGGACTTTGCCAAGGCGTTCGGTATCCAGGAGCCCAAGCTTGAGAAGTGGTCGTTCAAGTGGTACGAGGACCTCTTCGCCGAGGACAAGAAGACGCCCTCGGTCGTCAACGTGGCGTCCAAGGCCTACCGCAAGCTCTCCCTCAACGAGCCCGGCAAGTACACCGTCACCCTCGAGTACTATGGCGGCGAGAAGACGACCGCCGAGTGGACCGTCCGTCCTCTCCAGAAGAAGCGCAAGGCCAAGAACGTCATCTTCTTCATTGGCGATGGCATGACTACCAACATGGTGCGTGTTCCGTGCCGATGTCGTCCCTGACACGAAGCTTGACGCTGACCTTGTGCAGATCACCGCCGCCCGTCTGCTGGGGCACAAGAGCATCAACGGCAAATACCAGACTCTGATGAAGATGGACGAGTTCCCCGTCCTGGGCCACCAGATGACGCACTCGATTGACAGCTTCATCACCGACTCGGCCAACTCGGCCTCTGCCCTGTACTCGGGCCACAAGAGTACCGTCAACGCCATGGGGTGAGTCGACTTCGTTCCGTGGACCGTGTTACTGGACTGACGATTCGCAGTGTTCACGCCGACTCGTCCCCTGACCCCTTCGATGACCCCAAGGTCGAGACCATTGTCGAGATCTTCCGCCGCATTCACGTAAGACTAGCCCTGTCCCCATCGCGGACTCATAGCTAACAATCTGTCAGCGCGGTGCCTGGGGTGCCGTTTCGACTGCCTTCATGGCCGATGCCACCCCCATTGCCCTGACCGGCCACACCCGTCGTCGCTCGGAGTACGGCCCCTTGATCGACCAGGCTCTCAACGGCATGACCAACTACAGCTGGACCAAGCAGGACGGCCCAGACGTCTTCTTCGGCGGCGGTGCCGAGCAGTTCTTCCCCGGCAAGGGCTCCTACCAGGGCAAGGACTACTACGCCGAGTTCGCCAAGAAGGGCTACAGCATCTCCCTCAACAAGACGTCGCTCCTCAAGGCCGACAACAGCAAGCGCGCCCTGGGCATGTTCTGCCAGAGCACCATGCCCGTCTGGCTGGACCGCAACGTCTACACGGACAACCTCAAGAACTTCAAGAACGACCCCAAGGGTGGAAAGGAGCCCGCTCTCGACCTCCCCGGCCTCAAGGACATGACCCTCAAGGCCGTCGACATTCTCCACAAGCGCGGTGGCGACAAGGGCTTCTTCCTCATGTCCGAGGCCGCCTCGGTCGACAAGCAGATGCATGCGCTCGACTACGACCGCGCCCTCGGCGACCTGCTCGAGCTCGACGACACTGTCCGCGCCACCATTGAGAAGCTCAAGGAGCTCAACGCCCTCGAGGACACTCTCGTCATCGTGACTGCCGACCACGGCCACGGCTTCGAGTAAGTTTGCCCACCTTCCTGGTCTCTTCCCGTGTGATGAAGCGCGACGACTGACAGCTTGCTTTATCCAGTGTCTATGGCTCTGCCGACACCGAGTACCTCTCCAAGCAGGATGACGAGCGCCAGAAGCGCAACGCCATCGGCGTGTACGAAAAGTCTGGCCTCTCGCAGTACACGACCAAGGCCAAGGGCATCGAGTACGGCACGGGCGTCAACTTCCCCACCAACTGGGAGCCGCGGTACGCCATCGCCGGCGGCGTGGGCGCGGCGCCCGACCGCCGCGAGGACTACAAGGTGCACAAGTCGGGCCCGCGCGAGCCCGCCGTCAAGTCCAACGGCGAGTACTTTGTCAACCCGGCCGACGCGCCCAAGGGCATCGTCATCAACGGCACCCTGCCCACCAGCGAGGCCCAGGGCGTGCACTCCCTCACCGACGTGCCCGTCTACGCCCTCGGCCCCTGCCAGGACACCTTCAGCGGCACGTTCAGCAACGTCGACATCTTTTACAAGATTGCCAGCTGCCTGGGCCTGGCGCGCGAGCACGAGAGCGACTGCAAGCCTAAGCCTACCAAGAGTGCGTAGATTGATTACGTTGCGAAACCTTCGCTCGGGTTGAGGGTGTAGGGGAGGTGTGTGCAATGGCAGAGGCGTTGAGAGGAGCGGGTTTCGGTGTGTTTTCTTATACATATATACATACGTACTTGGAAGCGTTGGGGTTTCCGAGTAGAGAGGTGGCGTGTAGCAGTAGAGACGATGATGATGATGAGACGAGGTGACGAGATGCTGTAGAACAGAGAGTCAGTCAGCACGTACATACATACACAGAATGAGAAACAACAGTCTTGGGGCGCCATGGAGAGAGAGAGATGCCTGCCGCTGTCACACCGTGAAGCTGTACCCTGTCACAGCAGGCTTCCTCGCCCATCACTCGAGACGTAACCAATCTTCACAACATCCACTTGCCATCACCCAATCCACAACATGCACGCACGCTCACGGCTCGCTCCTTGACTAGCATCACATTCCATGCTAGCAGTAGTAGAAACCCAACCCCCCACAGAGGAGATAGTTACAGAAGCAAGAACCCTGAAGTGCAACCCTCGTCCGCTCGTTCCAAAACGAACAAGAAAAGAAACCGGAAAAAGACCAAGCCCATTTCGCGCAAACCAAATCCCATCCCCGCAATCCCTTGACTTTTCTTTGAAAAAAACAACTCCAAACACCACAAGAATGAAAAGTATCCACCATCCTGGAGGCTCGCAAGCGCAGAAACCAGAAAAAGATCCGTCCTGATGGTCGTTTGGTTTTTGTTTTGTTGTTAATCCACCCGCAACACCAAAAACAAACTGTCCACCCAAATTTCTCTCTCTCTCTCTCTGTCCTCCACTCCCCAACAGTCAAACGGAGCTTCTGCTGGTACGGCGGCGGCGGCGATGCGGCCTCTCCGGTGAGTTCCCCAAGAGGGGTCGAAAATTAACTGAAACAAGTCAAGGGGGGGAAAGGGGCACACGATCCGGTGTGCTGTAGACGCGCAACGATCTGGCGAGACCTAGACGAACAGAGACCAAGGCCGCGCAAAACAACACCAAGAAAAGAACCGCCTTTGCAAGAACGTCAATGTCAACCAAACGCCTACGCCAGTGCCGAATCCAAGAAGACTTGGAGCTGAGTGCACTCCTGTCCCATGTCGGGGGCGTTTCCCACCCAGGTCGGAAGAGACGTTGAAACAGACAAAAGAACTCGGAGCGCGAGTCGGGGGGTGCGGGGACTCACATCTGTAGCTGTCTTTTTTCTTTCGTGTTTGTGGCGGATTTGTGCTCTCTTCGAAAAAATTGTCTAGGCGCGGCGGCCGTGGCGGCCCAGGTGCTGAAGGGGAATGTCGCGGCCCATGCTGGAGCACAGGCTGACGGAGGGGGATCGTGGGACGAGGCTCTGCTCCTGTTCGGAAACGGGAACGACGGCGAGGTAGTCCTCGAAGAGGACGAGGCGGGCCGAGAAGCCCAGCTCGCCATAGAGGCCGGAGCCGCGCTCGGGGAACGAGTTGATGCGTTGAAGGCGGCCTTTTTGAAAACAAAGGAGAAGAAGGAAACAAAAGTCAGCGCGAGAGCAAAGTACAGATCATGTCTTGTGCGGCCGAGGGTGCGGGTTCTTGCAACGTTCCTGTCTCGAGGGGAAGGAGGAGGTGCTTTAGCAGATGTGGTAAGGCACACCTGAACCATGATGGGCGAGCCAGTGACCAGCCGGGTCCTTCTAGGCCGGCTTGGTCTGACCCAGGATGTTCAGCATGGCGATGAGCTCCGTGGTGTCGAGCTCTTCAGTGGCTTCTCCCTTGGGGCCGTACTGGATGCTGGCGGTGTGGAACCAGAGGGCGTTTTCCTCGTAAACAGCGAGCTGCTCAGCCGCTTTCTTGAGACCACCCTTGCGAACGCCACCTCCAGCAATGATCTGGAGCTTTTCTCCAACGCGACGGCAGATGTTGTCGATCTTATCGGTGTTGTCCTGGTAGAGACAGCCGCCGACGCGGTCGCCCGCGGTGAGAAGACACTGGAATCCGAGATCAATGAGCTTCTCCGCCTGGCGAACGGCGTAGGGAGTCGCAGCGATGGGGTCAAAAGCGCGGTGAAAGACGCTGCCGAAGGGCTTGGCAGTCTCGACGAGGGCCTTGCAGATGGTCTCGTCGACTTCGGTGCGGCGAACGCCGTCCATCTGAGGGTCAATGTTGTCGAACTCTTGAATGGCGCCAAAGACAAAACGGTCGCCATCGGCGGCGCTCATGAGGCCGCTGCTCTTGAACTTGCAGATGGAAATGATCATCTCGGCGAGCTCCTTGGCCGAGTAAATGAAGTCGGGCTTTCCTCCGCCAGGCGGACCACGGGGGCGGATCATAACGTGAACCGGGATCGTGAGCTTGCGAGGGTGGGCACGAAGCTTCTTGAGCTCCTCGAGGGCGGGGGTGAGGCCGCCTTCGTCATACGAACCGCGAGCGTTGAGCTCGATGCGGGAGGCTCCGAGGGTCTGAGCCTTGAGGGCGGTCTCGGCCGAGAAGGCAGCCACCTCGAGGTGGACCTTGCGGACGGTGAGAACCATTGCGAAGCAGGATTTCTGTTCTGACTTTGGAAAAGCTGCGGCGAATGAGTCTCAGTGGTTGCAAACGTTTGCTGGGAGTCTGAGGTAGGCCTCGGGGCAAAGGTGCTATGCCGGGAAGGTGTAGATAGGGGTACGGGCGATGTGCTGACGCACGGTCTTGCAGGGTATCGAGCGTGTCGCGAGAAGGGATTGGAGATGCTCGTTGAGCGAACGCGTCGGGGGCACAGGTGTTTGGGTCGATGGTGGTGTAAAGGAGGAGAAAAATCTGAACAGACGGGCGGGCTGTTCGAGGTATTTGTACGGGACCCGGATCAGTAGATCTGAACGCGTGTGCGTTTCCTAGGTGACGCGAAGCAGTGAGCAGAGCTGTTCAGTCCATGGTGCCCGGTAACCGCGGCCAGACTGGTCGAGACGTGAGGGGAGCGTGCGAACAGCACTGCCATAAAGGGGGATCTCCTAGGCGACGCCGCATCATTGTCGAGATTGATGGAAAACTGACCTGGAGATGCGAACTTCGAGGACTCGAAAAGTCGTCGATATTCCAAACAGCCCTCCGACCAAGCTTGATGCGTTGCCAATGGGGAAGTGAGACTATAGCCCAAGCTGTGGTGATCTTGACCCTTGGATGTCGTCCAAGTGTCGAGTCGGCTGATAGTGCGCCGGTGAGAGCTGTCAACTTCGGCCGCGGGGTCGTGGCGGGGTCCTTACACCCTCTGGGCCCAAGAGCGGGTCTTCAACAGCTGTTCAGATGGGCCTGGTGGGCCTGCCAGCTGCGAAGGCAACACTCGACGGGATCGGGAGCTGTTCAGAGGGCGGTGACGGTCCAGGGCAGTGGAGTGTAGCGCTGACATGGAGAGCTGGGCCTGGTTGCCCGGCTGTCGAGCCCAGCAATGGGCAACGAGTCCGAACGGTAGCAATCAGCCGGCCAGGACCGCAGCCTAGTGCGCCGAGTGTGTGCGGGCCAGAGGTTGGAGACGGATTTCTATGAGGTGTAAACAAACGCTGGTGAGGATGGAACCACAGCTGCCAGTCGGACGTGAAGTTGGACGTTCCAAACACCGTGCGTTAGAGGTTCGATACTGTAAAGAACCAAACGGAGTTCTACTCTCTACCGCATAATAGATTGCAACGACTCCGTGCGAATTGAGGTGCTGGAATGCGCCGCACCGTACGCCACATTGCAGTGCAGACCCCGCCGTGAGGGTGCGGTCAACGGCCTGGGCACAACGTCCTGGTGGGACGCTGCATTTTACCTTTGCCTTACCTACCCAAGGTTAGAGCTGCAGCGTGCACCAGCATCGGCCGCTGCCGTCCCGCCGCATCAGCCCCTGATGAGAATCTATTCCGTCATGCGCCCCATCTCGTCAGAGCACGCTGGAACCATCCATCCGCCACTCGACGGCATGGAACGCACGGCCCAATCCTAGGGACCAAACCCCCCGGACCTCAGCTGTGTGGCGGTCGAGCGGGAACCTGCGCCGCCGCCGCCCCCAAGGGCTGCCCAAACAGGCACTGGGAGGGGTCCCAAGTCGCCAAGGGCCCCTCTAAAAAGTCACCACAGAGCTGCGAAAAAAACAGGGGTCCTACTGGATCCAATGACATCAACCCCACCAAAAAGTGCCGCAGGGAAATAATTTTCCTTCGCTCTTCCAGGCTGCCCCAGCTCTCGCAAGCTCCCTTGCCGCTGCCGTAGCACACTGAGCAGGGAAAAAATAGGGTACCTGTTCTGTAGATCCTGGGCGATAGCGACTGGCCGCCTACCCTCTAGCAAATTTTACTGGGGCGCCGGGAAAATTCTTTGTTTGTTTTTGGGCACGTAGCGGCTGTCAAGCTCAAGTGGCGCGGGCATCATCACTTATAAAGATCTTCCCCGTCCGTCTCCCGCCAACTTCTCCCCCTCACACCTCACACCGCAAACTCGCACAAGCACCCTCTCACCTCACACCCACGATCATTCACGAAACCGCAATCATGTCGGCCAAGGACCTGGACATTTCCGTCTCGTACGAGCAGCTCGAGGACCTCGAGGAGGATTTCGAGGATGTTGAGCTGGAGCTGCGTAAGTAGAGCACCTTTTCCCCGGGGCATCGCGCATCTGCGAAGCCACATGCTCGATCCCTGCGGGTGGCGTATCATCAAGACGGCTCACAGCTGACACAATCTCCAGTGCGCCAGCAGGCCAAGCTGTCCAAGGACCTCTACGCCAAGCGCGAGAAGATTGTGGCGCAGATCCCCAACTTCTGGCCCCTCGTTTTCGAGCAGTCGCCGCCCGAGATTGACGAGTACATCCAGCCCACCGACTCGGCGCTCCTGATGGGCGCCCTCAAGTCGCTGTCGGTCGAGCGCTTCGAGCTGCCCGAGGGCGACCCCCGCAGCCTCGCCATCACGTTTGAGTTTTCCGAGAACGACCACTTCGAGAACACGAAGCTGGAGAAGAAGTTTTGGTGGCGCGAGTCCAAGGACGGCTGGGCCGGCCTCGTCTCGGAGCCCGTCGACATCAAGTGGAAGTCGGCCGACAAGGACCTGACGGGCGGCGCGCTGGCGCTGGTCAAGCAGATCTACGAGGACGACAAGGCCGGCAAGGCGCAGGAGGAGACCGAGTCCAAGAAGAAGCTGCGCGAGCTGCTCGAGAACACGGGCATCGGCGGCGCCAGCTTCTTCTCCTTCTTCGGCTTCCGCGGCCGCTACGTCACGGCCGAGGAGAGCCGCGAGGCTACCAAGGCGTCCCAGGAGAAGCGCAAGGCGCGCAAGGAGGGCAAGGAGGTCGAGGTCAAGGAGGACGAGGACGAGGACGAGGAGGATGACGACGACGAGTACGAATTGGAGATCTTCCCCACGGCCGACGACCTGGCGGTGTGCATCGCCGAGGACCTGTGGCCGGGCGCCATCAAGTACTTCAGTGAGTTCTTCTCCGAACAATGCGATAGCTGCGGCGGAACGGAACACGGCGAGGAGGACCAGTGGGAGGACGAGGATGACGAGTAGACCCATGGCCACAGATAGAGAGAGAAGAGCTGCGCCGCTAACGCCCGCCCGCACAGTCCAAGCGCAGGAGCAGGACGCCCTGAGCGACATGGACTTTGAGTCCGACGACGATGAGGAGATGGAGGAGGCTGACAATGGCGACGAGAAGCCCCCGCAGAAGAAGCGCAAGGCTTAGGCTGCCGGAGCTCAGGGGGAGGAGGATGTCTACGGAGGTGGGCGTCGGCGGACTTGCTGCGCCGGCGCAAGGGCTTTGAAGAGGGCAAGGCGCGCGCTCGGTGATTGAGCCACGGGGCTTGGGATTGACGCTGGTTTAACTTGGGTTCTTTTGTCGGCGATTGGTGATGACGGCGTGATGAGAGCATGTACCGACATCCGGACATGGGAAAAAGTTTATGAATGCAGACTTGATTATAGTTCCGACGGGTCGATACTCGCTGCGTGGTGACTTTGCTTCTGCCTGTGCCGTTTGTGGTGACTGCCGTTGATGGCGCAGACTGTAGGACGTATGTATGCCGTCGCGTCTGTTGGGCTGATGTCACATCGGCAAACGTTTGTACTACAGGCCCGTGCGCGCCGATGAAGATGTTCCATCTGGTGAGCAAGTGCCGGGCCGCCGACAACGACTACCTACGAGTGTTGGCGGCTGTCGTGCATGCCTGTGCCTGTTCTGCGCTGCATGACACTGGCTGTGATGTGACGCCCACTGCATACTGTGCATAGGCACCCATCTCATCACCTCCAATTTCATGGTCCATATTATGTATACTTCCGCACCTTTTGATGACCATCTCCAGACCTCGTCGGCACTCCGAGCAGCCTCTCACGGAAAGACGTCGGTAGTACGAAGGCAGCAGCGCGACCACGGGTCTTGTCTTGCAGTCGTTGTCGCCACAGCCCATCCATCCATTGGCGCCCGTGCCTCCCGAGACCACCCATCTCATCTCATGCAGGGGCGGAGAGCATTCCCATTATCAATCGCCGGCTCTCGCGTGCCCCCTCCCGCCACGTCGTACGGCCGAGAACGGCTCAGAGACATCAATGGACGGAACGACGGGCCTTCGTGTCGTTGAGGTCCGTTAGTACTCATCATCTGATAGAGGTACTGCGGCAATGGGCTCGCTGGCTTGCACCACATCTGGCTAGTAGCGGGCTGGCATCGCGCGCGGCACGGAAGCACTGCGTATGTGATGTCACCCGCCCGCAAATCTGGGGTAGCAAAGGAAGCTGGGGGGCCACCGAAAGCTTGTCCCCCTCGCCCCTCGCCCCTCGGCCCCCGGCCGACCAATGTCGTGGCGCCGCTTTGCAATCGTATTCTGCGGGTATGTTCCAGGACGCACTCTCTCGGACATCCGAAGCTTTGCGACGACGAACGAGAGTCTCACTCACTCGTTCATTCAGTCCCCGCGGGCTGCGCGACATTTGTCAGCGCTACGCTGCAGCTTCGCTGTCGCGCCCTGACGCAGAGTTGCATCTGCTTTCGTGTCCTTTTCCCTTCTTGAGTTGCCGGGAAAGAGCAGTAAACGGTGGCAGTACGTGCGTCCGTCCACAAGATCAAGCAAGTGAGGGTAGCGCGTGAGAGTCGGGCCGCACCAAAAGCTATAAAGAGGGCACTCGTCGATGGCGTCTCGGCTCGCTCGAACGTGCGGAGACAGGCCTGCAAGCGGACACCATCATCGTCGACAACACCAGCACCACCGCCGTTCAGTCATCTATATCCCATGCGACAGTTTGCGCGGTCGACACTGCCAACCGCGCATAGACACCTGACACTGAAGCAACACCCGAGAACCTACTCCATCCGCACCGACATCCTCGCCAGCATGGCCACCGCGTACCAGATCCAGGTCCCCGCGCGGGACACGGGCCTGTGGAAGTCAGAGCAGACCCAGGAAGCGGCGGACAAGGTCACCGAGTTGCTGCAGAGGGACCTCGAGGTGCGTACGAGTCGGGGCGCGTGAAGAGGCAGCAATTGCTGGAGGGAACGTTGGAACTGACAAGAGCTGCTGTAGCATCACCACGTCTTCTTCAACGCGTCGGGCTTCCATAACCATGTACGCAGAACCTACACATATCGAACCTCAGAAGAAGCACCAGCGGGACAGACACGGGGATGATGGACTGACTGACTGACTGACCCCCGGCAGATCCTCCACCAGCTCCTCACCCTCTACAGCACCGGCGGCTCGCCCTCCGTCCTGCAAGCCGCCTACGACAAGAACAAGACCTACCAGATCAAGGCCATGGACCCGCACCCGACCGCCCTCGCCGACCTGCAGTCCGACTGGGACGCCCACGCGCACAAGTACCTCGGCAAGGGCCGCCACTACCCCGACTTCCTCAAGTTCTTCCAGGGCGAGATCGCCCGCCGCGGCGGCGCCTGGCAGCCCGTCGTGGCCGACTTCCTCTTCGCGGACACGCCCCGCGCCACCGACATGCTGGGCCGCCTGTTCGCGGGCTTCCTGCACCCCATGATCCAGCTCATGTACGGCATCGAGTGGGAGCAGCCCGCCGTCGTCGCGGAGGGCTTGGCCCAGGCGGCTGTGCATGAGGACCGGCTGGGCGCGTTTCTACGGCGCGTCGATGAGGTGGCTGCTGCGAAGGGCGAGCCTGCGCCGCCGGCGGGTGAGCAGCGCTCTGTGGCGGAGATTTGTGAAAAGGTGCGCCGGGAGGATCCGAAGCTGGCGACGAGTGCGCATTGGGAGGATCCGAATAGGATTTATGATGGTGTTATGAAGCGGGCTCCGGATGAGGCCGTGGCGCTGCTGGCGCAGATACGTGTGCGGCCGGAGGACATTGAGGAGCGCACCGTCGAGATGATTCACACGGCTGCGTACATCGCCGCGGGAGCGTCCTGGAACCCGCCGTACATTCCCAAGTTTGACTTTTTCCTCATGTAAGTGGCCCCCCTCCTCTGCTCTTCTCATCTCTTCTCATCCCCCCCCCCCCTCCTCCCACCTGCGCCCGTCGTGATACATACATAGTCTCGTCTCGTCACTCCTTTCCCTTGACTGACAGGCCCAACCCCCAGCCACCACCTCACCTCCGCACCCTTCTTCCTCGCCCTCAACCGCCACGACTGGGTCCCCCAGGCCGCCCGCGTCCGCCTCCTCGAGTGGAAGCTGCGCGTTGACGCCGTCGAGTACCTCGCGCGGGGCAGCCCACCCCTGCGCCTCGCCGACGCCCTCGCGTCGTACACGCCCAAAGGCGAGACGGACAGCACGCTCGTGACGCAGGCGCGCGACCTGCTGCCGCGCTTCCACGCCGTCGTCGACGACGGCCACACCATCAAGGCGGCCCGCGCGCTGCTCCTCGCGCAGCAGGCGTCGCGCCCCTACGAGGGCAAGGGGAAGGCCTGGATGCGGATCGAGGGCGAGGAGGCGTGGACAAAGGTCATGTATATGCTGCTGAGGAGCGTGGAGGGCGAGGAGTATGAGTGGGTGCGCTCGGCGGGCTTTAAGGAGGCGTGGGAGGGCATGCCCAAGTATGAGTAAGGGGTCCCCCCGGAACGCGCGCATGCTACTGCATGAAGAACTCTCCCGGCCCATGGGGGAGGTGCTGGACACGTTTGGCTGAGTACGCGACAGGTTGGGCCGAGTTGCGAACGCGAAGCAGGGAAAGGGCTCTGTAGCACACATGTAACAACGGAAATGCATCATCTTTTGGGTATTTGCAGATTTTACATTGTTCTCTATATAATAACTCCGAGTCCCTTACTCTAACCCAATCCACTCGTCGTCGTCGTCCGACTCCCCGCCGGAGCCAGCGTTGCCGTTGGCACCAAAATCGATCATCGCCTCATCCGCTCGAGACTGGAGGAGCCCCTGCCCTGCAGCATCGCTCTTGGCGTCCTTGCCCGGCTGCGCCAGGAGGTAGTCCACCATGTAGACGTTCTCGTCGGCGAGCCTGCGGATCTCGTCGCGCATCTTGGCCACGGCGCGGGACACGACGCGCAGCTCGACGTCGACCTTGCCGCGGTTGGCCGTCAGCCAGGCGCCGTGCTTGTCGACGAGGGCCTTGATCCACAGCAGGCAAAACTCCATGTGCGGCGACTCCTCCGTCTGGGCGGCGACGAAGCGCAGCAGCCGCGACACGTACACGGTTGGCACGTCGGCCACCACGAGGGAAATGTCCGACGGCGGGACGGCGAGGAACACGCGCTTGATGAGGCTGGCTTCGTTGAGGCGGAAGGCCATGACCAGCGCCTTGAGGTAGTCGCGCTCCGTCTCGAGGACGTTGAGGGTGGACGCGGGAGTAATCTCCATGTTGAGATCGAACGGGTCAAACTGCAGCGTGGTGTCTAGGCTGTAGATGAGAAGACCCTCTGTGGAGGCAGCGCAAAAGGAGGAGCCGGAGGGAGAGAAGCCAATGCCCCTCACCCGAACTGCCGGCAGCTTCTTCCGGGCGGACGGGTCTCCGCGCTTTGAGCCAGGCAGCGTGTTGTCGATACGGTCCTCGCGATCAGAAGCCTCACCCTGGTCGTCCAGCTCGTCCATGGGCCCGGCTTCCGTCAGCCTATTGCTGTTGAGAAACTCTTGCGTTCCCGACAGGGACAGGTTCACGCTGACGGTGAACTTCTTGAGCAGCACCATGGTCGTCACCGAGTACAGGCAAATGTACTTGCTGTTTCCACCGGCTAGCAGACAGCTCCCGTCCATGCTGTACCGGATCGAGTTGAAGCTCTTGGTGCCCGAGACGTTGGCTGCTGTCCTCCGGTCTGTGAACTTGCGGCCGCCAGATACGTCACGACGCCCGTCCAGCCCGGCCACTTGCTCCGCGTCGGCGAGCGACCAGAACGTGAGCTGCCCATCCAGTGTGGAGATGGCCAGCTGGAGTGAGTCGGGCCGCACAGCGATATCCAGGACATCCGCTTGCAGTTGCAGCGGCTCGCTCGTTTGAGTCCGGTTGAAGATGGACCAGATCCGCGCAGTGCGGTCCCAACTACCACTGATGAGCGAGTTGCCGTTGGGCGAGAATGCCAACGCGGACACGGGGCCCTCGTGCCCCGACAGCTGGTCCAGCAGCTGGCCGGTCTGGACAGACCAGATGTGGATGTCGAAGGAGTCCAACGAGCCCGCCGCCACAACCTCACCGCTCGGGTCAACGGACATGCAGGAGAATGATAGCCGCGTGGGCGCCGTGAATGTGCGAAAGTTTCGATAACGGATGAGATCCCACGCGCGTATCGAGCCGTCTAGACTGGCTGTGAAGAGCACGTTTCCTTTCTTGGCAAACTCGCAGGCCGTCACGCCGCTGGTGTGCTCTGTGAATGTGACGATGCAGAATCCGGACTCGATGTCCCAGACTTTGATCTTGCCATCATCGGCGGTGGTGATGATCCTTTGGCCGTCTGGCGCGTAAACAAGCGAGTTCATCGAGTCAAAATGGCCCTGCTGCTTGAGGATATAGGATTCGGACTGCCATTCCCACACAAGCAGCTGCCCGAGCTTCGAGGCGCCGAAAGCCAGCCACTCGCCGCTCTTGTTGATTGTGACAAAGTCAATGTCGTTTTGTGAGATGCTCAGCTTGTGAATGTTGTTAAAGTCGGGCATCTCGTACAGGCCGAAGATGCCGTTTGAGAAGCCAGCCACCAGGAGGTTCGACTCTGGGTGGAAGGCGGCGCACTTGACGTTGGCGCTTCCCTGCATGAAGTAGTGTTTCTGGACGATCCTCCACCGCATGTCGGATTCGTCGTCTTCATCGCGCATCTTGTCTCCGTCCTCGACGCGATTGATGGGCTTGGCGTAGCGCCATTCGAAGACGGCGCCATCCTTGCTCACGGTGTATATAGCCTCCTGATCCTCGGTAAACCAAGCGCCGACGACCGCTTGCTTATGTCCCGAGAGCACCGTCGGCACGAAGCCCTCCTCGGGGTGCAGGCTCCATATCCTTGCCGTCAGATCCCTAGAGGCTGTGAGGAAGAACCTAGAGTCGCTCGACCATTCAATGTGCCGTACTATGTCGAAGTGTCCAGTGTGCGTGTGGTGCCGGACGAAAGGAGCAAAGTCGAGCTCCCCGTCGGCGTTCGAGTCTGGTGTTGAGGGGACATGCCAGACCTCAATCTTGCGACCGAGTCCAACGGCAAAGTGCTTGCCCGAGGGGGAGAATGCGAGCGCCGTGACCTGCGATCGGAAAGAGAAGTGGTAGATGGCTATCCGGCGGGGGACGTTGGTGAGGATCGCATGGCCATCTTCGTCGACGGTGAGGAGGATGTTGCCGCGGGGTGTCAGACCGAGCCGAGAGATGTTCTTGCGATGCGCAAAGGGCAGCGTGTACGATTTGTTCCTGTTGCAATTTCCTGTCAGACAAGTGTGCCCTAGCAATGCGAGGCAACGCGTACTCGACCAGGTTGAAGACAGTCACCCGGTTGCCGACAGGCGAGAAGAGATGGGTGCCATCAGGGCTGAAGAGCAGGTTGCCCTGGCAGTAGACGGTGCCCAGCAAGTTCGAGAACTAGAGCGCCATGTCAGCGGGCGGAGTCGAGTCTGGAGATTGCGCAATTACGCCGTACCTTGAAGTCGGTCTTCATTGTCATCTGCTGGCCATGATACTCTGGCGGCGCCGGGGAGGGGACGGGCTGGATGCGATGCCAAAATTCTGGCCGAGATGCTTGCTTCTTGCTTATCGATAAGCGCAAGCCAGCGGAATTTTTTTGAGACAGCAAAAGAGAGCAAAATCGGGGCCTGTCTTCCTAGTCGTGGAGGGGTCGGCACATAATTAATCCTGAGCCAGGGCGCTACGCCGCTCTGGGTTAGGCGTCTGCGCACCGACCGCCTCCGCCCAAGCTCCCCTGTGCTCCCCAGGACGAGGAGGCACAGGCCGTGGTCGCGCAGCCCTGGCGGTGGTCTTCGACTTGGCGGGCGCCGTCAGGCACATCCGCAGGCCAGGCGCCGTCCACTGTTGGCAAAAAAGGGGATCCCCCTCCTGCCCCGTGTCCCGTCGCACTGGCCCACGCCCGGCCCCAGACCAGCCAACGAGGCAAGGGCAGCAAATTGGCGGCCACGGCCAAACCAGAGGCTCCCCCCTTTCGGATTGGCATGGTCCCATCTTCCCCTGAAGCACCCCGATTGCTCTCCAACGGTGCATCCACCACCACCTTCCAAGCTCCGAACCTCTACCATCACCAACCCGACCGCCTCATCAATTCGGCTCGCGAAGCGGCTCTAGGCGTCCCTCTGCAGTGTTTATTCGCAAGCACTGGGCTGGTCGATTTGCATCCCCTCCAACTCACTTCGTCCGTCCTCGCCCTCGCCCGACATGGCTCCCCCCGCTGCCGAGAGCGCCTCGCCGATTGGCATTGCCAATCTTCCCAACCAGCGACACAAGATTGTCGCCAAGCGTGGTGCCGGCTTCACCATCATGGTATGGAGAGCCTTTATGATTCGCTCTGCTCGGCAGTGGTTGTTCCTGGCCGGGCATCGTGTCCCAAACTCACCTCGCATGACCGGTTTCTGACTTGTGTTACCCACTAGGTTGCTGGCGAGTCTGGCCTGGGAAAGACGACCTTCATCAACACGCTCTTCTCGACGACGATCAAGAACTATGCCGACCATAAGAAGCGCCACCAGAAGCAGGTCGACAAGACGGTCGAGATCGAGATCACCAAGGCTGAGCTGGAGGAGAAGTTCTTCAAGGGTACACCCACCACCATGCCTCGTGTGCTGTGAACGCTCAGCTAACCACGATCCGTCTCTTCACGCAGTCCGCCTGACCGTCATCGACACTCCCGGATTCGGCGACTATGTCAACAACCGCGATTCTTGGATGCCCATCATCGAGTTCCTCGACGACCAGCACGAGTCGTACATGCTTCAGGAGCAGCAGCCCCGCCGCCAGGATAAGATCGACCTCCGCGTCCATGCCTGCCTGTACTTCATCCGCCCCACCGGCCACACCCTCAAGCCTCTTGACATTGAGGTCATGAAGAGGCTCTGCTCCCGCGTCAACCTGATCCCCGTCATCGCCAAGGCCGACACCCTCAGCCCTGCTGACCTGGCCAAGTTTAAGCAAAGGGTATGCTTATTGCTCGCGTCAGAGACGTGTGCCCACAGCTGCTAACCAATTTCAGATCATCTCCGTCATCGAGGCTCAGAACATCAAGATTTACCAGCCCCCGATTGAGGAGGATGACGAGGCTGCTGCTCAGCACGCCCGCAGCCTGATGGCCGCCATGCCTTTCGCCGTTATCGGCTCGGAGAAGGACGTCAAGACTGGCGACGGCCGCATCGTCAAGGGCCGCCAGTACTCGTGGGGCGTTGCCGAGGTCGAGAACGAGGACCACTGCGACTTCAAGAAGCTCCGCTCCATCCTGATCCGAACCCACATGCTCGACCTTATCCACACCACCGAGGAGCTTCACTATGAGGCGTACCGCGCCCAGCAGATGGAGACGCGCAAGTTTGGCGAGGCCCGCCCGAGAAAGCTGGACAACCCCAAGTTCAAGGAGGAGGAGGAGGCTCTGCGAAAACGCTTCACCGAGCAGGTTAAGATCGAGGAGCAGCGATTCCGGCAGTGGGAGCAGAAGCTCATCGCCGAGCGCGATCGCCTCAACAAGGATCTGGAGCAGACCCACGCCCAGATCAAGCAGCTGGAGGGCGAGCTGGAGGCGATGCAAGGCAGCGCCGTCCGCAGCCACGGCCGCCGCTAAGCTACGCACCGTCTCGTCGGCACGCCGTGTTAGAGTTGGACAGCCTGCCCTTGTGTCGCTTGCCAGCCGCTTCTGTTTTGGACCCGACAGGGTCCCCAAATACCACTATGGAGGATACATTACGGGTGCTCCCGCCAGCCGTTGCTGCGGCGCCGGATCGCCGTCCCTCTTGGCCGGCGGCCTCGGCAGCCCAGTGTGAGCCGTGGCTACAGAGCATGTCAGGCGTGCTTTCCTTGTTTTTGGGTCTTGCGATGCGAGTCGCCAGTCGGGCTGAAAAGTGAGGCTCTTCTCAGACATGCAGGGACGCGCGATGGAAAGCTTTTTGATCATGTAGCCTTATTTTATTTGTCACTTTACTCGAGCCCCTTTCTTCCCACACAGGTACCTTAAAGCCAATGTAATTGAGTCTGCACGTCTCGACGGTAAATGGATGTGAATAGCTGCGAATCGAGGAGATGCAGCCATGTATTGATGCCTCGTCAAGTGTACCGGCGACTACAGCGACTAGATTCATGATAATAGCAACCCAAAACTCCTCGCTGCACAGGAGGCAGTCGATATGTGAACAGCACCGCCGTGTCCCTCTCCCGCCTCAAAAAGATGATTCATATGCTCCCGTGCGCTAACGTAGACATGCTGCCCCCAATACTCACAAAGTCCCATATTCACGGACCCCACTTTGATACAAACACACACGCTCAGGGCACCACGGCCGGTCCGACAGGGAGGATCTCAGTCATACCGCGTCCATGCTAGCCCGGGTCGCGAGCTGCTCGTTCTTGTTGCCCAGCCTCGAGATTTGCAGGAAGGCGTCGACGCCATACCCCTCGAGGCTGTGCAGGTTGAGGCTGCCGGCCCAGTACTCGGCGTAGACGCGGCTCAGGGGCAGGCCCATGCCGAGGCGCAGGTTGGGCGGCCGGCTGGTGAGCGAGGCGAGGGAGCTGCTGTAGGTGGGGGTCTTGAGGTCGGCGCGGCCGAGCTCGTCCTCGACGTGGAGCTCTTGCATGGTGGCAGCCATGCGGGGCACCTGGCCGAGGTTGTCGAGTCGCTTCTGGCTCTGGGGGCCCTTGCTGAACGACCACAGATAGGGGAGCTCTTCGCGGGGAATACCGCCTCCGCGGTCGGATATGCGGAAGATGACGTGCTCTTGGGCCTCGCAGATGGTGACCTCGATGGGCGGCGGCGGTGCCGGGTCGTTGGTCTTTTGGTGGCGCTCGATGACAGCCTCGACCGAGTTTCGCAGCAGCTCGCCAACAATGTACTCGATGTGGCTGAGGATGTAGGGGAAGCTGGCGTCGAGGTGGCCAACGACATGAATCTCGGGCACAGCGGCGTCGGGGCCGTTTGTTGATCGGGCGAGCGCCGTAACGGCTTTTGCGCAGCAGTCAATGACCTCCTTGGCAGAGCACTTGATGAAAATTTCACCGATAAAGTCTGACTCAGAGAGCTTGGCGCCGGGCGAGAAGTAAGGCGAGTTGAATGTTTCGGTGAGGGAGAGGTGTTGCTCGGCGATGACGCGACGGGAGATTCGCTGGGAATGTCAGTGGACGGCGCAAGGGTTGCCTTCTCGGAACCCGGCGACTCACCGATCTCAGAATCGTATTCATGAAATTGTCGAGATCCTTGGGGTCCATGAGGCCGCCGCACTCGAGTATCCCCATGGCCAGCTTGGGTATGACGGTCAGGTGGCCCTTGAGATTCTGCGCGATGATCTCGCAGAGGCGGTCGTTGTCCTCGAGGGTCTTGACCTCCTTGAGTTTGCGGAAACAGTCAAAGGCGTTGTAGTAGAGGTTGTAGACATCGTTTATGTGGGGGTTCGTTACGACGACGTAGGGGAGCTGCTGCATGTCGCGGAGGCGATGTGCTATCCTGTTGTGGCATCGTAAGTGTCCGTCTCGTGATACTACTCGACCGGCGCACAAGGAGAGCTCCTACCTGACAGGCAGCTCGGTGCGGACGTAGTTTGCGGAGCTGATGAGGCGCGACTCGGTCAGGGAGCGCCCAAAGACCATGAGCTGCCGCAAGCTAATCGGGCGAGCTTCTCGGGCGACCCATCTTGAACGACGTCAGTCTCGGACTCGTGGCACGGGCAGGGACGGCGATGTCGTGGCATACTCGTCGAGGACCGATACCGGCCGCCATGTGGTGTTGCTAGCTCTCCGACACTGCCGCGGGGCACGACGAGGCACGAGATAGATGGCATCGAGGGCAGCGGCCGGGACGGGCGACCCGGTCAATCTGCATCGTTTGCCGGAGCCGCGCAGCGCGATGGAGAACATCTCCGCGGTTCCATATAGAGAGAGGGCTGTTCGAGTTGGCGCTGTGACTCGACTCGCGTGTGTGGTGTGCCGGGGCCTGCCAGCCGGTGGGGGGCGCGCTCGCCAAAAACGAAGCAGCCGACGCTCTCTGACTGCCAATGCCGTGCAGAATATAAAAGGGCGCAGGCGAGGGACGGCGGAGAGGAGGGGATATGGCTCGTGAGAGAGGGGAAGTGCGCGGAGAGGGAAAGGGTTCTTGGTGAAGACGGAGGGATGGCATGCAGGATGGCTGCTGGGCTGGTCTGGTCTGGTCGCATGCAGCAAAGCTCCGACGCGGGCTTGCAGGTTTGCCTGGCTGCCCGCGCCAGGCGAGGGAGAGCTCCCCCCTGGAACCTTACTGGGCAGGGCTGCCTGGCTGCCCGCCTGGCTGCCCGCCTGGCGCAGTCAGGCCAGCACCCGAGCGGCGGGTCCCAAAGTCACCGTGCCTCCCGCGGCGGTGGCAAAGGTACATGCAGATCGACGCCTTACCCCACACCAGGGGCGGTATCGGCCCAGCCCTCGTCAGCCCAGAGTGCCCGTCACTGCAGCGGGACCCTGCACACCGGGAGGGCCCAGGCGCGGGTGAAGGGCGCGCCTCGGCGCACCTTCAGCGCACTTGCCGACGGGATGCCACCACTGAGAGGCGGCGGGAGGGAGCGCTGGAGACTTCTCCAGGTTCGCGGACGAGTCGCCTCGCTGGGGGGCCCCAAAAGCAGTTGACCTAGAGGATCCCCGAAGCAACCCTCCCCTCCCGGATAGTGTGACTCCGGACAGCATCCGCGGCTCCGGGCGTCGAGTCATAATAACAGGCTGTTCATGCCTGTGTTCCTTGATCAGGTCAGGTCATGTCAGGATGACTTGTCTCCCGCCGGCTGCATCAAGGAGCTGCACCAACGTCCAGCCTACGTTGGCGGCGGAGTGCCGGGATTTGGCACGTGCTTCTCCCGGCATACCTTCTACAACATCCCATCTCATCCACACATGCTCCGTACCTAGGTAGTCCGTACGCCCTGGTCCTGCCCGACATGCACAGGCAGGCCAGACCTGGAGGAACCACACCCATCGCCATGCAAGGAACTACACCCAAAGCCGGGCCTTGGTCGTACACGGTTCGGCGGCGAGCCAGGCCGGCGGTCACAGAGGTGACCACGTCAGCATAATTGACAGAGTCTATGGCCTACCTGCTTTGTAACTCAATAGACAGCACGGACAGGTGGCAGGCAAGTGGCGCGCAGGCGCTGGGTTTGATCGTGACGGGGAGTTTGCCTTTCGTGAGCAGTTTGACGAGACAGCTGGGAACTGGCCGTGTGATCAGTCACGCCTGGATTTGCCTCACAGCACGTCGTGCAGAAGGGCATCGTGACGGGGCGGCCAAGAAGCGGTTGTCCAATGGCACGAGCCGCATAACAGCTCCGGCATACCTTGTGTGTACGGGAGCATTACCTTTTCCAGGCACACGCCATGGCAGCTAGAGACTGCTGTCGTTGTTGTTCCGTACATTAGACGCAGGTCTGTGCTTTGGGGTATCTGGATATCCCGGTTTTGTCGAGGGATGAACCATACATGCTGCAGTAGCTCAGCTGGTTTCCTCCAAGTGAGCAGCAGGTGGAGCGTTTTGACTGCCAGCAATGCAGCAAGAAGGCAAGGCAAGGTATCGAACACCGCGCAAGTGCCTGATGCCATGCATGTGTGTGTCGGTCTCCAATGTACGCAGGCCCGCCGTGCGAGCGTCTGCACGCACTCTGTGCAGCTGCGTGCGATCAGTTGTCGGCGACTTGACGTACCTTACCTACAAAGCCGACACCACACCTCGATTCCTCAAGTGCGCCGTGTTCTTCGCCAAACAGCGTTTTCCTCACTTCCACAAATGCAGGCGGCGGCAGCAGGTTTGTCACAAGCTCGCTCACACCCGGAGCAAAACGTCATTTAGTGGCGGGGCACACGAGGTCCTCCCGCTGGTGCGGCGGTCGACTTGATGCTGTTAGCGGTGGCGTCGGCAGCTGCGTGCTGCGCGTTAGCCGCGACGGGCAGCCTCCCGCAAGCCGCCGCCGGCCGCGAGGTCCTCGACTAACACGCGCAACGTCTGGGCGTGAGCCCCACGCCAGGTCCAGCTAATGGCACAGAGGTAGGTCCATCGGGACCAATACAGCGCACGCCAGGCTGCGTCGAGGCGAGGCCCGCTACCTACCTAGCTTTTCTCCCCGCCGCGACTGCGGGCACCGAACGCCGCGTATCATCGAGCTCGACTGTCTGACCTTGGACGCCGCCTCTGCCACCTCGCCTTCCGCCATCCCGTCCGTCACCTTGCCCGTCGACATCCCCCTTCACCAACACCGGCTGCGAGGCCGGCAACGGAAACCGACGTCCCTTGCTCCGCACTCTGCGGCGTGTTCCCATTGGCAGCCGCTTCACGCTCGCATCGCCCACGCCAGCGCTGCAGCCTCGTCGTCCGCCGGCATCACCACCACGCGAGCCACGGCCTAGCCAAGGAAGAGCCGGCATCTGCCTGTGTAATTCTCTGCCGCCCCGCGAGCATCCCCGCGAGCACTTGCGCTGCTTGGTTGCTTGCCTGCCTGCTTGCTTGCTTCCTCCCTTGCTTGCTTGTTTGGCTCGTCCTGTCTTGTCAGCTGGCACGGCTTGCTCGAACGGCCCCATTCCTCACCTCGACCTCGTCAGCCGGCCGGCGCCTTCGTCCTGCCTCTGTCCCGCCGCATCACCATCACCACACCACCGCCACCTCCACCACGGCCGTCACTGCCGTCTCGATTCGCACGGCGCGCCGCCAGAGGTCCCTGACTGCGACCATCCCCAGGCGCTGTTCGCAGCAATCCCCGCCTGAGGCGCCCGCGACCACCTCTCCTGCCGACGCATCTTGGTGGACATCCTGTGCCACCAGCCGGCCACCATGGTAAGCAAACCTCACACTTCTCTCGCCCCCGTGTGCTCCGTTGTTCCCTCCCGTCGTCGCCACATCTACACGGCCGCGCAGCTGGCTGTGTTTCCGCGTTCCACCAGCTGCTCTCTGCTGCGCCGTGCTTGGCGCCATAGCACTGCGTCTACAATGTGTGCGCCTTTGCCTTAATGCCCGTGCAAGATGCACATGCCCATCGTCGCGGCTGCGCTCTCCTTTGACTTTCTCTCCCTTTGCGCTCCAGTCTCCTTCCTGCCGGACCTGCTTCTACCCGTCCGCGCCTTCCTTACGGAGGCGTCTTCCTCTAGTCCGGTTGCCCGCTGCGTTGATTCATCACAGTACTCGTCTCCAACTCCCGCCCGACCCTTCGTTCTTTCACAGTCTCTTCCCCTTTGCTAGCTGTCGCCTTTGCGTTGCCCTCTGCTCTCAACCTCAACTTTCTTCTCTCCACGCCACCTTTGTTCGCCTTGTTTTGGCTGCGCCGCCTTCGCCATGGCCCCTGCCCTTCCCTGTTTACCGTTCCGATCTCGTGCTAACAGTGCCCCGCGCCGGCAGAGCTTCAACGTCGACTCTCCCAACGAGATGGTGGTGGACACGGACGAATACGTCGGCGATGTCTCCGAAAAGGACCCAGTTGCTATTATTAGCCCCGACGACAATGGCGAATCCGATCAACAGCTCCAGGACCTGCCCCTGGCAAACGACCGTATGACACTCCCATACCGATCTCGTTATACCGCCGCAGCTGATCCAGCTAACGCTATACTGCTAGACGAAGCAATGAAGGAGCTTGCTCTTCCGCCGTTATTAGACGAACCCAAGATTCTCGGCGACTTCGAGCACACTTGGACGGTTGAGAACTGGCGTGGTCTCGGCAAGAGGGAACATGGTCCCGTTTTCCACGCTGGAGGAAACCCTTGGTACGCAGACGAAGAGCACACCATTACTCTTGCCGGTTGACTCGCAGCTGACTTATTTGCGTTGAATTTTAGGCGCATTCTGCTGTTCCCACATGGTAACAACACCGATCAGTGCTCCATATACCTCGAACATGGCTTTGACACCAACGCCGTGCCCGAGGGCTGGAGCTGCTGCGTCCAGTTTGCTCTCGTGCTTTGGAACCCCAACGACCCTAGTCTCTACGTCCATCACGCGGCCCATCACCGATTCACCAAAGAGGAAGGCGACTGGGGTTTCACACGTTTCGTCGAGCATCGGCGAATGTTCAATGTCCCGTGGGAACATGGCAGCCGTCCACTGTGCGAAAACGATACTGCCAACATCACCGCATACCTGCGATTCGTCGAGGACGAGACCGGCGTCCTCTGGCACAACTTCGTCAACTACGACTCAAAGAAAGAGACGGGTTACGTCGGTCTCAAGAACCAGGGCGCCACGTGCTACCTCAACTCGCTTCTCCAGTCGTTATACTTTACCAATGCTTTCCGCAAGGTAGGTTTTAGGCCCACGACATGACCATTATCAGCACTGACATTTGTGTTGTAGGCTGTGTACGAGATCCCGACAGAAAACGAGCAAAGCATGCAGAACTCTGCGTATACTCTCCAGCGACTATTTTACCAGCTTCAGACCTCCGAACAGGCCGTCGGCACCAATGAGCTGACTAAGTCCTTTGGCTGGGAGACTCGGCACATCTTCGAACAGCAAGATGTCCAAGAACTCTCGCGCAAGCTCATGGAGCGCATGGAGGAGAAGATGAAAGGCACCAAGGCGGAGAACGTCCTGTCGCAAATGTTCAGCGGCAAGATCAAGACGTACATTTCTTGCATCAACGTGGACTACGAATCGAGCCGTATTGAGGACTTTTGGGACATTCAGCTCAACGTCAGCGGAAACAGGGATCTGCGCGACAGCTTATTGGACTACGTTCAGGTCGAAAAGATGGACGGCGAGAACCAGTACTTTGCCGGCGACCAGTTCAAGCTGCAGGACGCCAACAAGGGCGTCATCTTCACCAGCTTCCCCGATGTCCTTCACTTGCAGCTCAAGCGCTTCGAGTATGACATCCAGCGGGATATGATGATGAAGATCAACGACCGATACGAGTTTCCCGACGTCTTTGACGCTGCCCCTTACCTCACGGATGATGCCGATAGGTCAGAGGCTTGGACATACCAGCTTCACGGTGTCCTCGTCCACAGTGGTGACTTGAACGCCGGGCACTACTACGCGTTTATCAAACCGGAAAAGGATGGCTGGTTTTACAAGTACGATGACGACAAGGTCACGAGAGCGACGATGAGGGAGGTCATGGAAGAAAACTTTGGCGGCGAATACCGGACGCCCAATGGGTATCCCCGCGCACCTCTACAGAAGAAGGCTCCCATCATGCGCCAGAACAGCGCGTACATGTTGGTGTACATTCGCCAGACGAGAGTGGACAAGATCCTCTGCCCCGTCACCAAGGATGATATTCCCCGTCACCTGCGTAAGTGGTACCCCGCTGTACGTTGGGTTCTCGCTAACGCGCCAGGTTAGAGGAGCGGTTCGACGAAGAGAATGCACTGAGAGAAGCTCGTCGACGCGAACAGCGAGAGGCACACTTGTACATGATGGCCAAGGTCATCACTGACGAGACATTCCGTCACTACGGAAGCACGGACCTCTGCGTGTTCGACGCCAATCCTGAAGTCGACCCCTCAGCGCCACGTTCTTACCGTATCCGCCGCGCCATGACGATGGAAGAGTTTACCAACCAGGTTGCCGAGGACATCGGGCAGGATCCGCGCAAAGTCCGGCTATGGCTCATGGTCAATAGGCAAAACAAGACAATCCGTCCAGACCAGCCCATTATGGATCTGCGGCCAACGGTTGAAGAGGTCTACAATCGCTCAGCCGCCCATCGCGACACGAGCCTGCGGGTCTGGGCTGAGGTTGCCGAGGAACTGAACGCCGATGGTGAGCCCATCTGGCCGTCGTACCAGAGCCAAACCAACGGAGTCGTTATCAAGAACGACACGATCCTGCTGTTGCTCAAGTACTTTGACAGCGCAGAGCAAACACTCAAGGGTGTCGGTCACGTCTACATCGGCAAGGAGAGAAAGGTGGAGGAACTCGTCCCTCTGATCCTGCAGAAGATGGGCTGGGGAGAGAAGCTACCGGCTGACGAGAAGCTTCTGCTATGGGAGGTAGGTGTCGGCCCTGCCCATCATTGCGCTTAGATATGGCTAACAAGGAATGACAGGAAATCAAACCGACGATGATCGAACCTTTGAAGCCCAAGCAGTCTCTCAAGGCTGCCGAACTTCAAGATGGCGACATCATTTGCTTCCAGCGGACGTCTGAGAAGGCAGATGCTGATTCTACAAAGTCTCTGCAAGAACCGTACGCAGTCATGAGCTCGTTGTCGTAGTGTCTACCTGAGCTAACGCCGTACCAGGCTGCGCACCAACGAGTACTTTGAGGATGCGCGAGAGTACTACGACTTTCTGGAGCACAGGAGGACGGTTAGGTTCCATCCTCACCCCACCAGATGCGATCAGGACCAGTATCCTCCGTTTGACCTAGTTCTCAACGCCAAGATCAACTACGACACCTTGTCAGAGCGTGTCGGTAGCTACCTTTCGGTCCCTGCTACGCACATCCGCTTGTGGACTGTCAACGCCACGACGAACAACCCCAAGGCTCCTGTGAGACGCGGGACCAACCCGAGTCTGCGGCAGATCCTGAATCCGATGGGCTCCAACACCCTCAGCTCGACCCAGCGGAACGACGCTTTCTACTTTGAGGTTTTGGAGATGAGCCTGGCAGAACTGGACACCAAGAAGAGCGTGAAGCTCACCTGGCTCAGCGAAGGCATAACCAAAGAGGCAAGTGATGCCGAGTGACGCGCCACAATTCGTATGCTAACTCTGCGCCAGGATCACTTTGACCTTTTGGTTCCCAAGACGGGCACCGTCGAGGATGTGGTTCAGGCCCTCATCAAGAAGGCGCAGATCCCTGACGAAGCCGAAGGCGGGCCGATTCGGATCTATGAGGCCAGCACAAATCGGTTCTATCGGGAGCCATCGAGAGACAGCTCCGTCTCAAACCTGAACGACTACACCCAAATCTATGCGGAGCGTGTCCCCGCGGACGAGGTGGGCGTCGATGAGAACCAGTTCATCCACGTCTTCCACTTCCAGAACGAGGTCAACCGGTCTCATGGCATCCCGTTCAAGTTTCTGCTCAAAGAAGGCGAGACCTTTGCTGATACCAAGAAACGTCTGGAGAAGCGGACTGGGCTCAAGGGCAAGAGCTTTGAGAAGATCAAGTTTGCCATTGTGCGACGGTCAAATTACTCCAAACCCGCTTATGTCAATGATGGTGAGCAGCGCCGTCTATACCCAGTCACCGAGTCGCAGAAGGCTAACGTATATATGATAGACGACGAGCTTTACGGCAACGTATCGCCCGAGGACGACTTCTTGGGCCTGGACCACGCGGATAGAACAAGATCACTGCGTAACGGCGTTGGGGACTTGTTCCTTCGTTAGCTCATGCAAATGGACCGGGCAGACGGGCAACGTCAGCCGGCCACGGGGCGACCCGCCTGGATGATATCGGCGTCTGGCTGGTGCTGGAGTCTTTTGCAGCGGCATATGGGTCGTGTTTCTGCATGAAGGAAGGGCGGCGCCCGCCAGGCTCACGCCCGGCCGCGGGTTAGATTCGTGGCCGACGGCGACGACGCAGTGTGTGCAGCAAGCTCTGGAAGCCGCCGGGAACTGGACACGGCCGGGATGTAAGCTTGTTGGTATAGAAGTACATTCTTTCTACGTGCCTTGCCGAGAGTCGCTACGGCAGCCGCAAAAGAGGAGTCAGTAAATGCAAAAGCGCGCGTTCGCAATAAGGGAATGTGTAGAAGGGGTGTCGCTACTCTTAGTCTGTAGAGTTACGACACATACGCCAGCCTTGGGTAGGCAGCGGCAAGACAATCAATGCGAGGTACCCTTCAGCCTGTGGCGGGAATGGACCTGTCGCCTCTGAATGTAAAGCTGAAAGGGGCTTTCCATGATTTGATATCTAATGTCAACGCTACTTTTCGTGGTTCTCCCGCCCTCTATGTGATTATGATCTTGCAAGCATTTTCCGAGGAATCATTTCATAAGCCCTCTCGCAGGGGACCAAAGATTACTGATGGTTCTCGCGTCGATACTTGGCGAGGGGCCCGCGCTCAATCTCCTCGACGGAGAGGTGCGCGCCGGCCGAGCGCAGCAGCTGTGCGCAGGCCTCCTTGCCGGACAGGGTGGCAAGGAAGAGCGGCGAGTTGTCGGCGCGGTTGCGCTCGTGGACGCTGGCGCCGCGCTTGAGCAGCTCGAGCATGATCTCGGTGCTGCCAGAGACGGCGGCGAGGTGGACGGCCGTGTTCCCGGCGTAGTCGGCCGTCTTGAGGAGCTGGCTGCCCTCGCCCTCGAGCAGCTGCTTGACGATGCCGACCTCCTCGTTTTGGATGGCGTAGCCGAGCGCGGCGAAGGCAGACTCCTGCGGCGTGAGCTTGGTAACGGCGGAGACGTCGAGCGGTGCCAGGGGGTGGGAGAAGGTCGGGTGAGCAATCTCCGTCATCTCGCCGCGCAAGGACTGGGAGAAGCGCTTGGCGATGTCCTCGTTGGAGAGGCCGGGGAGGGCGAGCAGGTGGGAAAGCTTCGCGAGGGCGGCCTCGGCGGTGAGGTCGAGGCCGAAAATGACGCCGACGCGGCCGAGCTGGGTGCCGGGGGCGTAGACGGGCGAGACGAAGCCGTTGACGCACTGGCTGACGTTGACGACGATGACTCCGCGCTCGACGGCAGCCTTGATGACCTGAGTGAGGCGGCCGTCGACACCCCCGGGCACGTTGCCCATGCCAAACGTCTCGAGGATGAGTCCGCGAAGATCGGGCAGGTGAAGGACGGCGTCGACCATCTCGGGCTTGATGCCGGGGAAGATGCGCAGACAGGCGACATGGGTGGTGTCAAGGTGGCGGTTGACGGAGAAGCCGGCGATGCTGGTGGGTCGGAGAACGAGAGACCAGTTTACGCTGATGCCGAGCCCGTTGACGTTTGCGAGGGGCTCGCAGTTCGGGCTGGCAAAGGCCTCGAAGGAGGCGGCGGAGACCTTTGTGGTGCGGTTGCCGCGGTAGAGCTTCTGGTGGAAGTAGAGGCCGACCTCGGGGATGACAAAGGTTCCGGCGATGACGAGGGAGCCGAGGAGGTTATCGACGGCGTCGCTCTGGAGGGCGAAGATGGGGGCTTGGGAGCCAGTAAGGATGACGGGCTTGCCGAGGTTGGAGAACATGAAGGAGAGGGCGGAGGCGGTGTAAGCTAGGGAGTCGGTGCCGTGGAGGATGACGAAGCCGTCAAAGAGGTGGTAGTTCTCCTGGACGGCCGAGGCCATGTTGGCCCAGTCGCCGGCGGAGATGGACGAGGAGTCGAGGAGGGGGTCAAACTCCAGGATGCCGTAGCGGATGTGGCGCTGGTGCGCCGTGGGCGGCGTGCGGAGAGAGTCGATGGAGATGAGCTCTCCTTGTTTGTACGCCTGAAGCTTGACTGGATATCCATGATTAGTGAGTTGCAACGGGTGCGGTTGGCGTGGTGTTGAGTGCAGGGCCAAGTCTGGTAAGGGTTCGAAACTCACTCTGGGGCGCAGACATGTCGTTGAACGTCGGCCGCGGGGCCATGGCGCTCTCGAGGAAGCCGCCGCTCGGGGCGAGGCCGTCGGGGCCATCCTGCATGCATATGGTGCCTCCAGTGCCGATGATGAGGACACGGGACTCTGGGAGGCCGGCGTCCACCTCCGAGTGGCCGACCTGTGGGGGCACCATCGTTAATAACGTTTTGGGTATATCTCGTCGTTGCTGTGTGGTTTTATGGTGAAAGGGCGAGGCAGGCGGAAAATTCAAGGCACCATCGTGCGGACCCAGGTACAACGAGAGACGTTGGTGAGGTGAGATTGAGATGGGGAGAGTAAGTGTTGTTATCCGGCCGTCGACATCGGACGCCCATGATTGTAAGATATGGCAGCGGGCGGCTTATACCTGTAGACGGAAGGTGCGTGTACGTTTGGCGGGCAAGTGCCGGAAGGAGGGGCCGCGCCCGTGGGGCGTCGGCGCGCAAAGGCGAAAAAAATCCGCGACTTTTAGTCATAGGAACCGCGTGGCACCGCGCCATGGGCAATTCATTACCCCCAGGTTTTATATGAGAGGTGCGGCGGCCCAGGCGCGGCGATGTGCGGCCGCCGTGGATAATACGATACGGAGGAGGCATGGGGCAGCGCTCCGTGCCAACCGGGGGTCTGAGGTTCCCAGATGGACGTGCGTGCAGGCGTTCGTGTGTGCGTGCGTCCGCTGCAGGCAGAGTCGCATCCAGAAAGGCCCATCACTCACTTGCTCACTGGCAAGGGAAGCTTTACAGCCAGTAAGTTTAGTATCAAGTATTCGATCGAGTAAACCCGTACACCCAACCCCGTTCAAAGCTTGCCTGGTCTCATTTCCCCCAGCGCCATACACTCCACCACCAGGCTACCTGTCTCGACTTGCTTCCATGATAGTGAGCACAGCAACTAAAGCCCAAGGCACCTCAATAACACCAGTTGCGCAGTGCGCAAAGCAAAGGCACGTTGGCACGTACACGTACGTCATTGTGCGCCCGCGCTCGACTTGTCGATGGCCGCTCCGATCCCAGATGCGCAAATCCCTGGCATGCCCAAAAAAGCGACCAAAAAAGCCCACCCAACTGAGTCGTCCCCCGCCATCTGGCACCGTGCCTTTCCATCGCAGGGGCCACTGCAATGCAGCCGGGTGGTGCGCCCAAGCACGAGGTACAGTGTACAAGTCGGGCACCTGCTTCTCAGCCACACACTCGCAGCCACACAAAGTCACATTCATGTATCGCCACCCCCCAGAGTCGATCCACTCCCGTCCTTATCCGTCTTTCCCTACCGCGCCTGACAGCCGCCGCCAGCTTCTCTCCAACTTCATCCACTTCACAATCAGCCCTCCAGCTAAATCTTCCCCCGACCACGTCGCCCGTCGTCCCTCAGTGCGGCCAAAGCATTTTCCGTGCACCCGTTCATCTCTATCCATCGTTCATAGAGTTTCCCTCCCAGCAGCGCTTCCAGCGCGTCGCCGCCTCGCGCCACCTAGCGACAAACAAATCACCCACTGGGCACAAATAGGCCATGACTGGCCCCGAAACGGTTATTTCGCCCATCGCGACGCCGCTCCCCTCTGCCGTCTCCTCCTCCCCGGCAACACCTACCCAGGCCTCCTCGTCGTCCTACGTCCCGTCGTCGCCTTAGGAGGCCGGCGACGCCATGGACCCGGCCAACGAGAACACGCCCGACGGCACCTCGCCGCGCACCTTTGCACTCAACCACCTGCGACCCAAGTCGAGCTTCGTCGGCTGCTCGCGCATCTCCGACTATGAGCTCATGGGCAAGCTGGGTGAGGGAACATTCGGGTACGACCCCAGCATCGCTCCCGCAAACATGTGCCTGGCCTGAGCTGACGTTTTGATTCCAGCGAGGTTCACCGAGCTCGATCCAGGAAAACGGGTGCGCTCGTCGCGCTGAAAAAGATCATCATGCACCACGAAAAAGATGGAGTGAGTTCGATCCTTAGCATTGTCGCATAGCGCCGGCCCCCCGTCCGCTAACCGCACTGCGTCAACAGTTCCCCATCACTGCTCTGCGAGAAATCAAGCTTCTCAAGCTGCTCTCGCACCCCAACATCTTGCGTCTCGAAGACATGGCCATTGAGCACCCTTCGAGGCCGAGTAAGTCCTCCGTTCCTGCAGCGTTGGATGTCAAAGACCCCCATCGCTTACTCGCCGCGTCCCGCGCAGCCGACAAACGCAAAAAGCCCATCATATACATGGCCACGCCCTACATGGACCACGATCTCTCTGGGCTCCTCGACAACCCCTCCGTGCATTTCAAGGAGCCCCAGATCAAGTGCTACATGAAGCAGCTGCTCAAGGGCCTATCCTACCTCCACGAAAACCACATCCTCCACCGCGACATGAAGGCCGCCAACCTTCTCATCAGCAACCAGGGCATTCTGCAAATTGCTGACTTTGGACTGGCGAGACACTATGATGGACACACGCCGCAACCCGGCCGGCCCATGGGCGACGGACGCCGCGACTACACGGGACTCGTCGTCACGCGCTGGTACCGCCCTCCCGAGCTTCTCCTGCAGCTGCGTCAGTACACCACCGCTATTGACGTGTGGGGTGTTGGGTAAGTCGGGCATGTTTCTCTTCCCTGCATAGCCAGTTGCTGACAAGCGCAGCTGCGTGTTTGGAGAGATGCTCGTGGGCAAGCCCATCTTGGCTGGAGAGAGCGATGCCCATCAGCTCGAGCTGATTTGGGATCTCATGGGCACGCCCACCGACGATACCATGCCAGGTTGGAAGAGGCTTCCAGGAGGGGAGCACTTGTCGCCGCGACTTCGCCCCGGCAATCTCCAGAACCGCTTCAGAGAGTAAGTACCCTCGCAGACCGGGCCCGCGACGGCGGCGCAGCTACTAAATGCGATACAGGTTTGGCAGCGGAGCAATTTCACTACTCAAGGACTTGCTCAAGCTGGACTGGCGGACACGCATCAACGCGGTCGATGCCATGGAGCACCCGTACTTCAAGATGGCACCGTTGCCCATGGAGCCGCACGAGATCCCCACGTACGAGGAGAGCCACGAGCTGGACCGTAGAAAGTTCCACGACCGCAAGGCAAACCTCCCGCCTGCGCCCAAGGGCGGCACCGTCGGTGTTGGACCTGACGCAAACGGCGCCACTGCGGGATTCAACAGCAGCGACGGCTATAGCAGCCGCAACGGCATAAACGGTGCCAGGTTCAGAGGCGGCCCAGATGACCGGCGACCGGGTTGGTCGCGAGACAGAGACCGCGGACCGACTTCGCGGCCGCCCCAGGATTGGGCAGGCGCCAGGGACGACCCGGACTATCGAGATCGCGGAGCACCGCGCAGCCGTGTCCCGGCACGTGCTGCGGACATCGACACATATATTCCGAGCTACCGGCCGGAAGATGGTGGTGGCCGCTGCAGGGAAGACTGGCCGCGCGATGAGCGCCGACACCGACCGGCCAACGACCGATGGAACGACCGCCGCGGCCCGGGCAGAAGCCGCAGCCGGTCCCCCGGCGTTGTCGACAGGAGAGACCGGGAGCGGGACATGTATCGACGATGAATATGACGGCCTGCTTTGCTTTTCGCGGACGGGCTCACGGGAGCCGAGGGCTGCGCGTTTCTTGCCCGACGCCTGGAGTTGTAATGGAGACTTCTCATCAAAGGTTCCGCATGGCGTTCACAGGAAGGATTGTCAGAAGGGCATATGATTGTGTACTAAGTGAGCGACGAGGCTCCAGAAGGGTATCTTGCTTCGCGTCATCCATGTAGACGAGTATAAGGAGACAAGGGATAACAGGTCATGCCAAATTGCGCCAAAACACTACAAGTCTGAATCGTCATCCTCCTCGTGGATCGTCTGTGATAGCAACCCAGGCCGCCGGCGCCCTGAAGGCGAGGACTCGGTCCAATACCAATCCGTCTCTAGGACGGCGGGGGTTATGTCGCGGCGGCCTGGCTTGAGTTGTTCGTATTTGTCTAATGATGTCTCGTCTTTCTCTGGTTCTTCGTCGTGCATGCCCAAGTGCGAGGTGATGATGGAAGAAGTGATGGCGAGTGCAATGCCAGCAAAGATGCCGAGGCCTGCAGCTGCGCCAAACTACAAGGTGTTAGTCTTCACGATCTGTACGAACTGATGGCGGGAACAATGAGGCCGCTCACGAATGTGTATAATGGCTGCAAGGAAATGAAGTCAGATACAAGTTCATAATTCGTAACAATGGCGAAGGAAGGCAACTCACTTCTAAGCTTACGACGAACGCGATGAACGCATTGACGCATGAGAGGGCGTACGACGCAACGTACAGTGCCGGCGCGAAGAGCACGCGCAGGAAGCTCGCAACGTACGACAGCGGCAGCCAGACGAGCCGAAGAGGCAGCGCAATGACGCGGACGAGCTGCGAGAGCAGCCAGCGCCAGGGGACGGCCCAGAGCGAGAGGACGACGCGGGCGATGAGATCGAACGCGCCGGACAGTACGGCGAGGACGGCGGCCGCGACGGCGCGCGCTGGGTGTGGCTCCGCGTCTTCCATTGTGCCGCGGATGGTAGTGTCCTAAGCGGCGGCAGAGGGAGTGAGCGGCAGGGCTCGGGGCATGGCGTTGGTGAGGCGTGGGAGCCTCATGGGCGGATGGTGGTGAAGCTGCAGGCGCGGTTGTCTGGCGCGATGAGGTCGGACGTGCATCCCGACGGAGCAGGAGCTCCAGGGTTGTACCTCCCCCTGCCTTTGGGGGCAGCACGGGAGGGTACCTGCAGGGGCGACGCAATGCTGGGGGAGCTATAGGTACCGTGCCGTTGCCCGATCTCCTCCAGCTGGGGACAGCCCGGTTGGGACGGTCAGGTGGCATAAGGGGATACGAGGCCAGCCGTTGGGTTCTCAGTACTTCGGCAAGTAGTCTGCTAATAGGCTGCGTGCTGCCCCTCCATCTGCCTGGCGGCGGCGGGTGGTCGCATGGAAGCTGCCCTGGTTTCGGCGGCGGCGGGGGCCCCCCAACGTGAGAACATGGGCTGCTCGCAATCAGTCAATCAATCAACCCATTCATTCATTCCCTCCCCGCCGCGACAATCAATTCCATCGCCGGAAACCACCACCCCCCAGCGAGAGCCGCCGCGGAGAGCCTCGGCTATCGAGCGTACCTAGCTACAGGGGACGACGACTATTCGACTCAATACCTGCTACATTGTCCACAGGCCACGCGGAATCTTTCCCCCGCGCCGCCAGCCCGCCCGCCGCCGCCGCCCCGGGGGGCGCTGATGATGCTGCAGGCGGCCACAGCCTAACCGGTCTGTTTCGTCCTCCGTCGTCCCGATCCGCTTGGCTGCTGCCGGTCTCGAAGCACCACCACTACCACCACCACACCTGCTTCTTCTCCTCCACCCGAGAGACTTCTTCCTCGTCACGCGACCCTCTTCACTGCTGCTGCCGCTGCTGCTGCCGACGCCGCACGCACGCACGCACGCACGCCTACCCGACGCCGCCTTTTGCTGCTGCCGCTGCCGCTGCTCTCCCACCTCGTCGCCCGCCGCCCATCTGCCGGCTCGGCTCGACCACCGCACCGCACCGCACCGCACCGCACCGCACACGCCCCCCCGCGTGTGACGGACGGCCCGCAGTCCCCTCTTTCTGCCCTGCAGGGGAAACATCGACCACCCCCCCGAGAATAGCAGAGGATTGGAGCAAGGGCCCGGCCTGGCCATGGGCAACAACCACTCATCGGCCTCCAAGGAGGCGACGTCGTCGTCGGGAGCCGCTGCCGCCGCCCCGCAGGGCCCCTCGGACAGCAACAAGGCCTCAACCTCCTCGACGACCACCACGTCGGCTTCCACGCCCACGTCGGCCACGACGTCGCCCACCCAGCCTCACCATCACCATCACCACTTCGGTAGCATTCACCGCCATCACCAGGACGTCGTCCCCGGCCGCAAGGACGCCCGCAACATCATCCCCGAGCACACCACCCACCGCTCCGTCGCGCCCCCGGAGGCGTCCCTCGCTCTGGCCCAGGGCTCGACCACCGTCGTTAACCGCCCCAAGAGCAGTCTGCCCGGCACCGCCGTCTCCTCCCTCAGCGGCTCCCCGCACAGCAACGTCTCCGCGACGCCCAACAAGCCCTCGTCTTCCTCGTCCGCCGCCGCCGTCTCCTCGGGCCAGTCTGCCGCCGACCGCCACCCGCCAGTCCGTGACGAGCCCTCCAAGCCCGTCGACGTCCCCCTCGAGTCGTCGTCGCTGCGGTCCGCCCACCACGACCCCCACCATCCCTCCCGCGAGCCCCTCCCCGCCGACTCGAACCTCATCTCCAACAGCAGCATGACGGACATGTATCTGAGGGGCCCGCCGCGGCTGCCCCTCCCCATTGACGAGGAGGTCCACACGCCCGGATCGCCCATCCTCGCTCCCGAAGAGGGTCTCGACGACGTCGAGCTGGGCGGCTCGTCGGACGCCCTGACGAGGAAGAGCTCTGCCCTGAGCGCCAACACGGTCGACGACGACGAGTCGGAGGAGCTGCGCGTCGACAAGACGCGGCCTGTCGTGCCGACCAAGCTCGAGTGGAAGCGCGGCGGCGACAAGGTCTATGTGACGGGCACCATTTTCCAGTGGAACCGCAAGCAGAGGCTGCATCCAGTGTAAGTTGGCTGCGTCAATTTCCACCTTCACTCTTCCCTTGCCGCAGTATTTCACTTCCCGAAACGCTTCGGAGATTCGTTTCCCCCAGCTCGGTTGTGGGCGTATGCTGTGTTCCCGTGGCGCATCCCGGCAGGGGCCCCCAGGGCTCGGCTGCGGCGAGCTCGGCTAGCCGCCCACGAGAGAATCTATTGCTCTGGAGCAAAGGGAATCTAGTCATGACAGGAGCGATAGCTGACGACTACCTACAGAGAGGGCAAGCCGGGATGCTTCGCCGCTACCATCCTCATCCTGCCCGGGACGCACCATGTGCGCTTCCTCGTCGACGGGATCATGCAGACGTCGCCGGACCTGCCGACGACGGTCGACTTTGGCAACAACCTCGTCAACTACATCGAGGTCAGTCCTGAGGACGCGCTCCCGGCGCAGAGGAGCGCCTCCAAGGCGGGTAGCGAGACGGAGGGCGCGTCGCGGACCAGCTCGCAGGCCAAGGACCAGCCTAGGCCGCCCAAGGGCAGACCCGTCGAGCCCCCCGAGAACTACCGCCGCGACATCCCGCAGTACCTGATGGACTTTGACCAGCCCGAGGACTCGGGCTCGTACAGGAACGCCGTCTCGGCCATCGAGAAGCTCCCGACGCCGCCCAGCCTGCCCGGGTTCCTGGGCAAGCCCATCCTCAACGCGGCGACACTGATGAAGGACGACAACAGCGTGCTCAACATGCCCAACCACACGGTGCTCAACCACCTGGCCACGAGCAGCATCAAGAATAACGTCCTGGCCGTGTCCGCGACGACGAGATATCACAACAAGGTGAGCAGCCGTCAGGACCTGTGGCTTGACCGCACGTGCACTAATAGACCGGGCGACAGTATGTCACGACAATCATGTACAAGCCGACATCGGCGGACGAGGGTTGAGGGGAGGTGGCATTGAGCAATACACCATTCATGTACCAATTTAACGGCGGATTTGTGCTCGTGGTGACACCCTTTTCTGATGCATCAAGTTTGCTGCTCGCGTCGCATGTAACAGAAGGAGAGGCGTGTCAAGCGAGGGTTTTCTGTAGGTAGCTGCGCGAACATAGAACGGTGGCCCGGATGGGACATGATCAAAGCAATGAATTGAGACGAGTTACTGGCGCATGGCGGGCCGTCACAACATGCATTCACATCACGATGCGCGAAAAGGAGCGTCTCGGCGCCGTGGCTTGGTGGAAGCGGGCGATCATCAGTCTCTCCATTTGACGTAGACCTCATCGGTCCTAAACCGCTGTGTGCACTGGCTCTCTGCCAGGGGTGTGGTGTACCCCGTCTCGTATGCCAGCAGCCCCGCGTGGGCAATCATGATGCCGTTGTCGATGCAGAAGCGCTCGTCTGTGGCGTACACGCTGCCGCCGCGCTCGCGGGCCATGTGGCCCATCATCTCCTGCAGGCGCTCGTTGCAGCCGACACCGCCGACGATGAGGACCTGGCTGCTTCCGACGTGGGCCATGGCGCGCTCCGTGATCTCGACGAGCATGGCAAAGACGGTCTCCTGCAGGGAGAAGCACAGGTCCGCGGGGGTAAATCCCGCGGCCTCTTCGCTGCCCGCCTCATACATCTGCGCGGCGAGGGCGTCCGCGCTGGCGAGGATGCCGCTGAAGGAGCAGTCCATGCCCTTGACCGTGTAGGGCAGGTCGAGCAGGCGGGAGCCCTTCTTGGCGAGCTGCTCGATGTTGTAGCCCGGTGCGGGGTCGTTGCTGATGGCGAGCGTGCGGGCGAAGCGGTCGAGGCAGTTGCCCACGGCGATGTCGAGCGTCTCGCCGAAGATGCGGTACCGGCGCTCCGCGTAGGCGATGACCTGGCTGTTGCCGCCCGACACGTACAGCACGACGGGGTTATCCGCGCCCGTGATGTGCCGCCCCATCTCGATGTGGCCCACGCAGTGGTTCACGCCCACGAGGGGCTTCCCCCACAGGAGGGCGAGGGTGCGCGCCGCGACGGCGACGCTCGTCAGCGGGCCGCCCATGCCGGGGCCCTGCGTGAAGCACACGCAGTCGACGGCCGGCGCCTCCTCTGGCGAGCCTTCCAGCCCGGCGGCGGCGAGTGCCTCGCGCGCGAGCCGCACAAAGTGCGCGCGGTGGTGCGCCGCCGTGTCCTTGGGCAGGAAACCCGTGCCGGGGGGGGAGACGAACGTGTGCCGCAGGTTGGCGAGCACGGTGGTGGCCGTGGGGGTGTGCTGGATGATGCCGACGCCGAGCTTGTTGGCGGACCCTTCGAGGCCGATGGCGATAAAGGATTGCTTCTGCGGGGTGAAGGGCGAGGGGACGGCGGCGCCGGCGGGGGGTGCTGCTGCTGCTGCTGCTGCTGCTGCTGATGATGATGGTGCTGGGGATGCCGGTGCTGGTGATGATGCTGCCGGCGCGGACGCGGCAGCTACCGCGGCGGCTGCCATGTTGTTGTGTACGGGAGAGGGCGAGGACGGATTCGAGGTCGTCGCTGTCGCAGAAGGAGAGGCAGATGCCCAGACCAAGGGTCGATCGCGATGATCGTCGCCAAGTATCCGTCGTCAGAGCAAAGAGTTGCCGGTCTCGCCAGTCGTTGTATATCGTCTATCCCGTCATATACGCATGAAGCAAAAAGAAGAAGAAGAAATGAACCAAATGCCAACAACCAAGCAGTGTATGTGTGTAATATCTCTGTCGAAGGGGCCAGTCTAGGAAGGGTCGTGGTGGTGGTGGTGGTGGTGGTGGTGGCTCCAGGCCCGGGGGCGGCTCAGAGAGGTGAAGTCGTCCTGGCGGGCGGGCAGCAAAAAGTTTGGCGTCGTTGCGGTCGACTCAATCAGTGAGGGGCACGAACGTCGATGTCATGGGCGGTGCCTCGCCCGCCCCGTCTGGCGAATGATGGATGCTCGGACAGAGGGGCCCAGCTCGCTGAGGCGCCGCCACGTCTCATTGGCCCTGAGCCCCTTCCCTATGGGCCTCGTCGCCTTACCGCCGTCCTCCAGCGGGCTTATTATGGGCAGGGCTCCTCCGGCACAGTCAGCCACCACAGCACCTGGGCAGCGTCACAGTTGCAAAGCACTGGAGGACCTTGACGGCAGTGGCAGAAAAGACCCCTGTGGAGACGCCCACGGCCTACCTACGTACTGAGCTGAGGTGAGAGGTGAGGTTCAAGTCCCCAAGGCCTGCGACTGGGCCCCCCTCCCGCCGTCTTGCCGCGGTGGAGCTGTAGCAGCCTGTCCGCTCCTCGGTTTTGCTCATCCCACAATTGTTCTTCTTCCGCCGCCACACTCTCCGGTCCCGCCAGGGCCTTTGTAAATCCTCACCAGCGCCAGCACCACCACCTCAACCACTCTTTTTCTTTCCCCTCCTCCCTCCCCCTTCTCCCAGCTGTCTCCTCCCCACGGCATGTCCCTTTGTTCTCACTGCTGAGCCATCATCCCCCTGGCAAAGCCCATTGCTCTCATTGTTCTTTTTCTCCCCCCGTGGGCTTGCTCCCCCCTTCGGCAAAGGTTATGCGCTGCAGGGCGTGAGCTTACTTCCCGTGACCGCACGCCGGTTTGGTCACAAGTCGAGAAATGCCGCCCCTCGCCTGGTACGGTTTCTGTCCCAAGACATTTACCATGTCTCCCATGGCTGACCTGATATACAGTGCCTTCCCTGTACCGGATAGGCATTTCCCTCTTGTCTCCTATGCGAGGCTGCGGGGACACGCACTTCGACACCACCCAGCAGCAATGCGCCGTCTGACGTGATGGCCTCACCGGCCCGCTCTTCCAGCCTGCCGAGCACTTCACTCGCCTCCCTCGTCTGGTCCAGCCCTCTGCCCTGTGGTCAGAGGCGTTGCTAACTGTTTCGGCCAGAGACTCCAAGCTAGCTCGAACGATACGGTGCCAGGACCCTGGCCATGAATCATCACACGAACAGCCAGACAGCATTCTGGGTTTACCGTTTTTTTTTCGATTCTGCCTTTTGAGGGCTGCCTCGTCTAAGCCTCCAAAGGTCCTGTCCAACTCCCAACTCCGCGCAATGCCCGCCTCGCCGTCCCGGCGTCTTCGTTATTGTTACACTTCGACATCAGAATAATCATACCGCCGCCTGCCCTGCTGCGGCTCCCAGCCGGCCGCCGTCGTCATCCTCATCACCAAGAACAGAAAAACAACGCTATATACAGTCATCGGCAAAATCATACAAAGCGCGGCACCAGGCCAGGCCATCAGGGGTGCCGACCCCTATGACGCCGTCTGCGCCTGCGCTTGTGCTGCCGCCGCAGCGGCCGCAGCGAGGGCGGCTTGCGAGGGCGGCAGCGCTCGGTTACCCGCCGACCCGCCACCAGCCGCCTCAGGAGGCATCGAGGGCCGTCCCGCGCGGTACATGTACTGGCCCAACGGAATCGTTGCCCGGAACTTGAGAGCACGAGTATCGAACGGGTCGATCTCGTACACCGGGGGGTCAACTTCGTCATCGTCCGAGTCGTACTTCCAGCGGTCCGAGTAGTCGCTCGTCTCTCTCGGGGGCGTCGCCATACCCCGTCGATCGATCCAAAGCCGCTGCAGACGCCCGATGCGGCGTCGGAAGGCTGGCTGATTGGCCTGCGACTGCTCCGCAGTCATGGACCCGGCTTTGAACTGGAAGACCGGCGGCTCCCGCTTCTCCACAGCCATGGGCTCAGGTGCGTCCTCGTCTACTTCCATGGACTCTGACGAGATGGATGCCGGCGGTGTCATCAGGTACTGCGTCTTTGCCGGTCGGAACTTGAGCTCTGGCCCTTGTTCCTTGACCGGCGGCAGTGGTTCTCGAGTGAGATCGATATGATTCTGGTTCCACCTGCGGTGGTTTTGCACCTTGCTCTCAATCTCCTCCCGGAGCTCGCGCTCCTTCTGAGTCAATAGATCAGAAAGCAGAACAAGCTCTTGCTCGAGTGAGCGTCCGTCTTGACGGACAGGGGCCCGCAACTGGGTGCCTTGCGGCCGCTGTGCAGCAGCTGGTTCGGCGGCTTTGCGTTTCTGCGGCTTGGGAAGAGTTAGCACCACCCGGCGGTCACGTCGCGTGGGGGAGGAGCGGTTCGCTCTCACCTTTTGGTTGACAAGGTCATCATCAGGGTCCCTAATGCCCAGCTTCACCTTCATCTGCTTCAACCTGGCCCGCTCCTCGAATAGAGCCCTGTCCATGTGGAGCAGCTCCCGCTTCTGCATCTCGCGTTCATACGAAAGGAGCACCAGTTGACGACCGTCCTCGAGCTCTCGCCGCAGGCGCTTGAGGGTCTCGGCGATCTTGTTATCGCGAGCGCGCGTCTTCCTCGTCTGTCTGGCTTCGCGTCTCCGGAAGCAGACGTACGGGTCGGTGTCGTCAGTCTCCTGGTGCATCTCGAACTTGAGCGACGGGTGCAGGGGCTTGTTTCCAAGCTCCTGCCGCCTCGTCTTCCAGTACTCATAGATGGCCTTGGCGTGCTGCAGAATGGTGGGCGAACCAAGGTGGTTCAGCCCCGGCACCATCATGTCATAGGCGACAACAGTATTGTCGACCGAAGCAAACGGTGTCTGCTCCGTGGCGGTGTCCTCGAACACCTCCATGATGCGCTCAAAGTCATCCTCGGAGAGGGCTCCCCCCTGGGGAGATTTACCATTGTATGACTTGAGGAACTCGTCATCCTCGGTGGTCATGTCATACTGGCAGCTGATGCACTCCTCTACGGTCTGCGAGAACCGTATGTAGGAGGACGGCTGGTGGAATGAGCTGGGGTAGAGGGCATCGTAGTCGATGTCGCTCTCCTGAGGAGGCGGGACGGGGATTTCCTGGTCATTGCTGGTACCCGCATCCTTGAGGATGGTCTGCAAGTGGTATTCCTGGAGAGTGGCACGCAGAGTCAGCTTCAGCCACACGCGACGGGCGGCCGGGGGGGTCGCCCCTGGAGACAGTGATGGGGATGGGGGATGCCAAGCCACATCACGTGCGGGGCCACGTGATATCAGAGGCGCGGATGGGGGACAACAAAACTCACATTTTCCTCGGCTTGCTCGACACCGGTGGCGATGAGGTTGTCGGTGGTGAGTGCCTCGTACTCTGACGGGTCGATCTGGTCCTCGCGGAGGACAGGAAGGACAGTCTTGACGCTGAGCTTCTTGACCCGGACCTTGCGGGAAGACATGGCGGCGGGGGGGGCGAGGTCGGCGAAAAGCCAGCGGAAAATCCGCGAAAAAAAGCGATCAAGTCATAAATCGAGGTATGCAGAGTTTGGTTTTGCCCAAATGGAGATGATAACAGCGCCGTGGCGGCCCTTTTTCGATGGCTGAAGTCGGGCTCCTGACGGGGTGACGTTGGGATTGTTTTGGCGCGCGAAGAGTTTTCACTGGGGTGCAGCGTGGAAGATGACGGTTTGCAGCCTGGAAAGGGAGGGTAATGATGCTGTGGCACGGGGCGCAAAGTCACTTTTTGCGGGGAGCCGGGTGCAGAGGTACATGCGGGCGCTCGGGCCACCGTCTCCTTTTCGGCCCCTCTTTCAGGTCTTTAGGTGGCAGCGCGCCCCAAGCCTTCTGTAGCCTGGCGCCTGGCGGGCGCTGGGGGGGGCGACGTGCAGCTGCACTTTGGAGGGAGGGGCGCCTCAGCCACCTCACCTCACGCGCACCCACGCCTCACCTCACAATCAGCGCACGTTGACGCTTGCGGCGAGGGGCGTCATTGCACGTTGACGGGACTTGACTTGGGCAGGCCTGGAATAGCCGCCACCCAGTGGTGGAGGAGCGCGCGCAGGCACCTGCAAACTTGAACGGAGCAGGCTCTCGGCGCCCACCAGCGCACCACCCACCACGAGAGCCTCTTGCCGCTGCTGGAGCGCCGCCCCGTCTTCGCGCAAAACCGGTACTGTACCTGCGAACAGGTACAACCGTATTATCTCATCTCATCACAACGAGGGCATCAGCGCGACCCCGTGCTTGCACAGCCACGGCGCGCATTCATGCAACTGGAATGTAAATGCCCGTCGACTTTCCCGGCCACCACTTCAGCCCTGTAACTGCCTAAATAATCACTCGCATTGTCGCATGCATGCCATCCTGCCATGCTCATTTTTTTTGTTCTTCTCCGCCGTCGACCCTCGATGAATGATGAATGAAATGTCGTCAGAACACGGCAGGCCTCCAGCGTCTGCCTCTCTCACTGGAGCATGTGGCCCGTGCGCGTGGGGACGGGCGCCTTTTTGGGGGAAACGCCACTACGGTACCCCTCGGAGCGGGCGAGCTTCCAGGTTCAGGTCTGACCAAGACTTCCTGACAACCTAATCTGCCCGCCAAACGTGACAACCTCCCGCCGCCAGCTCAGCCAGCCCTATCGCCAAAACCCGCCCGCCGCTATCGCGCCCTGTTCCCTGCGCATCGTGCTGCCGCTTTCATTGAGTGCGGCAAGCCCCCGAGCCGGAGCGCGAACGGCTTTCCTCTCTCGCCTCCTCCCCCCCGCCACCGACAAGGCGACCGAAAGCCCCCCCGCCGCAGCAGCAGCAGCACCGTCTGCGCAGTCCGCCCGCCACCATGGGCAACACCACGAGCGCGGTCCTGGACAATATTGTCCAGGGGTCCAACTGTGAGGCTTGACGCCGACCAACCTACCGACAATGGACGCTGACTGGGACCTGCAGTCGACAGAGAGGAGGTGGACCGGTTAAGGAAGCGGTTCATGAAGTTGGACAAGGTACGATGGGCTCCTGGAGCAGGACGAACGTTCCGTCTCGTGGTCACGCGCCAGAACATTGCTGACGATTCCTTTCCAGGACAATTCGGGCACGATCGAGCGCGACGAGTTTCTGAGCCTGCCCCAAATCTCGTCCAACCCTTTGGCGACGCGGTACGCGAGAACTCCTCCCACATCCCCGCGATCCGCGCGGCGCCCATCATATTGCACGAGAGACCACATTCTGGCTAACACGCGTCCCGGCGGCAGCATGATTGCCATCTTTGACGAGGACGGCGGTGGCGACGTCGACTTCCAAGAGTTCGTGTCGGGCCTGAGCGCCTTCAGCAGCAAGGGCAACAAGGAGCAGAAGCTGCGGTTCGCCTTCAAGGTCTACGACATCGACCGCGACGGCTACATCAGCAACGGCGAGCTCTTCATCGTCCTCAAGATGATGGTGGGCAGCAACCTCAAGGACCAGCAGCTGCAGCAGATTGTCGACAAGACCATCATGGAGGCGGACCTGGACAAGGACGGCAAGATTAGCTTCGAGGAGTTTACAAAGATGGTGGAGAACACGGACGTGAGCATGAGCATGACTCTAGGTGCGTTTCTTCCCTTGTTTCCCTTCTGGCCTCTCTCTTCTGCTCCTCTTGTCACGCACCGAGTGTGCGTGTATGTGTGTGCGTGTGTGTGTTTGAGGAATGGATGGGACTGTTGCTAACGCAGGCTCGCCCGCAGACCAGTTTTGAGGAAGCCTAGTCCCGTCGAGGTCGCTGGCAGACCGCGGTGGACCAGCCGTTTTGCTGGGACATGAAAGAACTAGTGTCATGATAATGGTGTTTTGGGGTTCGGCAGTAGGCAGCGGGCCGTCGATGTCGCGGGCCCCCGTTCCTGCCTCCTTCCCCCCCCCCCATCTTTCCCGTGAAACACGGGCCCTTGTCATTCTAGGTTGGCACTTACTTTCGTACATTACATTCATGAAGACACGACCGCTCGAATGACCGAAGACGCTTTGTCGAGTGCTAAACGGGCTAAAATGTAGCTTGAACGTGCTCACTGTAGATACCCTAGATGCTGCTGCCCGACTCTCTCTCTCTCTTCGGTATATACTGCACCCGCCGCTGGGCTCGCGTCGCCGAGAACCGGGTTTCACACCGCCGGACGGGGCCGACTCGCCATGAAGATGGCGCTCCGGCTGCAGATATTCCAGCTTCACTCCCCCCATGCCCGTCAACGTGTCCGGGCATGCTCCATACGTACATACAAGTACGTGTTCCAGGTCTCCAAAACGTCAGGCATCGTGACCGTTCACGCCCTCGTCTACCGCCTACGCACGGCTCCTCCCCTCTCCTCCCTTCCCTTCGCCCCCCCATTTCGTCTTGGAGGTTTGATACAGAGACGCCCGGGCTCTCAAGCCCAGGCCCATTTATTGGCGCCCGACAAAAGGAAGTGGACATGGATTGTCGTCCCACGGAAGAAGAACGGAGACGCGGCGCACACGAGGGAACGTTGGGCTGCTGTCTTTCACGCCCACAGAAGGAAAACAAAAACGAAAAAGTCGGAGAGGGGGAAATGCCACGACCTTTGGCATGTCCAACCCGGACCGTATGGCCAAAGAGGCACGAAAAACAAGAATTAATCGGAAAAAGACGTTCGCTGGCCGTCGCCTGCATCCGGCTACTAAGGTGATCTGCCGGCCAGCGTACTTGAACTCTTGGGGGAGAGGAGAGGAGCGGACGAGACCTCGGTGTTCTACGCAGCTGCCTGTGATGGTGATGGTACGTGATTACGGAACGAGCCAAGTCTGCATTTGAGCCCTCTGCCTTATGGATGTCATCTTTCTTTCGCGCCATCTTTCCGCCATCGCAAGGTTGGACGAGGATGGGGTGAGTGAGTGGCACTGCTTCGAAAGTGTCAGCAAAAAAGAGCTACCCTATACACACTGAGGCGCATCAAGCATCATCCGACGAATTCTCAAACCCCCCAAAGAAGTTCCCAAGGGGCGCAATGGACGTGATCGAATCTCGTCGAGGCGGCGTGGCGTCACCTAGTACAGCCATCTCCGTTCCATCCCATCCGGGCGTCGAGACATTTCGACGGTGTACCCTCTCCAACTGAGTGGGAGAACTGACCCATGCTCGAAAGAGTGAAACCTGCGCCGCGAAACCGGGCCCGGCACAAGCGCACGACAAAGCAATCACGGTACTTGAGTCAATTTTCCTTTTAATTCATTTTTTTTTCCCAAGTAAACCTTGCCCTGCAAGGATCTGGCTGGCGTGTCAAAAGGAAAGAAGGCCGCATGTGACTGACAAGCGAGTCGTGCGCGCGTGTAAGACAGGAAGACAAAGCAGGGCACCACCGAAAACCAGGTAGCTGGGTCGTCCAGCGAGCGAGCGAGCAAGGACCAGCAACCGACGACGACGATGATGGCGGCGGCGGCGGTGCCCGATCGGCAGGGCCGGCGCCGAGTTGACATGACAGCAGGCAGAACAGGGCCAGTCGGTCTGGCTGGGCGGCGTTGCAGAGCTGTGTCACGAGACGGGGGCCATCCTGGAACACCAGGATCATCCGATCAAGACAGCTAACGGTCAGGCCAGGTCAGGGCAAGTCAGGCAGTTCAGGTCAGATGAATCAGAGGCATTAACCATCCAGGCGCATGCAGACGCCGCGAGAAACGCGGTAACACTGCGCGTCTTTGCGGTGTGTCGGGGGCCGACTCGACGGGGGTCCAGGAGCGTTTGGCGAAGGGCTCGACTCCTCGACGCCTCGAAACCCATTGTTGGCGCTTCGGCCGGCTCGGTGCCCGAAGGAGGAAAAGCCGAACCGGGAGAAAGCACAGGCACGGACGTGGCAGAAAGGACACACAATGCCGTAGAGCCGTCGCTGATGGAGACGTTTTGCTGGGCAGTATTTGCACGCTTGGTGATCACGCGCCAGACGAGTTTCACGGGGTGAAGACAGGGGGCACAAGCCGCTCCCGGATGTCCCCGCCGGGGGCCGGTTCCCGGTGTGCTTCACTAGGTGAGGCGAGGCGAGGCGAGGCGAGATCCGCGAGGTGGTACTCGGTAGAGATCTGGGTCCAGTTTCTTCTTTCCGACGCCATCAGCTCTGTTTCCGTCGTCGTCGTCGTCTCGACCGGAGAAGCGGAGCGACTGCGTCCCGGGCGGGACCACCCCATGCCAGCTTGCCCGTGCCCACGCCCCCCTTCGAAAACCCGGGTATGAGGTGAGGTGGCATGGAAAAGTCGGGCAGTAGCGGCATGCCCTAGCCACGCTGAGGTGAGTCCCTGCGGATGCAACAGTGACAGCAGCAGGGGCTCTCTTGCGGCCGGGCGGTGCATGGGTTGGTTCTGGTAGAGGGAGTGAGAGACGGGGGCGGGGTGGCCACATTTCTATTCTTGTTTTTCTTCTGTCCGCCTCGTGCGGCACGAGGACGTGCGGTGGTGCGCGAAATGCCTGCTTGTCGCAGCCAGTCGACCGGTAACCAAGCAATGCCCAACGGCAAGGGCGGAAAGGGCCCCATCAGAGACAAAAAGGAAGACAAACCCTTGGCCGGCGTCTGTGCGACGTGCCGCCGCCTGCGCGCGGAGTACAGGCAAAAGAAGGCAGTCGCACCAATGGAGAGCAGCGCGGGAGTATATGACCTGTACCACGATGTATGTATGCAGTCGTTGTAGTCATATCTCACGGTCCACTGAGCCGGTGGCGCCTGCGAGGCGCTCGATGGCATCGTGAGCGGCGTCACGCAAACCCAAAAAAAGCGGGATGTGAGATGTTGGCTGACACTGCGGCGCGGGATCTGCGCCGCTGCCGGGCTGCCGGGCCGCCAGGGGCAGGCTCTCTCGCTTAGGGGCTCCTCGGCAAGCCGGACGGCGCTCCCACGGCTAGGATGACGATTGACGGATGACGGGTGAAGTCTCCGCGTCAGAGTTTCGGGCCCGACGTTGGGCGGCTAACAGTGGGCCAACCGCCCGGGCCGCTGCGGCCGCCGGTACTTGGTTTGATTAGACGTCAATACTTAACTTAGTACGTACGTACGTTGTGGTACCTGATGCGAGGAATTAGCTTCGGCGCCAACTTACGAGATGACTTTCGTGCAGACGGGGCTGACGATATTATTGCCGTGTAAACGGCATTATAGGTGGCATCGCCGGCGGTCCAGGACTGGCCCTGGGGGGCTGCGTAAAATGTACCAGCCCGATTGACGAAGCGATTGGCCATCGAGGGCGCTCCGTCAAACCTGAGGTACATGCATCGGATGCTCGTGCTTCGTTCCTACATCTGGCGCGGCACACACCCCGGGAGTCCAGGGCCATTTGCTGCGCTGCCGCCCACCCGCCCTGTCCGTGCCGCTCTCAGCTCTCATTTGGTACCCTGGAAGGTGTTCTTCAGCCGGAACCTGTCGTGATCGTCGCCCTGCAAGAATCACCGTCGCAAGGCGCCCCCTTTCGGTCCCAAGAAGCCGAGGCCACGGCACCAACTGTCTGTTCCTCATGTGCTTTTTGCGGCGTTTTGGATTCCTTTTCCCCCCCTAACGCGCCAGCGTGTCCGGCCCGCTGGCCGACCCAAGACAATCTCGTGGTGCCAAACGACAGGGCTGCATATGCGGGACCAGGCTTGGGCGCTTTCCGACGAACCGTTGCCCTGCCGCCGCCGGGCTGGGCTGGGCTGGACTGGACTGACGAGACCCCCTGCCGTCGATCACAGCGCCTCCTCAGACGCCCCTCCTTCGACGGACAGCCGCATCAGTAGTTCGAGACCCTCAGGGAAGTACACCCCGATCGGGCAAGCAAGAAGCAACGGGCCACCAGCCGACGGGGCTGAAGAATTTTGCTTGGAGGCCCAAGGAACAGCGGGTAAAAAGGCACCTTGTCGGGGGGCGGACGCTGTGCTTTGGAAATCCTGGACGAAACAGGCATCCGCAGCCGTGTGAAAATCCCGAAGCACCCCCGCGAAGCCAGACGCCAAGCTGGAAAATGGCAGGCTCATCTCTTCCACTGCGGGTGTGCACGGGTGCATCAGACGTACTGTAAGCTATCGCCTGGGGTGCGGCGCTTGACTGTGTCCAGCTGTCGTGATGCGCCGTGATGCGCCGTGATGCCTTCACAAACAGCTGCATATGCCGCTCGAGCCCCTGTTTTAGACAAACTCGGATCCACACATGCGGCATCCAGAAGACCCCTCCTCCAAGCCGACGTTCGTCGCGCATTATTGAGCAGACAACGGACGAGTACGACCCGGCTGCCAGGGTCCTGTCAGCCCGCCCACATTCTTCCGGGCCTTGGTTTGCTTTGGCTGTAAGGCGCTTGGCTGTAAGGCGGAGGACAGCCCGTTGCACCTGGCAGGGCTGTTCGGTTCTCAAGCTTGTTGGTCGCTTGACTCGAGTCTGCGCATACCCCACGGATGGCCCTCATTCGCACTCCGCTCCTGCAGCAATGTCCAAAATGGGAACCCATCGGTGGTCCTCTTGCCATCCGTAACTCGCACCGCGTTCCAGACAGTTGGGAGCTCCTCCACCCCCCCAGCCCACTCGACTCTTGATAGCTGCCCAGCACTCCATGCCTTCACATCTGATGTCTGGTGTTAGTGACCGGGAAGCCTCGTCACTGCTTCCTGCCGGCTAGTGGCACGACCTGTTTCGACAACCAGCAGATAGGAAAAGAGGAAAACCAAAAGGACAGTAACAAGCGTTTAACTCCATTTCATACCCTGTCATACCGCTCCTGTGCGCCATGCCTCCCGAAAAGTATGCCAGATCTATCCCACATAGCGCCTTTGCCAGAGCTTGTCCCTCCACAAGCCTTTGACCGTCTTGTTCAACGCCCCCGCCCCGTAATGTTGAACCGTACACATGCACACAATCCGTGACGTGGAAGGGGAGCATGTGCATTGAGCCATTCATCGCTCCCAAATAGCAAGAATCACTCCGGTTTGTCGCCGCCGCCGTGCCGTGTCCCTGCAAGCCGGGGCGAGGATCCCCATGGCCTCGCATGTTTTAGACACGGGAGCTCCAACGCCCAATTCGTCCATGTCTTGCCCGCACCACAGCCTCCATTGAGTGAGGATCGCCCTGTACCCAGATATTCTCTCGCACTCGTGGGGTCGTATTTTCGATCGTACTTCCGGATTCAGCCCATGCCCTGCACCTCTGTGCCAGTACTTGGGTTCTTCGTGGACCTATCATGTGAAAGTTGCCCAGACAGCATGATTTCGGGCGTATGAAATCAAAGAGACATTCCCAGTTGTCGAGAAAACGGGAAATGCCATCTCTGAGCGCCCAGGTGTGTCCTCGGTTTCGTCTCCGCGCCAAATCCGGGATGCTCATCGAGCGAAACGCACAAGGCGTCTCTCGCAGGATCCTAAACTTGAATTTGGCTGCCTACTGGATGATCCGCTGGAAATGGGCCCTTCGGGATCGCTATGCCAGACGCTGTGCGTATTGTGACTGGGCCGTTCATTCCAGCTTTGATGGGGTTGCGGAGGGTTACTTCGGGATTCGCCTTCTGCCAGCACAGGGGGCCCGATTCGAGCGCTGTTGCCGTCGTCGCGGCTGTAGACGTGAGCGGAAATTTGGTTCATCATGATCGCCTCCCCTCGCCAGCCATGGACTCGTAAAGATCCAAGCATTCCTCGAGTACTAGAGCGGGTCGCTTGGTCAGATCCGGTGTCCGTAGTTGGCTGGGGGCAAGGGACTTACCACTCTCGATCTGGTCTTCCCAGACGCCGTATTGATAGTCGACCAGACCATGCCGCTCTATACCGTCGCACAGACGGATCAGCTCGTCTCCCATCTTCTTTACTGTGTCTTCTGACATTAGCCTTTGGCTCCTTCCGAGCTGCTGTCCCGACTCCATCATCGTCTTTTGCTGAAAGGCTAGCGCAAGCCAAGCGTGATTGAAATCGTTCCAGAGTTTTATCCTCTCATCGTGGAGAGTCGCGTCATCCTGACTCAGGCCTGTGTTATGCATTAGCAATGCCGTGGCAGCTACACGAACGTCGGAAGCAAGTACCGAGGTCTGCCACCTGTGTTAGGAGCCAGTTGGAGAGACTGAGCAGTGTCTCTGCGGCGCTTTCCAGGGACCCGCCCTTGACGTCCTGGAACACAGTCCCCAGCTGTCTCTGGTAATTCAGCCACTTCTCTTCCAAGCCAGTGTCGTGGTATTCGTGGTCTTCGGACGCCCCAACAGTGGCAGCCGGCTGTTGCATGGTGTTGACGCTGGAGATGCTCCCACTGTAGCCGACGGGTACGTTCGTTTGCTGGTACAGGCCGGATGACGAGCTCGAACCGTGGCCGGCCTGTTGCAGGCTCGACGTTGGCGCGGAACCTGCCTCTGAGCCGCCGAAATACGTCGAGGCGACGTCCGAAGTCATCATCTGCATCGCTGCTTGCTGACGCTGGGCAAACTGCTGTGTGTCGTAGACGGGTGTGCTCGGCTGCGCAACGTTGTACATCATCATCCCGGCGCTGTAGCTGCCGAAACCTTGGTTCTGCCCGCGCGAGTCGGATCCGTAGTCTTGGCCGTAAGACATGGCTGTTGCCGACATGTTTGGCGTCGTGAAGGCGGCCTGCGATTCCTGATAGTACGAGCTGTAGTTGTTGGCGACGCCCATGCTTCGTGGCGTCGAGGGATCCGTGGCAAGCGGCGCTGGGCGGAACCTCTCCGACGTGCCACCTGCGATGGCGCTGCTGTGGGTGATTGGGCCTTGGTGCGGGTATCTCAAGTTCGACGTGTGACGGGCAGGCGCTTCATTCTGCCTCCTCCTTCGACTGGGGTCATCCATGCCCCGGGGGCGGTCCTTGGTATGCAGACAGCCCGGCTTTTAAGCCTGCGCTGCACGTCTGCGCCGCTGGGGCCGAGGAAATGGTCGGCACAGTCGCGGCCAATCCCGCTGCCCTGGCTTTCGGCGGCCGCAAAGACTATGCGTCGATGAGTTTCAAGGGCAGGTCTGGTAGTAGTGGCACGCAAGAGCGGGTGTCCGGCGAAACGAGCTGTCTATCGGCAGCGGCAGACACGTGTGGTGGACGCTGGTGAGAAGGGCGTGGGAACCGCGTTTGGGCTGTTCTTAGGAAGAGTTGCCGGGTGGTAAGATGGCCGCGAATGCAAACCGGGGGCCAGTGTCCCGGGCTCCAAGCCTGTTGTTATGCGTCGCGTTGGCTTACAAGCGCCCACGCCGTGTCCGAAATGTAGCCGCGTCCTGCGCAGTTATACGACGTGAGACGCTTGTCGCAAGATGGAGCAGTGCATAGAGATGAAATCGTCTGGACGGTGATTGATGAGTGGTCCGGCTGCTCTTTCAATGAAGACTTTGGCGGATCCAGGCGTGTGGTGGTTCATGCCTTGGTGGACGGCAGGAAATGAGCGGCCGAGATGTAGAGTCCCACAGAAAGCCACCTGATGGCGTCTACGAGGCTTCCAAGCTGTACTTGTAGCAAGGTGGGTGGTTGAGAAGCTGCCGATGTGTACTCGTCAGAGCTGGCGGTAGTCACGAGTCGTGCTGGGAGGATCCTGGGACAGTCCATGCAGCGGCGCCCCAGCATGACAACTCGCCCCTGCCCGATCTACTGGGGCCGTTTAAAGAAAGCCGCACCAGGGTCTCAGTGGCTGGCGAAGCTGCTGCGAGTCAGGCTGTCGTCTGTTGGCTGTAATTACCTTCGCTGGGCGCAGGAAACGGAGGGTCCTGGGCGAGGCGACCTTTAGATATGGTCCCCCGATTCAGCCAGGCACAGAGACGTGGAGCTGCGAGGAAGAAGCAACAAGCTGGTCGTGTGCGTAGACGCGGCAACATGTGTGGCGGCAGTTGGAGAGGCGCTCATGTCTTATACACCAACTGGCCTGGGCCGGCGGCACCGCATACCTGGGTCCCGCTAAGGGCAAGGCTCAGAGGTCGGCCGTTTACTGTTTGCAAAGTCCGTTCGCGCGTGTGCCAAAGAAGAAGCCAGTGAGGCCAGTGGGCCGGAAGGAAGCATTCTAAGACCCGACGCCCCGGGAGTGACGGCTGACCAAGACACGGCTTTACTTGTGCCAGTGCACCTCGATGGCCTTGAACATGAGACTGAGCAGGGGCAGCGTCCGGACGGTTATCCGAGGGGCTGGCCGCTGTCTCGCTGTGTTTCGAACTGGGGGCAGGCCGTCCCGATGCTGGAGGCCACCTTCAGCGTGCTGCCAACGACACTAATGATAGAAGGTTTGGTTCCGTTCCGCGTTGGGCCGATCCGGCCTTGCATTGCGGCGACTCTAGGCCTTGGGCCACCCCCGTCCAGGCAGGATTTGGAAGCAGTACGGGGGGATGGGCGCCCTGGGGAGGCAGAGTCGTCATGGCTTGCAAACTCTTTGGGGCCGACAGGGCAGAGCTAAAACGGAGGAGGAAGGGGGGGGGGGGGCTGCCAGGCCACGCCTCACCGCGGACAGTTCCGGATGGCCGTCAGGTACAGGCTTGCCCCGGGGCATGAGCAGTGACCTCGCTGCGTCTGGCTGCTCTGGACGGCCAAAGCACTGCTTTGTGGTGTCTGTCGATGCCCGGCTGGGCTTTGTTCCCCGATGCAAATGGAGATCGCTGAGCCGTTACCTACTCAGTAACAAGGTCCGTGTGCCTGTCGCCGCATCAAGTGCTTCGTACTTCGTACACTCTCGTGAAAAAGAATGGGGAGGGAGATGGGAAGCACGGAAGTTGGTGGGGTGTGACTCCGTCGAGGGGGGTGTGTTTTTCCGTAACAGGGTACGTGTACTCCGTCCTTCGGCGTGCGGGACTGACCCAGGCACGAAGTACCGAGCCCAGCCCAGCCCAGCCCAGGGACTGAACTCGCTTCGCCGACGCGCCTCAGGGCTTTGCAGCGGCTCGTGGGCCTCGAGACAACACCCCTGTCATGCCATTGCCTGAATGGTTGCTGACCACTGTTGGGCATTGAAACGGAATGTGGCGAGCTCGACCCGGTTTGACAACGCTCATCATGGCCGAGGAGGAGCCGGGAATGGCTGTTAACAATTTCGTTGCGGGCAGGAAACCAGAGTCATGTCCGAACGTCCCAAGTCCCCAGTCCTGATCAAGGGTGTCCAGTGCAAACCGCACTCGCGGTCGAGGTGGCTGCCGTCGGCGGGCCAGCGGAGGCGGACTCGGCAACGGTCAAATTGGTTGGTCGTCAACGCGTGAAGGGGATGGCGTTAAACATTGCAGGGAGGCGTCTGGCTAGAAACGGGGCGAAAGTCGTGGTGGCTGTCCCAAGAGCCTGGGATTGAATGCCACCGAGCGAATCAATGCGAAGGGTCGTGCTCTTGACCTTGCCCTAGCGGCCCTGAGAGAAGGTCGGGACGCAAACCTGAACGCAAATCGGCCGGCAGGCCAAAGCAAGACAGAGAGACCGGGGCATCTAAGACAGCAAACCAATTGGCTCACCCCCGTAGCTGGGGAAAGCAAGCTGAGAGGAAACAGCAGGGTAACAAACGCAGAAACCGAAAAACAACGGTCGTCTCGAGCAAGTCGCATTTTGGTGAACGGTGAGGGTCGGCCATCGACAGGTGGGCGGGGGCGCGAAGAAAGCTTAGATGTGAGCCAAGAACAAGGGGTGGGTTGAGGCTGTTGCCCAGTCCTGAACGAAATGACCTGATGATGCGTGCAAGCGCTGTCGATGAACGAACGGCAAGCAACGCGGGTCGCCGGTGGTGCCCAACAACGCCCTGGTCGGCACTGGGGGACGTCAGGAGTGACTTTGGTTTGTAACGGCGGGATGGATGCAACAGCAAACAGGTTTGCAATCAAACGGCGCCCCTGGCTGCCCGACGTCCCCAGAGACGGGCAAGGCTGTCGATGGCTTTTGGCACCCGAGATGGAGCGGCCGTACCGACCTAGGCGGCCGGTGTAAGAAACCATTCATGCACGATCTCGCCTCGCACCAGAATAGCATGGCATTCTGCGAGCTCACGGAGCCGGCACTTGAGACCCGAGCGCAGCGAGAGCAGCGTGACGGCCAAGTGATCGCCTGCAGGGCTGGTGGTCCTTGGGCAGGAGCTAGCGGATCGCGCGATTCAGCACTTGTGGAGGGTGCCTGTGCAGCCATGTCAGCGTCATTGTCCATGCCCCATGGACAACGGAAAGCTGGCGTGTACAAGTAAAGGTAACCCGAAAGAATGGCATACCCAACAGAGGCAAGACGCCGCCGCCACATGGGACTATTGCGCCGGTCGAAGACAGATCCGACAGCGTGGACGTGTGGCACCGTGTCGATCAGGGGAAATCCAACACCAGCAATGAAAATTGGCGTCGACGGGCAGTTGCCATACCCAGCGCTGACGGATGATACCGGAGCATTCCATTGATCGCGGTTATGTCGGTAGTAGCAGCGAAACGCAGCGCAGCGCAATGCAGCGCAGACATGCGCCATGCACGTCGAATACGAGTGTTTCGTCAACGCGGCCGCAGGATCAGCCTCCTTGGCCGACTGATCAAGCGAAGCTGTTTTTCAGCTAGCGGGGGCGTTGGTCGTTCTGTGGGGCCGGGGCAGGAAACCTGCAGAGGCAGGCAACCTTCTTTGGCGCGCTTAACCGTTCAAGAACGTGCTCGTCGATGGACTCGCAACGTCCTGTAACAGCTCAAGGCATGCTTGCGTCTCGGCTGCAATGGACGCCCGGAAACCTCAGCGTGGCGGCAGGCCTGCCTGGTGCCTGGAGGTTTGAGGCAGTGGATCGTCAAAGCGCATGCCCGCGGAGAGGCGTGCCACCGCCGAGTGCCGGCCGGTGAGGATAACGTAGAAACCCGGAGCCGCGTCAAGCGGCCGTGTCGCGCTGTTGCTTCGCGGTAGAAGCCATTGTTGGCAGGCGTGGAAGACGGACGGGGGCCGTGTTCCATGTTGTGGTGTGTGCGTTGGAAAACCTTAAGCTCACGTGCTGGGGCTCGTTGTATGTACCCTGAGTACCGGGTATTGTTCCAAGTTGGAAGTCCCGGTTAGTGTTGCGGAGGAAGGAAGCACCCGGCGGAGAAATAGGATCAGGAAGGAGGAACGAAACAATGAGGCAACAGCCTGACCAATGCCAGCGGCAACACCACCTTAGTATGGAGGCCCGAGGTCGAATACATAGTACGCACAGGCCACTGAAGCGGCAGGGCACCTTTGCTGCCTCATACTTCATTATGCCAGGGAGCTTTGTTTTCCCCCGGGATTCAATGTAGGGTATGCTCCCGCTCGATCCTCCATGCCACTCGTGGGACGGACGGCCGCCCCTCGCAGACCGGTCGTTAATGCGGTGGCGACCATTGGCCGCCGAACATGGTCTGAGCGCGCCCAGCACATGCCTGGCGCCCAGATGAACGACGACATCTGCCATCTGCACATGAGGGGAGTCCGCGAATGCTGGCGGCGCGACCATGGCGCACGCAACGCGTCAAGCGCATAATACGACCTGCTGGGAGGACGGACTTAGTAGCGGGCAACGGCGCGGGTGCGGCTATGCACGCCCTCACGCACGCACGCATGCCGCACCGCCCGCCAGGCACAGGAAAAGAGGCTTGCGTCTCATCCCAGGCTAGCTCCCACGCGCCAGGCCGGGCACACCCCCTTTTCTCGTTGGGCGCCATTGACGCGCATGGGAGTCAAATCATGCTGGTGCTAGCGCACTCTGGGCCCCATGCCCATCGTTGGAGATGCGCAACATCAGCGCCAGCGTTCCACCAAGAGCCGGAGGACTGCAGGGCCTTGCCGACGGTGCCACGCGACAAGGAATCTGCGTGCCCGCCCAATCGCCAGGCTTCCCGACGCAATCGGCCACTCACTGGGGCCTGGCGGACGTTGCTTGATGTCAATATCAACACGCCGCGTCCGGCGCATGCAAACAAAACACAAACCACTGTGATGCTCGCTCAGGCTCGCGCAGCAGACTCCCATCAAGGACAGCACTGCAAATCTACAGCCCTTGCTGAAAAGGGCCGATCGATAAAGGTGCATGATTTGGCCTTGGAGCCCATCGGGCGCAGAGTTTGGTCCGGTCATCTTCGCCGACGGCCCACGGGCCCCCCGACCATCCCGGGCCTCGATTTGCGACCGCTCGACGACTCGGTCTTTTTCAGCCTCGTGGGCGGAGATGGGGGATCATGACGTCCACCAGAACTGCTCAATCGACGCCACTAGCAGTGGGGATGCCATACGCCTACTGAGACTAGCCGACGATCAAGGCGAGTGGACCGGGACACGGAACGCGCTCCTCCACCACAGTCCAGGAACTTCTCGGTCGCGCGTCCCCGCTGGCGGCGTATCCCACATGGCTCCCTGTTCCCCGTTCTCGGCCTTGGCTACCGACCGACTTGCGAGCGGCGACGGGTCCTGTTGCTAAGACGCTGACACACGGCTTTGCATCGCCGCCAGCTTCACCATTGCCATGTCGCCCAACCTGCGAGCAGCAAGTGCACACGAGACGTTGCAATGCCGTCTGATCTTCCCGCCACATCGAAGAAACCGCTTAATGCCGACGGCGCAGACTCCAGGCTCAGTACCTAATTCGCACATGACGGCGAACTTGGGGCATCCAGGGTCGTTGTCGCTTGCGCTTCGTACTAGTGAAGTCAGCCAGCCTCTGCAAAACGCGGCGCCTTCTAGAAGCCCTCCGTGGATCCACATCGTCAATGCGTCCACGATTGCCCTTGCGCTCGGCATGCCCGATCGAATTGAAACGCAATGGCCGCCTCCGCATGGCCGACCGCACGCCCAGCCATCGCGTTCGTGTGGCTTTCGGCGCCGTTGTGCGCCCATGCGCCTCTCAAGCCCCCAAAGTCCAGGCCAGGTTTCGCAGGCCTGCCCCATGACTGGCGGCTTGCTCGATCTGACCCTCAAAGGTCAAACACGACCCGGTCTGCCCTGCAACTGCCCGTGGATAACCGCCTCCAGTGCTGCGCCGACGCGCCCAAGGACTGCTTCTCAAGCTGAATTCACAGCGCGACGCAAGGGCGTTCCTCTGCTGTTCTAGAACTCGCCTCGGAATTTGGGGTCGAACACCCGAATGTCGAGAGACAGCAGCTGGATCGTATTCCATGCTCAGCTGATGCCAGGTTGGGCAACCCGTCAGCTCTGACACGACGACGTGTGGTCCGCATCGCCCTTGGAACAAAGTTCATCAAAGGACGCTCGCAGCGCCCCTCCCTCAGCATTCAGAACATTGAGTCGATTGCCGAGCACCGGCAGAGAACGCGACCAATGTGCCCCACGGGCCTTCGCAACTTGACTCCAAATGCAGATATCACGCTCATATACAGCTACTCCTACAACGGTGATATGGTACAAACCGCCGCCGTCACTGCGGCTGCTCTGGGCCCAATAGGTCCACAGGCTCAGGCTTGAACCAGTCCTTCCCTCGACCACATGAAGCCAACCCTTCGAGTGGTGTCTTTCCAGCTTAACGCTTCACCCAGGCAGGCATCTTTCGGGCCTTGACGTGACCGTGCTTCTTTCTCTCGACAGTCCTCGGGTCTCTCGTGATGCAGCCGGCTGGTGGGAAGAATAGACGTTAGCAGTTGAAGTCAAGTTGGCTTCACGACAATGGGTGACGTCAAACTTACCTTTCCTCAGAGCCGTCTTGAGGGCTGGTTCATGAGCAATGAGCGCTTTGGCAACGGCCAGGGTGATGGCCTCTGCTTGACCTGTTGTTCCACCTCCCTCAACGAGCACCCACACGTTGTACTTGTCGAGTCTCTCCGTCGCAGTGAGTGCCCAAACAGCGCTCTCGCGGTCGTGAACACGTCCAAACGCCTCGCTGAGCGTCTTTCCATTCACCAAAACCTCTCCGGTGCCTTCAACAACGAACGCCCGTGCGGTGGATTCCTTCCTCTTCCCAACTCCAACAGCTCGCCCAAACTTGTCGATTGGGACTGGGCGCGGCATGTTCAAGAAGGGGTTGATGTCTCTTGCGAAGTCTTGCAGCGCAATCTTCACCTCGGCCGGCCGGAGGGTCGGCTCGATGAGGTTGAGGCGCTTGGCCACCCGGATGACCTTTGCGTAGTGGGACGCCTTGATGGGCTCGCCCATTTGCGATCGCATCTCCTCAAGCTTTGTCCAGGGGACCAGCGGGGCCTCGTTCGGTGATACGGTCGGGAGGTGGTGGTACTTGGTGAGGAGGTTCGAGATGCGGATGTAGAGGTCGTTGAATTGAGGCTCCCTGGAGAAGTAGGAAGGCGTCGCCGGCACAGTGCGGGCGTGTGTGATGCCCTGGTACGGGATCTGAACGGATTCTACCAGATTCGTCCCGGACCCTGCGTCTCCAGCCGGCGGCTGTGTTGATATGGCTCTGATGCATAGCTGAGATGTCGGCCGTTGCCAGGCTGCCTGGCGCCATTGGACGCCGAGGAGTTGCTTCTGGCACCTCAAGTGACGGAGACCGCTTGCGACGTTCGCCATGACGAGGGCGGTGCACCGACAGCCGTCGGGTGGTGCTGTCGCTCGGTGCTGAGGTTGGACCGTGGATGTCGCGATGGCCAGAAAATCTTCCCCTTGGGCGCAAGACTGGTGTCTGTAGCGCCCACGCCACAGCAGAGGTTGGCCGGAATCACGTGGAGATAAGATACCTGCCCTGAGGAAACGGCCAGCCACGCAGGCACCAGCCACAACGTGTGCTGTTGCTTGGGCCACGCTCGCGCGGGGCAGATCCATCCCACTCGCCTAGCTCCCCATTTCAAAAAATTTCCACCGTGGCCACCTCCTCGCCTTCCTTTCCACCTCACAACCCCTCGATTCCAATCGTCCAGTTTGACCAACTGAGCAAATCGAAACCATGGCCTTCGGCACTCTCTTCACCTACGCGGTAAGTCTCAATACCTGAGAGGCCTTTGCTTCCATATTCTGCAAAGGCCCCGTGGCGACCTGAAGCTAACTCTGACTCCCACAGGACAACCCCCGCTCCACCGCCATCAAGGCGGTCGCGAAGGCCAACGGCCTCGACCTCAAGATCGTTGAGGCCGATACCACCAAGCCCAGCATCGAGCACCTCAAGGCCCACGGCCTTGGCAAGATCCCTGCTTTCCTCGGCGAGGATGGCTATGCCCTGTCTGAGTGCATTGCCATTGCCATCTACGGTACGTGAATCTCCGGCTCGCTGCCTGTGCTTCCTAGAGTTGCCCAGCCTTTTCTGGCATGTCGAGATGCCCTCGAGTGATGATTTAGCCTATCATTTTATACAGTTATCCCTGTCTGAAACCATTTGTGTGGATAAAGCCTACCTTCTGATCGTTTTATTCTTGTCCTACGCTGTTCTGCCTTGCCCTGTGGCGAACCAAAGCTGACAATCTTGAATAGTCACCTCCCAGAACGAGAAGACCACCCTCCTCGGCAAGACCAAGCAGGAGTAAGTAGAAGCCAACACTCTCTGTGGCGGAATGACCTCGTGCTAACAGAGGTCCAGCTATGCCTCTATCCTGAAGTGGATGTCCTTCTTCAACTCCGAGTTCGTCCCCAACTTCGGCAACTGGTTCCAGCCCCTTGTTGGCAAGATCCCCTACAACAAGAAGACTGTCGATGATGCCTCCAAGGCTGTTGCCAAGGCCACCACCGTTGTCGAGAAGTACCTCACCCGCCACACCTACCTGGTTGGTGAGCGCATCACGCTGGCCGATCTCTTCTGCGCCTCGCTCCTGCACCGTGGCTTCCAGTACTTCTTCGACAAGGAGTGGCGCTCGCAGAACCCCGCCACCACCCGCTGGTACGAGACCGTCGTCAACCAGCCCATCATCACCGATGTTGCCAAGCCGCTTCCCTTCCTTGAGAAGCCCGCCTTGACCAACACTCCCCCCAAGAAGCCCGAGCAGCCCAAGGCCGCCCCCAAGCCCGCTGCTGCCCCCGCTGCCGCCGCTGAGGAGGAGCCCGCCGCCCCCAAGGCCAAGCACCCCTGCGAGGCCCTCCCCAAGGCTTCTTTCCCCCTCGATGAGTGGAAGCGTCACTTCTCCAACAACGAGACCGACGAGGCCCTCAAGTGGTTCTGGGCCAACGTTCCCCTCGAGGAGGAGTACTCCATCTGGCGTTGCGACTACAAGTACAACGATGAGCTCACCCTGACCTTCATGTCCAACAACCTCATCGGTGGCTTCAACACCCGCCTGGAGGCTTCCCGCAAGTACATCTTCGGCAGCGCTTCCGTCTATGGCGAGAGCAACGACTCCGTCATCCAGGGTGCCTTTGTCATCCGTGGCCAGGACCACGTCGGCGTCTTCGACGTCGCTCCCGACTGGGAGAGCTACGAGTTCAAGAAGCTCGACCCCAAGAACGCCGAGGACCGTGCTTTCCTCGAGAACATGTGGTCGTGGGAGAAGGGCGTTGTCGTCAACGGCAAGGAGTACGCCCACGCCTGCGGCAAGGTCTTCAAGTAAGGGCATGCGCCAGGACGGACCTGCCAATAGGGCAATGTTGATGAAGGTACATGTGTGAATGATGAAGAAAATGGAACGGCTACGATACTAGGTCGCCCGATGAAAATACATCTACTTTGCCAACGTCACTCAATTGTTGACGTGCTTTGAATGTGATTCTTTACTGGTGATGACAATGGATGACTGTGTACTGAGGTAAACGAAGAGCGGCTCGACAAACCAGATCCAGAGCTACACAAGCACACAACTCGACTACCGAGGATGCTTGCGTCGTGACAACGCGGGGTATCATGACAGAAGTGTAAAGCGCTGAGCCAAGACTGCCGGTGGTCTATAAGGGCAGAACAGAATGGGCCATCACGGCTTAGTCCTCCTCGGCCGGTGCGGGAGGGAGCTGGTAGCTGGGGTCCAACTTGAAGGGAGTCTCGCGCATGTACCGACTGATGTCTGCCTGGTAGCAGAGCAGGTTGAGATAGTCGTGCACCTGCGGGAGGACATCCACTCGATCACTCTGGATTCCAGTGAACTCGGGGATCGTGAGGATGTTGTGGGGTTCGCTGCGGCCCTTTTCGAGCGAGTCGTCGACGAGGACGGTGTTGGATTGATCCCAACGACCACCGCTTGCGGCGTGCGGATGTGAGGCCTGCACCTTTGCGTCGTTCCATAGGGTGGTGAGGCGCTTGTAGCACTGAACGCGAGTATTGTAGTCATTTGCGGAGAGGCCAAAGCGGTCGCGGCCCCAGATGACGACGCAGCGACGGCGCTGCTCTTCGGTGAGGATCTGGTCCAGCATGCGCCTGACGTTCTCGGGGCGGGCCGAGGACCAGACGGCGAGGTAGAAGGTGTCGAGGCAGTAGCCGAGAAAGGGTCGCGCGTGGGGCCGCTCCACGAACTTGGTAGGCATGCGGCGTGTTGGGCGGTAGAGCAGAGTACCGTTGAGGTCGAGGATGACGAGGATGCGGCGCGGGCGAGGTAGGGTCGAGGGCGGGGCGAAGGACTGTGCGAGGTAGAGCGGCGTGGGATCGGGGATGCCGCCAGACGACGCGCTGGGAGCTACACGAGGGTCGCGCGCCCCGTCCTGATTGATGTTGGCAGCTTCAGCAGCGGCAGCTTGTGATCTATCAAACATGGTGTCAGCATTTGGTTGGACGGGCAGTTCCCCTACTCGGGCTGCGACTGACCTCGTCGCGGCGGCATGGTTCGCGGCCTTGGGCTTGCGTTTGATCAGGCTCTTGGGTAGCTCATACACGGCCGGGCCTGTAGGCGCGCCCGGAGACGGCTGTCCCTGAGCCATGGCTTCGAGGAGTGTCAGTCCAGGGATTCCAGGCTGCTGGGCTTGGTGCTGAGGTTGTGAAGGATGGCCACGCCCGAGGTCGGCGATCTGCGCGCTAGGTATGTGAGCCGTGGCTGCCTGCGCGGCAAACGGCGGCAAATGACCCTCGCTTGCGAAGTAGTTCATGACTGACGGCGGCCTCAGGCAGGGGACCGGTCCATGGCCGTTTGGACGGTCGCGCAAACGGGCGTGCGAGTTCTCGGACGCTGGACCTGGCTGCGGCGTTCGTTGTTGTCGCCTCTGCTGCTTTGATGCGAACTTTGCCGAAGAAAATCGGTTAAATAAAGGTGCCGTTCTGAGAAATCGCATCAATCGCTCGTGGCCGCTCCGATGTGAAGAGCCTAGTATGTGGAAGTAGTAGATGGGTGCAAGAACATGGCTGCGGAGTGGTGCCTGTCGTTGAGGCGCGAACCGGGATGCCCCACGACGGCGGGGCCCCGTTACTGGCAAGGACCCTTGTCTATGCAGCTAAGCAGGTCAACTTTTTTTTCCTGCCTGTTATCGATAGGCCGAAGCTCCAGGTCCCGCCTCGAAATTTACAAGGTGGGAGGAACGCCGGCGCATCAGCTTTGTCGACATCGCATTGACTCAGTGCTTTTTGCCGCGCAACCTCCAGAATCATGCCGCCGAAACGAAAGATTCCGTCATTGGGCCTCGAGCGGAGGGTCCGCGCGAGAAAAGAGGAGAAGTGGGAGCCAGAGCCAGATTCCGAGGCTGAATCATCCGGCAGTGAAGTGTCGGAGGAAGGAGTTGATGGTCGCGAGAGCGATGAGGAGGATGGATCTGCGCCGTCAGATGACGAATCTCAGTCAGGATCAGAGGTAATGCCTCCCCCAAATACCTACAGTCTCATGCGGTTACTGACGCGACCATTAGTCCGGATCGGATGACGATGACGATGCGCCGCCCAAGATCGACCTCTCCTCCGTCTCCTTTGGCGCATTAGCCCGCGCGCAGGCTTCCCTCCCGCCATCCGACCGCAAGTCGAAGAAGTCACGCCCACAAGACTCGAAAGAAACCGACAACCCGCAACAAGCCCTCCGCGAAGCACGCAAAAAGGAATCACAGTCCAAGCCCCAACCGCCACCCAAGCGCTCCTCCAAGCACGCGCCCCAGGAGCAGACGTCCAAGCGACAGGTGTCGCGCCGCCGCGAGATCCTGCCGGACCTGCGGCGCAAGGCCCGCGACCCGCGCTTCGACCCGCTCGTCGGCAAGCTCGACGAGGCCAAGGCCAAGAAGGCCTACGCCTTCCTGGACGAGTACCGCGACAGCGAGATGGCGGACCTGCGCGCAGAGATCAAGAAGACGAAGAACCCCGTGGCCAAGGAGGACCTGAAGCGCCAGCTCATGTCCATGGAGTCCAAGAAGAAGGCCAGGGTGCGCAAGGAGGAGGAGGAAAGGCTGCTGCAGGAGCACCGCCAGCAGGAGAAGGAGCTCGTGGCGCAGGGCAAGACGCCCTTCTACCTGAAGAAGAGCGAGCAGAAGAAGCAGCTGCTGACGAAGCGGTTCGAGGGCATGAGCAAGGGCCAAGTAGACAGGGCGATTGAGCGCAAGAGGAAGAAGGTGGCTGGCCAGGAGAAGAAGGAGCTGGATTTCCTTCAGAGGAGGGACCGGCGATGAGCTGACGAAGCTTTGGATGTCACAGCCGCTCGATAGATGAGCAGGCAACGCGAACGGGCGAGGACGTGATGTGGAATAGTCTTCATGACCAGGCGTTGATACCCTCATAAGTGGAATTGGCTAGTTAATCGAGCACATACGACCATAGCCACAAGAGAATTCGGGATCCCGTCCGCTCTCCCATAGACAAGCTTGTGAGCGGCAGATTAGTAGTTGGGTCGGTGACGACCAGCGAACACCGGCTGTTGTATGTTTTTTGCGATCCGCCGCGATTTTTAGTGTTTTGTCGTGGTGGTAGATGATGCGCATATAAGTCGATTTGCTTCGACGTACTAGCACATACGACCATAGCCATAAGAATATTCGGGATCCCGTCCGCTCTCCCATAGACAAGCTTATGAGCGGCAGATCAGTAGTTGGGTCGGTGACGACCAGCGAACACCGGCTGTTGTATGTCCTTTATTTTTTGTTGTCTGGCATGATTTTTGCCCCCCCTAGTGTTCGTGGCGGTGGGGATGGCGATGGGGACATAAGTGGGTTTCCCTGGGTATAAACCAACGTCTGACGTGAAGCACGTCCTTGCAGCAGTCAATGCATGGGAGCAGTCGTAATAGATACCTAATGACTGTCTCAAGAACGGCTGCCTGCATTGTTTGTGTCTGGTACTGACCAGCGTCCTAGTAGACCGTAGGGTGTACTCGCTGGCAAGTTCGCTCTCATTGTGGCTTGGCTTTCCGACTTACACGGCAGACATGGCGGTCGTGCACCTGTCTGCGAATGCGACAATTGTGCAATACATGTTCAGTTCCCAAACAGACCTCTAAGAATTCCAGCAACCAAAGGACCGCAGGCAGATGCCACGAAGTATTGACCCGAGACCCTCAACGATGTGTTCCTTCCGACTTGATTGCCGTCATTTTCATTTGCAAGAGTCAAACCTCTCAGTCATCCCGCATCCGTTCTCGCACTCCTTGGCATATCTGATGATCTGGTCCTTGTCGCATACAAAGAGGCCCCTACCGGTTTCGTAGACGTGGAGCGCGTGAACGGCAGCCATGGCGAGGTGAAGGTCCGATATCGAGACTCCTTGTAGGCCAGTTAGCATTTCCTCTCCTCTAAAAGCAAGCTGCAGAACGCCTGCCCATTGCATACCGTAGTTGCGAAGGCGAGTTCCGCAGTAGGAGCGTCCCTGCTCACACGTCCAGCCCGCCGTGCCCTTTGTCGGCCCCAGGGCCGCGCCGCCGAGCACCACGCCGGGCGCCACGCCGAGCAAGACGAGATTGGGCATGCGCATGGTGCTGGTGAGATTAAGGTTTTTGCGCTGGCGTTTACGAATTTGTTGGAGAGGCCGGAGAGTTTGGACGGGGACGTTCAGATGCACGAATAGACTAGAAGGGGTAGATAAGAGGATGAAGAGTAGAATAGAAACATGGGGCGGACAGGATATGTCTATATCATTCCTAAAACGAGCGGTTTTACTTGGTCTCCTTGCCACTTGAGTTGCTGTTACTTGTGCGCATTGCTGCAAAGCGCCATGGTCAGTCAAATCGTAGCGTTGGAGTTGGGTAACAGGCCTATGTCGATGACTAGGCTGCCTATTTGTGCCAGGTAATCCTTCCATAACACATTGACTCGCTCGTTGCATTTGCCTCGCGGTTCATTAGCTCTGCGGGCCAAAGGGCTTATTTATTACGGTTGGCGGGAAGTAATGAGTCAATGGTGCCTCTGTGCTTGCCGACGCGGACTGGTAACTTACAACGACTGTTGGCCGGAGACGTGTGTGTGCGTGTATGTGTGTCAGTGCGAAGCTACAGCAACAAATTGACTACATAATACACGCATGCATTTTAAAATAGATGCTCGGCACTATTCAATGCGCGCCGGACTATAAGTTTGGTTTCAACATCTTGTTGGTCAATCCAAGAGTTTAGTCAAGGATTCAGCAACACGAGCAACACGGCCGCAGCACGCAATACTTCCTCCGCGAGGCGAGGATCAAAATGTCCGAGCCAAGTCCTCCTCTCGGGACTGCTGGGACGAGTCGAGGCCCCCAGCAGGCAGCAAGCTCCGGCCAGGCGTCAGCATTGCCTGCTCTGGCGTCAACTTTCGAAGAGTGTCGTCGTGCCCTTGGCCCCCCTTCCCCCTCTCAGCCAGCCGATCCCGCATCGATGCAGCCAGCCAGCCTCGTTGCCAATGGAGGGGCCCGGTCGGAGAGCCAAGAAACCCTGCATGTGGTGGTCTGGTGCCGGACGGGCCGCTGTCCGGCGTAGACATGCAGCCGCGGGCCGGGACAACGCCTCGACCCGCGGGCTTGAACTGCCGTAGCGGGCGACATGCAGCACAGCACAGCCGCGTCGCGGGCGGCTTGGAGGGGCAAAACGCGGCTGGCTGGCTGCACACTGCGGGCGGCGGGCAAGGATCGGTTTGACCGGGCTGCCTGGCGCTATCGACTGTTGTTGATCGTTGTCTGGGATTTTTCGCAGCATAGTATTTGCTGGATGGACGGAACGGAATACGAGTATGCAGGCAGAGTGAGAGAGAGCGTATAGACCTCCCGCTCGACCCTGGTCGTCGAGACCCCGCAACAACATCATCAAAGACAGAAAGTCGACGGGCGTAACGCGCGAGGCCAATGACGCGGCTTGGCGAACCTCAGCTGTGCTGCGCGAACGTGTTTGCCATACGCCATGATGACCAAATTGGTCGCACAAAGCAGCACAGAGTTGTCTGGTCTGTTGTCCCCCCCGATGCTGGTTCCGGCCACGACCTCCGCAACACTTCGCACGTTCAGGCCCCATGAAGTCGTCGTGGCGCACGTATGCATGTACTGTATCGTCAACGCCTGTTTCAAACGTGTACCACGGCCGGCGAGGTCTGCCGCTGCTACTGCCGCTGCTCCTGCACGGGTGGGCCTCGACTTTTCCTTTCGTCGAAACCGCCCATCCATGCTTGATGAAAGCTTCTGTGCTACGCCGGACATGCGGGCAACCTTGCTCCTCGCGAATCACCGTCGGTGTCCGGCATGGGCACAACATTGAACGTCTCGTCCGGCTTGCCATGTCTTGGAAGAAAACACCAAGCGGTCAGGTCGTACCGTGTACAGCCATCGTCACATGCCTCCCAGATGCCTCTGTTGCCTGGCAGGACGGACTGTATGGTGTTCTATCAAGGTGGCAGGCGGTCCTCCCTCCCCCACTACTTGTCTCTTCTCGCCAGCCGCTCGACGCGCATACCGTGAACCGAGTGGCTGGACGCCGTCGGGCTCGACTCAAGCTGAACGATTACTCTATATAGTCGAACCCCGCGGCGGTGCATGCATGGGAACCAAAAGGCCCCTTTGTTTGACACATGGGGACGCGGTTGTTGAGAGACCGGAGGGATACCCAATGCAACGCGGTGCCCAACCGAGAAGCCTCGATCGCGGGCCCAGGTGTAGGAGGAGTAGAGACTATCGACGGCCATCTCCGTGGGACGGATGGATGTCTATATAAGGCTCGCTCCTCCTCCGGAGGTGAGGTCGTTCTTCTGTGCTGTGTAGTTCACAAGGAACAAGAACCACATCCGGAAACGTGACTTACACTTACACGCAACCCGACCCACTCATACACACTCACTTCCCCATCAGCTGACAGAATGTCTGCTCAAGTCAACGAAATCTTCTTTGGCGCCGCCGTGGCCGCGGTGCGCAGGGGCAGCAGCCTCCGCGTGTACGAGACCGACGTGTCTGGCGGCATCCGCGAGGCCCAGTACGAGGGCAAGTGGACCGGCGGCTCGTCCTCCAACATCATCGCCACGGGCAAGATCGGCACCCCCGTCGCCGCGACCAACCTCGAGTTCAACTCGATCCGGGTCTACTACGTGGGCACGGACAACAAGGCCAAGGAGGCCGCCTATGACAGCGGCAAGGGCTGGGTGAGTTGGACCCCTTGCTTGATCTCTGGTCGTTCCGTGTCTGAGTGAAGTGAGTGCTGACAGTTGAATGCGGGCAGTACAACGGTGACTTGAGCCGGGCGGACTTTTCTGTTGCTCCTTACTCGGGCATCTCGGCCGTCTTCCTTGGTGGCCACAGCATCCTGCGCGTCTACGGACAGCTCCCCAACGACACCATCCAGGAGTGGTGCTGTGCGTCTTCCCCCTCCCCCCCTTTCACTCTTGCTCGTCCGGTGATGCTCACTGCTTGAGCTCAAATGACATTGTCTAACGGGAGTCGGACATAGGGGACAACAACGGCAAGTGGACGGTTGGCACCAACCTCGGCGCTGCCCTTCCCGGCAGCTCCATCGCCGCGACGACCTGGGGCGGCTCGCCCTACCACATCCGGTACGAACGTCCAACCTACCTGCCCCTTTCCTTCAAGTCTCATGTGATGCTCACCATTCTTGTAGTGTCTACTACCAGGACGCCAAGCTCAACCTCGTCGAAAAGGCCTGGGACGGCAAGGGCTGGTACCAGGGCGGCTTCCACGTGGCCAACAAGGTGCCGCGCGCGCCGCTGGGCGTCACCTCGTGGGGCGAGGGCAACAGCCTGGGCATCCGCGTCTACTACGGCACGGTGTCCAACGTGATCAAGGAGAAGGGCTGGGACGGCAGCAGCGGCGGCTGGTACGACGGCGGCTTCTCCCAGGAGTCGGTCCCGGGCTCCCGCGTGTGCGCCATCCCGCTCGACATCCTGCGCGTCTACATCCAGAACGGCACGCTCAGCACCGCCGTCACCGAGTTTGCCTGGGAAGGCAAGTGGGTTGTGGGCAAGGATGCCCTGCCGCCCGCCTAAGTGAGGCAGTTGCACGTGGTGAGAGCATGAAGCAATGAGGCGACGTGCGATGAGCGTTGGGCAGAGAGAGCGTTGGGTGGGAGATGATGAGAGTCGCGGCGAGAATGGCAAATTTTTAAGGGGAGACACGGGTAAAAACTGAAAAGCAAAAAGTACGGGCAAGTTCCTTGCGTACTGTAGCGCTTCATTACCGTATTCGTCAACATAACAAGCTCCGTGGTGGGAACTTGCTGGTGTGCCTGAAAACCTGACCCGACTTGCCCATGTTCTCAGTAGTAATGACCAGAGTAAGCCCAATCTATCGCCCTTTCACGGTTGTGTGTACGTTATCCTGCCTGGTTCGCACTTTGGGCAGCAAGGTGCCTTATGTTGGCGCACGTGGTGCCCATTGAACTCAACTACTCCTCCTAATGGGCCGTGAGAGAACATGAAACAGATCGGGAAGATGTTGAGCGGCCAAGACTGAGAAACTTCAGTGGCTCTATAATATCTGGGAGATTGATTGAGTGTCCACCTAAAGGCCCCCTGTTGGCGTCCAACACCTTTTCTTTGCTCGGCCATAGCTCCCACGCAAGCTAGCATAAAGCCTGCCATTCGGAGATAGCACATGCTTGCTGCCATCACCGGACTTAAATGTGCTATACGTCTAAACCAAGAGTCATCCAGCTGTTGTACAGAGAGGAACCTCTTAACTCCGTGTTGGTCTATTTACGCGTCCCACCGCGCTCCCAAGTCTATACTCTACTACACCCTATTTCCGACAATATCGTACAGTTGTGATGTGAGTTTGTTCTAGTTTTGCACATAGCCCGACTTGCCAATGGCATTGACAAAGAGATCGCGGCACGGGACCTTGGAGCCGAGCTTGGCGCACAGCAGGAACGCGCCGCTCAGCTTGCGGTGGAGGCTGTACGTCTCCTCGGGCGGCGGGGCGAGGCGCTCGTTGAGCATGAGCGGGATGAGCGCCTTGACGCGTTCCGTGATGGTCTGGTCCTTGAAGTCGTACACGGCGGGCGCCGACGCGAGGAACGGCTCCGCAATGGTCAGCACCGAGTCGACGTGCGCGTCGAGCATGGCTTTGCTCTCGTGGCCCGTCAGGTAGCCGAGGCTCTCGGACAGAACGCGCACACGCTCGCGGTCGCCGCGCGAGGCGCCCTCGAGCAGCTGCACGTACTCGCGCACAAACGCCTCCGGGTACTCGCGCGAGGCGCCAAAGTCGAGCAGCTCGAGCTTGTTGATGCTCGCGTTGTACAGGAAGTTGGTCCAATTGGGGTCCGTCTGCATGAAGCGGAATTCGGTGATCTCGCGCAGGCAGAGGCGCATGATTTGCGTGCCGATCCAGTCGCGCTGGGCCTGCGTGAACGAGGAGACGCGCGTGACGCCGATGCCGTCCATAAAGTCCATTGTGAGGACCTGCTTGCCCGACGCTTCGAGGTGGACGTCGGGCGCCAGGAAGACGTCCTCCTCGCCCTTGAGCAGGTCCTTGTAGCGGATCGCGCACTGCGCCTCGCGCTCATAGTCGCACTCCCAGCCAAGCTCCAGCCTGGCGTTGTCGATGGTCTTGTCGAGGTACAGGCCCTTGGGCAACAGCTTGGTCGCGTTGAGCAGGATGCCCAGGTTGTCCAGGTCCGAGTTGATGGAGTCGGCTACACCGGGGAACTGGATCTTGACGGCCACCCGCTTGCCATTAGACTTGAGCACCGCCTTGTGCACCTGCCCAATCGACGCGGCCGCAATGGGCGTCTCCTCGAACTCGCTAAAGAGGTCGCGCCAGTTCTCGCCGAGGTTGCTCACCAGCACCCTGTCTCGCTGCCACGCGGGCATGTAGTCGGCGCGGTCCTGCACCCTCTGCAGCACCTCCTGAATCGGCGCCGGCAGCATCTTGGAGTCCTGGAAGCTCATCATCTGGCCCATCGCCTGTCTCTTATACACATCTAGATGTGTATAAGAGACAGGTCCTGCACCCTCTGCAGCACCTCCTGAATCGGCGCCGGCAGCATCTTGGAGTCCTGGAAGCTCATCATCTGGCCCATCTTGAGGGCGGCGCCCCGCATGCGCGACAGTTTGGCCACCAGCCGTTCTATGTTCTTGCCGCTCAGCAGCACCGAGCCCTCGCCGCCGCCGCCAAAGGCTCTGCTGACCGTCTCCGACATGGCGCCCCCGAGCATGCCGGCAGCGAGCCCGCCATAGTTCCAGATGCGGCTGAACCGGGATGCCGGTACCTTGGATTCCCGCAGCTTGTAGGCGGGCGCGGGAGGCGCGCCGCTGCCGACCAGGTCTTTTGCAATGTCTATCGTCTCCTTGTCCACTGTGGCCGTGCCTGTCTCGACGGGGCGAGGAGCCACTGGTGTAGGCTCCGGTGTAGGCTCCGGCCTATGCTCTGGCATTGAATTCGGAGCGGGCTCGGGAGAAGGCTTCGGGGTGGCCGAATCCGCTTCTTGCGGCGGAGGAGAGGCAGTTGTCTTCTCGGCGGCCTTGGCGATGTCTTCACCAGCCGAATCGACGCTCGGTGTCGCATTGATGTCGACCGGCGGCGGCCTCGGCCAGTACCGCAACGGGTGCTCCTTTGCTGGCCCTCCCGCACCCGGCGGCGGCCGTCTGATCCCTGCGACCTTCTGCTTCTTCAACGACTCCAATATGTTGGAACCGCGGGTCGTGTGAAAGATGTTCACGTCGACGCCCGGCGGCAGCTCCACGTCTGCCGCAGCGTCCCTGTTCGCCGCAGCGGCCAACTTCTGGGCAGCGGCCTCGAAGCCCTCAGCCGCCGTGCTGCGCTTGATATTCGCTGTCTCGGGAATCGGTCGCTGCCCTGGCGGTGGTTGTGGTGGACTCGGCTTAGAGGATTCTCTCGCAACGGCCGAGTTTTGTTCCTCCACGGGGCTCTCATTTTGCGCTCTCTCGCCCTCCCTCGACTCGGTCGAAGCCTCCTGTGTCGACGTCGGTTTCACCTCTCTCCATTTCGCCGGAATGCTCGACGTCCTGCCGTATGCGTCGAGCTGCCGGCTGCGGAGGGCAATGTGCTTGGACGCGACGGACCGCGAGGCGTTGAGCAGCGCCGCCGCGTCAATGACCAGGTCCACGAGCCTCATGAGCACTGGGCCGCCTCGTAACGCCGGGCGCGCATCGACAATTGGGTCGGGTTCGCGTCGATTTTCGTCGGCACAAGACGGGTAGATGGGCTGATGGGAGCTGCAAATCCATGGTGGAAATGGTTGACGTCGTATGCAGCTAAAGGGGCGGGCACTTTGCGACCCGCGTCCAGCTCTGTGACGCTGGACCCGCGATCTAGTTTACTCTCCGTCACTTGAGTCCGTGGAATAATTTACTGAATGAGATTGATCCAGGCCTTTGGAGGGCTCGTCGTGATGCTTGGATTTGCTTCTCAATCTTGACGCGAGCTGGAAAGATCCCTATCATGCTCGAGCGAGTAGCTTTGATACAACCCGACCGCGATAAACCTGGGCATTCTGCCATCCCGACTTCATGACACTCTCGCGAGAGATGTCTTTCCCATGAACGCAATGTCTATATAACCTCTGTGTCAATGCAAACGCCGTGCCAAAACTTATACCCGAACCATACCCTCATCTTTGGACCCGAACAATCTCCAAACGCCAGTGAATGCAATCATGATCTGTGGCACGCTGGATCTTCCTTCTACTTCCGCTTCGTGATTGGTGTAGTAACGCTCTTGAGCAATGAGCCCCGGGGGCGCATCGGAGTCGATACGCCAAAAGAGCTACCAGGCGTTTTGTCCTTTGGTGTCCCCATCGAGCTCCATAGCCTCTGCGCCGCCGGCGTGAGGTCACCCGAGACACGCGGGCTACTGGGAAACTTTGGGACTGGCGTCTTCGTAATCTTCCCTGTGAAACCTTGTGTAGATGACTCCTTGTTGGACTTTGCGATCCGCTCGACCATCTGCTCATGGAGCGACTCTCGTTTCCTCGGTTGCTGGACCTTGAACGGGTTGTGCGAGTCGCCCGGGCCCAAGTCGATGAGCGGCGGTGCGGAACCCAAGTCAGACTCATTGTCGTCTACAAAAGCATAGCCGTTCACCCTCGGTGTTTCGCCTCCTCCTGCGACGCTCGAATCCTGGTCTCGCCGCCGCGGCCTACCTGCAATCGCATCGCGGACGGACGACATGGTTGGCGAAGGAGGGCGTTGCGGCACATGAGGCTGCGGGATCCTGGTGTTCTCTAAGACAATGGCCTTGGGTGCCATCCGAGATGCCTCTTCCGCTCGTTGAGCAACCGTGGCAACCCCATCATCCAGTTCACTCGGCGCAAACATCAAGCCATTTCTCGGGTTCGCATCCCAGGAGTCGGGTCGTGCCGGGCGGTCGTCCGAGTCCTTGATAGCAAGGCGATCGCGCTTGATGAAGCCATCATCAATGAGCTTGCCGGACTCAGCGAGTTTGTCGGTGACCTCTTTCTGCTTGATCATTTGCTTCGAAGGGAGCTTATTGCCGTTCCACATCCACGCAGTCTTGTCGGCCCTCTTCTGGTTCTGTTTGTCGACCAGCTTATAGAAACTTTCGTTGTCCTCGCTCGTGTAAGTCGACTGAAACTTGGTCAGGCTCATGTTGGAGCCAAGCGCTGGCTTTTCCGCGACAGTCGTCGACGCTACCGAGGCGGGCGTATCCCCCACGTACGTGCTCGGGGTTCGCCCAGCCTCCTGCGTTGCGCTCGATCGAAAGGGTGTCCTGCGCCGCCCTGGCGTCATAGCTTCCTGCAGAGTTCTGCCCGCGCTGGCTATCTGGATAGGATCCTTCGACTCCACGGCATTCAGGTAGTCGCTCTGGAGGGACGCCACCTCGATGCCGGGGAAGTAATCTCTGGCGATGATGTGCGCCAGTGTGTCGGTGTATTCATCTTCGGCGAGGACTTGTCGGGGACGCTTGATCTTCTTGACTTGCGGCGGAGGGGGCATGAGGTCCGTGTCGGTCCTCTTGCGCACCAGCGCTTTGGACTGGTTCGGGGTGGAATCCATGATGGGCGTGCCGGTGACTTGCGCGCGAGTGGTGCGCTCAGACGAATGGCATCATCAAGCCCCTCGCCACAAGCCCAGGGGACGGGAATATGAGGCCCAGACTCTCTCTGACGAGGTAGGTGAGTGTCGTGGGGGGCGCATGCGCGGCTGCAAAGAGTGTTCGTCGAACGCGGCGTGCGGGCGGCGTTGAAGCGCAGGCAGCCGTGGGAAGTCGGGCGACGTTCAAGATCGATCCATGGATGATGCGCCCCACTCAAGTTAGGTTGCCTCGAGAGGTGCAGGGCGGCCGTGCCGATAGATATGCAAGTAAACGAGTCTCGGCTTTCGGCGCCGGGCTCTCTGTGCTCGAGTTAATCAATCAGTGGAGCACCACCAAACAAAGGCGCTCACGCCCTGCGGAGCCCGTTCAGGCTTCTAGCACCATCCACGCCCTATAGCAGTGGCCCGCCAGGCATCCAGGGCACTCGAGCACATGGCCCCCCGCTGACAAGGCGGCAGCTCCAGTGGGCCTCGCCCCGATCCAACTGCCCGTATCTCCAGGAAAACCCCCCCGCCGCTCCGGTTCCAAAAGTCTTCCCGTCACGTTCGCCGACTTAGACCCGCGCGCATCTAGAGTTTGTTTCCTCGATCCTCAGCCCCATCCGTTGCCGGCGCCCGCTGCGACGTCGCATTGGGGACTGTATTCCTTTCTCCTTCCGTGAGCCGAGCCTGTTTTCTTGCGATTCAGCATCTTCACCCCCGCGACCATCCCGCGCCTCGCCCTCGAGCCTCCCGCCATTGCGAGCGCCGCCACCATGTCGCAAGAAGCCGTCGACCTCAAGAACAAGGGCAACAAGGAGTTCGCCGCCGGCGACTACCCTGGGGCCGTCACATACTATTCCAAGGCCATTGCGCTGAACGACAAGGAGCCAACCTTCTTCACGAACCGAGCCCAAGTGCGTCGCCGAGTGTCCCCCGCCCTCGTTTGCTCGTGTGACTGACCTGCATGTTCCGCAACCGATCAGGCATACATCAAGACCGAGGCCTATGGTTACGCCATTGCCGACGCCGACAAGGCCCTCGAGTTGAATCCGAAGCTGGTCAAGGTTGGTGCTCCCCGTCCTCACCCTCCACTGCTTCTGTAGCTAACCTTGCTGCACGCAGGCTTACTATCGCCGAGGCCTCGCCCGAACCGCCATCCTCCGACCCAAGGAGGCAATCGATGATTTTAAGGAATGCGTCCGGTTAGATCCGAACAATAAGGATGCTAGGCTCAAGCTGGAGGAGTGCAAGAAGATTGTGCGCCAGCTCGCCTTCTTCGCCGCCATCGAGGTTGGCGATGAGCCTTCAGCGGCCGAGGGCCTCGACCTCGACTCGATGGCTGTTGATGCCGACTATGATGGCGTTCGCCTGGAGAAGGAGATGACCCAAGAGTTCATCGACGACATGATTGAGCGCTTCAAGACCGGCAAGAAGATCCATCGCAAATACGTCTACCAAATCATCCTTGCCGTCAAGGAAATCGTCTACCAGGAGGCGACCATGGTGGAGATGGAGATTCCAGACGATGTCGAGCTCACCGTCTGTGGCGATACACATGGTAAGTGCTCTCCAAAGTCTTCATGACCCTTTGCTCTGGCTGACCTCCCATGCAGGCCAATACTTTGATCTCATGGAGCTCTTCCGTCGCAACGGCTCGCCCAACGAGAAGCACTGGTACCTGTTCAATGGTGACTTTGTCGACCGGGGATCCTGGTCGACCGAGATCGCTCTGCTGCTGTACGCCTACAAGTGGCTGCGGCCCAAGGGCTTCTTCCTGAATCGTGGTAACCACGAGACGGACGACATGAACCGCGTGTATGGCTTCGAGGGAGAGTGCAAGGCCAAGTACAACGAGAGGTTGGTGCAAAGTCCCTCAGATCTGGGCTGATAGACAACTGACTTGTGCATGTACAGAGTGTTCAAGTTGTTCTCGGAGAGCTTCTCTGCTCTGCCCCTGGCTACCCTCGTCGGCGAAAAGTACCTGGTCCTGCACGGCGGCTTGTTCTCGGACGACAACGTCACGCTCGATGACATTCGCAAGCTGGACCGACACAACCAGCGCCAGCCCGGCCAGGCAGGCCTCATGATGGAGATGCTGTGGACGGACCCGCAGGAGGAGAACGGCCGCGGCCCGAGCAAGCGAGGCGTGGGCATGCAGTTCGGTCCGGACATTACCAAGCGCTTCTGCGAGAAGAACGGCCTCGAGGCGGTCATTCGGAGTCACGAGGTGCGCATGGACGGTTACGAAGTGCAGCACGATGGACGTTGCATCACGGGTAAGTCGATTCCGCTCTTTTGCTCTAACTCTATCCATGCGTGGATCTAATGTGGCCGCCTCGTTAGTCTTCTCGGCGCCCAAGTACTGCGACTCGACGGAGAACCGGGGTGCTTACATCAATATCGGCCCCGACTACAAGCTCAGATATGAGCAGTTTGACGCCGTGCCACACCCGGACATCAAGCCCATGGTAAGCTTGGCCCCCTCTTGCTGTTGCTTCGAGCATGCCTTTCTCTAACGCGCTGCCAGGCTTATGCCCAGAACTCGCTCATGTCGTCTCTGATGTAAGACGTGGGAAGCGGCGGCGGATTGGCTTCAAGTATCGGCAACGCATCGACCCGGCGTCCTGGAATATATGGCTTGGATCGTGGGTTGGGGCGGGTAGAAAGTAACCAGCACATAGATACCCGGGTAGATCAAAGACTCATGCAAAGTCTCATCTCTGACGAATGTCGTCGGCCCGCTGGCTCCTCAGCTGTCCCAGAGCGCGTCCTGCCCGTCCGAGCCCACCATGGCGCCCAGCCAGTCTGAGCACTGCTTGATGCGCAATACGCTGTGCACGCCGCCATCGCTGGCGCCCTTCCACGCCGTGATGGCCGCTGCGAAGGAGCCGAGGTCCTGTCTCGGCACCCGCAGCCAGCAGTCCGCGCCGTCCACCTTGAGGATGTCGAGCGAGATGGCCTCCCCGGTGAGGCCCAGGAACTGCCGCAGCGCCGCGGTGCAGTACGACTTGACCTGCAGGTCGTCGAGCTGCGCGGGCTCGGGGCCGTTTGTGCTGAGCTCCAGGTGGGCGTATGAGAACTGCGGCGACTTGATGGTGCAGGTGAGGATTTCGTGGGATGTTTCCAGGTGCGCTTTTGGCGCGCGTTGGCTTTGCGTCGGACCCCCCTGCGAGGAGCTCATTTTCCCCCCGTTGACTTTTTTTTTTTGTTTGTTTGCAAAAGCGTAATGTTTTATGTGTAGAACGTTAAAATAGTGTTGTTTGCTCACGAAACTGTGAAGTGCTTAATAGGTTTGCTTGGTGAAGCTTGACTGTGTTGGAGCCAAGATGCGTTAGTGAAATATTTTGCTTACGTGCATACGCCAAACTACCGCCGCATCAACCAACTCCAACACCCCGCCTGCTCTGCGATCGCGACCAGGATCAACATCAACCTCCTCTTGCGGCGCTCTCCACGACCAAACCCCCGACACTCCTCTGCAACTTGACGGCGCAAAATACACCCTCAGCGCTTGTGGTACAGCAACGCTATCATGTCGACTTCCAACTTTGCGGCCCCGGGCCAGCAGCGCTACCTGCGCGCCTGCATGGTCTGCTCCATCGTCATGACCTACAGCGTACGCCTCGCCTCGCCTCGCCTCACCCTCCCCTGCTTCGGCCCCGTCCATGCCGTCGCTCCGCTTAGGAGCCTTTGTGCCTTGATGGCGTGACGCGCGCGTGCAGATGCAACACATGCTGACATGCGATCGTTTAGCGCTTCCGCGACGAGGGATGCCCCAACTGCGAAGAGTTCCTGCACCTCGCCGGCTCGCAGGACCAGATCGAGAGCTGCACGTCGCAGGTCTTCGAGGGCCTCATCACGCTCGCCAACCCGGCCCGCTCGTGGGTCGCAAAGTGGCAGCGCCTCGACGGCTACGTCGGCGGCGTGTACGCCATCAAGGTCTCGGGCCAGCTGCCCGACGAGATCCGGCAGACGCTCGAGGACGAGTACCGGATCCAGTACATACCGTACGTGGCCAACCGCTGTCACTCCGGTCTCCCCTTTCTACTTGGCCATTTTTGTTCTCTAACTCTTGTGCAGGAGAGACGGCACCGAGACGGAGGCGGACTCATAACGATCGGTACTCGCACGACATGGCATTATAATGATTTAGGCGCTGGCGAACAGGGCGTTGCTAGAAAAGCAGGGGCATTTGGAGGATTCAGGCGCAGCTCATTGCGAGGTAGTCATTATGGTGGTATCTACATTATTCAGGGAATCATAAGCCGTCTCCAAACGCCGATATGCTCCGTAAGTGCCTTCAGCTGCTTCGATGCTTCTTGCCTGAAGGCATGCTGAACCCGGCCGACTCTCGAGACCGTTTCCTTTCCATTTCTTGCCTCATAATCCGCTCTACTTCGCTCATCTTCTTCGGCTCCTCGGGTTTGCTCTCTTTTTTTGACCCTGCTGCCGCGAGCGCGTTCTTCTTCTTGGCCTGCGCAAAGACGTTTTTGACTTGAGGCTTGCCGCCCACCTTCATGGATAGCCCTCCGAATCCGGCGGGCTTTGCCGCTGCCTTGTCGGGCTCGCCACTCTGAGCGGCTTCGCTAGATGCCCCTTGCTCGGGTGTTGACTCTGCGGGTTTCGCCTCCGACGCCTCCGTCTTGGGTTTCGAACCAAACGACAATGTGATTTTCTCGCCATCTTTCCGTTTCAAGTTTCGGGCTTCCTCGTCCTCTTCTTGATTGTTCTGCTTTTGCGCGGCGAGCGCCTGCGCGCGCCGGATTTGCTCCTTGAGGACGCGCTGCTCGAGCTGCTCGTCGCCCTGGTCCTGCGCCTCCTTCTTGCGCAGCGCTTCCTGACGTCGCAGCGCCTCGGGCGAGTTGTCTATCCAGGATATGAAGATGCCCTTTTCGTTCTCCTCCACGCGACAGATGCTCTCGCGGCCGAGGTGCTTGGCAAACTCAGTCAGGGACGGCCACTTGGTGGCGTTCATGTGGATGTGCTCCTTGTTGGCGATGTACTCCTGGTAGAACTGGTTGATCTGGACCTGCTTCTCGCCGTGGCCCGTCTTGAGGAGCTGCAGGAAGTCGCGCAGGAACTGGTTGCTGTACTCGTTGATGAACTTCTTGGGGTCCTCGCCGACGACGAGCATCTGCCGCACGTGGCTCTCAGACTGCGTGTGCATCTTGAAGCCGTTGGCATCGCGGCACTGCTTCTCGCACACCTGGCAGTACCATCGCAGCCGCTGAAGTCCCTTGCTCTTGAGCTTGTTAGACAGGTGCTTAGTCGATCCCACCTCGGCTTTCGGCATGTTGGCGGGATGCGCGCGGGCGCGGCGCAAGCGTAGTCGACTGTTCGAGGGAAGGTGTGCCGCGGTGGCGCAGGTTGGATAAGTCGGTGACCGAGAGCCTGGACGCGTTCGATATCAGGATGCACTGATGAGCGAGCACAGCTCTCAAGGAGAAGTCAACTTGCGACACTGGGAGATGGCGGGAATGGGAGAGTGGTAAAGTAGTTTCGAGAAGCGGGATTCGAGGTTGAAGTTGGTTGACGGCGCCCATAGCCTTGCAGATTTTAGTGGGGCTTATCTAATCTGGCCGGTGCCTGCCATGCCCGGCCATTTGACGCCCGCCCCACCGCCTGGAGCCTCATGTCGCCGCCGCATCGACTTCTCCTCCATCAACCAACTCATCCTCACTCAACCTTTGCAAACGTCCCTGGCCTGGCCATCGCAAGGCCCACGGCAGCACATATCGTCAGCTTGTGTCTTCAGGCGACATAAGGAATCAGATAGCCGACGCAGATACCGAACCGCCCGGCTTACGCGACCAGCTTAGCCCACCATGTCTGAGCGCAAGGTCCTTCAGGTATGTTTGCACTCTACCTTGCCACGCCGCGAATCGCGCAGCAGCTAACCCCTGAGCAGAAATACTACCCTCCGGACTTTGATCCGCGAGACATTTCGCGCCGCCGCGGCCCGAAGACGAGCGGCCCGCGCATCCAGACCGTCCGCCTGATGGCGCCCTTCTCGATGCGCTGCATGACGTGCGGAGAGTTCATCTACAAGGGCCGCAAGTTCAACTCGAGGAAGGAGACGAACCAGGAGGAAAAGTACCTCAACATCCAAATATTCTTCTTCCACATCAAGTGCACCCGCTGCAGCGCCGAGATCACCTTCCGAACCGACCCCAAGAACAACGACTACGCCATGGTCAAGGGCGCTGTGCGCAATATGGAGCCGTGGAGGAATCGGGAGACGGAGGAGGAGACGATGGAGCAGAGGCTAGACCGCCTGGAGCGGGAAGAGGCGGAGGCGGCGGGCGAGGAGGAGAAGAACGCCATGGCGGACCTCGAGGCCAAGAACGCGGACGCACGGCGCGAGATGGCCGCCGCGGATGCCCTCGACGAGATACGACAAAGAAACGCCAGAATAAATCGGTCAGAAAAGGACGGCGTTGACTTTGCGGACGCCATCGTCCGGACGGAAGACGAGGAGCGGGCACGGCAAGAAAAGGAAGACGAGGAGGCGGCCAAGAGAGCGTTCGCGGCGGCCAAGGGGGCGCCGAATGACATCGAGGTTGTCGAAGAGGAGGAGCCAAAGCAAGACTCAACAACACCAACGTCGGATGACGCCATGCCTCCCCCGCCGCCGCCAAGTTCAATGCCTCCGCCGGCGGGGCCGCCTCCATCTTTCAAGAGAGTGGTGAAGAGGAAGAAAGATCACTCGGCGCTGCTGGGAATTAAGAAGAAGAAGACGTCGCTCGTATGAGCGGGTGTGGGAGTTGAGTATGGTGTCATTGAACATGTACTAGAATAATCGCGGTCAAATGATTAATCACGATCATAATGTCACTTAAGCGTCTGAGACGACTTTTCAGTAGAATCATTCCATGTCTAATCATCTTGACCGCCAACGAACAGAGACGGCTTTGAGAGGGGGCGCTTGTTGGCTCCGCTACGGCCAAGTCACTACGTGGAGGGAATGCAAGTTGTTTGTAACATCGTGTATAATTCATCGCTATGTGGCTTTTGCCGTGCCAAGGCGTCGTTCCAAGACGCAAAACTCCGTCCCATGTTATGTGCTCCCCGTATGTGCCAAGCCTGTCGGCACATAACCAGTGTCCCTGGATTTTCCGTTGCGCCATGTCTTGCAGTGTTATTAGGCAAGACGCCCCCCAAAAAAAGGAAGAAGACCAATGTTGCAGCGACTCAATGAAGAGTGCCGCAGCCAAGTTGTTACAAAGAAATGCATTGCTCGTTGCCTGCGTCTCGCATTTCGCTCTCGTCATGGAAAAAAAAAATGTGAACGCCCGTATTTGCCTTGCTTCGTCAAAGGCGACGTCATCGTGGCCGACTGGCAATCAGACCACGCGACCTCGCCACACTCGGGTTGCAGCGTCGTGAGGCTGACGGGCTGCGCCAGCCCTGTGGTCGGCGGTAGGGGGGCACGTCATGCGTGACCGAGGCCTTGGTCGTCCGACACAAGACCCCGTCGAGCCGAATCAGTGGTATTCAGAGTGTCCGACACCGTTGGTCAGCGAGCTGCTGACGGAACTGCTGCTGGTGCTGCCCCGGCTGCCGCCCGCGGGGGCGATGGCGCCAAAGGACTCCATCTGGCGCTTGGTGTGGTCGTGCATGAAGCGCGAGTAGGTCGAGATGCTTTGCGGCGGCGGGGGGGAGACGGGGATGGAGATGGTGTAAGAGTCTGTTTGGCCGGGCATGATGGCGATATGTGTGTGTGTGTGTTGGTTGTAGTTTTGTTTGTGAGTGATGTGGACGTTGGTGGGCAAGTCTTGCGGCTCAAGAGAATATATGCACTCGTACGGCTGATAGAGGATAGAAGACTCGGGGCGGCAAGACTTGGCTTGGATATAATAGATGTAGCTTAGCTTGAGGTTAAAGTAAGAATACGGGAGGGATGTCGAGACGGGAGCGGATCTCAGGGTCTTTATAACCAGAGCTCGATGGCGTTGGCGTCCGGCTGGGGGGGGGGGGGGGGAGGGGATTTGGGGGGAGTGCCAGACGCCCGCCCGTCCTCAGTGGAGATGATCCAACCCTGTCCCCAGTGGCGCCGCTGGTGGGCATCGCGCTGCTGAGGGAGGTGTGGATGCCCCCCAGGGCCCCTCCACCCTGGTGCTGCAGCAATCCACCTCCAGTGTAGGTACCGGGCTGTGAGGGGGCTTGCTCCAGGGCTCCAGCTGTGACGCTGGGGAATCTTGGGGCCCTCCGTCACTGGAACTGGGGGCGTTCCCCGTGTACGTTATGGGCGAGCTGGATGGAACCTGGAACTGAAGAGCTCATGACAATGGACGCCACCCGCAGGGCACCTGGACGTCACCTGCTGTGGCGCCCATTATTCCACAGTCAAAACACTTTACCTGGGACCTGCTTAATGACGCTTCTCTGCCGGCCCACCCGCTTCATCAATTCGGGGTTGCGCTCAATGGCCGCCTGCGCGGGCGCGCGTCGTGATCCCGGGGACTTGCAGTGGCCGCCGGCTGTCCTTCACCCCGTCTCGGGCAGGCACGGGGTTCCTCAACAGCTCCCGTCCTTGATCCTTTCACGCAATTCCATCTTGTCTCCCCCCCCTCTTCCATCCTTTCCTCACCCCCTCTCGCAACGACGAGCCCTCGCCAACCCGACGCCGTTTTGCCCGCCGTCGACATGCACCAAGAGGGTGTCCGGCTCTTGATCGTCAGCGACATTGCCCAGGTTCGTCGACGGCGCATGAATGGCGTAACCGGACCGGGGGCTGGCATCTGGTCCCCGCTGGGGGTGTGCCTCGCGCTCCACCCACACACGGCTGTCGATGAGCTCAGGGTCCTCGCCACCCGCACCGCACCGCATAGCATCACCTTGGACGGCGGACGCTTGGGAAATGCTTGGGTGTGCTTGGCCCTGAGCAGTATCTGGGGGCCATCCACCACCCACAAGCGCAACCCACTCGAACCCTCGACAGCGTGGTCGTCGTCACTCCCTCCCCAGAGACGTGCAGCGCAGCTATCCGAGCTTCGAGAGCGACGGGCCAATACTGGAGCCGCATCAACCCACCTCGAAGACGTCCAAAGACCCTGCTGATCCTGAAGTCATGTGCGATGTCATGGCTCCAGAATTTATCCACGCTGATGATGGCTACTTGCCTGCCATCTGCTAACGAGCAACCTGCTTGCAGCCAAGCTGTTTGATCCGACAGACTCCAAGCCCTGCTTGACGTGAGAGCCCGGCTGCCCGGGTTGCCGGGCTTACTGGGAGGCAGACATGCACATGTCGGACCACCCTCGACGACGCGGCAAGACGCGTACCATGTCATAGGTCAGCAGTCGTCCCTCGCGACGCCTTTGCGGCATCCCCGGACTCTGTCGATGGTCGAGACCGTCCCTGGACAAAGTAGACCGCCACGGTGCGACCGGAGGCTTGCAACAGCTCGTACTCAGCCAGGTCCCGCGACGGCCGAGCCTCAGCTCAGGGCAACCGACTCCCGAGTTCCCTCCCATTATGAGGTCATTGGTCAGGTGGAGCGCCAGCGGATTGCGGGCTTTTCCTCGCATCAATTTGAAGCTCCCACGCCCCTGGCTGAGGGAGAGAGAGGGTGAGACCGACTCAACAAAGCGCACGCAGGCCCGCCCGGGCTGCATTGGCGCGCGAAAGCCGGGCACGACAGCGTCGTTGGTGGAGCTTGGTTCGCATCTTGGTCAAGTTGGCTCTGTTGGCGGCCACGGAGCGATTGGACACTGCTGGGGCGCACCGGCTCACGCGCGGAAGTTGGCGGCGCGGCTGCTTCAGGAGGACCCTCCCCCTGGCGTGGCCCGGGTCGCGCAGAATGCCATTCCTCCCCCTTTTCCCATGATCGCGAGCTCAATTCTCGATCCCTCCGTTGACTTTGCCATGCAGGAGCTGTTGGGGCCCGTCTGCACGTTAAAAGGGTGCCGTGGCCCCCGGTTGGTCTCACGAGAAGTTGAATGCGCCAAAAACTCGAACTGCGGGCCTTTGCAAACCGTCGGTACGAACAATCTGGTGCGAGGCACACGCAGACGGACAGCGGTGCAAGACCCAGTATTGATTGTGCGACCGGTGCGGACACGGGCGCAGGCACGCCCGCCGCTCGAGTCGCCGGCCAGACGCTTGCGCGCGTCGTCGGCCACTCACCATCAATTGCCCTGCCCTGCCTGCATCGGCCCTCGCAATGCGACCCGGCCGAGTCAAAACGCTGGAGCGGCGGAGGCGATTACGTCGCTCGAAAACGGCGAAACGGTGGGTGAGGTCAGCGCTCCAGGTTGTGTGTGGACGGTGTGGACGGCAGCACCACACAAAGGATGCCCTGTGGTGTCGCAACTTGTGGGGGACAATTGGCGGCGGCCCCTCAGTGAGGTCACCGACGCCACCCGCTAACTGCAGCATGGGTGGTCGGTGATGTCACGTCCGAAACGGACCTGTCCCAACCCGGCTGGCGTTTTCGCCGCCGCCTCCGTCACACGCGCGCATCCGTCCCGACCTTCGGCCAACGTCGTCGACAAGTCGTCGTCGAGCTCTGGCGTCGCGCAAACGGTGCGCCGGCCGCGGGCCCTCACGTTCGCCGCCGCCTCCTACATCCACATCCCGGTGACGGTTGATGATGGTTGTCACTGCCGTTGCTCCCCCCTCCCCTGGACGAGCCACGCATCCATGGTAGTGACCCTGACGAAATGGCGTCTGCCTCGCAGGACCTGCGTCAGAGCTGCTCCATCCCTGACATCTCATGGCGGCCCAGTCTTTGTGCACTTTGCAACCTCTCACTATGGAGCACTTGCCACTCGGCCGCCGCATCCATGCAGATCGCAGAGGTCACGGAACTGGACTGGACGGCGAGAATGCAACTCTTCGCCTCGGTGAACGAACCCTCACCGTCGCCAGTTCTGTTGTTCCACACCCACAGGCACCAGAACCTGGCTCGATCTTCTGTCCTGGCCGTAACTCTGAGGATCGGACCCGAGTCCCTTCAACCCGCACGCCAACTGTGCACCTGCCAGGCAGCCAGGCATCCAACCCTCGGAGCGCAGGTGTCAAGTGTAGGGGTTCCACCTCGCCTGCCGGGATCTGCATCGCCTCCAGCAGTTCTGTGAGCGCCTCTTACATCTGTCACTGTTATGTTCGTCGTAACAGAGGCAGGTCACGAAGATGAGATTGATGAGAACACTCACGCCTATCTTTCTCACTCTGCATCCCCATTTTTCATCAAGACATGGAAACCGGATGGAGTCTGGGAACAAAGCAAGCGTATGATGCAATTTCGCTCGCCACCGTTGCCCCATGTTCCTCGCTGCGAAACGCTTCGCAATCCGTTTTGATTGATGAATTCTTATTGCTTACTCGTGTGAATCCTTCTTGGCAACGGATTCAAGCCCTCCATTGCTGCATACTCTCGAGCATCAGAATGACGCTGGTTCGGGGAAACTTTCTTCTGGAAGCGCAGGGCTTCTCATGACGTCCGTCGTGGAACTGGGCGGCGCGCTAGACCCGGCATCTCGATTCCAGGTCCCCTGCGGCTGGTTGCCTCGCCCTCCCGCCTCATCGACCACTATTCACTAGAAGAATCTGACAATACGACTTGTCTATTATCTCAAAGTCCTCAAGAGCTGGTATCGCTGTCGATCCAGGTGCTCCGTTTGCTTTCTCGGGGCATCGTCGATTGAGGTCCAATTACGTCGGCGGCAGATATTGTGGATGGTGATGATGGCCTGCTGCGGATGCGCCCAGGGCCCGAGTCCACCATCTTGTCTGACTCTGGCTGTGCAGGCAGATTATGGAATGCCTGGCCGATATGAGCGACTTTGCTAGCGGCGAAGCGATAGAACGCTGGTGATATCATGCCTCTATGTGTGTCCACAATCTCGAGGACACGGTTCACCCGACGTCATGGCGCTGCAGACCCGACAATGCTCAAGGCTGCAGCCACCCGCGTCAAGGGGCTGCATGGACGCCCCCGTGGTGTGATGGGTAGAGCTGCCATGTCGTATCGCGATGAGATCATGCACGAGCGCCGACGTTTACGGATGCCTGGCCGCGCCGGCCACCTTGCAACCTCCCGACGACAGCGCATACTGTCCCTTTGAGCATTCAGACGAAGCGAGTCACTGAAGAGGGTTCTGCCTGTAACTTTGCGATTGTTGGCTACGTATGCCAACCAGTGCACGACGCGACCGGCGCATCGATTATCCAAACGACAACAAAGCTCGTCCCGATCCTGCTTCCCTCAACTCGGCCGACGCGTTTCGAACCCTTGTCCTCCCCGTATTATCATCGAAGCGCCATCGGACGATGGAACAAGACAAAAACAAAGCGATGTTATCCATTCGGGCTCTCCTGGATGCTACAATGTCAAGACACTGGAGCGTGTGTTCGTGATAGTTGGCGAAGGGCTGAGGCTGACCCTTGTGGGCGAAGCGCCGCGAGAGCTGCGTATGATGTCCATAGATGTCCATAGAGGTGTTTTGTTCGTACTTGGCGCTCTGTGTGTTTGTGGCTGTAACCTCCTGGCCTTCGGGGTCGCGTAGACATTGCCTTGGTCCTCGGGGTCACGGCTAATGGTCGTGTATATGCACAGCGTGATGATGTAGGTACTTTCACATACATTTGCACGACAAGAAGGCTGGTGTCAGGCTCGCAAGGGTGAGAGGCGAAGAGACGGTCGCCAGTCGTCCACAACCAAGTACAGCACCCGCGACTCATCCCACTGGTATGAATATCATGCCGACAACCGGAGGTAGGGAGGTGCGCAACGTCTCGGCCAAGACTGTCCTCTGCCGCCGTTACCGCTCCTGGTATCCCAACTATCTGGCCTGTCCTCAACGTACTGGAGCGATTGTGTCGGGCCGGTGTAGGTGCATGCATGTACCGCGAGCGGGCAACACTTCCTGGGGGTCTGAACAGGACGACGCTCGTAGATGTAAGCACTGTAGGTCTCGCCCCGCCCTGGCCCTGTTCCCCGCCGGTCCTCTGTGTGCCAAAGCCGTAGCGGCGTGACTGGGGCCGTTGGTGTTGGGTTCACATCATGCTCGCACCGTCAGTGTCACGGTACTCGCAGAGGCGGAGTGGTTACCCGACGGCGGACGTGGTGCGCGCTCAAGCGGTTCGCCAAGGTGAGGAAGCCGACGGTTTGTGGGATTGGTTACGATATGGGATTCTCTCTAACGACTTGGGAGAATGTGAAGACGTCAGTCCTTGTGTCTGGTCGTCGGGAGGAATCGATGGCCGGGGCTGGGCGTGGGACGCATATAGGAAGCCCTGCGATTGAGGGGCCGACGTTGTCTGGTGCTGGACCATTTTTGCGGCTCATCGGGTATTGTCGCCGGCGAGGTTGTGAAGCTCTCGGCGTGTATATAGATGCCGAGTATTCTCACTTTCCCTTGGAAAGTAGGAAGCTGCAAAGTTTCTCGAGACTGATGATAGACTGGTAATGTCGGCCGAGAGGTGCGAGTCGCGGGGGTGCGAGTGGTGTCACTACGCGACCAGGATCTGTCGGCGGCGCCGCCGGTGCGAATGAGGTCCAGAGAAGTCATCTCTGCGAGACGGCGTGGTGCTAAGAGTGTACGATCTGGCGGTGTGCCGCGCGGAACTACTGTCCTTCTGCTCGATGCTGCATACGTATCGACGGCATTGCTCCTCGGTCCTGGTGATTTCATGCCGACAAAGGGCCGTCCTACGATTGGGCGGGTGGTGGCTGCCCTCTCACTTGTCGCTTACGGTATCGCGCTCCAGCATCGGCTCGGTAGAGCAGAGTATGTAGAGACAGAGAGCATGGTTGGCGCCTGAGTTGAAGTGGGGGCCTCGGCTGCTGCCCGTCAATCAGATGGGCGGCTGGAGATTGGAAATTGTGAAGTCGAGGTTCGCCTCTGCCGCGATTTGGGCGCGGCGGCGGACCTCACGGTGTGCTTGTAAAGAAACTGGATGGCGACAGCGTCGGCGTACTCGTAGAGGAGCGGCTGTCTGGTGGCTGGTGCCCTCAGGTAGGGTAGGTTCCGGTACGGCGGTATTGTGTGCTAAAGGGCACATGATATATAATTGCAGTGAGGTATGGAGGGAGGAGAGAGGAAGATCCTGGAGAGGGTCGGGTATATATATTCAAAGAAAATTGAGGTGATTCACTAGAGTTGCTTCCAATGTCAGGCTAAGATCGGTGGCCTCACGCATATTCAAGATGAGGGGTCTGCATTCCTTTGCAATGAATCCCAGAATCACTCGAGACAATATCGTACCGAATTGGACTGAAGAAGTGACTACGACTGCAATCCTCGAGGACAGCAGAAGACTCGTCTTCCCGAGGAGGCCTCGAAAACTAATCCTCGACCAACATGAATCGTCCCAGCACCAGGACAAAGTGAAATGCGTCTCAAGCCACATTCAAAACAACATGGGCCTTTGGCAAGGACCAGCCTTCCGCTGCTTCTGAAAGTAGAGCCTCACCATCGCAATTGCCCCCCTCTGCTGTTCGGCAATATGAGCCAGCGGACGCATGGGATGATGCGACGGTTCGAGGCCATGTCGCTCGCTTGCCCACACTATCTGCCGTCGCGTCTAGTAATGATCTGATTCCAAAGAAATTGCTCCAGACGGCGGTCTCGCCCGCAAGGCACGACGGACACAAAGACGGTCCCGAAGCCCCAAATCTTCCGATTACAAACAAGAAACGGTTGGTGGTGGCTGCCACTTCGAGGCTTTCCCCCTGGCCCCCCTTTTGGGATCGACTTACACGCGCGAACGGCCCCCAAATCGTTCAAGCTCGCGCGCGCGGAGCGGGAAGCCGGCGCTAAGCCACCTGATTGGTCCCGGGCAGCCCCGGCGGAGGGCCGAGTGGAGCCCCTCCGCAAACTCCGTCGCCCCCGGTGTCCCGGCTCCCGCGCGGCTGCATGAAACTGACTGGACGGGTGGCGGCCGGGTACGCGAGGCCCTGCCACGGTATCTTCTCACAACGTACGAGCCCTCGGCAATACTACTAGTACATCAGCTGTCGGCCAAGGGGGCTGCCATGCTCCATGCCGCTAGCTTTCCCGACTCATGTCATCAGTTTATTTCCGCTGCCCGCTTTTCGGCGGCATGTTTGAGGTTTGCCCTCTTGCACGGCCACCAAGAAGTCTGCCGCCGTTGGAGATGTGGACGTGGTGGCTGGCCTTGTGGGGAGGCTATTACCGCGCGGGAGAATGCGTTCAACATATGATTTGCTTAACAAGACGAGATGGTAATTAATAATCCCTGCCGTTCATGTTGCGGTTTTTGCTGGCCTCGAAACTAGACATGGCTCCGCGAGACTTCATGTCTGACGGTATTTCTTATATCAGAGCCGGCACCGGCTCGGATCACTATGAATCTTTCTCGGCAACTCGCCTGATGTAGTGAGTGAGATCCAGCCGCAACACACCGAAAACATACCGCAGCGATGAAGACCATCGTCGTCCTCGGTGCCGGCCTCGCCGCCGCGCCCATCATCCGCCAGCTCATGCGCACCGTCGTCCTCACCCGCAAGGACCTGCGCATGGTCGTCGTCGCGCCCAACACGCACTTCCACTGGCCCATCGCCATGCCGCGCGTCGTCGTCCCCGGCCAGCTGCCCGACGACAAGGTCATGTTCCCGTACGAGCCCGTCTTCCGCGAGTACCCCTCCGACCGGTTCGAGTTCGTCCTCGGCAGCGCCGCGGCCCTCGACCCGGAGGCGCGCGCCGTCACCGTGTCCCTCAACGACGGTGGCGACAACCGCACCGTCTCGTACGACACGCTCATCGTCGCCACGGGCGCGTCGGCCAAGGACGACATGCCCTGGAAGGTGCTCGACACGACGGCCAAGACGGCCGAGAGACTGCACAGCCTGCAGAGGGACATTGAACGGGCCAAGACGATCGTCGTGGCTGGCGGGGGCCTGACCGGCGCGGAGACGGCCGGCGAGCTGGGCTTCGAGTACGCAAAGAACCGCAGCAAGGACGTGTACTTCATCTACTCGGGGGAGCTGCCGCTGTCGCCGCCGGTGCTGGACAGCGTGCGGAAGCAGACCAAGCACGAGCTGGAGAAGATGGGCGTCAAGATCATGGCCAACACGACCGTCACGAGCGCCACCAAGTCGGGCGACAAGACGGTCCTGGAGCTGCGCGGCGCCGACGGCAAGACCAAGGCTTTCACGACCGACGCCTACGTCCCGACGACGGGCGTGACGCCCAACACGTCCTTCATGCCCGCGAAGCTGCTCGACGCCAAGGGCTACATCAAGCAGACGACGCGGCTGCAGGCCGAGGGCTTCCCGGACATCTTCGTGGTGGGCGACGCGGGCAGCCTGGAGGCGTCGCGGGCGCTGACGGCGACGACGCAGGCCACGCACCTCATCAAGGCGCTGCCCGCGTACCTCACCGGCGGCGGCGAGCCGGCCGAGTACCAGGTCAACACCAAGGAGATGGTAGCGGTGACGCTGGGCCGCAGCAAGGGCACGGGGCAGATGGGGACGTTCAAGATCTTTAGCTTCTTGGTGTGGTGGCTCAAGGGGCGGTTCCTGGGGACAGACTACGCGCCGCTACTACCGGCGGGGAAGAAGACGATGATGGCGACGCTGGAGAAGTAGGTTCGCGGGTGCGTGCGCGTGTTGATGTTGGATATGATACCTGTGGGCTGTGCTTGGACCCTTGCCTAGCATTTTTTGGTTTTCTGTCGACGGCGCTCTTCCTCGCAATAATGATGATGCAATTGAACATGTCAGAAACAAAGTGCGGTTACATGGTTCGGAAATTGTGCATCGCGTGTCGCACGCCGCACGTTGCAATCAATATTTCGGCGCAGGCTGTGCGAGGAGGCAGTTGAAACCTTGAGTTGAGTTGGTTGTGGTCGGTTGTGGTGCTATGCTTTTATTGACGTTGCCGAGGCCCATAGCAGCCGTTTGTGTCGTCGTCATTTTCCCCTTTGCACCCGCCACCCGCTCGAAACGCCAACTCACAACGTCCACTGCCCCAAACCGCTACCCAATTCAATTAAAGGCTGCAACTCGCTTGGACCTTTAGTTCCAGGGGCGCACGGTATTCGGGCGGCGACCATGTCGATCCTGGGGTGGGTGCAGGGCCAGTGGTCGACGCTGCCGTACCCGGACGAGGACTGCAGCGGCCGAACCATCATCATCACGGGCGGCAACTCGGGTCAGTTTGCTGTAATTTTCTGCTAAAACGCACTCTTTTCTGACTGGTGAGACACGGCACAGGTCTCGGCCTCGAGGCGGCGCGACACTTTGTGCGCCTCAACGCCGCCAAGGTCGTCCTCGCCTGCCGCAGCGTCGAGCGCGGCGAGGCGGCGCGGCGGGACATTGAAGCGTCGCAGAAGCGAGACGGCGTGGTGGAGGTATGGCAGCTGGACCTGGGCTCGTTTGAGAGCGTCAAGGACTTTGCGGCCAGGGCGTCGTCGCAGCTCGGGAGGCTGGACGTGCTGCTCAACAGCGCGAGCATCCTCGTTCACGACTTTGCCATTGTGGAGGGCCACGAGACCATGATGACGGTCAACATTATCTCAACGTTTCTGCTTACCGTGCTGTTGTTTCCGTTGTTGCGGCAGACGGCGGTGAGGCACAATGTGACGCCGCACGTAACCATAGTCTCTTCGGACGGAGCGTTCATGGCAAGTCACCCATCATCAAGGACTCACTCACCTATCCACGCTGGAGTCTCGCTAACGCTACCTACGCAAAAGGCCTTCTTCCCGGAGCGCAAGGCCGACCACATCTTCAACACGCTCAAGCTCAACAAGAACTTCCTGGAGCGGTACAACACCACCAAGCTGCTGCAGCTGCTGCTGATGCGCAAGCTCGCCGCGGCGGCCGACGCGCGTTCGGGCAAGGGGCAGGGGCACCACCACCACGTCATCGTCAACGCGCTGAACCCGGGCCTCTGCCGGACGCAGCTCTTCCGGCGGTCCTTCTGGCCGCTCAGCTGGGGCGTGTGGCTCGCCTTCGCCGTGTTTGGGCGCGAGCCCGAGATGGGGTCGCGCACGCTGCTGGCGGCGGCATGCTCGGGCGAGGACATGCACGGCAGGTGGATGACGGACTGCAGGTTGCAGGTGTGGCCGGGCCTCATGAGGGGCGAGGAGGGCGAGAGGCTGGCGGACAAGGTCTGGGCCGAGCTGGGGGAGATTCTCGAGGGCATCGAGCCGGGCGTCATGGGGAATGTCTGAGGCTCTGAGCATCCGATGCAGCACTCATTGTATGTAGACTAATGTATAATGTACAATTTACTCCGAACATATGTGTCACGGATCGCCTTTTGATGGGTACTTCCGCTGCTGGATGAAACCCAGTCGAATGGAGGGTATTGTGCCGTTGACGTCTACTGTGCATGCCCCGTGATTCACACATATGGATGTTCAATGGAGGTTATTAGAGTCGGTTCATAATCGTCAGACGACGGAGAGCCTACAGCTGTCCACTGGCCCCCCCTGTAGCCAAGGGGGCAGCTCAAGCTTTATCAACTGCGCATCCTGCCCGCAGCGCCCCACGGCGACCTGAATGCAGTATGGGAACCGCCCCACCACCGCGCATCACCTAGCGCAGCTTCCAACCTTCCACCACCGGCTTCACGCCCAACCTTCCTCCCACCTCTCCAGCGTCGTGCCGCGTTGCGCCGCCAGCTGCCACGCGCCGAAACCCTCTTCCGTCGCCGCGCCAGCGAGCTCACGCCTCCTCCCATCGAATTGCCACCATCTGTTAACCAGTATTTCTCTCTGGCGCCGCTGTCACACACAGCTAGCCTCCTCCCCCGATGGCGATTGACCCGATCCGCGTCCTCCCTTCATCGATGCCGTCGCCGCTCTGAACAGCAGCCGACCGACCCATTGCACCCCGTCGCCGACTACCAACGAATATCAACACGCCAAAGCGCACCCCACGATGGAAGCCAACGCCAATCCCGAGGCGCAGAGCGCCCTCCGCGAGGCGGTCAAGTACTGGTCCGACTTCATCGCCAGGTGCATCTTCAAGCGCATCGACGTCCCCAAGTTCAAGGAGTTTATCCCCCTCATCCACTCCAAGCACCCGCTGCCGCCCGTCGTCGTCGCCGACCTCTTCCTCAGGCCCCAGCCCACCGACGACGTCAGCCTCGACCCGCGCTTCCCCCCGTTCATTCAGATCCTCACCCAGCTGGGCTACGTCGACGCGCCGTCGCTGCTCTTGGCGCTCTACAAGTACTCGGCGCTGCACAAGCACGTGAAGCCCGCGCACAATGCCGAGCAGACAGACGCCGAGGGAAATGAGGCGTCGCAGAAGTCACAGGAGCCGCTTCGTTGGAGAATATCAGCGTGGTCCGAGGAGTTAATCTTCTTCCATGTCATCAAGATGGTCGTCGACGGCACCGCCATCCGCGAGCCTAGGGCTGCCCTCGTCTTGGTCAAGGTGCTTTGCAAGTGGATGGACCTCTTCACCTCTACCTCGACCGCCCTCACGGCCGATGTCCTCGGAGAGATTCAGAATCCCCAGCACCGCGACGACCTGGAGACTTCTCGCGCTGCCTTTGTCCCGCTGCTCCTGCGTATGATCGAGAGCACCGAGTTTCTCAGCGTCATCAGCAAGCCCCTCGCGAAAGGTAAGAACTCTTCAATTGGCTAGTACGGCCAGGGCTTTTGCTAAGATGGCTTTGCAGGATCACGAAAAGAACTCTCCCAGAGCCTGTCCGGCTTCATTCATACGCTGGAGGGCGCCCCGGGCTTCGCCGAGAGACTCGAAATGTTTCGCTCCGAGACGCTTGCCAAGTTCGACCCCGCCGATAAGAAAAAGCAGGCTGCTGCCAACGCCGCGATGGACGAGTTGCTGGAGAACGCCGCGGGACTCGACGACTTTGTCGTGGCCGACATCCCCATTTCCAATACGCGGGCCGGCCTATACGTGCACCTGAACGCATCGGTCAGCCCACAGCGCCCCAAGTCCCCTTCGAGATGATTCATCCTGACATTGTGTTCTCTAGCTTGCTGGGCGGCCACTGATTGACGACAATGCGCTGCTCTCGTACATTCACAATAGATACCAGGTGATTGCCCACTGATTCTTGGTGACATTGCGAGCTCTTCTAATGCTCAAACTCAGGGCGAGACACAATCCGGCGCCATCGACCTCATCCTGGCCTCATTTGATGTTCTTGCCAATGCCGTCTTTCGCAACGAGGCCCAAAGAGACGCGCACGTGCTGAAGTCGTTTCTGGTCAACAAGGTGCCGCTGCTCCTCTGCCAGCTATTCTCACCCCAATTCTCCACCACATCGTCAGAGTTCTGCATCACAGAGGCGCTGAATCGCGTGGATACGAGTGTCTTCCCCACGGCGTCGCTTATGTTCGACGAGTCGCGGAGTAACAACCCGTATACGGAGAGCGTGAGAGAAGAGTTTTGTACTGCGTGCGCGTTGCATGGTCTAGTCCAGCGCGAACACGTTGAGAGAATTTTGGGCGAGACGTCCATGTCATACGAGCCTTCGCTGGAGAAGCTTTCCAAAGACAAACTGGTCCAGGATTGTCTGTCGGACTCGGAAAAGATTCAGGGCCTCGTCCGAGACCTCGACAAGATGGACGGCAATGTTGGTGCCATGTGCCAGGCACTTGTTGAGGTACACTGCCCTCTCTCGCAAGATGACGACGGCATCGTGGACGCTAACGCGCAGGCAGATAATTCGCCAACTCTGCAACACCAAGGAGACGGTGTTTTTACGGGTATTGTGCAGCGAGTTGGCGCAAAAGCCCCAGTCCCTCGACATCCTACTGCTCTTTGAAAAGATCACCTCGGTCCTCGAACCGCTCTGCCAGCTCTTGGACACGTGGAGGTATGACGACCCGGAAGGGGAATACCAGCCGATCTACGAAGAGTTTGGGGGCATAATGCTGCTCGTTCTGGCCTTTGTCTATCGGTACAACCTGACGCCACCGGACATTGGCATCACATCTCCCGAATCGGGCGTGGCCAAGATTCTGACGCGAGCCCACATCGCTCGGGACAACGATGAGTTGGTGGGCCGCGAGAACGCTCACATGAACGGTTGGATCCACGGGCTCTTTGACACGGAGTCGGGCGGTCTCGGTGACGAATTGATGTCATCGTGTCCGCCGCAAGAGTTTTACTTGCTCGTGGCGTCGATATTCCAGAGCACCGTCGTCGCATATACCTTTGGCTACATCAATGACGAGCAGCTCAAGTCCGGTATAGAATGTTGGTGTCCCCATGCAACCCTTTGCAAGCCTCGCAATGCAGCTGACCGTATCTAGACGTGGGTGATACATTTTTACTGCCCTCACTGGTGCCGGCCATCCAGTATCTCTCGGATGCGCTGTGGGTCGAGCAAAAGGGGCAGAAGACCATCATCAAGATCCTACACCTCATCCTCCTTCCAAACCTGGCATCCAGCGAGGCCGGTGCGATGCTGTCCTCGGTCAAGTATCTGATAGCCAAGCCGCTGGAGAACTCTCTCCGGACCTATCAGAAGCAGGACCCTAAGAATCAGGACATTGAGCCGCTCCTTCGGGCACTCAAGGACAGCCTCCCGCTGTCGCGGCGGACGGGAGCCGCAGACCACAACGAGATGAGCTCGTGGGCGAGCAGTTCGAGCAGCGGACTTGCGGGTGCGGTCAAGCACACAATCCAGGGGCTCGTTCAGTGGAGCCTACACCACGGCATCAACGCGACGCCAGCGTCTTACACCCACCGTCAGCTGATGGCATCGTGCCGGATTGGCGGCACCAGGCGGATGCTACAGGTGATGCTGGACGAGATCCGGCATCAGTCCGAGGCCGGGAGCGCGAGCATCGTTTACGACGTGGTGGCCGCCATGATTTGCGCCCCAGACGTGACCAACGAGCCGCCGCCGGCAGCCAGCATCTTGGACGTCTCCGGCAACATGCCCCCGCCGGTGCAGCGGCCCTTGACCCTGCGAGAGGTGCTCAGGGCAGAGGCGGAGGACTGCCGCAAGCTGCAGAAAAAGGACCCCGTCTTGGCTGAAATTGTCGTCCGTCTGCACAGAAGAGTAGAGACGCACATGGTGCTCCCGCAGCCGCAGGCATTGCTCCAGGGACAGGACATGCCACTGGACCTGAGCGGCGGGGCCGGCGGCCTCGAAGACGCCATGGCCGCCGCAGCTGCAGGCGTTCAGGGCGACGCAATGGCGGTGGACGGAGTCGGCCTGGACATGGGCATGGGCAGCGTCTCGTCGGACCTTGGCCTGGGCGGCGGCAGCGCCGGAGGCCTCGACAGCACGGGCGACGCAGACCTGTTTGGGCTGGACTCCAGCATGGGCATGTTTGACGGCTGGGAGGGCATGGACCTGAGCGGGAGCTAGGCCATGAAGCAGGACGGACGGGGGTTATGGGAAGCGTTGTTTGATAGCACTTGTGATACCAGAGCCGCGGCGTGGAGCGCGCTGCGATGTCCGTGGGGAGGCGGCCCTCGTCTGCGCCGGGCTCGATGCGGAGGGCTGTCTGGATAGGTAGTTGTATGGCGAAGGAGCTGCAGCGATGTGTACATTATAGAGTACATGTATACCAAGCGGGCGGGGTCGTCTCACGATTGAAGAATGTTTGTGTATGCGTGCTCGCAATGGCGAAGCTGAGTTGAGGAACAGGGGCAGCAAGGCGGGCGGCGACAGTGGCGCCAGCGACAATCCCAGGGGCGACGAAACCCCCACACGGGCATGCAACCACTTCCTCGCACAGCAGGTCCATGCCTCACCAAAGCTCCCGTCCCGCGTCCCTTCTGGAACGCGGGCCTGGATTTGGCTGGGCCGGCCTGCAGGTGGCCTGGGCTGGGCTGGGCTGGGCTGCCCGGCTCGGGCCCACAGACGCCCGTCCCAAGCTCCCTGGACCAACCCGCTGCAGGGCTCCCGGGGGGGGCCTCACTGAGCTTCAGTGGAGCGCTAAGGTACAGCAGGTTGGAGAAATGGAGGGGGTCGCGCAGTGGATGGACGTGGATGGAAGGCCCGACCAAGCGGATGGACAGAGAGATCCAATCCAATTGCTCCACTCCACCCGCCAAGTTGGAGACGGACGGGGGCAAGAGCGAGAGAGAGGCCACCTTCACATTTCCACGTCGAGCTGCCTCGCGCGCACACACAACTTCCTCCCTCTCCCTCCTCCCACGCCCCCCCACCCCGTTTCGCCATCGTCAACCGCGCCTCAACGGTCCCCCTCCCGTCCATCTGCCCGTCGTCTCTCGTCCGCGCCTCAATTGAGTCGGAGCGTTCTTCACAATGCTCTTCTCGTCGTCTCTTCTCGCCCTGCTGGCCGTCCAGGTCTGGGGCGCCGTCGCTCAGGTACGTTGAACTGCGCGTGCGTGCCTTCTCTCCGCATCACACAACCGCGGGCGCGCGCCTTGGCGGGTGTGCATCGCTCGCGCTGCGCGTCGTGCTGCGTGTGCCCTCCCTTCGCCACGCGAGCCTTCTTCTCCCGCGGTGCCCGATTGCGTTTCGCAATTGCGTGTATGCCGCCTACGAATGTGGCCTTCGCCGTCGATGATGACCTGAGGAAGGTGGGACGAGACCTTTTGCTGACGACGGGCCGTGTGTGCGCACGCGACATACAGGCTGATGCCGATGCCGATGCCGGCAAGACGTACTCGACGCCCCCGGAGCTCGCTGCCGACATCAAGACGACGTTCCCTGATGCCGATATCCTCGGCGTCCGGCTCATCAACGGCCGCCCGACCAAGGCACTCATCGAGGTGACCAACAAGGAGGACGGCCCCATCAGCGTTGCCTTCATGACGGGCGTCCTGGCCACCACCAAGGAGCTCCCCGCCGACGCCCCCGCCTACCAGGGCATCGTCCGCAACCTCACGGCCGTCCAGTACAACCTGCCCGTCGAGGCTGGCGAGACCAAGTCCATCCCCTACTCGTTTGCCCTCGACATGCAGCCCCAGGATGTCCGCCTGTCTCTCGTCGCCGTCATCACCAACGCCAAGGGCAACCTGTTCCAGATTGCCGCCCACGACGGCACCGCCGCCATTGTCGAGGCCCCCACGAGCTTCTTTGATCCCCAGATGTACGTGTTGCTCACAACTAAATCAATGGTGGCTGAGACGCATGCAATGCTAACCGTGCGAACGCTCACAGCATCTTCCTCTACCTCGTCCTCTCGGGTGCCTTCGCCGGCACGCTGTACTTTGTCTACAAGACCTGGATCGAGGCCCTGTTCCCTCAGGCTAAGCGCACCAAGCCTTCCCGCAAGACCAAGAAGGTGGTCGACGCCGACGCCGCCCTCTCCGGCCCCGAGTCCCCCACCGCCGCCGCCACCGGCGTCAGCAAGACCTACGACGAGAGCTGGATCCCCGACCACCACATCAACCGCCCTGTGGCCAAGCGCGTCAAGTCGACTGCCAGCCAAAAGAAGAAGGGCGCCGAGTAAGCGCCCTCTCTCGGGAGCCTTTTTTGCGGTGGGCAGCCGCGAGGTGAACCCGCCCGCCCCCGGTGGTGAGCCTCGAGGGTGGGGGGCTCGTGTCTAGCTGCGAGATGGCCACGTGCCGACTACATTCTGCGACCAGGTAGAGGGGTCGGAAGGTGGCAGGCGTCCTGTAGCGTTCTGTAGCGTTTGCTTGGTAAGGTAGCACTGCGGCCAAAGCGGAGACGGGACGCTGCAAGGGAGTGGGAAGGCGAGCAACGAAAAAGTGTTGTACAGTATTGTGTCAGTGGCAGACTAGATTATGACAGCACCTTTCCACCACGTCCGGTTTTCGTGCTGCAAGCCACAGACCACGTCACTTTGTCAGGTCATTGTTACATTTGTGATGCTCTTGTTTCTGTCGATTCTCGTTTCACAATATCCAGTAGGCTCTTTGCGCGGAGGTATCCCGTCATTGCTTCCTGCGCGTGTACGCCGGGTAACCCTCAGAAGTCATACTCATAACATCGTCTAACAGTACACTACACCGTGGTCCCCGTTGCGCTCATCTCGGCTACCTTCCGGGTCTATCTCAAGGCCGCCGCTGGTCAGCCGCCTCGCCGGCCAGGTAGCTCATGACGGCCTTGTCGTGAAACCTGGCGTCGCTCTGATGGCGGCTGTTTCCGCGTCCGTCGCCGGAAGAGCTCGAGGCGCCGCCGCCGTTGTTGGCCTCGGCGTCCCTTGCTCTCGCGACATGTCCAAACAGGCACTCCCACAGGTCGCCCTTGTCGACGAGCTCGCCGGCGGAGCGGTCCTTGCTCATGAGCTTGGAGAGGGCGGCGTGCTCGAGCTCGAGCGTGTTGGCGGCCTCGATGCTCGCGTCGAGGAGCTCGTCGGGGGTTGCGTCCCTGGATGACGGGTCGGTGGCCGGGAGTGCGGGGGCCTTGTTGTTGTTGTGCTGGGCGGTGGCGGCGTCGTCGTGGGGATCCAAGAGGCGGCGGCGGTGGCGGTGGCCCATGTGCTCCATGCGGCGCCGGACGGAGAGGTTGTGGATGCTCTCCTCGACGGTGCCGGACACGAGGTACAGCCATACGGTGGTCTCGTGCTGCTGGCCGATGCGGTCGACGCGGGCGATAGCCTGCAGCTCGAGGGCCGTGTTGAGGAGCGGCTCGCAGAGGAAGACGTGCGAGGCGTTGACGAGGTTGAGCCCGGAGGAGTGGGCGCGCGCGTGGAGCAGGAAGACCTCGACGGCCGGGTCCTCCTTGAACTTGGCGATGCCGTTGTGCTCGTCGATGGACGCGTGGCCGATGTGAAACCGCCGGAAGGCGTTGCGCAGCACCACCAAGAAGTCGCGGTACTGGGAGAAGACGATGGACTTGGCGCCCGGGTCCGACTCGCGCAGCCACATGAGGTGCCTGACGAGAGTGTCGACCTTTGTCGTAAACGACGGCCCGTCCAGGTCAATGTTCTTAATCTCCGCCAGCTGGTCGGCGTTGAACTCGGCGTAGATGGCCGACTTGCGCGTTGCGGCGGCGCTGCTCCGCCTCTGCTGAGGCGACGAGCTCCCGGCGGCGGCGGCGTTCTTGCCACCACCGCTGGGTCCCCTGCCGCCGGACTGCTCGCTCGTGACCTGCAGCTGCTGCGGCTTGATGGTGATGTCGTGGAGGTTCGAGGGCTTGAGGCCCCTCTTGCAGACGGGGCAGTTGTGGTGGGCCTTGAACCACATGGTCATGCATTCCTTGCAGAACTGGTGCCCGCAGACGGTCAAGACGCCCGTCGTGAAGGGCATCTGGCAGATGACGCACATGCGCGGCTCGTTGGACTTGGAGCCTGCTTCCTTCAGGTTAAGAACTGAGAGGAGGACAAGTTAGCATTACCAGTGGATGGAAGCAGTGAATGAAGAAGAGAGCCACTCACGGTATCTGTGCTTTGCCTCTGCCGACGAGAGCTTGCGCCGGATGTCCTCTTCTGTTTGGGTCATCTTTGCAATCGCCTCGTCCGTCTTGGCGCCTTCATACGGTAGGACCGCGTCCGATACTGCCTGCAGCTGGCGGTAGTATTCAAGCCGCGTGTTCATGGCCGTCTTGAAGCTCTCAATCTCCGATTCGAGAGCCGACGCGGCCTTGTTCTGTTCCGTGAGCTGCGCGTGTGTCGACGCCATGTGCGCTGCCACGATGCGGGCTTCCACCGCCTCTCGCGCAGTCGGCGCCGTATCGCGCGTCAGCCTCGTCTGCAGGCCACGAAGGTCGCTGATGGCGGCCCTCATTGACTTTTGCGCTCGTCCCGGCTTGACCTCTGCCCGCTTCGCAAGCATCTCCAGGAGCTTTTCAGGGGCAGGCCCGTCGCCTTCTTTGGCGAGTCTTATCGACGTCTCCGTCTCATGCTTGACGAGCTCGTTTGTCTGGCCTGTAATGGCATCCTGGCGGTCGGCGATGGCCGCCCTCAGAGTCTGGTAGTAAACCATGAGGAGGTCTTGAAACTTGGCAGAGTCTGCGAGCTCCTCCCCTGTAGTCTCGACGTCGTCCTCCTCGTCCACGAGTGGCCGGAGAAGCAGCTGGACAACTTCCTCCCGCCACTCGTCGAGCACATTCGCCTGGTTGTTCAGCTCGCCGTAGAGAACCTCCAGGCTCTCCACAACGCGCCCGCTCTCAATGCCCTTCTCAGACTTGACGATGAGCTCTGGGATCTCGGTGAACAGCTGGTTCATGGCTTTGCGCTTGATCTTATTCATGAGTCGCGTGGCCTTGCGATTGCTCTCCCGGAGTATCTCCCGACGAAGGGCCTTGGCTTGGTCGTAGCCTTCATCTTCTAGTTTCTTGAGCCGGGCGAACTCTTCTGACTCTGGCTCAGTCATTTCTGCGTTGTCTCTGATTTGAAAGTAGGCGTTGGCGCAGAAGAAGACGGCCTTGTGGTGCAGCTCAAGCGCGGATCGCAGCCGCCGTCGGCACTCGCCAATGCGTCCTTTGTTCTCGCCCTCGTCGTGCTCAGCTTCTGATTCCGACAGGCCGTCCAAGTCGTTGGCTTCTGCCTTTGTAACGGCCTCCTCGCCGCCCTGGTCGCGGATGGCGTCCGTAAGTCTTGCCCTTGCATCTGAAACTAGCTTCTCCGTCTCCGCTCGTACTTGCTCCCAGATATCGAGGGCAACTTTGACTCGCGGGCTGTTCTCGTACAGCTGGCCTCGCGTAAGCCGGCTCGAGATATACGCTCGCTCGTCGTTTCGAATAGCATTTTCGCTCTGCTCGAGCATGGCGTTGAGCACCTCGTCCACCGTCCTCATCGGGCGGTTCCTGTTGGAACCAAGGAGGCGGCGGCTATACACGCCAACCTCGGGGTGCAACGTCGTCTGCCGCAGACGGTTCAACCACACCCTCATCACATCTTCATACTCCTCCGGGTCCCAGTCTTCGGCCATAGGGGCGCCATCCAGGTCGAGTCCACATTCCTCAGCCATCTCCTTGAAGAGAGACTGGTAGTGTTGCTCCTCGACGGCCGTAAAGGGCATGCTGATGACGTATCTCTTCTGAGGCGGGAGCATGATTTCGTCTCGGACCAGGGCTTTCGTGTGTCGCAAGGAGATTGCCCTGAAAATCTGCTGGAAAATCGGCTTGTGATTGTTGATCAAGGCTTGCCAGACGTGCGATGCTGAGCAGTATGGCTGGTAGCCTAGGAAGGACAAAAGGCCAAGCAAGTCCTTTACGTCGTCCTTGACGGGTGTTCCGGTGATGCCCCAAGAGTTGACGCGTGGCAGCGCCCGCGCAACGATTGCTGCTTGGCTATAGCCGTTCTCAATCATCTGCGCTTCGTCCAGACAAAGCCTCCACCACCAAATCTTAACAAGAGGCGACATCATCCTAGGGTATGCACGCTCGTATCTCCGGGAACGTTGCGGCGGCTCTTGGGCGAAATGGACCTCGGCGGATAAGACGGAGTACGTGGTGATGACAATGTCGTACCCTGCTAGCTCCTGCACAATGTCGGCCTCTTCTCCCTGAAGCTTCTTGCATCCCTCGTAGTGCTTGACGCGCAGTGATGGTGCGTGGCGTGCCATTTCGGAGATCCACTGTTGTCGCAGCGATTCCGGCGTGACGATGAGGGTGGCACGACTCGGCGTGAGCCCCTTAGAATTCTCTCCCGCGGGTGGCAGGTCCATGCGGGCGTTGAGGAGTATGAGCCCCAGGATTTCCAAAGTCTTGCCCAGACCCATTTCCTCCGCCAAAATGCCACCCTTGATCGCCCTGTCCGCTTCCTCGTAAGGCGACTTGTCTCGTGTAATGGCCTGGAACACATCGCTCACAAACACTGGGTCACCGTTTGAATCGCGAACATCCCGGAAAGTGTCGATTCTCGGTGTGGAGGCCTTCGTCGAAAGCGGTCGAAGTCGTGATTCCCCGGCAACCCACTCCATGCCCTCTCTTGCGAGAAGCCACTTGAGCGTACGCCTCTGATAGGGAAATAGCGTCGCTTCCAAGCCGGAAACCTCTATTGATGCGGCACTGCCGTCATCTTTTGACGGTACATACGCCGCATCGTAAAAGTCCATCGGCGACCACGCCTTGGAAGGCGCCACAGTAGGGTAAAAGACGTCGATGACAGCCTGGCTGTCCTTGCGGTCTAGAATCCTCCGCAGATGTGAGAAGGACGACGTCACATTCCAAAACAGCTCCAAGGATATCGTCACAGTCGTCACTTTTCCATCGCACTCGACTACGATACCCATCGCCTTCCACAGTCGGCCCGGCTCGGCTTGTATAGTGCTGTATCCTGGGGCATCCAAGATGCGAATGGCCTTTTTCGCCGCTTCTCGCGGTCTGAGAGTTATCAGCGTGTCGAGCTTCCCTATCGGGGATGTCGTAGGCGATGACAGGGCCAGGCCCCTGCCCTGAAGCGTCCCATCCCTTGTCGGTCTGCCCGTCGTCATGTATCCCAATGAAAGGCCGATTCGCAAGTAACCCTCGACGTCGTGAAAGGTCTTGGTGAAGATCTTCGGTGTGTCTTCCGTACACGGACGAGAAAAAGACAGCTGCTCCTTGGCCACGGATACGGCGATGTCGGGGCGAGCATCAACCTTGCGCCGCTTGGGGGGTGGCTCCGACGGAGAGCTTTCGTTCGCGTCATCGGCGGCGGCGGAGGAAGAAGGGATGGCGAGGATATATTGAACGACCTCGGTCGGAATCGGGTCTGCGTCGATTCTGGTTAGTATTATAGCACTTACGCAGCTCAAGCACGTCAGAAACACGGCGTGCACCCACCATCAACCCCGACTTTGGAGTCCGGCCGAAACGGCTTCGGACGCCGGGCTGTAACTTTGGTTCGAGGCATCTTCGTCAATCGGTTGTACCACGCGGCTGTGTAACAGCTCGCTCCGGGGATGTCCTATGGCATTATGAAGGAGGGAGAGTCGCGTGAGGCCATGGAGTGGCGACCGTGAATGTGCTCAAAGGAAGACGCGAGTAGTCCTCGGGGGCCGTTACCGTTGGACGTCAGCCTAACTCCGGCCCCACGCGAGATAACCCCGAAAGCCAATGGATAAGGACTCGGTGTGCGCCACACCCGTGCAACCCTTCAGCCTTGCTGACCTAATGCTTTCGCATCAAATTTCGAGGTCCATCACCAGAACGAAACAAGCTTGGACGTGCTCCCGTTCAGCGACGACAAGGACGAAAGACTGCGCGCCAGCAGTCTCGCCGCCAGACACAGCCATAAAGTTTGTGACCTTGATTACTGATGCATTCGTCTCTGCCGATGGGCAATTGCTAACGTGCGCGTCTCTGCAGTCACGATGAGAGCACCGACACTCAGGCCATACCTGCGCCTCTTCGCGCCGAGCATCAACTTCCCGGCCTCCGCCGCCAGCCAGACGAGATGCCTTCACAAAACCCGGCCGCCGCCGACGATCCCGCAACCGCGGCCGTTCGTTCCCGACGTTGAGACCTTCCTGACGCTCATCGGCCGGGGGCTCAGCAAGCACGCGTCCAAGTTCCCCTCGTGGGAGTCGCTCTTCTCCCTCACGTCGCCACAGCTCAAGGAGATCGGCATCGAGCCCCCGCGCAACCGGCGGTACCTGCTGCAGTGGATGCAGCGATACCGCGAGGGCGCGCTGGGCCCCGGCGGCGACTTCCAATTCGTCAAGGACGGCGAGGCGCTGCTCAAGGTCGCCACACCGCCGGCCGCGGTCGTCAGCGATGCCAGATACGTGGTGAACGTGCCGCACGGGGCGACGGCGGAGGGCGAGGAGGCGGCGGCGGCGGCGGCGGAACAGCAACAGCAACAGCAACAGCAGCCGGAGACGCTGCCGCGGCCGAACGGGTACACGGTGCACGGACTCCGGTCAATAGCCGGGCCGTACGCGAGGCCGCTCCCGGGACAGGCCGGCGCGGTGGTCAAGGTGACGGAGGGCATGTGGGAGCAGCGCCGGGGACGCAAGATTGACGGTGGCGAGAGGCGGAGGGCCGAGGTGCGGTTCAAGAGGCGCTCGGCCGAGCGCAGGGCGGAGCGCGAGGCCGAGGTGCTGGCCAAGCTGTAGGGCACATCTGAATGGGATTTCGGCGACGTTTATACTCCAGCGACGTTCTGCTGTGTACTCTAGGCTGTATACATATACAACGGCAACCCTTTTGACCTTGCGTTGGATTTACGTGTGGAGGTGGCTGTGTCTGTCTCCGTGCAGAGATCGGGGCAGTGTTGACGATCAGTCTATAGCAAGGATGGCTTTACGTAGATTGCCGGGCAAAGCCCATAGACTACAACAGTAAGAACTCTAAACTGACCCAAACACCCCAGAAGGTCATCGTCATTCCACAACACCAGATGCACGTCGTTGAAGTGCGACAATCGTGGACTCAAAGGCAGGCCTCGCGATGTACAGGGTAGGCCGGCGTTGCCAGTGCGAACCACGGACCCACCCGAGAGCCGACAAGCTCACAAACCCCGGCCGAAGGGACGGCCATCGCTCATTCCCCCCAGGCAAGGACTTGCAGGAAGGGCATTTGCACGTGCCCCCGAGTACATGGGACTCATGCGCGCACTCGGCATCGCGATGCTCTAAAAAAAGAACCTTGGCAATCTCGTGAGCGCGCATCGATGCGGCTCCGTCCGCCAAGTTCAGGGCGTCTCCGTCCAGGTGAGGTAGCACTAGCCAGAAGAGTGCACTGGGCCCCGGAGTTTTCCAGGCACAGGCACAAGGCACCGACCGGCATAGGCACATATCGCGGCTGCTAACTTCCATCATAAGCACCCACCGAACCAGCCCGCCGAAACCCCTGTGCGCTTCAGCACCCCTCCAGGGCCCAAATCCCCAACCACCCTTGCGGCCAAGGCTTACTGGGAAAACTGCAAAGGTACAATACCAGAAACCACACGTCGAGATGGATGATGGTAGTATTACCCGATTCACGCAGCGCACCAAGGCGCCCTTTGATTGTTGTCGTTACACCCCCTCCCAAAGCCCATGCCCAAAGGGGGCCGAAAGCTTGTTTCGACGTCTTGGCCGTCCGCCGTTGGTCGCTGTTTTTAGAACCTTTAGGCGACGGGAAGGGCACCAGGGTCCCAGCGCGCCAGATCGTGTGTCAGCCATGACCAAGCACCAACGACCACCACACAAGGCAAGCACCCAAGCAAGCAACTCGTCAGGCAAACGCACACCCCCCCGTTGCTTCTTGCCTTGCACCGTTTTTGTTTGCTCGCCTCGCCTGTTGTGCCTGTTTCCCGCCGCCCGCCCGCCCCCGCAATCCGCCTTCCCGGGACCTTGCGTCACTGTCGAGTCGGGACGCCTTCTGTAAGCCTGTAGGGCTGACGGGGGGCCAAGAGCCACGTTTTGGTTGCGCAGGGCGGGCCTGAGGACCCTGTCTTCGCTTCCTGGTGAGGCACGCGTTGGTAGCACAGTCCCATGCAAGTCAGATGGTAGATGCCAGGGCGGGCATCATGATCGGTGCCGCCGCTGTGCTACCAACACTGGCGCACCCTCTCACAAAGCGTGGGGGAAACGCGATGAGGCTGGAAACTCTAAAACACTTAAACCGCTATACTTCAAACTTGGCAGTAATGCACGCTCCCCCGCAAGGCGAACCGGTAAAGCTTCTCAACGCACGCACGCACAGATAGATGCACATGACACTACATGAGCAGCCATAAGAAGAAGAAAAAGTGCCTCGCTTGCTGCACCTAGAGTAAAAGTAAAAATAAAAATCAGGCACCACCAGCCAGCAGCAGCACCTGAAAGGCTGGTGGTCTTCGCCCGCCCCTCCCGTCAACAGCAGCAGAGTTCAGCTCCAGAGCTCAGCTCCGGAGCGCGCTGGCCAATCCCGGCAGAGGGTGGGGACACCGCACGGAGCTCTGCCGAGGAACCGCTGCAGAGAGACAAAAATAGCAGCAAGCAAGCAAGCTGTTTCTGTTTCACAACGATCGTCCCGCCGACGATCTGTCGAGCCAGCATCATCATCCGCATACCCTGGTAGCCTGTCATTGCTTCAGATGGACGAAGCAGACTCCATCTTTTTCGCCAAGGCATCACACCGCGCTCTCGGTACCCATCCATTCGCGTGTAACCGCGGCGGGGCAGGCTGGAGGAGCCTCACAGGCCACAGCGCCAGGGATTGCTCGGGCCTGCAGCGGAGCTCTGGGGTGTATGAATGCTCGTGAGTGGGTTCAATCATCCGTCAGTTGAGAAAAATGGTGTTTAGACCCGGCCAGCTCGCCAAAAGACCCCGAGGAATTCCACGCCCCTCCCGGGATGAGTTCCCCCGAGCCCGTTCAGTCCATCCGCTCTCTCCCCCGGTCTGCCGAATACAGAAACAAAGGCCCACTATGCCGGTGGTGAACATGTCAAGTGAAACAAACGGGGTTCTAAGGCGCATGGTCCTGTCGCTCCTCCGCCAAAGAAACAATCCGACTCCCCTGTCGCCCGCGGGCTTGACGGGCCGAGTGAATGTATCGGCCGAGGGTCCAGTGGTCACTGTTGGTCGCGAATCCATGTTAAGCTCTCCAACGACGTGCGCAAGGTCACAGCCTTGGCTCACAAAGCGCGTGAGCCTGGCCTGCTTCACGGCGCCACTTGGCTCGCCACGACCTCCGCTGTTCCCTTATTGCGCGATATCGCCATCGTCGCCACTGGAAACGCCGCATCCGGCTTCTTTGCCCCTGCATCTTCACCAAGTCCCTGCCAATGCGATCGGGAGGGTGCAGCACGCACCATGCAACTATCGTTTCGCGTGAAATTCCTCATCCTGGTCTTGGTGATCGGCAGGTAGTGGCAAACAAATTCCATCTGCGTCTATTTTAATCACCCACGAGGATTTCGGACCTGCCTACCCCAACAACGGAAATGATTCCCGATTTCTCCATGTCTGGCCGCCGGTGAGAAGCAAGTCAAGATCGGACCGAGCTGTCATCGAAAACCCATGACGCCGCAAAGACAACCGGCCCGCGGCTGGCAAGGCTGGCATAGGACACGCCAATTGGTCCTGGTAGCGAAGATCTACCGGAGTGGCATTAAACAGGAGATTTCAGGACAGCAAGATGGGAGGGCGCAACACTGCCAGTACACCTGCATTGAGGCTCGCTGCTGGGCTCGTTGTGGCGATTCGTCTTCGCGCGGCCACGGGACGGTCCCTTGCGCCATGGTCACTCGTCCCCGCCGTTTTCGCCGTCGCGCCATCAACGGCCGAACTTTGCCGGGTTGACTGGTCACTCTGGTCTGCTATCGCATCCCTGCCGTATATCCAGCATCCGGGGAAGCCTAGGCCGAAATGACCTGAGGCACCTGGTATGAACGCACGTGGAAACGGTTGAAGAAGTTCAGATGCATTTCGACTCTGCCTTGTCTGGAGACCAATGCGGTGGCCCCCACCTGGAAGACCGCAACAATGGGCCACTGACGCTCCCAGGTGACGGACCGGGGGGTCGAGGATGTTGCTTGGGATGTTAAGACGGCTGCCCGGTGGCTGCCACACCCCTGCACCAAAGAGGCGACCGTTCGTTGAATGGTGTGGCTCCCACGACACTAACGACCATCCATTTCCCACAACCAGCCAATGCCAGTCGTCGTCTATTTTAAGATGCTGGACGACGAACTTGCTCGACGTCCACGAATGATAGTTTAGCCCGCATAGGTCGCGGACTTTGCGAAAGTCTTGACGTTAACGCATTTCCGGGGGCGGACGATAAGAGACGGGGAGTGTCGACCTCTTGATCCCGTGAGCTTCGGTTTACAGGGCAGACCCGGCCTGAAAGTCTGCCTGGTCTCACGGAGTTGGTAGCAGGTGGACTACCTGCAGCGGCAGATCATGTCTGCATCCTTGGAGAAAAGAGTACGTAGCACTGGGTTCCCAGACTCGGACTCGGGATAATGTGTCGCGGCCCGCCCCTGGCCCTGTCTTGAGTCTCAAAGAACCAGAAAACAGGTATACCTGGGTACAAAGAATTCGCAGTGGGTTCCGCTAGCTGGCGGGATCCGTGCCCCCTGCCTGTGCAACACATGCTGATCACCGGGACCAAAGCATGCCAAAGTAGATTTCAGGGGGGTTTGGCGGCGCACCTTCACGCGAAAGGGCAGCAAGACGTTCGCAGAGGGCGGCGCGGATGACCAAGACACACGCCCCCAGCGACAGTCACGATCGGACGAAGGATTGCTCTTGCTGGTCCGGGAGATCTCTGCGACGACGGTAGCGAGTCCGTCTTGGTTCTCGACTCGGCCACCGTAGCTTTGCAGGGTTGTCGGAACGTTTCCTTGGCGGGTGTCGATGCTCTCGCCTGTCTGGCAAATCGCACATCTTTAGCCGAGTTTTTACTGTAGTTGTTGCGTCGCATCCGTTTGGCGACCGCTTCTCAAGTGGGTTACCTGGGCGATAGGGGACTGAGCAGCGACATTCCGCTCTGTCCGCTGTTTCCATTAGCGAGGCCATCACGCGGAGAGCGGAACGGCGATAACTTGCTCCACTGCTGGGGCAGGCGTCGGCTGGAAGTGGGGGCGTTCGTGGGCAGATGCGGGCGAGGCGGAATTGTCCCTGGACCGTGGTTCTCGCTGGTGGAGTGCGCGGGTGGATTGCCTCTGCCATTGCCAGGTCGTGAGAGCCGCATGGAGGAGCCAGCCAGTCTTGTAAATTTGTCGGTACTTTTTCAACACAACCCGCCTTGCGGTTCGCACTTGCCCTCGCGATCAAATGCTCTTGCCAGAGTTGACGAGACGGCACAATGCTTTGCGTGATTCCTTCATGCACCAGTGGTGGCGAGGAAGGGGCGCCACGCGACGGAGGGCAGGATCAATGGACATGGCCATGCAGATGGAACCTAAGGAAGGCACGAGGTGACATCAACATGTGCCCAGGTGGTGTCCAGCGAAGGTGCTTCCAGCGGGCTGCAGCGTGCGCCTGCAGTGCATCGCCGACACGAGGCGACTGCGGAGCGAATGCATCCCCTCCTCCCTGACAGTGGACGTGGATGTGCCACTATCGCTGAGGATGCCCAGTAGGACAACCTTCACGCAGCTTGGCAGATCGCAATGGCAAGCGTGCGCGTGTTGTATCGCTCTGCAACAGTTGTTCGCGCGAACCCTGACTGCAGTGGTGGAACGTGCGACCCTTGCTGGTGGCCCCATGGGCCCCCCAGCAGACTCGACTTCCGACGCAGATGCCCAGGGGCCTTGCCGGATCCTTGCCGACTCGGGACGACGGGCTCTGGCTCTGGCAGCGACGGACGCCAGCGGCCTTGTTCCCGGCTGGCGAGCTTGCCAGCCGACTGGACTGGGCTGGCAGCCAAGGGTACAATAGGACCAGCGAACGGGATTGAAGACAGTTGGGGGCGGTCCCAGCTCTGACTTCTGTGCTCGTGGTTGGCGCACCGCCCGCCCACTGCCAATACGACGCTGCAACTCACTGCTGTACGAATACATGACCTCAGATGCAGGGAGCTTCTGAGAATTGTTTCTTTTGCAGCGCCCAGCAGAGCTGAAGCATCGCGTGTCTTTGAGGGCTGCCTGGTTGGACGCCGCCAGGCCAGTGAGCGGCGTCCACAGCTTCTCGGCGAAGCTCGACGGAAGAGTCAATGTCTCTCGTGTCGGCATCGAACGATTGCCGCCCTTGAATGGTGAGACACCCTCGACGGCCTCAGCCCCGCGCCCTGTCGAGGCGGTGGCCGTCCTGGAGGTATCGGCGCAAGACTCGTTCGCAGCGAGATATACGATCGGACTCCGTCCGTCGAGGCGTGGCCATGACGCACGCCAGGCGGGAGAGGGGGGGTGCCGCACCCTGGCGGTGGACTCCCCTCCTCGAGTCCCAATGTGCCGTCGCCCGCAAAGGTAGCCGCCACGGGGATCCGGCCATGGTCCTCCCTGGGCCGCCACGGGGCGACATGCGCCAAGCTATGGGCATGCGACGGGCACACGAAGGAGCGGGAAGGAAATGGGGCGCCTGGCGAGGCGTTGACGGCGTTGACGGTACCCGTTCGCCCGCCGGCGGCGTGCCGAGCTGGGCGGCCCACGGGATGTCTCTCGGCGCTGCTGGGACGCATTGCAAGGTACCTCACCTCTCAGAGGTGTGTCGAGCAGCTGGTGGTGCAGTCATTGACTCTGATGACTCGACGACGGCCGCGGAGACCTCGGCGGGCACCGTTCCTTCTGGCGAACGTCCTCAAGCCTCGAGCCCCGAGCCTTGACCTTAACCCATGTACCCGGCCGTTGTGGCGCCTGGTTTGGCACCCCGACTTGAGTTCCATGTTGGTCCGTTCGGAGCACATGGTTGTCCGCACCCCGAACGGAGCGGCACAGCATCGGGGGTGTTGGGACAAGTGCCGGACTTGCCGTGAGCGAGCACCGAAACGCCAAGCTGGGATGGGCGCGGCTCGTTATTTCGAGCAAGAGGCGTCCATGGGACCTTTTGCCATGCTCATTTGCGGCTTGCGGCACGTGTCGAGCTGGGTAGAGGTTCATCCATACCGACGTTGCAGTGCGTGCTGAGCGTCGGGATCTCGAGCTGTGCCATTCCCGCCTCGGTGGGAGCTGGTGGCGGCACGCGGCACTCTCGCAGTGGTGGAGCGAAAGAAGCAAGGCTCAGGCTCACAAGGAACCCCAATGAGGCCAAATGGATGCAGTTGTGGTTCAGATTCACGAATTGCCCCAAAATCCACCTAGCTAAAATAAAGCACATGGCGAGCTGCCCCCCTCCTTCTCCATCTCCACCTCCACGTCCAACCTCTTCTTGCATTTGCCTGAGACCCCGCCAATCGCCAGGTGGCATCGTTGGCACTTCGGCCCGTGTTCCAGCGGGCCAAGAAGGCATGATGCCGCGAGCTGGGCGTTCACGGACGGTAAAGGTACCCTTCTGCGCGCTGGCGAGGCCGACAACGGCGTGGGTGTAGAAATTGATGGCCAGCCAGGTCGAACCGGAGATGCTTCCCGCGCTCGTCAGTGGTTGTCTCTCTGTCTTGACGACCCGCCCCGATACCCCTTCAAGAACCCGACCTTACCTTAGGTAAGGCAACGGCGCCCTGTGGTTGGGTGGCAAGTCCCGTGCCCCCGTCGTATATCTCGCTTTCGTTCATCTCTCTCGCTTTCACCAACCCTTGTTGTAAGTGGAGGGTGTTTCTCTGGCGGTTTTGACATGCGCCCCCCTCCCCTTCGAGTGCCGTAGCGCATGACGATTGGCGGCGGCGCATGCAGCGAGCACCGAGTCCCTCGTCTGTGTGCATCGAATTGGGTAGACTCTCTCGCCACGCAGGGTGACATCGCAGGCAGGCTCTCGGCGGTGCCTGACGGTGATTCACGTCGAGATACCGCCAGCTTGGAATTGAGTCTGGATGGGGGCAGCCTCTGGCTCCTCCGGATCGCCCGCGCCCACGTTCTCGTTTACCTCATGCAGAGCGGCGAGCCAGCGTGCACGCCACTCGCCCGAGGCTCAGGTGTGAGTCTTGCCGCGAACGAGACGGGGAGAGGGTGAGGGTGTCGGCACGTCACGCACTCCGTTGCAGCAGGTGTCCTGAAGGCGCTGCAGGTGCACGGCAATGTGACTCGGATCATTGTGCTCCTGTCGGGTACGGTATCCCGACGGTTGCCCAGCTGGGGAGTGACTGCGAGCGCGAAAGATGGCCAGCGAGGATGAGGCTCAACTGCTTGGCCAAGCTTTTTTGCGCGGGAGGCCCGTTCTCCCGAGGGGAGCTTCAGTCGCCTCTCCACTGACGACTGCCCAATTTTGGCCATTTATCAAGGGTCTTCGGATCGCCCTGTCCCACTTGCACGCACCCCCGGCGGAAGAAGGGATCCTGGAAGGGAAGCATTCCAGCCTCCAGCCATCGGCGCGTGGTTGAGCCTGGTCCCGGTAGTTGTCGCAAAAAGCGAACACGCAGACCGCGCTCTTGGGAGCGGCTCCCCCCCACTCTCGCTCGCTCACTGGGGGACGTGCCTGACGCAAGGCAACACAACCATGGAATTAAGGCAAAGACAGGGCAAGGCAAGTCCATGAATGGCACGGCAAGGCAAAGGCAAGGCTTCTGAGACCGCGTCCCATGCCCCCGGGCGGTTCAGCTCGCTGCCTGTCATTCCCTTTTTGGTCAGCAGTGCGGTGCCATGCACCCTGGTCCAAGTGGCACTTGGGGCCTGGCGATGGGCAGACACCACCTGGGCATGCGGACTGTCGCCCGGCGAGGTAGCATCCACCGGCGGGCGCACCTCGTGGACGGTATCTGCGCTGCGGCCGATCGCTGCAGAGAAACCCCAGCGGCTACCGCCAGGCCGGTACTGGGTACATCTGCAGGGCTGGAGCTACCTTAGCAGAGCTACCCTCTTTTTTTGATGAGCGTCTTGAGGGTGTCCCCACCCGACCCGGCCGCACCTGCCAGGACGCGAGCGATACGGTGGGGAGGAAGGAGCCTTGGAGACTTGGAGACTTGGGGGGCAGGGGTCGGTCGGGTGGTGCTTGCACTCTCTTGCGTCTTGTCGTTGGGTGACTCTTTTTGCCCTGCGCTGCGCTTGAATTTAGCTGCGCTACAGATCTCCACACCCTGTTGAGACTAAACCGACCACAACCACCCACCCCCAAGCAGCACAGCGAATCGACAGAGCAAAGGCCAGCAGGTATCCATCCATCGCAATGGCTCACGCTCACACACGCCAGGCGATGAGGACCGCGGCAGACGAGGCCCACGACACACGCCACTGCCTGCCCGCCGTGCTGCTTGCACGTTGAGAGGCGCGCTCTTGATGCCACCCCCCCTCCCCCCCGGCTGTCCCCTGCAATTCCACCTTTCACGTCCCTGGCATGGTATGCCGCGCAGGGCTGGCCGCCGCCTCCGTCGTTTGCTTGTTTCATCGCGGGCAAGACGCAAAAGGGCCCTCTGGACTCTTCCCGAGCCTGCCCACCACCACTAGCACCACCGCCGCGGCCGCCCACCAGGCCGCCACCACGTCGTCGAACCCCTACGCCCCATCTGGCACACCGTGAATGAAAGCACCACCCGTGGACAGGGGGGTCGACCCACGCGTCTCTTGTCCATCTGCGTCATGCCAGCCCGCGAGAGCAACCTTGAACGTCCTCGCGGACCCTCCAGTCTGCCCTACCGGGCCAGGTATGCCCGTCCCACCTCCATCAGGAGAGCCGTGACGTGCGCCGGTGCCGGCCGCGGACTGGGGGTGCGACGAGCCATCGCTGGGGTATCCGCAACCAGATGGACCTTGGGCAGCCCGGCTCCAGCACGAGCATGGATAGGGTGGGTGGACGACTTGATGGTGTCCCAGACACGCGGTTGAGGAATTTATTATTAGAGGCCCTGGGCTGTCTGCTTCAACCCCGGACGCCCTCTGCCTGTTCGCGGCTTCGTCTTTATAATCAACGCCAGCCCTGCGTGGACAGACGCAAGACGTGACGACGACCAAGCAAGCCTTCATTACGCAGCTGTCTACTTCCCACCTCACACTTGTGCCGTCCTCCCTTAGTCGGCCTTTACCTTGCAACAAGCCTCACTTGGACTTACACGACAGCCTCGACTGCCAACACCTCCAGCCAGCGTCGACGACTTTTGATGACTTATATACCCCGTCGCATACTCTTCACACCAGTCTCATCTCTGTACATGAATACATCTAGAGGACACTGCGAACAATAGATGTCTCAGACCCAACAAGATCCTGAGAGCCAGCATATATCGCTTCCCAAGATCCGCATCCAGAGCGCCTCCCCGGTCTCTTTCAGCGCCAGAGAGGGTTCTCCTGAAAGCATTGGACTAGCAGCGCGACGTTCAAAGACACTGCCCAGCAGTCTCGCCACAACACCGCGTCCCGGCCCCGGCCATAAGCGAAGGAGGTCCGCCACCGAATCGGACATTGACATCTTCAAAGCCAAGGACGCCGCCATGACCGCCGCCAAGATCTCCAGACACAACTCGGACGCCTCGAAGAAGTCGAGCGTCTCGCCCTCAAACTCCATCTCCCGCAAGTCATCCAAGTCCAGCGCCAAGGATGTGGACTGGACAGAGGTGACGGACCCGGAGGAGCGACGGCGCATTCAGAACCGCATCGCGCAGCGCAAGTTCCGTAAGTCGACCATGCTCTGTCGCCACATGAGTGAGGAGGTCTAACCAGATGACGCAGGCGAGAAGGCCAGGGAAAACAAGGAAAAGGCGGAGCGTGAGACGAGGAATCGAGAGCACGCCGGCAACAGCTATCGCACGCTTGCGCTCACGGACGTCAACGCCGACCAGGACGCGCTCTCGGGCCTGCCTTGGGGCGGCCTCAACCTGAACCTGGTGGTCGCGCGGGGTTACGAGGCGGAGAGCCGCCGCAGCAGCGGTCGAGGCACGTACGTCGGCGATGAGGCATATCCCGAGCCCCAGTACAGCCCCCCTCAGTACAGCATGCCGTACAGCGCGGGCCTGCAGCAGACGGCCAGCTACGGCAGCAGCGGTGGGGACGACATTTACTACGACGACACGACGAGTTATGTCTACGAGGCGCCCCCTCACCCCCCGCCTCCGTTCACGACGGTGTGAAGAATGCTTTCGCACTTTCGTTTTGTCTCTCGTTTATAATGACCCAGCGGGTATGTCTCAGAAACCCCCGGGGCCCCCTTTGGCCCCCAAAGTTTGACACGAGGCACCATCCGCTAACCCATTCGTTGCAGATTGTTTTGTTGCTTTTATTCTTTTATTTCTCGCATGTTTCATTGCGCCTGCGGGATAGAACGGGTGGGCTTCCATGAAGAAGAAATGAACCCACGCGCACGACTCACGACAAGGAGGGTCTTGCGGGGGATGACAGGGTCCCCAATGGACTGTGGTTCTACAGGGGCGGTGGGCGGCGGCGTTCTGGTTGAGAGCATTGGGATAGTCAAACTCCCCGCTAAAATATGCGAGGGCACGGGGCGTCAAGCGGTCTGTTTTTTTTTCTTACTCCCTCTCTTCTCTCAGATGGGTACACGACGGACGGGCCGAGAACAAACAAAAGAGTCATTTTTTCTGAGCCTCATGTTTTTTTTTTTGGGTTTGCCTTTGGTTTCCACTTCTTCACTTCTCTGTTGCATAGCTACTTTTGGATTGGTCTTTCTCTTTCTTCTCTTCTTCTCCACAACACTGTCATCTTTTACTAGAAAGCATTTACAGGATAGCGGCGGGCTCGGGCGGTTCTCGCGGGGGATAGACGGGGACCTGGAACGGGGTGGGCAAGAAACGGCCGCTTGTGCATTCGACGCAAGAAAAAACAGGAATATACTACAGTAACAAGAACTTCCTTTGCTGCATTATTAATCGCCCTCGCGTGACTGATGACTGATGGTCTTTTTGTCGTGAGTGTCGAGGGCAAGCGACGGCGCCAGACGCAGGTGGCGTCATTGTTCTCGACTCGTTTGCGCGAGCGAACCAAGTTTGGTGCTGGGGGGAGCCCTGCGACCCTGGGTGCTGTCCTGTCCGGCCCCCTTGGCGATGCGGTGGGCTGGCGAAGACGCATCGGAACAGCAGCTTTTGAAAGTGAAGGGGGTGGGCCCCCCTGGACTGGAGAGAGGGGAGCATTTACAAGCAATCGCCTTGGACTGACGGGTGCGCGCGCGGTGCGTGCGGACCGCGGCTGGCTTGGCCCGTCAGTGACCCGACTGCGACATGGCTTGTGACGCAGCGCAAAGCACATTCGTTCGTTTCTGGAATTGAGTCACTTGACCCGGAATCTCGCGGTGCCACGAAGCGTCGCAATACCGCTTTGCTCTCCATGTATGCGTCGTCACAGTTGGGACGTGGCGGCGTGAATACGAAGCAGCAGCTATTGAGGCTTCAAGAACAGCAGCCTGCTGCGATCATGCTGGGCACAGCGGCATGGCGCCTGATGCACACCCACCAGCAGCAGCACCAGCAGCAGCACGAGCGAATGCTGGGCGTTCCCGTTGTCGGTGGACGATAAAGGGACAAGGACGTCGCCGGCGGCGGGCACAGGGCCGTTTGAGCACCGGTAGCAGTCCCACTCGGCTGTCGAGCGACCGCCGATTGGCCGCCCTTGCGAGTCGTCTGGGGACGAACGCCATCAACCGCCACGCGGGCTTTGTGTTACCAAGGATGCCGTGCAGACGGATCTTGCGGGACGGACGTCGTACGTACGCCGTGACGCAGCCTGGTGGGTGGGCGGGCGTGTCCTCGACGAGACGAACGAGATCGGGACGGGCTTGACGCTGGGGTTGGTGGGCGCTTCTTTGAGAGGCGGGCTTGACACGGGGGGCTTGCGATCGTGCTTGCTCGATGGCGTCGCCACGATGCTCCCTTGACGGGCGCCCGGCGCGGCCACCCCCGACCGGGCGAGGCAGAATCCGCGCCTCCTCTGGGGGAACCGTCTCGCAGCCAGCAGGCAAGCCAAACTGTCGACCTTAGCAGGGAGCGGCTCGTGTGTGGCGGCGGTGGAGAGGGAGTGAGTGCCACTTCGCAGGGAGTGCAGAAGCCATTCCCTAGCCGACGGAACGGGATGCAATTCGCGCCCGGTGGGGACGCCTTCTGGGAACAGTCCATGTGCTCCTTCAGCCCTGGTGGGGGGCGTGGGTGGGTGTGCTTGGGCTGGCTGCTGGCTGTCGGCGCGATGCACGCACGGGGGCGGACGAGAGCCGGGGGGTGGGTGGGTTCAATGGAACCTCCAGTTGTTGCTGTCGGGGGCTTCGGTCCTCCGACCGGCGGGGCGGGCGAGCGGGCGGGCGGGTGGACGGCGCTGCGGTGCTTGCCCACGCATACCGCGCTGCGCATCGAGGTTGGCTATCATCTCCGCCTCCGTATCGAAATCGAGCTGCTGCACACGCCAGCGACGAGGGTGGGTTGTAGGAGATGACGACTATGATGATGCTGCGGCTGAGCACCTGCATGCGTTCGAGAAGAAGCATATGGGGGAACTGAGACTCAGACATCCGTTCCCCTTCAGCCCTGTCACTGCCACATCGTTGCCCTATCGGGCAAAAAAGATGCGATGGATGGGTCGTGGGAGCGGCACCCAGCCTCACCGCAAAGTGGTGTCTGATGACGATGAACCGCGGCAACCTCTTCGACCTCGACCCCATTCTGCATCTCGGTTGTCACTTGTCGCGACATCCGGCCGGGAGACTCGGGATAACGCCGCCCGGACCGCAGCAGTGTGTTGTGGCAGTGCCGTTGGCAGCACCCCCCTGCCTTCATGATTCCCAGTTCGCGCCGCACGCGTGCGTCCGCCTGGTGCCCGTGTGCTGTGCGGACCGGCTGAGCGCTGGGATCCGCAGCAGAGCCGCAAAGACACGCCTGAACGCCGCTGTCGCACCCCCCACTGGCATTTTGTCGCAGCCTGTCTTGCATCTTGACTGATGCTGGGCAGCACGCGGCGTCGCATTCGCTCGCGCAAAACGGGAAAGGCCATTCGAGCTGGTCTCTGGTCTCGGGAAATTAACGGCTGCAGCGTGCAGGACTGTCAATGTCGCGTGGGGAGTGCCCGAAGCCCTTGACAGGCAACGTCCGGGCGTTGGACATTCCATGAATGAACGCGTGAGGATGAACGATGATGCAATGGATGGACCAGATTCGGGCCTCTTTGACGAGATGGCTTGCTGGAGGCGTTCGCTGCCTGGCCAGCACGCCAGGCTAGCAGCAACAGCAAAGCCTGCTGGTTCGTCCGGCAATAATAAGGGGCAAGCGGTGCAGGTCTCCTGCCGTTGCCCGCTCCTGCCCTGCCGGCTGTTCCTGGGGCCAATGGGCCCCCCAGTGGCCCGATCACGGCCTGCGCCTGCCTGCCTGCGGCCCCAGTGCCTGCCGGGCGCTGCCCGCCTGCACGGCGTCGGACAGGAACAGCGGCGATAGCTCCTGCCACTGGCCGCTCCGGCCGGGTCGGTGTGGGGCGCTACTTCCAACGGAGGATAGACGGATGAAAGGCTGCCTCACCGCCTGGCAGAACATCGACCTGGCCGCCTACGCCCCACCAAAAATTTATCCAGACAGCCTCGTGCATGCACACCAAACAACGGTCGTCAACCACAGCCTCACCTCGAAACGAGTTACCAAGGCTGCCCGAGGCTGGACTTCACCCTACTGCACCCATTTGGAATCCAAAGCTCTAAGGACGGTACAGCCGCATCTGACGGCCCCAGTCCTGAAGCCATCGCCGGCTCGGACCCAACCCCACGCAAGGCCTTGCTCCGCAGCCTTGAGGGTTCGCAACCGTCGCAATGACACCGGTACCGGCAGGCATATCCGCCCAGGCGGCCGATCCAGACCACGAGAAGCGGCAGAAGGGTATGTCCGAGGACATTTCAGCCTCTGCCGTCAGTAGGTGCATGCTTACCAAGTATTCCTTTCAGACAAGGCCCACTACAAGGTCAACGCTCGTGAGCGGCGCGCTGAGCAGCGAAGGGAGAAGCGCAGAGACAAGGCAGCCGCCAAGAAGGAGCGCAAGGCCAACATCAAGCGCAGCGGAAAATGGACCGAGGAGCGCAGGGAGGAGATGAAGGCCAAAAAGTCTGAGAAGAGCATGGACCCGGCCAAGCGCGAGAGACGGCGCCTGCGCCTGCTTCAGAGACATCAGAAGCTCACCGTCCAGGCTGAGAAGTTTGCGGCAGAGGCCCAAAAGGCACTGGCGCAGTACAAGTACATGACTGAGGCTAAAGAGGTATGCTATCTGCTGCTGATTTGCATGGAGTGTTGCTGACTCTCAGGCAGCGAGCTGAGAAGGAGGGCAAAGCCGCTGATCTCGGCGACGACTACCTGGCAATCGACAGCGACTCTTCTTCCGACAGCGAACCTGGCGGTGCCGAGATTGCGGACCCCGAAGACGGCACTGTGCCTGCCGATGAGGTCGTCATGAAGCATCGCCGCGAGAGCGACGCGTCGGCCCACAGCGCCGTTTCCGCCACGGCAACAGCAAGGTTGAAGGAAGAAAAGGCCAAGAAAGACAAGCACGACAAGTCGGCTCACGCCGACCCTGAAGATGTGATCATGGAGGATGTTGAAGAGAGCGGCAAGCCGAAGAAGGACAAGAAGAAGAAGCAGAAGAAGGACAAGGCTGTCCAAGCTGACGACGAAGCCGCCGAAGACGTCACGGCGCCCAAAGCCGAGTTGAAGCGCAAGCACGAGGAGCAGGGACCGGATGAGGAGCCCGCGCCCAAGAAGGACAAGAGAGCGAAGAAGGAGAAGAAAGAGAAGAAGGACAAGAAGGAGAAGAAGACCAACGCTGCCAAGGTTGCCGACGGCGACGCCAGCGCCGACGCAGCTGCAACAGACGATGCTGCCAAGTGGAACGTGGGCGATCTTGGAGGCGGATCTGCACGACAGGCGAAGTTCCTTCGCCTCCTCGGAGGCAAAAAGGACGCCACGGCTGCCCTGTCGGCGTCGGCAGCGGCTCCCAAGGGCAAGTCTGCGTCTACCAAGGCCGAAGCCGAAATCCAGCGCCAGTTCGAGGAGGGCATGAAGGCCAAGTTTGACGGCACCGGCAAGCGCCGCGGCCTGGGCGCATAATGCTGTTGCTGTTGCTGCCCCTAGCAGGCAGTCAAAGTCTTGCCTGCCATCCTCTGTATTTTTGTCGTACCTCTTTACATTGCTCTGGGCCACGCGCCCAAGGACCGGAAAGGAAAAGCATAGCACGGCGTTGATAGTTGCTCTCCTGCGGGAGAAGACAGTTGAATGCTGGGCATGGCGCCCGGTGAGATAACTTTATTGCTTCCATCTGCGCCGTGGTAGCTCCGTCGCGTACCTGCAACTTTAAAGACCAGGTGATAAAGAACAGCTGTGCTCAACGCGTACAAGAAAGGCCAAATATGTGGAATATGAGGAATGGTCAACCCAAGGGCATGGAGCCGTCGAGGACACTGTTCCGTTTCGTAGCATGCCACCAGAGGACCATGATGGCGTTTGGTAGACGCGCCGCGCGTGCGGTCCCGCGAATCCCGACGCGCCTCATTGTCCTCTGCCCTCGCCCGATGGGTGTTCAGTGCGGCGGGCGCGCTTACTGGCCGAACATGCGCGACAAGGCCTCGAAGACCAGACCACCGAAGACGATGAAGCCGAGAATGACTATGCGTGGACCACTCCGTCAGCTACATGGCTCCCAAACTTGCGGCATCACCACTCGGGGTTGGAGGGCCGGCAGAGCGGCGCGGCGCGCATATAGACACCTGCGCGCGGGCTGTGCCCCCATGGCCAGGGCCAGAGAAGGGAAGGGGAAGAGCACTCACCGATCCAGAACATGGAGATGGGCGCCTTGGGCGCCTCCTTGGTGCGCTTCTTGACCTGCTCCTCCGACTTGCCCATCTTGGCCTCCTGCACCTTGGCGAACTTGGCGTTGCGGCGGCGTTGCTCGAGTGTTTGCGCCTGTTGCATTGGGAATGAAGGGAGGCCGGTCAGCGTTCCATCTTAAGCTTGGGGGCAGAAGTGCGCGAACGACGCACGCGGGGGGAAGAGGCGGCTCCCCCAGCGACGTTCCCCCAGCGACGTTCCCCCAGCGACGCAGGGGCAGCAATTGGACTGCGAGTGACGTACCATTGTGACTTGTGTGTGTAGATGCGGCTTGTGCGGATCGGGGATTCGAAACGGATGCGGTGGTGGAAAGGACCGTGAGGAAGCAGAAACGGGGTAGGTTTCGCTTCGCTTCACTATATATATGTATATGCTTTGGGGCGTGGGGGTCGCGATGCGGCGCGATCGTGGGCGCGGGTATGGACAGATACGTCGCAGACGGGTATGGAAGGCGATGGTAGATGAAACGGTGTTCGCTCAGGGCGGTGGTAGGAGAAATTAGAACAGAGAGAAAAAGGCCGCGGTCGGGAGGCGGGAAGATTTGGGGGTCATCTGTCGAGGGGCGCGTGGTGGTGGTGCTGGTGATGAAGAACGGCGGCGACGGGCTTTTGGGGACATGTGTCGTCAAGGATCCCTGCAGGGGACAGGTTGCAGCACGCGCCGCGCCCGGGGCCCGGGAGGGAAGGTGACCGGGCGGGCCTGCCGTCGGGGTTTCCACGCCTGTGAGCGAGCGAGCGAGCGAGCGGCGCCGCTGTGGCGCGAGCAGCATCCACTGGGGGGAATGCGGGGTCTGCGTGGTTGATGAGCCCCCCGATTTCCACGAACCGGCACTGGATCCATGGATGTCGTGGCACCGCCACAGGTGGCACGGGCTTTGGCCAGCAGGCCTGAGAGCAACCACCAAGGAGCCTTGGGGGCTCCATGAGGTGCGATGTTACGGCGCAGTGGACACTGACGCCCCACAGCGCGCTCGGCCAGCAGCAGGTTGCCCCTACGGAGCTCAATTGGCAGGCGGACCTATTTTGGCGTGCGGCTCGTTCAAATCCGCCCCGACGACAACCGCCGCTGCCGACATCGCCTACGAGTCCGACATCGACGACGACGACGACGACGCCGAACAGCCGCGAGACCGCCCACCATGGCAGCCAGGCAGATGCTCCCGCTCGCGCGCCGCCTCGCCGCCGCTGCCGGCCCCAGTACAGCTCGCGCGCGACTCCTCCAACCGCAAACCCTCCCGTCTGTCGTCCTCCGGCCATCAACGAGGCGCTACGCCGGCAGCACGTCCAAGCAGCCGAGCGCGACGGTATGCAACATGCCCCCAGGCCATTGACACTGCTGTGCCCGCCCCTACGGACGCATACATACACCAAGGGGAAGAGAGAGAAAGCTGACGGTTGAATACTGCACCGGCGCAGTCCCAGTTCTACAAGACGTTTACCCGGCCCATCGCCAAGGTGCTGCTGCTCGCCGTCTTCACGTACCAGGTCGTGTACTGGTCGTGGATGAAGCTCGAGGCGGACGAGGTCCGCGAGGAGAGAGACGGTACGCCCATGACACTTGCCTATTCTTTCAAGGGGGGAACGCCGTCCAGATGATGGAGGTGTTGGCTGACGGATTGTGCGTGCAGCGACGATTGCGGAGCTCGAGGCTACGGTTGGCGCGTACGATAAGAAGAAGAAGGAGAGGGAGGAGGCCGGCGCTGAGGGGAAGAAGACGTCATGATGCGACGCGGTGCGATGCGATTCGATACGGTGCTTTGCGACAGAGTCGAGCGAAGTCGACGCACGTTGCTGCCGGGGCATGGAGCGACGAATATCTGCCAAGCCATCTAGCATGGTGTTGACGGTGTGGAAAGGGGTTGAATTCACGTCACCCACGCGCATTTCACAGGAGAAGGACACATTCGAAGACGGAACGCTGGAAGATACCATGGAGGATATATCCGCGGCAGTCTGCGCCGCGCATGTACAACAGATAAATCTAACGACGATGCCTGCTCCCAGCCGGGGGCCGGCCACTTATCTACTCGACGACCAGCGAGCCCGTCAGCCTGACGTCGCGACTGCTCGCGCCCACGTACACGGGATACGCCCCCTTCTGCACGACCCAGCGCTGGCGCGCCACGTCCCACACGCTCAGGTCCCGCCTCGTCAGCTCGAAGCGCACCGTCGCCGCCGTGCCGGGCCGCAGGTGCACCTTCTCGAACCCGCGCAGCTGCTTGGGCGGCGCGCCGGGGATGCCGACGTACAGCTGCGCGACCTCGTGGCCCGAGACGTGGCCCGCGTTGACGACGGTGGCCTCGACGCGAGCGACCACGTCCCACAGGCCACCGCCGTGAGTGCTGCTGTTGGTCGAGTCCGTCAAGGGTGTCGCGCACAGCGACTTGAGGGGCGAGAGCGCGAGCGCCGAGTACTTGAAGGTGGTGTAGCTCAGGCCGTAGCCAAACTCGAAGCGCGGCGTGATATTCTTGGCGTCGAATGCGCGGTAGTCGAGGTACACGCCCTCTGTGTAGTCGCACTGCGGGTCCGTGGTGTTGTCCTTGCCGCGGCCGCACGGCGCGTACACGGGGTAGTCGGACTCGTTGCGGGCGACGGTGTAGGGCAGGCGGCCGGAGAAGTTCTCCTGGCCGTAGAGCAGGCGCACGAGGGCGGCGCCTGAGTCCTGGCCGGGGAGGTGGGCGAAGACGGCGGCCGTGACGTTGGGGTGCTCGATCCACTGGTCGACGAGGCGGATGCCGGCGGCGTGGACGACGACGATGGTGTTGGCGCAGCGCGAGGCGACGTGCAGCACCAGCGCGTCGCTGGCGTCATCGTGCAGGCCCGTGCGGTCCCAGCCCTCGGTCGCGATGGCGTTGATGAAGACGAGGCAGGCCTGCGTCGCGCCGTTGACGTCGGGCGTTGTGGACGTGACGTCCCAGTTGACCCAGGTGCCGTCTTTGGCGGCTCGCTGCTGGATGGCGCTCAGGGGCTGCGGGGAAAGCTTCTCGTCAGCTCACGCTGTTCATACAGATCGGGCGCTCGAAGAGGACGGCAAGGGAGAGGGTAAAGACTCACATCGCTCATGTACGGCGGCGCGTTGGCGCCCGCCCTGCCGCCCGTGGTGATGGTGCCGCCCCGCGCGGCCTGGTCGAAGCTGCGCAGCGTGCCGAGCACTGCCTGGCCCATCTCCTGCGAGGACGTGTAGCCGAGCTGAAAGAGCGTGTCGATGTTCTTGGTGGGCGGCGGCACGGCGTCATAGCCGAAGACGGACAGCATCTTGGGCTTGCCGCGGAACGGCAGCGTGCGGTTGGCGTTCTTGACGAGGACGTGGCCCGCGACGGCGCCGTTGAGGAGCACCGGCTTGGACTCGGGCACGCGCGCGTCGATGGGGTCGTGCGGCAGGGAGAGATTCTTCATGCCGACGCCCGGAGTCGGGAAGTCTGGCGAGTCCTGGCCGACGAGGTACCAGGCGGCGAGGATTCTGCATGGGCAGCCTGTCAGTCGTTGTGATATCAAAAAGGGGTGACCAAGAAGAGGGCGGAGTGTCTGACCTCGTTGCCATGTCGGTGACGCGCTTCTCCGGAACGGTACCATTCTGGACGGCATGCGTCAGGTTGTCGCCCCACGAGCCGCCGTAGGGCATAATCATGTCGAGCCCCCCGTTTGCGCTCTGCAGGTTGTGCTGGGCGTTCCAGTCGAGCATGACGAAGCCGTCAAAGGCGAGCTCGCCCTTGAGGACGCCGTTCATGAGCTTGCTGTTCTCGCAGCCGTACGTGTTGTTGATGCGGTTGTAGGAGCACATGACGGAGGCGACGCCGGCGCGGACGCCGTCCATGAAGGGCCAGAGGTAGTACTCGTGCAGCGTCTTGTCGTCGAGGTTGGACGAGGCGGCCTCGACGCCGAAATAGGGGCGGCGGTACGTCTCTTGCTCGTTGGCGATGAAGTGCTGGGCACGGGTTCAGACGATGCGTGATACTTCACCGGTTTCAGGGGAGCAAACAAACCTTGAGGTTGGCAATGACGCCGGCGTCTTGGTACCCGACGATGGTCTCGGCATTGAGCTGGCCGGAGAGATAGGGGTCGACGGAGAAGCCCTCCCAGTTGCGGCCGCCGAGGGGCGTGCGGCCAAGGGGGCCGGCATTCGGGCCCAGCGCAATGTTGACTTGTCTCCCATGTCAGCATACACTTTCTTTCCCGACCCCTATTCATCCTCAGGCGCAGCAATTGTGCGCATCATCGTCGTCGTAATCTCACCTCCCTTGGCGCGAAACTCCTTGGCCATGTAGACGCCGCGCTGGTACGTCAGGTTGCGGTCCCAGCTGGCGCCGACATGCAGGCCCGAGGCCCAGGCGCTGACCATGTCGGTGGCGCGGACGCCGTTGCCCGCGTCGTGCAGGCACATGCCCGGCCAGCCGAGCCGGGGCACGGAGCCCGAGTTGCCGGCGCAGACATTGGCGTCGGTCTTGAAGCCGCGCGTGACATTGACCTTTTCCTCGAGCGTCATCTGCGCGACGAGCTTGCGCGCGCTGGCGTAGGCGCCCGCCCAGCGGCCGGTGCCTTGGCCGGAAGCTGGGAGACGGTCAGCACAGCACCGGGGTCGGGGGAGAGTCTCACGAGAGGGAATACTCACGACTGGGGTAGACTTCGGGTGAGACGGCGCGGTCCGACGCAGCAAGCGGCAGCGCGAGGGCCGCGAGGGCTAGTGTCGTGGACCACATCTCGTGTCTCTCGGTGGCTGAACAGCCTCGGATCTCGAACTTGGGATGTTGCGAAGCCAAAGGCGCGCAGGATCGTCGTCGCGGGGGAAAGGCGGGTGCAGCAGACAAGTTATATCAGCTCACCGCCTCCCTCCCACCGATGACGAAGGGCACAAGTTACGCACGGGAGGAGGATGAAGAAGCATTGGCGTCGCACGGTGGGGGTTTCGGACCTCCCGAGGGAGTGGGCGCGGATGACGGGCCACTCGGCCGACGAAGACAACGAACAAACGAACGAACGATGATGTGCATCGGCCGGCTCTCGTGTGACGCGCGCGTGGGGAGATGCAAATTGTAACTAACACGGGCCCAGGGCAAGAGGGGCGCCGATNTTTAATCATGGGGACGGCGCAGTCCGGGGCGAGACACGCGGTGCGAATCGGGGCGCGTTCCGGGGGGCCGGGCGCCCCGCCCTGCCGGCACGCCGCACCTCCACTGGCAAGAGCCACTGGAAGTGGAAGCGCAATTGGGCGGGCAGAGGCAGAGGCGGTGGGGTGGCTGCCGACTGGGGGGTGCTTGTCCGGGCCGATACTCCGCGCCGCCGGAGCCTGTGCCTGGCCCGGCGCTCGTTGGGCGGTCCCAGCTTTCCGTCTCCAGTCCCTGCTTTAGAGTTAACATCGCGGCAGTGACGCTTCTCGTTCTACTAATCCCGAACAATCTCCACGAAAACCGCACGTCAACGTGCTTCCACTGCGTACTCACCGGTTGACCCCCACGTTCTTCGATCAACTCCCGCAGACTCCCATCCCAGTCGGCCCGGCTTGCAGACTTCCCCGCTGCTAACCAGTCGTCCATCTGCGAAGCACATAGCATGTCATCGTTCCGCGGCCGCGCTCCGACGACGTCTGCCACGAGGCCGCGGAGCGAACCTGCTGGTTGGGCCGGAGTGGCGCCGCGTGTCGCTGGTGCTGCTGCAGCCTGCATCTGCGTCTGGCCCGGGCGTGCGTTGGAGTGCTGCGTGCGTGCGTGCGTGCCTCGGCAGTGGCACACGGCCGTTGACTGTCTGCCGGGCGGCCGGGAGGGAGGGCCGTGCCCACACATGGGGGGCTATGAACGAATTTCTATCGAGGTGACCCCACGCGGATTGGTTAAATTGGCCCAGGTCCTGGTCTTGAGACGTATTTCGATTCTGGGAACCACCAAAGCCATGGAAGTCCCGTTTGTATCTCGAAGCAGATACGGTTCCTCTATGGGTACCCAAACTACCCATTTTCCCCGTGCGAACACGACCCCCTTACCCATCACAGTCTGGAGGTTCCAAACGGGGTTCCCAAATTGCTCGCAGCGGGAAATGGGTAGATATGGGTAAAGTACGCATGAACCGCATTCAACACCCGTCACGCCCAGTGGTTCCAAACGGGCACCCAATGTGCCCATTTGCCGTGGGCAGATTTGGGTACCCAAACTCCCTGCAGTGCCTACCCATGAGGAGAAATAGGTGGTTTTGGGTACCTGTTTGGGGAGCCTCCGCAATGACAATGACTGACCTTTTCTGCCCATTTCCGCTGTTCAAGATTTCTCCGGTCGAATGCCGACTGGCATGCCTGCATCCGCGGGGACGTGCCTGTCCGTATGGGTGGTAGTTAGACCGCCAATAGTAGCTAGGGCCGTCGGGGGCGGTTTTGGTAAGGCGCTTGCTCTGCTGTTTGTCTAGAGGTTTGATCTGAGGAATTTGTCCCCTCTCTGGTTTGCTTGTTCTGCGCGCAGTTCAGCGAGAATCAGTCCCAACTCGTCGTGGGTAGTTGTAGGTACCCAGATCGAACCGTCGAGATCTCATTGTGGGTAGTTTTGGTACCCGTTTCATCCTCCGGATTTTGAAGGGTAGTGGGTATTACCCATAACTCATCAAAGTTGGCGGTTCCAAGCGCACCGAGGACCCAAAACTACCCATGACATGTAATGGGTAGGTCTGGGTACCCATTTGGAACCAAACAACGAACAAGGTTCCAAACGGGCTACAAAGAAACTCATAGGTGGCCGTTTCATTTTGTTTGCGAAAACGTCCATCTCCCCGTTTGCACGCTGGCTGGCTACCCCGCTTGACGCATCAGCCGCCGTGCCCTGACAGCCAACGTAACGAGGCGTCGTGACCTCGATCTCGTGCCGCTATCAATCTCAGCTCACTTACAACACCAGATCCGCCGTGTACGCCAAATGCCGCTTGTGGCCGAGATCTCTGCCACCGGCTGTGTTCGTGCCTTCTCCTGTCCCTCCTCCGATACGACACCACAATCGTCCATCGACTGGTCACAACAGCAGCACACCATGACGGACGACTCAACGGCGACCACGACCGTCAAGCTCGCGGTGCTCATCGACGCCGACAACGCGCAGCCCAGCCGCGTCAACTACCTCCTCGCCGAGATCGCCAAGTACGGGACCGCGTTCGTCAAGCGCGCGTACGGCGACTGGACGGGCACGAGCCTCAAGGGGTGGAAGGACAAGCTGCTCGAGTGCTCGATCCAGCCGGTGCAGCAGTTCGCCTACACGACGGGCAAGAACGCCACCGACGCCGCCATGGTCATCGACGCCATGGACCTGCTCTACTCGGGCCGCTTCGACGGCTTCTGCATCGTGTCGAGCGACAGCGACTTTACGCGCCTGGCGTCGCGCATCCGCGAGTCTGGGCTCGTCGTGTATGGCTGTGGCGAGCGCAAGACGCCTAGGCCGTTTGTCACGGCGTGCGACAAGTTTATCTATGTTGAGAATCTGGTGCCCGCTGCTGTGGGTGGTGATGTCGCCGCCGCTGTTGGCGCTTTCGACCCTGTTCGTGCCCACCCCCGAGACCCGGATGAGATGCAGGTGCAGATGCCGCAACAGCAGCAGCAGCCGGCCCCGGCGCTGAGGGTAGACACCGACGTCGCGGCGGGGCTGGTGCGGGACGCCATCATCGCGCTGTCCGACGCTGACGGTTTTGCCAACCTGGCCGGCGTGGGCAGCCTCGTCACTAAGTGGTACTCGGCCTTTGATCCCCGGACCTATGGATTCGACAAGCTCGCCCACTTGGTCCAGGCGAGGCCCGAGTTCGAGGTCATCAAGAGAACCCCGAGGGTGGGAAAGCCGCCTGTTGTGTACGCGCGGGTCAAGTCGCAGTCTTCTCCTTGAGCGAGAGGGAATGCGTCACGTCTTGTTGGGGGGCAATGGAGCAAAATGTTCTATGTCAATACACCTCTTTGCTACGCCTTCTCCTTATATTCTGGACCTGGATGGACTGAATTGTCCCTATCTGCAGCCTTTTATGCCACTGCGGTACACAATCTCATCACTTCAGCCCGCCCGCCAGCAGCACCTCCTGTCCCGTCATGTACCCCGTCTTGACGAACCTATCGAGGATTGTCCGTCAGTAAGCTTATCCCTGAGCAGAGAGTGGCGCGGCAAGTAACTGTCACCTACATGGACACCACGTTGGCCACCTCCTCGGGCACGCCCAGCCGGTGCACCGGCACGCTCGCGGCGATACCCAGCCCGGGGTCCGACGCCTTGAGCTCCTCGACGTGATCTGTGCTTTTCCACGTGCTGTGCGTAATCATATGCAGTTAGCGGTTGTCCTGTGTCCCCGGTTGTAGTGGGAGCAAACTTGCCGAGACTTGGGCGTGGGAATCATGCCCGTGGCTCCGATCATGGCGGGTTGGACCTGGACGCGTTGATGGTCAGTCTCTGAGCATGAGTGACGGGCATGGGTGACTGGGATGCAACCGGCCGGCCAGCAGACTTACAATGTTGACCGTGACGCCCTCTCCGGATAGCGTCGTCGCGAGGTTCAACCCCATGGACCTAGTAGCGCACACCCACCTGTCAGCACACCGCACACTCCACGAGCACGACCGGAGGGAGACTCCTTTCAAACACACGCACGTCATGGCCCCCTTGGACGCCGCATAGTGACACCCATTGATGCCCCCTCCTCTACTCGCAATGCTCCCCACCAGCACCACCCTCCCCCACCCCTGGCGCCGCATGCCCTCGACGCACGCCTTTGTCACGACGAACTGGCTCCGCGCATTCACCTCGAGGATGTCGTCCCAGTCGTCCTCGCCAATGTTGGCCACGTCGCGGATCCGCCGCCCCATGCCCGCGTTGGCCACCAGCACCGACACGGCGGCGTGGCCCCGCGCAGTCACGGCTTCGCGGCCCAGCAGCGTGGGCACGAGGGAGCGCGTCGCCGCCCGGTCGGACAGGTCTGCGCGGATGGTGGTGAAGAGCTGCGAGGGGTGGGCTTCCCGCAGTGAGGTGGCGAGGGCTTCGGCTTTTTCCTGTGGTGCGTGAGCCGTCGTCGCGGGTGGTTAGCTTGGTTGCTTTGCGCTGAAGCGGCGTCGCGAGCGGGGGAGCGGGAGGGGGACTGTTGAGTTATCGTACGTACCTCGCTGGACGCGTAGTGAAGCGCAACGTCGCAGCCCTCTGCGGCCAGTGCCCTCGCGCAGGCAGACCCGATGCCGCCCCTGGTCGAGTCAGTAACCTGCTCTCGATCATGTCCCGCGCACGGAGAGGGTGCTTCAGTCGGGGAGATGAACTCACGTCGCGCCAGTGACGAGGGCCAGGCGGCCCTTTACCCTGTTGTCCACGTCTTGCAGCGTGAGCGTCGTCATGGTCGTCTGTGTGTGTGTGTGTGCAGTGTCTCTTTGCGCTGTCTATAATTGAAAGGATGTGAGCGCAGTTGAGGAAACGGAAAAGCGTTGCAGACTGGAGAGCAGCGTCATGTTATCGGGTGGGTGTAAGTGGGTGGGCGCCGTCAATTGCCGATGGCGTCGGCTCCCCAGCGCCGGCCGGCGGCCTTTGCTCCAGCGCCTTGTTCCCCCAGGCAAAACCCCACACGCCGACGCCGACTCCGACCGAGGGGCAGCCCAGCCACTGAACCGCAGACGCCGACCTCGCATCGCATCGCGGCCTTTTGTCCGCGACCCAGGCTTAGACTCGATGGTTGATGTGATTAATTAATTGAACAAACATACGGCGCTTGCTCCTTTCTATCTCCATGATTATACAATCCTTGGGCATCCCTTCTTCCCTCACGCTTCCGTGTCCATTCATGTTCTGTCTCCGTGCTGCCCTCGACCAGCAAGAGCACCACCGAGCTGCCAACAGCCGTCCCGGCAGTGCAACCTCGGCTCTGTACTGCGTGGCGTCTATGTCCCATTACCCTGTCGAGGCCCCGGCTCAGGCGGGCCTTTCCGGCCTTGCGCTCCAACGGTATGCGCCGCGCTGCAAGTCCTCTCGTTGACGTCTAGTTTCCAAGCAAATCATATCATGGTCATCGTGTCTTCAGGCGACTAGATTGTGCCCGGCCCAGGTACGGCTAGCCACCGCTTTCGCCTGTAATGTTCCGTGTATATCGGCTCGGTGCCTCTCGGCCAGACAAGATTGGTAGAGCCGTCGACTCGAGCGAAAGCCCCATTTCCATCCTTCGAGGCGTGACGGAGTCAACCTCAATACCAACGTGAAAGTCGTATCTCAGAAAAGAGCGCCGCCTCAGCCAAACACGACTGCGAGAATGGCAACGGTGGCCAGCATCAGGTTCGGTACAGTCCTCATCGCTGCGCTCATCGGGGTTCGCGCTTCGCCGGGATAGTTGCATGCAATCGTCGACCCGTTGGCATCTCGCTGCCCGTAGCTGTAGTTGAAAGCGACGAGTTTCGGCTGCGGGCATCGGAACGCCATCTTGGCCGGGCAGCTCTGAACCACATTGTAGCAAATGTCTTCGCAAGGGAGCATTTCCTTGTATGGGCCCGGCTCGATCTTCTCGTCGATAAAGACATTTCGGGACACCATCGAATACGGCTGTGTTTCGAAGGCGCTCCGTACGTCGTCGGGTAGCTTTGTGCCGTTGGGAAACGCCTGTCCCGCGTTCCGCACGAGCGAAAAGGCGTTGCCGCTCCCGAAGTCCTCGCACCGCGGTATGCTCACGCTGCAAAGCCATCGCTTGTAGGCAGTCCTGCAGTCGTCGCACGTCTTGGCTAGCGAATAGCGCGACGTCCGCCCGGCCTCGCAGGGGATCTGCATCATCACTTTCTCAAAATTGGCGTACATGGACTTGGCATAATCATCGTACGCCTTTGCCAGAGCTGTATTGTTGAACTTTTTGCTGTTGCCCGGAACTGCGTACTGAATCTCATCACAGAACTCGAGATCCGTGACGACCTGACAATTTGTTCCTGCCTCATGTTAGCGTCCATGATACAAGTATGCCCATGAGCTAGACCTACCGGACATTGTGTTGAACTCTGTGGCCCGAAATACAACGCTTCCGGGCCCGGCGGTGCTCCCGGCTTGTCTCTTCTCGTGCGCGGTGACGTTGGCTTTCTTGACTAGAATGCCGGTATAGGTCGTGCTCTCGTTGAGGGCCACAAAGTAGAACTGCTGCTTTGGGAAGCCGCCAGGGCCTCTGAGAGTCATTGCAGTCTTCACAGGACTGTTTAGATTGTTGTTGCTTGCGCTGTTAGCCATGATTTGGGCGCTCCGTTGCAGGCCGCAAGCAGAATGCATCATGCCGTTCATGTCTGTCCAGTTCTTGTTGCTGACGAAGAGCTCGTACGGAGGCTCCTGGCTCATAATTCGAGTAATGTCTCCTTTGCTCTGCGACAGGGGCCTGGTCACTAGTAGCGCCGACGATGAATCGCTGTCCATCCACAAGAGCTCTGAATTCCCTTGGTCGTCGTATCGATGAAAGTAATCCTCAAGCGATGCGGCAACCTCATAATTGTACACTCCTTGGAAGTCTGTCGACACGTTTGGCGCCGTGATCCCGATGTAGATGTCCCCGGTCGCGTTCACGCTGTACGTGACTGCGCCTTCCTCGAACACCTTATCTCTGTCATCCCTTAGAGGTTTCGAGGCTTTCGGGCAGCCTGCCAGAGTCGAGTTGGAGACGGATATAATGAGTTGCGGGGCGGGTGCGTTGGCTTTAGAGCCGGCCGCGCGCGGCTGTCGGCAAGTATTCGCAGACAGGTAAAGCATCCCGGTCGGCTTGCCAGATGGCGTCGACGAGTCGCTGCCGGTGTCATCGTCCGGCAAAGCTTCCCTCTTCATCTCCTCTCGCGGAGTGTTTCCAGAGGCGGCATTCCCCTGCAGCACGGCCTTTTCCACCATGTAGCACGCGGTCGTGCCGGGCTCGAGGTTCAATGCCCTGGGTTGGTCAAGGTGAAGAGTCTCCACGCCCGGCGGCGCTCGTCCGAGTAAGCTTCTGTCGAAGAGTTCGAACTCCGGCTCGTAAAGCGCGTCTTGTAGGGCATTGTCGATGTCTCGTGCCGCAACAATCGGTTGGTAGGAATCTAGTGGAATCTCGGCGGCAAAGGCTAACCGCGGCGAGACCAGGAGAAGGTAGAGGATGAGGAGGAAGATCGAGGCGGCGAGAGAGGCCACGAGCCGCGATTGCAACGGGCTGAGCTGCATCTTGCTTGCCGCCCGCAGGCCAGGACCAGGCGGTCCGACCTCGAGGCGTAGCTGCTGAAGGACGCGCACGCCAGTACGGGTGCTGCCGCAGGCCTATATCTGATGCTGGACCCGTCTGCGGTCGCGAGAAATCATGTTGAAGAGATTCACCGCCTGGCGAGTGGGGCTCGAGCGGATTGACGAAGTGCACAGACGGGGACCATGGCCAGGCGTTGCGGTCGAGGAATTGTCAGAGGAAGGGTTTCATCGGCACCCTGGAGGTCTTGGAGAAGCGCCGCTGACTGTTCTCGGATTCGAGCTGTGACTGCCGTTTCGGGCGCGTGGCGCAGCAGCTCAATAGGGGGGCAAGGGGCGGCTGCACAGCCACAACGGGCACCTCTCTGGTCCGGGGGAAATGGGCCTCCAAGGCTCAAGCTCCCTTTCGTCATGGAGCGGCGGGGGCAGCTGAGTCAATAGGCTTCAAGCCATGTCATCCAGGGCCCGTGCTGGTAGCTGGGTTGGGGGTTTAGCTTTGCGGCGAAGTAACTGCCGAAGAATCCATACTGTATCAATTGTCCGAGCAAAAACGAGACAAAAAAGATGGTCACAATTGTGTTGGCTGGGGAGTCGCCTCGCGACTGGCGATGCCGCTGTCGGGGAACAGGTCCCAATGCTACAAATCACAAGCACGCGCATCTGAAGCCGGTCGCTGGTTCAGCCCGAGGTACACTATCCTAGAGCTGCACAGAGCTATCGGACAGGGAGATCGGCCGCCCCCTCTCCCGCTCGTCGCACACATCCCCCTCCCCAGTACGCAGCGATAAGCTGTTCCATTGCGCCATCCAAACCATTAAGTCACAAAACTCGTCGAACAGTCGTCTTCGCCGCAATGCATCATCGCCCTTCCTAGCCAATACCCACGCCTTTCCCGGGCGCCCAGTTAAGACTGCAGTGGCTATAGCAAGAAATAGGTCGCGGTGGCTCTCACCCGTATCAATATTTCGTTTTGTTCATCGCGGCCATTCGTGAGCACGCATAGTCAATGCGCCACGCGTTGATTGCCAGCAGGGAGGGAATCAGCTGCTGCGTGACGTGGCCGGCGTAGCCGTCATCCTCTACTCGGACTTGTCCAGGCCGCCCGTCTTGGAGCGCAGGCCAGCAGAGGTCGAGGCGGGCTGCTGGAAGTATCGGCCGAGGGTGGGGGACAGGAAAGACTTGAAGACAATCTCGGCACCGCTACGTCATCGTCAGTGTCCACCGGCACGGCTGGGAAATGGGGGAGACGTACCGGAACATTGGCAGCGACAGCCACAGAAGGAAGACAAACTTGAAGACGAAGTAGAAGGGGAACCAGTAGACGATGTTGAAGAAGCTCTCCGTGACGGTGAAGAAGGCGAACACCACCCAGTACTGGAAGCATCTGTCAGCAAGGGCAGCCGTGGTCCGGCAGCGACGCGCCGAAGGGGAGGGCAACGCACAGTCAGCCACTGAGTGTCATCCTCCTTGGACGTAGTGAAGAGTGCATTGAGCGAGTAGTATCCCGGGATGACGAAACCAGCAAAGTTGGTGAGCAGCTGGCCACCGAGGTTGAAGATGATGAGGAAGAAGTAGAGCGCGCCAAGGCCGATGACGGCGTAGGCCTTGGGGACGCCCGACTGCTTCTCAAGGTTGTTGAGGGCCGGGTACTTGGAAAGCTACGGACACCTGCGTCAGTGACGTGGTGAGGGTGCGCGCGGGACGAGCAGACAAACCTCCTGGTCCAAGGTGCTGAGGTAGTTCTGAGCCTTTTGCTGCGCAGACATTTTGACGGCGGGGTGAAAGCTCGTGTTGCGGTTGTCGACGTGCTGTGTACAAAGTAGAGCTGGACTGATGTAATGGGAAGCTCGAGCAAGCGAAGCGCGATGCGATAGATCTGGAGTTGGAGTCGGCGACGGGTGTCAAGTTGGTGGTGTTGCAGGAGGAAGAAGCTAGATCAGGCGTCAGTGGCTTGTGACCGGCGGAGTTGAGAGAGCGCACAGCTTTGGCCGTGGTGGCCGCCGTGGCCGGGTGGGTGACGCCAGGACAGCTGGGCTCTGACGTGTGTGCTCCCGCTTCCAAGGATCTGGCCTAATGAGACAGGGCAAATGAGCGAGATAGCGGGGTTGTTACGAGCCCTGGTCCGCGCCCACCGGCGGGTGGCTGAGGAGCTACTTGACCCTTAGCAGGGGTCGGGCGCCCCGGATATTCCGCGGTGGGTTCGCCCAGCCGGGGCTCGCTCCCTCGCGGCGGTGGGAGGGCAAAACCCGTTGCCCAAGGGCCGACCGCACCACGTCGTCAGGCCCGTTTGTTGATGTGTCCACCTGGACAGAACTCTGATGAAAATGTCACACGAGCAGAATGTGCGTTGCACGGGGCACACAGGATGCGGGACTCCAAGTCGATGCCATGGTCGTGCCCAGCAGTCTGCGCGAGGAGTCCAGCCAGTGCAGTGCTATGGATGGACAATCTTACGGTTCCTACGTGCTGGCGCATGCAGGCAGTGCCCCGCGCGTGCGTGGATCGGGGTGGCCCAGCGGTGATACAGAGATGCGCTGTTCCTGCATGGACGACTCACCAGCTCGCCGGGTCGGGCTGCGCTCGATCCTGCCAGCGGGCGATCCAGCAGCAATCCTCGGGGTGCTCGGGCTGCAGTGGTTCGCAGCGCAGTGCTCGTCCGACCTGGGCTGGGCGACTGAGTTTCAATTTGCTTTTGTGTGGTGCGCCGCCACTGTTGCTCCGAGCTCGAGCTGCCTCGAGGCACGGGGCATGTCACTGATGGCCGCTGGGGACGGAGGCAGCTTGGGGCAGGGAGGACAGTCCAGCCTAGGTAGCACGCCCAACCTCGCTGCTCATCAGGCCTGCAGTCCTCCAGGGCGGGCTTCAGGGCTGTCTGTGGACGGGCAGCTCCAGGCGCTCTACTAGCAGACGGGAGCAACCCGACCCGGCGCATTTGCTCGGGCGCTGGCTGGCTGCCCCGCCTTGCATCATCGGCGTCCCACAGCGATTCAGCGTAGTGCATCACTGCACCAGCAGCGAGCGTAGCGCCCATCTGGAATTCCCAATAATGAGCCTCCGCGCGTGCTTACCTAACCCAAACAACACCGCCCCCCCGGCCACTGTGGCTTTTGTTTTGGTTTTGCCCATCCCGGCCGGTACGTACCCCCGGTCAGGTGTCCCGCCCCGTGCTTTTTCTTTCACCTCCACTCCCCCCGTTGGCCTCGCAACAGGAAAACAACTCCAAACACAACAGCCATCTGCAGGTCGACCGCTGCAGTCAAGAGCAGCAAGCGCGCGCCTCACGGCCATCTTCAGCGCCCAGACCACGACTGCCATTGCCACGGGACGCTTCTTTCTCTTTTCTTCGCTTTTTCGCCGGTTGCTCTTGGCCGCCGTCGCCCTTCCGACTCGTGCGGGCCCAGCCAATGTTTGTTGTTCGGTAGTACCGCCAGACCGTCCAACCCTCTGCTCTCCGCCAGCTCTCCGCCACCCAGTGCCGCTCCTTCGGCATGGAACAGGGTACGTTGCCGTGCATCCCGGGCGACGACGCAGAGCCCACGCAACTCGCCGGTACTCTTCTCTTGCTGACCTTGCCCACCGCAGACAATCCGGCCACCAGAGGTGCCTCAGCCGCCGCAGCCGCCGCGGCCAAGTCGAGAAGCATGAAGCGGCCACAGTCCCGCGCCTCAACGACATCCATCCACAGCGCCACGACCCAGCCGAACATGGACCACTCGGGCTTCGCCGACACTTCCAGTATGTATGCCGGCCAATGGATGGCCAACGACAAGCCCATGAACTCGACGGCACAAATGTCCACCGAGGAGATGATGATCGTGCAGGCTGCCACCAACATGCAGTCGGGAAATCACGACTTCTCCATGGACAACTCCATGTCTGCGCCCATGCCTCACCACCACATGTCCTACCAGCAGCAGCACCCGCAACAGCAGCACCCCATGGCCCGCCATCCGTTGCCCAATGAGCAATACGGCGCCAATGCGAGCTTTACTGACGGCGACACCCAGATGCTGGACAGGGACGACAACGACGATGCTGACCTCATGGGCGGCGCTGTCGGTGCGCCCAAGCCCGCCACCAGGTCGAGCGCCAACAATGAGCTTGAGATGAGGCAGCTGTTTGGCGCTAACCGCCATCGCACACTCCAGGACGTTGCTGGTGAGCTGCATGGCAATGAGCGCGGTCCAAACTCGGAACGGACGCGCCAGGTTTTTGCTATGCTCTGGTACGAGACCCGCCCCTTTTCGCGACTTGCAGCACGCAATACTAAACTCATCAGGATCAATTCGGTTTGTTCCAAGGGCAAGGGTTCTGTCCCTCGTGGTCGCGTCTACGCCAACTATGCGTCGCGCTGCGCCACGGAGAGAATCACCGTTCTCAATCCCGCTAGCTTTGGAAAGCTGGTGCGCGTTCTCTTCCCAGGACTCAAGACTCGTCGACTGGGAGTGCGTGGAGAGTCTAAGTATCACTACGTCAACTTTGCGCTTGTCGAGGACCAGGGCGACTCGCGCGACTCGCAGCCGCCTGTCCCACGCCCGCTTCCCGAGGCGCAAAGCTTTGGCCAAAGCTTCAGGTTGGTCATGTTGTTTCCCCCAGACTTGTCGTTCGACGCTAACCGTTGTGCAGCAGATCTCAGTCCCAGTCCAACGGACCTGCTGGTCGAGGCTCGCTGCCCGCACCTGAAGGCGCTCGTCCGAGTCAAAGGGAGCATGGGGAGGCTGGTGCTGATGCCCGGAGTCACAGCCTTTACAACCACCCTGAGCTGGCCAGCCTCGACTCCATCCACAGCACTTCGACCAAGACTTCATTGGAGCTGGCGTTCCCGTCTGTCGAAGACGAATCCAACGTCAAGCAGTCGGAGCCTATTGCGCTGCCGGCGATCGAACCGTTCCTCCCGCACGGTACCGACCCGGATGCCGCCAAGTCACTGTCGGCTTTGTATCGGTCTCACTGCACCTCTCTGGTAGAGTGCATCAGATACTGCCGCGAGAAGACCTTTTTCCACCTCTACACTTCCTTCCAGGGCACGCTCACGATGCCCGTACAGAAGCTGCTGGGCAATGCGGCTTTGGCGCCGTGGATCGAGGGCTGCGACTTCGCCTTGTATCAGCGAATGATGAGCATCATTGCAGGGCTGACGCTGCAAGTCGTGCCCAAGCCTGTGCTTGACACTCTTCGCAACATCTCGGAGAGGCTGGTGCCGCACATTCGCGAGTCTTTCCAAGGCCAGCCTCAACATGTCATTGCCGCCAAGGAGGGCCCCGCCGCCATCTTCGCTGGACTCCTGGACCGGGCGCTCCGTGTCAACCTCACAGCTCACGCGGCGGCCAACATGCTGTCGAACCCAGCGAACCGCGACCAGATGTACCTCGACTGGATCACAATGATCCGGGCTCGCAAAGTTGCTGAGTGCGTGCCGACACGCGGCATGGACGATGTGGTGGACTTGCTGGTGACGGAAATGCGCGACCTGCTCGACCCGGTCAACGTGCCGTGGGAAGTGGAATGCCTCACGGTGTACGGCGACGTGGCGTCTCGAAGCAACCGACAACCAGACGAGAACAGCGGGGTGAACTCGACTGGCCAAAACGTCTTGGACCGATGGGTTGGTTTTCTGCAAGGGCTGCCGGAGAAGTTCCCGTACGCGTCGCATACTGACATCGTCTGGTGCGTGGAGCGGGTTGGGACAGCGGTGATGCGAGATCTCACGCTGGCGCAGGGCAAGAGCTTTGGGTCCTGGTGGGTGACGAAGACGTGGGTGGACGAGATGGTGGTGTTCCTCACGGAGCAGGGAGGCTTCATGAAGCAGAAGCCGCGGCAACCAAGCGCCAAGGCGGTGGCGAGCCCGGAGGAGGCGACCAAGGAGACGAGCCGACAGAACTCGCGCTACAGCACCGGCAGCGAAGACGTGAACGTGCCCAACGTCTCGCAGTCGCAGCCGGGTCGGGCGCCGTTCCCGCCCCCGCCAAACACCAGCCAGGCGTCCATGGGCGCGACCGGTGGCGGCGGCGGCAGCAGCGGGAACGGCGGCAACCCAGACCCACACGATGACAGCGGCATCAGCATGCGAACGCCCGAAGACGACTTCCCCATGGACAAGTACACGTTCTCCGGGGCAGACGGCGTGGGAATGGTGGCAGGGACGGAGCTGGCGGTTGGAGGGGCTGCTTTATAAGCAGGCCATGAAGCATATAGGGAGAACGGCGCAAAAAAGGAAGCCATCAGGCATGGGATGGTCGGCGTTTTGGGTGGTGCTTGAGTTGGGTGGCTTTAATACCCAGTGCTGTTCTCGGTTCGGCATGCGCGGAAAGGGGGACTACCAAGGGCTGGGGAGGGTGGCTAATGACGGGCGCGACCTGACGACGGGGACGAGGCACGATACATAACGACGACCTTGTTGCTGGGTGGCTGTTTGCTTGACGGCTCGGGGCGGCAACTTGGAACGGTGTCGGCGGCGGGCGGGACTGCGTTTGAAGGATGGCGGGCACGCGAGGTTCCTGTGCCTTTTGGGTTGCTGTCGGGTTGGCTCCGACGGCGGTGACTTGTATTGACTGATGTTATGTACGGCCTAGGATACACTCGGGGCGCATGGACAGCTGGTGACCCTGGATAGGTGCCTATACGACGCAATGGCTGCTTTTCGTTTGCCGGCTTTTTCCATTATTCCATCTATCTGCGACGTGCATGCTTGCGGAGTGGTGCATCTTCACATGTGCATGCGTGCATGCATGTGTCGGGGGACATTGGTGGCGGTACCTCGGGGGCAGCCGGCATTGGGTGCGTGTGCGGCATCGCGAGCATGTGTCGTTTGGTGTTTACGTGGGTGCTCGTGTGTGGTGCGGTACGAATACGAGTCGGATGTCGGGACCGTTGCTGAACGTGGGGGCTTCACTTCAATCAATTGCCGTCCGTCGCTGTTCCAGTTTTGGCATCACCGCTCGGCTGCTGGTGGATGAGTGGCAGCGCTGTCAGTGCTGTGTTGCTTGCTGTAAGTTAGTACCTTATGTACGGCCGGGCGCCTCAGACCTCAGCCACGCGCTCGCCCGGGCAGTAATAAACGGGCGCCCGTGGCCAGACGGGTCGCCGAAGACGGAACGGAACCATGCCACCGGGCACCAGTTCAGTCAGTCAGTCCATCCATCACAAGCCACCAGTACCACCGGCAAACCGCGCAGGGAAGCCACGCAGGCAGGCAACCCGCGGGAGGGCCCCCATGGCGCCATTCGCCCGAGAGCCACTCAGCCGCCAGCAGCCACCACGGAAGAAAACTAATGGCTTCGCGGGGGCGCTGGTTGGCCAGAGGGTCAGCGTGGCATTGAGGTCGGCGACGAGAATTTATGGGTTATTCATCGTGCTCTGTCATCCGCCGCGGCCGCCGCCGTAACGTATCTCCCAGGGTTCCGACTATTGTGCAGCGTTGGTAGTGGTGGTAGGTAGTAGTGGTGTATGACTTTTGTGCACGCCGCTGCGCTGCCTTCATCTTCATCTGCATCTTTTATTTATCTTGCTATTTTCCCCCGCGAGATCGCCCCCCCTGTACCGATTGCGGCCGGCATCATCATCTCGTACAGGCCGAGGGAGACGTCTGCCCCCCCCAAAAATTGCAAGCGTCGAGTCGAGGCGAGTCCGTCGTCGGCGCCTGCCCAGAGTCATATCACCCATTGGCACCTACCAACCCCACCAAAGGCGACGGGAGCCACTGAACGAACGCACCGCCGCCCGCTGAGTGGGCTCACCCAAAGCCCAAAGGCCGTTTCGTCGACTTTTATTACTCACGTCGGGACTTCATCGCCATTTCGCCCTCACTCATTGAAAGCTGCTACCCGCCGTGTATCACCGTCTTCCCCCGTCCCATACGCGCGCCACCTCACTCATTCACTCATACTCATCAATCGCCACTTCGGGGAGAACATTGCGCGCATCTGCGGCCCGTGGCGCTGACGCTGACGAGACTTTTTGCCCGGCTGCGTCTGAGACAAGCGCCGGGATCGGGGTTTCAAGGCCCGTCGGGACTGTTGAGCATCGCATCGTTCGCCAAACACCTCGACGACAGACGTCGGGGGAGCAATTGAGCTGCAGTCATGGGGAGTTCCACGTATAGCAATGCCTCCGATCTGGGCTGGGTCGTCCAGAAGTTTGGGGGCACCAGCGTGGGCAAGTTTCCAGACAAGGTGAGTCGAGGCGAGAGTCCGAGAGATACCATGAACCACCAGGCCAGGCGCTGACCCAGTCCCAGATTGCTCGCGATATCGTCAAGTATGTGTGATGCTACGCCACCCTTGCTGCACGGTGTCGCCTCCTCCTGCTAACTCATCCCAGGGCGAGTCTGTCGCGGAATCGTGTCGTCGTCGTGTGCTCGGCCCGCAGCACGGGGAAGAAGGCTGAAGGCACGACGAGTCGGTGAGTCTCATCCGCGCCTCTCACTTGCCGCGCAGCATTCTCATTGTCCCTCCTCAGGTTACTAGGCGTCTACAACAAGCTGCAACATGTCGCGCTCGCCTACGCCGCCAGCACGGATGAGGACCCGGACACGCTCATCGAGCAGGCCAAGGGCCTCATCATGGACATTTGCAACGACCACATCTTCGCCGCCGAGTCCTTCGTCAAGGACGCCAGCCTGCGCAGCGACTTGTCCAGGAAGATCGAGGCCGAGTGCCAGGAGCTCATCGAGTACATCATTGCTGCCAAGCGCTTCAACCTCGAGATCAACTCAAGAGCAAAGGACCGCGTCATTAGCTTCGGCGAGAAGCTGGCCTGTCTGTACATGACAGTGCTCTTGCAGGATGCGGTATGGTGTCTGTTTTTCGGGCGCTCAGAGAGCTGTTTGCTGACTGTGAGATGCGTAGGGTGTGGATGCCGAGTACATTGACCTGTGCGACGCGCTGCATCACGACGCCGCGGCGCACTTGGATGCGTCATTTTACAAGTCGGCGATCGCAGCTTTCTCAAGAAAACTGTCCGCCTGCGAGGGCCGGGTACCCGTCGTCACGGGCTTCTTCGGCAACGTCCCCGGGAGCCTCATCGACGGCGACATCGGGCGCGGCTACACTGACCTTTGCGCCGCGTTGTGTGCCGTGTCGCTAAAGGCGCAGGAGCTCCAGATCTGGAAAGAGGTGGACGGCATCTTCACGGCCGACCCGTCCAAGGTGCCCACGGCGAGGCTGCTGCCGTCCATCACGCCCTCGGAAGCGGCCGAGTTGACGTTTTACGGCTCCGAAGTCATCCACCACCTCACCATGGACCAGGTCATCCGGGCGCAGCCGCCGATACCGATCCGCATCAAGAACGTCAAGAACCCCCGTGGCAACGGCACCATCGTCATCCCCGACCCCATGATGTCGGCGAGCCACCAGCTGCAGCGGGCACGGCCGTCCGGGGCGCCGCTGCCGTCCAAGAGCCCGAAGCGGCCGACGGCGGTGACCATCAAGGACCACATCAGCGTCATCAACGTGCACTCCAACAAGCGGTCCATCTCCCACGGCTTCTTCGCGCGCGTCTTCTCGATCCTCGATAAGCATTCCATCTCAGTTGACCTCATCTCGACCAGTGAGGTGCACGTGTCGCTGGCCATCCACTCGGGCAGCACGCGCGTCGACGCCTTTGCCAACGCCAAGCAGAGCCTGGCGGAGTGCGGCGAGGTCAGCGTCCTGTCGGACATGGCGATCCTCAGCCTCGTGGGCGCCGACATGAAAAACATGATTGGCGTTGCCGGCAAGATGTTTTCGACGCTCGGCGAGCACAACGTCAACTTGGAGATGATTTCACAGGGTGAGTGACAGCGAGATCTGCGCGGCCTAGCCGCCTGAGACGAGACAGAATCTCGGCCATGAAAGAGATTTTAAGCTAACTGAGCCACTTTTTTTGCAGGCGCGAGCGAAATCAACATTTCATGTGTGATCGACTCCCGAGACGCCACTCGGGCCATGAATGTCTTGCACACGCACCTGTTTACATTTCTGGAATGAATATGAGCGGCGAGTGCCGCTGGCTGAGGCGGACCAGAAACGTAGCCTGAAGGGTTGGCTCGCTGAATGATGAATGCATCGTATCTCACCAGGGTCAATGTTTCAATGAGAGAAGCAGACCATGCGAGATTGCTCGGGCCCCGTTGTCGTGATGAGTTAAGGGCGAGGCGTGGGTGGATATACTGATGCACATACGTTTGGAGTCTTGGACAACAGGCGCTGGCAAAATAGAGTAGACCTTGCGACTGTTCTTCAGGCGACGGTGGAGAATATACTACATGTGAACATGCGCGCATTAACGAGATATTCATGTATCAATGCCCCGAGCTCTTGCGGGGAGCATTGTTTGTTTGCCGTGCGTTGATTTATGTCGTGGCATGTTAAAGTGAAGCTCCCGGGTAGTCATGTCAGATGGAGCACTGTGGACGCTACGTCACATGTACCTGGCAGCTGTACCAGCAGCTGCGGAGGGGCCGCCACAGCTTCAGAACACCTCACCTCGGGTCCAGGCGGCACGCAAAACAGGGGCTCGCCGTCAGCCTCTTTGACACGACGCATCACCTCGATTGCAGGCCTCCAGGCAGCAATTCCAAACGACGTCCTTACGATGCGTCGACGCGAACTACGGAACACATAGCAAACGACGCCTGCGCACCGACGGACGGCGCGTAACCCGTGTGCGACGCCGAAGACGACACCACCATGAATAGACGCAAGGATGGCAGCCGCCGAGGCGCGGGGATCCTCAGCGCCCTGCAGGCCACGGAGATGATTGACTCGAGATCGAGGCTCCCGGCAGGTGCGTCGAGCTGCAGAACGTCGCCTTGCGAGGATGTCAAGCTGACATTGACCTGCCAGAGATCATGGTGACCATCCTCGACTACCTCCCCGTCGCCGACCAGATCCGCATGGCCCGCACGTCCCGCCGACTCCAGGAAATGGTATACGACGACACAAGATGGGTGTCGCGGTTAAAGAGCATGGGCTGCTGGGACGAGCGGGAGGCGCGGCGACGATTCGAAGAAGCGGTACGGCGGCGGCGCGAAGCTGCGGAGCGAGCCGCGGGCCAGCAGCCCGGCGGAGCGACAGCAGCCCACAAACCAGGGGAGACAACACTATTTGACGCTTCGGTAGAAGAGCAAAAGCGGCGGCGTGCGGCATCAGATCTGAGAGACGGCTTCCAGACCATGAGCCTGGGGGGAGCTCGCAAAGACGATCCCGAGGATGCCGACTCGTATCTGGACGTTTTCAAGAGCGTCAAGAGCATCAGGGGCGGTGCGAGGCAAGAGTACGGCAAGATATACGGTGCGCTGGCGCCATTCTACTTTGACATTGTCAAGGCGAGGAGTCACGCCGATCCCATCGTCTTCAAGGCATTCCGCGATCCGGAGAAGCAGGCGCAGATGCTGGCCAACCTCAAGAGGTTCTCGAGAAGCGACTGGGCGCCCGGGCGCGCCGAGCGCGAGGAGAAGCTGGCGTCGATGACGGGCATCTTTGAGAGCGCCGTGGTGCGCGAGTTTGAGCAGGGCTACGAGTTTTGGGACGTGGATGGGAGGATGAAGCGCTACGCGCATGTGCTGCACACGCTCGGCGGCGCGCGTGGCGGCATCGAGCTGTTCATCCACAAGCATCCCATCTTCCACGATCGGGACCTGACGCTCAACCCGGTCGAGTGCATCAACATGGGGCCCACGGATAACGTCTCGCTGGAGCCGGCGCGCCGCTTCCAGGAGGTGCTTCTGGCCAAGGTCAACGACCAGGCCGGCGTCATAGAGCGCATCTTTCCGGAACCGGCGGCCGTATTCTGGGAGTTTGTGGACAAGGTGCGCGAGGATATCATCATGGAGTACACGACGCCTTTGTTCGACGAGTGCCACGAGCGGAGCATCGCGTCGTACCTCAAGGCCGTCTCGGGCGTGTTCGAGCAGACGATGCGCTTCTTTCAGACGCTGACGCCGCCGCAAGGGTCCCACGGGGATATCAACGAAAAGGCCAAGGACCTGACGCTTCGGGTTTTTGAGCCGCATCTTGATCTCTATCTGCAGGAGGAGCTCGACTTCTTCACCAAGCAGGCCGAAACGGAGGTGTCGCAGTGGGAAAAGAAGCTGTCGGAGCAGGACTCGTCGCTCGAGTCGTTCTACATGGCCAACTTCAACCGCTCGGCAGAGAAGAAGGACTTTTTGAGTTCCTTCAAGAAGGTGGTGATGATGCCGGTGACGGTGCTCCCTAGCTTTCCAATAGGGTCTCCGTTCGCGACGACGAAGCCCGTCACAGCATCGGGGTCTGGCGCCAATGGGTCGCAGGCGGTGACTCCGACTCCCTCACGGCCGGAGACACCTGGGCTGGGTGGCAGGGCGAGTCCGATGCCTGGTGGCGGCAAGGCGCCGACGGACGAGCTGGCGGCCAAGGCGGCACTCATGGCGTCGAAGCTCGAAGGCATCAAGTCACTGTGCAGCATCGAGGTCGCGCTGAACCTGGTGCACGCGGCCAAGACGAGCCTGGGGCGGGCGGCGGTCCTCATCCCGCTTGGGGGCCAGACGGGCGGCGAGGCCAAAGAGCAGTGCGCCAACATGTTTGTGGTGTTGCTGCGCATCTTGGGCCAGCGGCACGTCAAACCCGGCTTCGACACGGCCGTCGACCACCTGTCGCACTACAACCCGCGAGACGTGGTCAACGACCACACCCGAAAGGGGGTGGCGCCGCTGGTGACGTTTATCGAGCTGGTCAACGTGGGCGACCTGATATCGCAGATGATTGACGTGTTTTACGAGCAGCAGCTGGCGACGCCCAAGATCGCGGACAAGAACGACTTCCTGGACCCGGCGGGCCTGGCCAAGAAGAAGTTTGAGCAGATGCTCGACGAGAGCGTCGCGGCGGGGCTGAACCGCGGCATCGACGTGCTCATGGACGAGGTCGAGTACCTGTTTGGCACGATGCAGCTGCCGACCGACTACAACCCCGTGGCACCCGCTGCGGCGACCACGGCAGCGGCAGCAGCAGCGGCAGCAGGAACAGCAGCCGGCGACAACAAGTCGGCCAGCATGGCGCCGCCATCATCAGAGCCAGACATTGGGCCGACAGCGACGGCGCAGCGCATCGTGGAGCTCGTGTCGTCGCACACGCGCATGCTGGTGGGCACGACGGACAAGGCGATGCTAGACGTGTTCAACGCCGAGGTCGGGCAGCGGCTCTTCGTGGCGATATGCAAGCACCTCAAGCGGCAGCGCGTGAGCACCGACGGGGCCGTCAAGCTCATCGCCGACATGAACCTCTACGCCGAGTACGTGCGCGCCCTGCGCAACCAGGACCTGCTGGCGTACTTTTCGGCCCTGCGCGAGCTCAGCCAGATTTACCTCATCGACCCGGCGCACGCGCGCGACATGGCCGCCGTCATCGCCGACGGGGACCGCTTCGGCGGCGTGTTTCGCGCCGAGGAGGTGTATGAGTATGCGCAGCGGAGGGCGGACTGGTATCAGGTGCGCAAGAGCGTCGAGAGGGCCATGTACGGGATGGAGTGCCTGCTCATGTGAGAAGCCAGAGCACGGCGGCGTAGAGACAGAACGAGACAGGGTCACCAGGAGATATGGGGGAAGAATGGTTTTCGTTCCGTGAATGGCGGTTGTACACATTTTACAGCACATTGGATAGCGGCCAAGACACACACGCACTCGCAGCTCAGCGGACGACGGGCGGCAGGGGGTAGTGGAAGATTTGTATTTTCCTTTGGGCAAGCATGCAGCATATCTGCACGAAGACAATAAACCGTATAAAATGGTAGTACACACGCATGTGCGCGCCGCCGGAGCGACGGGATGCCAGTGGCTGGCCAGCTGCCTATACTCGATTCTCAAACCTCCAAACCCCCAAACGCCGTGAAAGATGATGACGCCGCCGGTATGTAGTCAATGCCCCTTTTGCCAACCAACCCGGCTCCCCGAAAACAAAAAACTCCCTCGGCTCAACGACTCTGCTTGCATATCTAGCTGCTCACTCATGTTACTTCTTGCCGCCAAAGTCGAGCTTGCGGGCGACCTTTGCGCCGCGGTCCTCCTCGCCCGTGACGACGCCCGGGCGGCGCTTGAGGTCGGCGCCCATGCGGTCCTCGCCGCCGGTGTCCTTGCGGGGCAGGCGATGGTTGCGGGTGGGCTTGGGCTCCGAGTGCCACCAGCGGTGGCGGAGCATGTCGCGGGCCGAGATGCGCTTCTTGGGGTCGAGGGCGAGGGTGCGCATGAGCAGGTCGACGCCGTCCGGGCCGACGGTGCCGAAGCGCATCTCGTACCAGTCGCGGCCGCGGACGGGGTGCTGCGCGGGGACCGTGTACTCGGGGAGCTTGGAGACGCCGGGCCAGACGTCGTCGTTGGGGGTGCCGATGGCCTCGCAGATGAGCTTGATCTGGTCGAGCTCGTTGTTTCCTGGCAGGTAGGGGGCGCGCATGACGAGCTCGGCGAAGACGGTGCCGACGGACCAGATGTCGACGGCGCCGCCGTAGTGCCTCGCGCCGAAGAGGAGCTCGGGCGGGCGGTACCAGCGGGTGATGACGTTGGACGTCATGTTGTGGTGGGGGTCTGCGAAGGAGCGCGCGAGACCGAAATCGGCGAGCTTGACCTCGCCGTCGGCGGCGATGAGCAAGTTGTTAGGCTTGATATCGCGGTGGAGGACAAAGTTTTCGTGGCAGAACCAGACGGCGCGGGTGAGCATGCCCATCCAGGCCTTGATATCGGCGGCGCCGTAGCGCACGCGGTCCGTGTCGCGGATGAGCATCTCGAGGTCGCCGAGCGGGAGGTACTCGAGCACGAGGTTGAGGTTCTGGTCTTTGGAGGAGAAGACGGAGAGGAGGGAGATGATGTTGGGGTGGCGCAGCTCCTGCAGGTGCTTGAGCTCGCGGACTGCGTCGGGGGCCATGCCCTCGGTGTACTCTTTCTGAACCTTGATCTTCTTGATGGCGACGAGCGTCGAGGGTTGGGCGCGGAGGTGGCCGAGGAAGACGATGGCGTAGGTACCTTCACCGAGCTTCTTGCCTGTTTTGCTCCCACTTTAGTATACACGCGCCCTTCAGGGACAGAGGAGTGAGGCTAAGCTATTACCCTTGGCGTATTTGCGCTTCTCCTCCTCATTCATCTGCTCGGCGAGGTCGAGCGTCGGCGGAAGAGTGGTCGCGCCACCGACGGGCGCGGGCTTGGGGGTGCCATTGGACGAGGCGGGGCCCGAGGCGAGGTTCTTGAGGGGCGAGGAGACGGAGCGGGGGAGGTCGTGGGCGGCGGTCGTGGTGGTGACGACGGGAGAGACGGCCATGGTTGGTGAGCCGATGCCAGTGTCTCGCCGTCGGGAGGAGAGGGCTAGTTGTGCGAGTGCGCGGCGGTGCGGCGGCGGGTTATAACATCGGGGGTTGTGGTTGAGAAGCTGCGCTCTGCCGTGCGGCGGGGAGGTTGTCGGGGTCGACGAGCGTGGAAGCTTGAGCGCGGTGGTGGTGGTGGTGATGGTCAAGTGGTGATGCTGAGCAGTTCACGTAGTTCATACTATGTGGAGGTTTGGAGGTTGAGGTGGGTGGTGCCTGGTGCGATAAGATAAGCCAGCACCTGCGCACAGCGAGATGTCGGCGGGCGGGTCGCTGTCGCCTGTCTCAGTCAGAGCTGTCAGAGAGACAGAGAGACTCGAAGCCTGTTGTCTGTCAACTGGCGACGTTGACGCGCTGATTCAAGGGTCCATGCCGTCAAACTTTTTTTCCTTCAATTTTTTTCCTCATTAAAAACAACAAGAGTATTTACAGGGCATGGGTGCGATTGCATGTGCAAGTCCGTTCTGTGCGTTTCGCGTCACGGGCGTCAGTCAATCTGCCAGCGCACCGCCAAAGTCCGCGCCATACAAGTCGTGGAACAGTGTAATTACCTGGCCTGGCCTGGCCTCGAAGCATCTCCATACGTGTAACAAACAAAACAAAATCGCCTCCTACGGGACATGCGCCCACCAACTCACATCAGCGGACCGCTGAAGCACCCACCCGCGGTCATCGGCGTCGCCGCCGCCGCCGTCTAGTCAGCCTTTCCATTCCGTTCCGTCCTTCTACGTTCCTCCGCAATGCACCTACTTCGCACGTACAGGCACGCCCGCGCACCACGGGACCAGGGCCGGGGGCCGGGGCGCCTGAACAGCCCGATGGGATGGAAAAGCTTAATGTGCCTGCTGCGTACGTGCGTTCTTGCGTCCGAACCTGACCCATCCGCCACGCTTTAGTGATGGGATGGATGGATTGATTATGAGAGCAACCCTGGCTTGCAAGCGCAGCGCGGCAGACGAAATTCTTCACTGCCCTGCCCTCCACCTCCCCTTCCGAACGCCCCGTTTGGGGGCCATGGGGCGCCGGCGCCACCAGGACCAGGAGGGAAAAAAAGGCCAAGCCCGCAGCGCAGGCCAAGCCTGGCCAAGGCGATGCAATCGCTGATGGTGTCTGATTGAGTGATGACACTAATGACGAAGCGCTCGCTCATCGGGGGGCTGCGCATGGAGCTAACCGGTAGCCGCCCACTATCTCCGCCGCCCCGGGAGCCCGGCAGCGCTCGGCGGCGGCGGCGGCGGCGTCGTTGGCCTGTTGCAGTGGGTTGGAAATCATACGTCATAGCCAAATGTGCGCGCGCGTCAGTCTGTCGGGTCTCAACACCACGCCGAAGCGCCGGACTCCTGCCTTGCACCACACGGGTTGATGAATATTTTTCTTTGTTCTTTTGCGTAAACTCGACCAGTCGTGGCAAAAACGCCTGCTCACGAGCAGAAAGAGTATTTGACCTACTGCTTCGCCGTCCGGGGCACGACCACGCAGTCTTATAAACAGTCGGTCAAATTCGGTTCGTGGCGCATCGACGGTGGCGCCATTCCCGCGACGCCCTTGTCAGGAACCGACTGACGGCGGCGACAACGCTGCGCAGCATTGCCTTTGCGGCTGGCAGTGCCTCGCGTGAACACGATACTTCAATCAGAACAGTAATTGCCAGCAACTGCCAGACGCAACGCTTCCAGCGGGACCGTAGCCCACCATGGCGCTCCGCAGCTACTTCTCATACTGGGTACGCCGTCTGGGCCCAAGCAACGAGACACGACGTAAATCGGATACTGACCAAGGCTTCCGTGCTTGCAGATGATACCAGTCTTCTCCAGTCTCGTCTGGCTCGGCATGCTCCTCGGGCTGCTGCTGCACTGGATCGTCGGCACCCACCGCCGCGTATACCCGTCCATGAACGAGGGCCAGAAAATCGCCTACATCAGCGACGTGGGCGCGCAGGAGCTCAAACCGCTCTTCATTGCAGGCTCGGCCGTCGTCACCGTCACGCTCGACCTCGCCTTCGTGGCGGAGCGCTGGCTGCGGCACCGCGGGCGCCTTGTGAGAAACTCGTCCATCGGCGAGCGCACCCTTGTCGCCCTCACCATCGTCTTCGCCATCATCGGCACGTGCGGGCTCATCCTGCTGAGCATATTCGACACCTGGCGCCACCCGCGCCTGCACGACATTTTCCTGCTACTCTTCATTGCCGGGTACCTGCTGTCGGCTGTGTTTATCTGCTGGGAGTACCAGCGGCTGGGCATCAGTGAGTCTCTGCCCCCCGGTGCATCGCTGCTGGCATGATGGGGAGTAAGTGTAGATGCTGACCGTCCCTCAGAACACCGCGACTTTCGCGTCCTGCGCGCGTCCTTTTGGGTCAAGCTCACCTTCATCCTCGTCGAGCTCGTCCTGGCCATTGTCTTTGCCGCCACGACCTTTACCCATCATAGCGACATCGCGGCCGTTTTCGAATGGGTCATCGCCTTCATCTTTACCTTTTATATCCTGTCCTTTGTCATCGACCTGCTTCCCGCTATACACACGAGGGACCCGGGGGCGCGGTTCGAGAAGCCGCACGACATGGAGGAGGGCAGCAACGGCATCGGGGGCGCCGCCAACGGCCACATGAATGGTGGCCACGCCAACGGCGGCGGGTACAGGAGAGAGTACCCCATGGACAGCAACCCGCCCAACTTTTAGTATGGCGAGGGGCGGCGGCGACAGCGGAGGCGGCAGCGGCGATATTGATGTCGACTGTTGGCCGCGGACGTGCATGTGGACGTGGAGATATACATACGAGGACGGCGCTGAGTAATGATAGAAACGACACCATACCACAACCACTGTTGGTTATGTACCTTTAATTTACTGCGGTTAGCATACGTACCTACATGCGTACATACAGGCCTGTATAATGTCGAGGCTACTCCGCATGAGTGCTAGACTTGCAGAGGCCGACCATTGGTCGTCTATCCGCAGCTGGGTATAATTTTCGTCCGTTAGCAAACATGCTGAAGAAACGCCCGCTCGTGAGGGTATGCCCGATTGGGCAAGGCGGGCGAACCCCCCTGGCGATGACCCCTGAAGAAGGAGGATCCTCTAATAAATAACCAACGGTCTGGCGAACTTGGGTGTGGGGGTGGACGAGGGCCCCAAACCTTGGGTCGGGGTGACAGGTCGGCAGCGCGGCGCGTCTGTCCTCGAACGGGGTGACATCGCACGTCGATGTTGCACTGTCATTCATATAGGAAGAGCGGGCTTGTCGAATGCGGCTCTGCGACAGCCGCGGACGACGGACGGCAATGTCGGCGCAGAGAAATACGAGGGATGACGAGGCTTTTTCAAGAGACTGCGAATAACAGGTCAGAGTTGCTGTGCCCTGGCAAACACGTGCTGCGAAGTATAGCCTGGCAAGCCTGGGCTCCCTCCCTCCTTCCCTCCCTCCAGCACCCACAATGCACGCTGCACACCACACCCTCAACCTCCATCTGCCCCCCTCCCTATTCTTCCGGGGACCCTCTCTCCCCCCCCGCAACCATCCTTTCACCACCCGCCGGTGGCATTCATCCCGGTCTATTTCATTCTCCTTCGCCCATTTAGGCTTCGGCCCAATATGCTTCCCGAGGTATTATTATCAGCTTGGACGACTGCATCGCGCGATGGATGCCGGCCGGCATCACACCCTCCCTTTGCCTTGCCGCAACGCCAAGCCGCGCCCTCGCTCACGCACCAGGGTCAAACCCGCGAGCAAACATTGCTGTCAAAGCCACCGGCGGGCCTCTCAATTCAGCCGCTGTAGAATAGCTGGACGCCATTGCCTGTCTGGGAAGAAAGTTTGGAATCGGGTCGGACAGAAGGGCCGTGGCATTCATTCACGAGACGGGCCATGGCATCTATGGGACGCGCGGCGGGGCATCATGGGTTGGGCTCGGCGCTTGTTAGTGACTCGACCCGTCCAATGTCCTTTGTTGCTCCATACGAGCAACGTTAGCTGCTGGGTATGCGTCCGCCCCGGACTTCAGACTCTTCGGACCAACCCCTGCCAAGTCTTGACCAAGCCTATGTTGGTTATGGTTTCTGTCCTGCCCGGCACATATAGCCAGTCTTGTAAACAGCCGTGGTCGTCATCTCTTGGGTGCCCCCCTTATGACGATGCCCTTCGGTTCTTACATTCTGTCCACGGACACATCTGTCGAACGTGACCCGTACAGCATCTCGATGCCGCCGCCATGACTGTCGCCGGAGCGTCGACTGCTATGTCGGCTTTAGCTACCAGGAGCTTGTCCGTTCTCATTGTCCTGTTGGTTCTTCTCGGCGCGGCCTTCCACGGCGTTCTCCGCCACCCGGATCCTCACCGATGCCGGCAACTTCTCGAGGATGGCAGCTGGCTCGAGCCGCTCGATGTCAATGGCACGCGGGCGCCGTTCAAGAACTGGCAGCCTCGAGGCTGTAAGCTTCGACAGTACTCCAAGGAGGACATTCACCAGTGCATGGAGCACCGCCACATGGTCTTCTCAGGGGATTCCACCACCCGCCAGGTCTTCTGGGCCATGGGTCGCCTGGTACGTTCTTTGGTCCTCATACGAATGTGCGCCCCAACGAGACTCACCTCCCGTAGCTGGACAGGGACAAGGCCAACGAACGCCGCCGCGCGGCTGGCATCCACGAGAGCTACGACATGGAGTTTGATGGCATCCGCATGTTGCAGATCTGGAACCCCTTCCTCCAGGTCGGCGAAGAGACCAAGGAACAGCACGACTTGACGTATCAACTCAACCTGTGGCAGGAGGAGAAGCATAACAACGTCCCGGTTGCCGACCAGAAGAGCGCCGCCCTCGTTCTTCTCGGCTTCGGTAGCTGGTATGCCCTGACCATGTTCCACGACGACGCTGTCGGCAACTTTTCCGAGGCGTTCCTCAAGGTCACCGACGTCATGAAGACGAGCGACTTGCCGCCGTTTGGCTCTACACCCATGGTGTCACGAGATGGCCTGGGTAACGAGGTTTTTGTCGCCCCCGTCGCCCCTCCGTTTTACGACAAGCTGCCGCCGTACCGAACTGGTCCCAAGGGCGTTCACGAAGGTGAAGTCGAGGATATTGACAGGTTTCTCGACAGCGTCGCCGACGAGAAGCGAATTCCCCTACTACGAGCTTACCCTGCCCTCTCTCGAGACCAGCCTGCGGTCATGGTTGATATTGCCGACACGGGGTTCCATGTCATCGATTCAGTTGCCGAGGTCAAGGCGACGATCCTGCTCAACGCTCGCTGCAACGCCAAGCTCCACGCCCTCAACGGCTTCCCCTACGACGGCACATGCTGCACCGACTACGGCCGCACCACGTTTGTACAGTCTGTACTGCTCGGTTTGGGCGTCCTGTACGTTGCAACCTGCATCGTCTTGGAGGTCTTCGACATGCTGGGTCGCAACGTCGGCAGGCCATTTTTCGACATGAGCGCATGCATGTTCGTCACGGCGCTGCTGGCTTGCTTTCTTGCGGACCGCACTCAGGTGTTTGCAAAGGGCAGCAAGGAGTACGTCGCTAGCGAGTTTGCCATCCTTTCTTTTCTGGCTGCAGTTGCGGGTGTCGTCACCATACGAAGAATGAGCCCTCCGCGGTCCAACTCATCCACTCCGCCCGCCGCGCTGGAAGATGCGCCGCCCCTCTCTCGAGACCAGACCGACGAGTGGAAGGGATGGATGCAAGCCGCAATCCTAATATACCACTGGACCGGCGCGTCCAGATCCCTCCCGATATACATCTGCATTCGCCTCATGGTGGCCGCGTATCTCTTCCAGGTCGGCTACGGGCACACCGTCTACTTCCTTACCAAGAAGGACTTTTCCTTCAAGCGCGTGGCGGCTGTTTTGCTGCGGCTAAATCTGTTGAGCTGCGCTCTGCCGTACGTCATGAACACCACTTATATGCTGTACTACTTTGCACCCCTCGTCAGCTTCTGGTTCGCCATTGTATACGCTACCCTGGCCATCGGGTCCGGCTACAATGACACGAGCAACGCCGTCATCGCCAAGATAGTCATGTCAGCGTTCGCTGTTGCGTCCGTCTTCTTGTTCACGCCGCTGTCATCGTGGGTTTTTGCCATCTTGCGCTCCGTCTTCCGAATCGACTGGGACCTCCATGAGTGGCAGTTCCGCGTGTCCCTCGACATCCTCATCGTCTATGTCGGCATGCTTGCGGGTATGGCGTCAGTGCGGAGCAAGCTCTGGAACCGGTTGCTGGTTGGGACCAAGTTTTCTGGGTTCATCGGGCTGGTCATCATGGCTGGGTACTGGTATCTGAGCAACGGACACTTTGCGGTGAAGCAAGACTACAACTGGTGGCACCCTTACGCCTCGTTTGCCCCGATAATAGCCTTTATCGCAGCTCGCAACATCGCTGCCCCGGTACGAGTTTTCTACTCGAAGGCGTTTGCCTGGCTCGGCCGCTGCTCCCTGGAGACTTTTACACTTCAGTTCCACATATTCCTCGCCTCCGACACCAAGGGCATCCTTCTCCTAGATGGTCTGACGGGCGACGGCAGTCTTGCAGCGGACAGGTGGCGACACTTGGTCGTCATTGTTCCGTTCTTTCTCTGGCTCAGCCACACGACGGCAGAGGCCACCGGGCACCTGACCAAGCTCCTCACGAGCACATCTGCTGAACAGGACAAGCCCGAAGGTGCCAGCGACTCCGAATCACTCCTGCCAGGGCCCGCCAGCCTGGGGCAGCTCAAGGTCCTGCCGATATTAGGACAATTGATGCCCAGAGCGGTGCTCAATGACCTGAGGGTCCGGATGACGGTGCTGCTGGTGTTGATGTGGCTTCTGAACCTGGTGTGTGTTCCGGGCTGAGCGGCCACGATCTATGCTGACGCCCCGCTCTAGCTGTACTGATCTCACCTGGTGTGGTGCACCGGGTAATGTTGAACCTGGACTAGGGGCTTAATCGAGCCCATTGTACAACTACCGGGGCCGCGGGTGTTTCAGCGTCGGGGGAGATATAGACGCCAAAGGCGACACTTCCTCGGGGACTTGTAACGTCCAGCCAAGCTCCCTTTAGACCCACTGCCGTAGAGGCATGTTTTCAACGACTTTTGGGCCACTGCTTTCGAATTGCCTGGCCACAAATGGAATACTTTCGACTTTAGGTCTCAACTTGACGTGTCTGATATACCCTTGCGACACGCAACTGTTTGTTAGAGATATATAGATGACGGCGACAGCGCACCATCCTCACTGAAGCTAGTCCAAACAGAATCTCTTTTGATGTTATGGCACGTAGACGTCGTGTTAAGCAATGACCATGTGCTGGCCATGTTCGTGTTTCTCCAACTTTGTTTCGGGATTGTGGCATTCGTCACCCCCAGCGGCATGGCCACTTGCCCTGAGCGTCAGACCAAACCCGCCCCGACGTTTTCGAGCTGTGTGCACGCAGAGGCGCCCATCACGGGAACCGTTCTCGACCTCGTCAGAGTACGCGTGGTCCGCCCATGCACGCACGCACGCACGGCACGGCACGCCGCTCGAGAGGCGATATAGAAAAAGGTCACATCCGTCTGCGATTGCACGAGTCGAGCAGCCTTGAATATTTACGGTACACCCATATGTTGTTTCCCCCCTCCCTCCCGCATTCATCCATTATACGTTGTAGGATTACTAGGTAGCAGTACCCGACAAGGGGGGCCGCGGATAAGACAAAAGCATGCAGAATCCTCGCGGCGCGGCGCGCACCTTCGGTGCGTGGATCGCCTGCGCGCTGCTCGTCTCGTCCGTCAGCGGCGTCGCCCTGCCCGAACCGGTGCCGCTGCCGGCATCGCAGCCAGCCTCGGCGCCCGTCACGCCGCCGGCGCATTCGGCGCCCGGGAGCCCGGACTGGGACTTTAACCACGATTACATCAATACGGTCAACTGCCTCATGCCGGGGGTACGTATTCCAAGCATCTACTCGTCATTTTATATCATCCATTGCATCGCACGTATACCAAAGGCACGGATATACGGGAACCCCTCCGCCCCTCGGCCATTCTCTCTTCTGGCCCGACCTTGTGTGAAATATTAAAACCGGAGTATATTGGTTTCCATGGGCTAACAGCAATAACCCTCCCCGCGCAACATTAGACCTGCTCCAAGGCCACAAACGAGTGCACCTTCCGCCGGACCATGAGCCGCGGGTATGACATCCCCGAGACTGACCCACGCTACGGTGTTGAGGCCCGCGTCAAGTGCAAGGCAGGGGTACGTTTTTCTCCCCTTCATCCCATCTCCCCATCCCCATCTCCTTCTTCCCCTCTCTCCCTCTCTCTGCCTGCAGCAGCAGCAGCAGCAGCAGCAGAGACCCGATACAACAACAACCAGCCTCCCATCTAACATCTCCTTGCCCAATGCAGAAGTGCGGCGTTGATGGAGGGCCTTGCTTCGTCCTGGCGTATGCCTTTGAAGACTACGCCACTTGTGCCAGGGAAGGAATCGGCGCCGATGAACGGCCGCATCGTGCGTCGAGCCCTATATCGTCATGAAAGGGACGGAGGGATCACTGCTTCTCATACAACATGGCGTTCGTTCGTCCGCGTATATGTATTTCATACAGCTATGTACTGGGCGAATCCATTTCTCTCAACAGTCCTGAAAACTTGTGAAAATCGCAACCTGTTCTCGTGTTGATCCAGATACGCCTCGTCCTATATTCAGCTCCCTCTTGAAAAAGCAGGCGCAGCATTCAAACATCGTAGCCAACAAATACACAGCGCTTCTCCTTGATATACTCCCCACACATTACTCGCGAGTCAGCCGACCTGTCTCGCACAAAAACTGAAATTGCACAACATTATTGATCCATCTCTTCCCGGAACCGAGAGTCGCGGTTCGGACTGCTTCCAGCCCGCGTACTAGGGTCCTCAATTGGCTTCGGCGGCTCAATGCTGATCCGCCGCCCGTCTCTCGTGTCGTCATCCTCGAAATCGACACCGAGGCGCTTCTCCTCCTCCAGGGGCGTGCTCACGGGGCTGACCCCGTGAGAGTCTTGCTCGTGCGCCTCTTCTGCTGCCACACGCGGGTGGCTGGCGCTTGACGGTCCGGCCTCCGCGGCGCCCACGTCGGCGTGGTCGTCTTCAACCTTGCTAGCAGGCTCGTCGAGAGCCTTGCTGGCGTGCTCGCCGCTGGTCTTATCGGCGTGCTCGTCGCTGGCCTTGCCGGCGTACGCCACGTCCCGCATGCTTGACGCGCGATTCTCCAGGCTTGCCGCGCTGCCGTTGGCTCCGTGCTCCCTCATGGCCGCTCCCCCGAGGAAGCTACGTCGCTTGTCGCCGGCCTCACTCATAGACTTGCCGCGAGAAAATCGATTCTTGATCCACCCCTTGACCTTCGACGTCGGAGAGGTCGAGGCTTCAGACTTGGACTGAGGCGAGCCGGGTGCCTCGGCGCTGGTATCGACCGTCGGCGAAGCAGCGCTGGCACCTGGTTGAGCATGCTCCGAGGTGCGCTCTTCTTCGGCAGCTTGGTGCGTGGCGGCAGCGTGCTCCTGGTTGTCGGCGTGATCCGAGGCAGCAAAGGCACCATGCTTGGATCGCCGCTTCTCTTCCTTGGCCAGGCGCTTCTGCTCCGCCTTCGCAGCCTTCTCTTCCTCTTTCCGTGCCTGCTCTCGCGCCTTCTCTTCGTCGCGCTTGGCCTTTTCCTCATCCCTCTTCGCCTTTTCCTCTTCCTTCTCCTGCTGCTTCTTGGCCCTTTCCTGTTGCTTCTCCTCGTCTGCAAGTTGAAAGCGTTAGCAGTTACTCCTCTGGAATGTCATCTGTCGAAAGGATTACATACCCCTAGTCTTCTTGTGGATGTCCTTGATCTCGCGGTCACGCGCCTTCTGCTTCTCGGCCTCGTCACGCCTGGCCTGCTCCTCCATCTTGAGGACCGCCTGCCGCTCGCGCTCAGCCTCGGTCTTCTCGTTGATGTCGTCGAGCACCGGCTGGACCTTCCTCGCAGCGATTGCATCAACTTCCTCGGGCGACATGAACTTGCCGCCGCCAATGTCAATTTTGCCCCGGTTCTCGCTGCGCGTGTCGTGGCGCGACTGGGCAGCCTGCTGAGCCTTGAGCTCCCAGTCGCTGACCATGCTGGGGTTCACCCGACCAGTCTCCTGGTAGACCTTTTCATCCATGCCTTGTAAGCGCGCCTTGACATTGCGCTGCGCAGCGGCGAGGAGGGCTTCGCGGTCCTTTTCGCGCTTGTCCTTGTCGACTTGGGACAGCTTGGTGGAGAACATGGACATTTGCTCGCGGATCTTTTGGGAGCGTTGGCGGTCATCTACATCCTCGCCCGACGAGGAGCGTCGGCGCAGCCTGCCTCCCACGGTGAACCTGCGTCGGGGGCTCGCTTCATTGCCGTAGTATTCCTGGTATTCGCGGCTCTGCTGGTGCTCGTCGTGCAGCTTGGCCAGCCGTTCCTGGGCCTGCTTGTACGCGGCGTCTTGCAGGTTGAGATAGGTGCCCGTCTGACCGGCCTGGGCACCATCCTCGTGAGCCTCCTTGGTTTGGTCAACCATCTGCTGCTGGCGCTGGTACATCTTGCGGGCCATGTCGACAGCAGATTGATGCAGCCTCTCGTTGTAGGTCTGCTCGTCCACCTCGGGCTTCACGGGCGGGTGCGACGTGAACATGTTGCGGGTCATTGTGACAACGGAGACGGAGCCTGCATCTCCGACTGACGGCTTAGGTTGCATGGACGCACGATGGGCGCGCGTTGCGCCATCAAGAGCGCTGGAAGCGGCTCTGGCTTCCGCCGCTTGGACATCTCTGAAGCCGACGTCCGACGCATTGGCGGCCTTGCCTCCCGACATGGCTCCTTTGGCGGCAACGAGCGACCTCTGCGCATGAGGCGAGGGCGAGGGCGCCTGGGCCTTCCGGGCTGATTGAGCCCTGCTGATATGAAAGGCCTGGGTCGCGGCCGAGCTCCCGTGCGACAAATTGGTCGGCTCGGCAGTGGCCGGGCGGTTTGCCTGAAAGGCCTGGGTGGCAGCTGAATTGCCCCAGTTCCCCTGCGAGTGCGACGAGGTCGTCTTGGTCCTCGACTGCGACTGCTTGAGGGCGGCTCCGGCGGAGCCCACGGCGAGGACGGCGGCCCTGTGGCCGTCCGGGTTGACGGCGGGCTCCCAGGTGGGCGACATCTTGTAGTCTTTGGCGAGAACGGCAGCGGCCGAGGCGGACGAGGTCTTGTCGGGCTTCCAGAGCTCGACGGGCTTCTGGTTGGACCAGCCGAGGGTGGCGGCGGCGCTGGCGGCGGCCCCGTCGGGGGCGAGGCCAGTCGAGGGGAAGCTGGGCAGCGTGCGAGGGTCCGCGTACTTGATGCGGCCGCCGGTTGCTACTGGAGATGTGGCGGGAGCCTCGGTCAGTGCCTCGTCTTGTAGGATGCGCGGGTTATAGCATGCTCGCGATGCGGAGAAAAGAAGAGGAATCGAGGAATGTGGCTGTAGGGCAAAGAGATGGAATCTGGGATTGTAGAGTGAGATGGCAAAGTGAAGCTGACGACGAGAAGTCACGCGACGCCGAGGCGCAAGGTGTAAGCGGGCGAGGGCAGGAGCGAGGCGCAGCGACCGCCGCAGCTGGAGCTTGAGCTGCAGCTACAGCTTGGCGTCCCAATCAGTCGCTGGCCAAAATACTCGGGCAATTGAAAGCAGCAAGGGCAGTAAAAAATGCATTTAGCAGAGCAGGCGGCGGGGAAGGTGATGATCAATTCAATTTGGTGTCGCGCATCCGCCGACCCTCGCGCGATCGAGCTGAAAAATCTCCGCCAACTCACTCACCTGCAGGAGCTGGAGCCGCGCCGGGCTGCTTGCCCATGGCCGCGTCGGGCTTCGCGACTGCGCCAGCCATTTGGGTTCGATTTTCAGTTCAGCGTTGGACAGCACGAGCTGTTGCGCTGGGGTGGGTCCGGGACTCCGGGACGGCGGGTTGCTTGCTGCGATGCGATGATGTCACCGTCGTGGGTGGTGGTCCGTCGATTCGATGCGGGTTGCTGCTGGTGGTCGGCGCGACCCGGCGGCTTTTCTTCCTCAGCGAGCGAAGAGCCGCAGCAGCTTGTTGGGGGCTGGACAGGTAGGTAGGACCAAAAAAAAAGTCGCCCGCCCGTATGGATGGATTATCGTGCGCGCTGCCGGTGAGACGGGAATTCCTTGCGCGGGCGCAAATAGATGTCACTACCCTGCCGTGCCACGAGGAGCAGCAGCCGGGGGCTGCGGATGATCGTCGTCGTGTGGTGGTGCAGGAACCGCTGTACTTCGTATCCGGGGCGTCTGTCCGCTGTCGCAAAGCTGGCAGATGGCTGTCAGTTTGTCGTCGCCCAAGATGCGACGAGATGAGATGAGACGAGATGAAATGAGGTGCGACGAGCACGATGAGAAATCCAGAGCTGGGGCGAGGACAACGAACAGGACGAAAATGGAAAGCGAACGGCGCGGGCGAGTTTTCGAGGCGAACCCACGACAACGAGCTGGACGGGATTTGCAGTTCGCGAGACGCAGACAAGGAGGATGGGCGGCTCAAGAACCGGGCCGGCAGTCGGTTTTATTCGCCTCGCCTCGAGCAAGGAAACTTGGGAAATTGGACTTTGGGGGTGGGAGAGACGGACGGGAGCGAGTGACGCTAGAGGGTGCGCTCACCGTTGCGTAGCTTCGGCCGTGGGAGCTTCGGGCGATGCCTCGAGCCGCTAAGCTAACGTTGGGATGGGGACGGGATGGATGGGAGGCGCGGGACTACTACCGTACAAGTAAAGTACTAGGTAGGCAAGGTGAGGTAGGCTAGACTACGGGCACAGAAGAGGCATAACGTCGACGTCAACGTCAATTGGGAGGCAAGTGGATGGCGGGACGGGGCTACGTATGTGCGAGGTACAAATGGATGTCCGGGGGCACAAGAGAGACGGCGGCTGCGACACGCCCGTTCCCGCAGGCACAGTAGGTACTTACCTACAGTGCAGTTCTCAAGGTCGCCATCATGGTTCCACGCGCCCGCCCGTCGTAGCTCTCGGTCACGGCGCCGGAGCATCAGAGCATCAGAGCACCACCACAGCACCCAGCAGCACCACCAGACGGCCGGGGGGGGATGCACGAGGTGCCGCGTCTCTGACGTCATCGGGGGGACCCTCCGGCAGATCTGGGGCCTGGGGGGGTCCGGCTGGGGGGGTTCTGGGGGCAGCCCCGCAGGGCTTGTACCGTTCCGTCGAGCGTTGCGGCAGGTCCTTGGGGGAGGCTTGGGAGGGAACCGGTAGGTCTCAGCTGGTGCGAGCTGCACCCGAGTAATCATTACCTACCTACCGGGCCTGCCTTGGGCCTGCCTTGCGGGCCCTTGCATGTTCCGCCCCAGGGCGCTGGGCCCCAGCCTCAAACCGCGTCTCAGCGGGCGAGCAACGCTGCACGGCTCAGGCGCTGGTGCGCGGGTTCTCGTCGTCGTGTTCCTCACTGGCGATGATGCACGACGCCGCGTATGCGCATCCATCTTCAGCCGTCTTCGGCCCGTGCGCGCAGCCTGCCATCTACCCATTATTACGTATATTACGTGCATGCGTTCGACATCTTCATGCGACCGTCTGTGCGACTGCTTCGCTTCATCCGTCTTTTTTTGTGTGTGTTCTTGCTGGTCTTGTGGATCCTTCCCACCTCACACTCTCACTCACACCCTGGAACATGCCGAAACCTCTCCTCCCTTGTGCCCTGTCCCCCCCCCCTCCTTGTTGCAAGCCATGAACACCACCACGCCCCCCATCCCCATGCCCAACCAACGAGCTGTGTTTTTTTCCCGCGCAGTCCCGTTCTGCATCGTCGCCGATCCTTGTTTGGCCCGGGTGAGACGTCCGTCCCGAACGGCGGGAAAACCCTGGCGCATCGGCAGCCCCAACCCTGTTCGTGCAACCCCGACATCTGCATGGCGGCCGAGATCGTGTCCAGCCTCACTTTGGCATCGGCATCTGACCTGCACAGTACCCGCGCAGAGTCCAGCGTGGGTAGTCGCTCAGACAAAAATTGACCGCCGTAGCGGCGCAGTCCGCAGCAATACAGACAAAACATACGACAACGGCGGGCGGGGGGTTGCAGCCGTCGCGGCGGCCCCCTCGGCGCAAGCGTCCCGGTCGCTGTCGGCACGAACCCTGCCCTGCTGAACAAGCTCCAACTCTGCTGCAGCACCACCGCACAAAGCCCACTGCCAACGTGCCATGCTCATGCTGCTTCCTCCATCCCGCAGCTCACGAGACCCGACCGCATTGTGCCCTGCTCGTCCGCGCCCCCCAAAGCCAAACCTCGCCATGCCCTTCCACCGTACCCCACCCAAGCCCAGCAGGACAAGTGGCGTCCCTTTGGCTTTCGAGCTTCTTTTTGCTTGCGCTCCTACGCATCGTGGGCTCGCAGTGCGCTGCGCTGCATTGGGTTGTGCGTTGTATTAGGTATCCCACAGTCGCAGCAGATGACGTACCGTTCGTCGTTCCCTACTTGTGCCACGAACAGGGCTCAGCCGGCCCGGTCGCGCGCACGGCACCAAGCAACCAGCCAGCTTGTCCCGGGCCCCCGCTTCACCGTCAGTCCGGCGCTGCTCTGCTCTGCCGCCGGTGCGCCCGCCGTCGCCGCCGCCGTCCCGGATCCCTGCTCGTGGGACGGCGCTTGACCAAGACCGGCGCGCCCCGGCGGGAGCACTGCCTCGCAGAGATCGCAGGGATGGATTGCTTGGGTTGCTCGATGGGCAGTGGTCGGCAAAGTGGGAGCCCTGAGCGCTGATCGACAGTCGTAGATGATGCTCTTTGGCATTGTTTCAAACAGGCGAGATCCAATCCCTAGGGACGTCTTCGCGAGTGACTGACGCGTGGCTGTGGGGGACATCATGTCTGCCTCTCAGTCGCAGCATCCCTTTATTTAGTACTATGTAGAGCGATGCAATGGCCAATTGGGTCAGTCGGCATAGCTACTGAGTATTGACGATATAGTCGCGTCAATGCTGCTCGATCTCCCCACTGGACAACATCGAGGTGTAGGGTAGTCAATTCCTCCCCCAGAACAATCGTCAAATCGTCATCCTTCACGATGACCTGCGGCACTTAGGCAAAATGACCAGGACACGCCCGGCGTCATCCAACACCGTTCAAGTCGCGTGAGGGCTTACTCTCTCCGCAACCCTCCCATGCCCACCGCCTTCTCGCCATGGCTGAACCCTCGCCGCCGCTGGACAAGGTCCTCAACTTCCGCGACGTCGGCAAGACGGTGAATCTCTACCTCGGCGAGAGGCGCGTCCGCGAGGGCGTCATATTCCGCTCCGCGCGGCCAGGTATGTAAGCTCCCCGTTGCCACCCAACACACTCAAAAGTATCGCGACGCTCCTCGCTCCAAACGCTCGAGCTTCCTCGCTGAGACATTGTGTGAGCTGCAGACGATGCCACGCCGCGGGACAAGACCATCATCAGGGACCAGCTCGCAATCAGGACCGTCATAGACCTGCGGACAAAGTATGCTGCCCTACCTGTTTCTGAGCTGAGCTCCTGCTCGCCCCCCCTTTCTTCTGCTGACGATGTGTGCTTGCAAGGACGGAACTGCTCGAACAGGCGCAAAAGAGTCACGCCCAGGGCCATGGCGCGGAACCTTCCTCGCCCGGCGGCACCGCGCCCGTCCACCCCCCGCGCATAAAGGGCATCGAGTACAAGGAGATCAAGATCACCGGCCGCTCGTTTGAGAAGCATCTGATGAGCCAGCTCTCCTGGTGGAGCTTCATGCAAGTCTCCCTCGCAACCTCCCCTCCCCTCCCCTAAACAAATTTCGGTTTCCCGACCCTGCCCAATGTAAGCCCGGCTGACACCCGTATAGCAAGGTCATTGTCCTCTACATTGTCGGCTACCGCATCGACGCCGTGCGCATCATCGGCCAAGAGGTCCTCCTGGCGCGCGGCCTCGTCGGTCTCGGCACCGACACGCTCGACCATTCGGGCGCCGAGATCCGCGAGGCCCTGCTGCTCTACGGCAGCTCGCAGTCTGTCCCTGTGCTGGTGCACTGCACGCAGGGAAAGGACAGGACAGGCACGTTTCCATTCTCTTGCGAGGCACTCTTTGGTTTCAAAACTCCTGGAACCGGGTGGGTGTGCTGACTTCCTGACAGGCATCGTGTGCGCATTGCTCCTCATGATCCTTGAGGTGCCTGCCCCGGCCATCGAGCACGACTACTTCCTCACGGACGCGGCTCTCGTCTCCGAGCGCGAGGAGAGGATTGCCGAGATCCGCAACATTGGCCTCACTGATGAGTGGTTCAATACCGCAGAGGACATGATCACGGGCATGGAGAAGCACTTGGCCCAGACGTACGGCGGCCTGGACGCGTACCTCGACGGCATCGGCTTCAGCGAACAAGATCGTGCCAGGCTCCGCGAGAAACTACTCTACTGATCCAAGACACGAAGACAAGCCTTTCGCGCATTCGATAGAGTTCGCTGTATATTTGGGTATCCTTGTCTAAATCTTTCTAAATCTTCCTTGTAACCAGCACCGGTACATCTTAATCTTCTCGGCTCGGTTGACAAGCAGCCGCCGGTCGATGCCCAGGTTCTCGACGTCGAACTTGGGCGCGTCTACCTCCGAGGAGCTTTCCCCAGACCATATATTGGACAGCTCGTCCCGGTCAAAAAAGTAGACGCGGGTCCCGTCTCCGCGGATGTAAAAGTTCTCCTCCAGGTACCGTCCCTTTCGGAACCGCACTTGGGCCAGGTCACCTCTTCCATAGTCTCGGAAGCAGACCAGGCCCCCTGGCTTCAGTACCCTGTGCACGTTCCGGACCGCCTGTGCCCACTCCGTCGGCGACAGCGCAGAGAAGATGAACACCATGACGGCGACGTCTACGGAGCCTTCCTCCAACCCTGGAGGAAGGTCATCCCCGGAGACGTCCCACACATCCGCCTGGATGTGCGCCGTGTTGTACGCCTCGTGGTTGCGCATGACGTCCACAGCCGTCTTGGAAAAGTCGCAAGCGTGGATCTTGAGTTGCGGATTCTTGTTGTTGGCCAGCACAGGGAACGCCGTGTTACCCGCGCCGGCGCCAATCTCCAACACTGTCACTGGCCCAGCGTCTTCCTTGGTCACGTCGGCAAGGATCGGGAACTCCTGCTGCAGCCACTTGCGGTCCTTGAAAAAGTTGGACGCATTGTTCTTGTAGAAAAGGTTCCACCACTTTGCGGGGTTCGAGTTAAACCTGTCTTTGGTGCCGAGTCAGCCACTGTGTGCTTCGAAAAGTGAAGAATGTGACAAAGAATAAGGCAAGATGTGTTCAGATGGGAGCGAAAGACTAGGTGAAGGTATGTTTTCATCATTTCTTTCAGATGAACTATGCATTGGAAGTGAATCATCACTACATCTTTGGGATGCCGTGGCAGTGAGCAGGGGACAATGGCGGGCTTACTCTTGTCAAAGTCAGAAACGGGAGCCTGGCGCTGCATCTCGAGCTGACGTTCCGTGTACTCCTTGTACGCGTCGTCAGTCTCGACATGATCCCAGGCATTGAACTCGAACACGTCGTCTTCCTTTGAGAGAAAACGGCTCCCGAACTGGAAGGGATCGCTCCGCTTCAGGTTCTTGGCAGGATCGTGTGATCGGTGAGGTGGCAATTCGCCAGCCGCGTCGTCCTGACTGGGCGTCTTCAGGGCTGCCATCTCCTCTGTCGGCGGGGCCGGTGCCGGGGCCAGCTCGGCACTGGGCACGGCGGTGGAAGCCATTGTGCCTCTGGTCAAATGTAGGTGAATACCAGATTCATGCACACACGATCCGTTCCGGTTTCGCGCGTTCTGCTGGCCTGCGAGGCTCGCTGCAGCGGGAGGACGAGGGGGGAAGAAGAATTGCGGCGGCAAGAAAATTTCGGGAGACGGCCATAAATGCTCAGGGCCGGTTCCTGGCGGTGGATCTGTGGTCGCTGCTGATTGGGCAGATCTAGGCCTGTCAGCCCGGCGCGGAAATACGTCGCCTCCGGATAGTTCCGGTCCCACGGCGGCGACTTGGTTGGAGCTGAAGCCGATCGTTACTGGCGGGGAGCTTGAGCTGGGTCGCGGCCAGTCGCAGGGGCTGGGGACATTGCGCCGGAAGCTGTGCTGGAGTCTTGTGCCATCCACGTCAACGTCCAACTGCATCGTCAGTCACCCTGCTTAAGCTGCCCACGAACGACAGCATCTGGCAGCCGCCCGATCAATTGCCACGCGAAATAGCGCATAAACGAGCTCTCGCGTAGCAGAATCGACTTTTCTCCCGCGGCGACGTTCATCATGGCGCCTTCCCTTCTCCAGCCGCAGGGGCGACTGTCCCCTGCGGAGACGCTGGAGTTGGCGCAGCAAGCTCCCGAGATCCTGCGAAGGAATCCGAAGGCCTTCTCGACTTCTCCCCTGCAACTGCTCTTCTCCGCGCCCGAGACGGCCGACCTATGGACTATCTACGAGAATCTGCTGCTGTCATGTCTCCGCGCCGGCGACGACGACGCTGCGCATCAAGTCTTGGAGAGATTGTTGCTTCGATTCGGCGACAAGGACGAACGCATCATGGCTTTGAAGGGTTTGATGAAAGAGGCCGAGGCTACGAACGACGAAGAGCTGCAAAAAATACTCGACGAGTACGATTTGTTGTTGGAGGATAACGACACCAACATGGTAAGCCTGCTCAGTGGAGCGGGAGTGGCAAGGTGGCTGACGTTCCACAGCCCATTTACAAGCGGAAAATCGCGCTGTTGCGCTCCATGGGAAAGACGCCTCAAGCTATCACGGCGCTGAACGCCTTCCTCGACTTCAGCCCAACGGACTCGGAGGCGTGGGCGGAGCTGGCAGACCTGTACCTGTCACAGGGGCTCTACCCCCAAGCCATACACGCCCTGGAGGAGGTCGTTGTGCTCGTTCCGAATGCCTGGAATGTAAGATCGAGGTGGCATCGTGCGCTGATAGTGCAACATACTTACCATTTATAGATTCATGCCCGACTGGGCGAGGTGTCCCTGATGGCTGCAAACACAACCACCGAGGGCTCTCCTCAGAAGTACCTCGCAGAGGCCCTGAAACGTTTCTGCCGAAGTGTCGAGCTGTGTGACGACTACCTGCGTGGTTACTATGGGTTGAAGCTGGTATGAGTGACTCATGATGTTTTGGGGCTACACAGCAAGCTGACCGTTGGTTAGACTACCGACAAGTTGTTGAGCAGTGCCGCAAAGGAGAAGCGGCGGGAGACGGAGGGCTTCTCTCTGCCGGAACAGGCAACGATCGAGAAGCTGAACCAGGCAGCAACGGAGAAGCTTGGGAAGATTGTCCGCCAATACGGAGCCCAGGAGAAGCTCTGGCAAGGGTACGACGCCGGCGAGGTTGCTGCCGCCCGCGAGCTCCTGGCCAAGTCAGCGCCCGAGCTGATTCGGTGAGGGCGTCTGGCAGCGGGCGCAGAGGGTGTGAGGGTCCAGTGACGGGCCCACGATGCTGGCTTGGCTGCGCCTTGTCAGGGGTAATTGTGAGTTGGATGAGCGGGACGGGATGCTACCGGTCGAGGCGAGAGGAACGGGGCCCTGAGCTTGCGTGAAGGGCACGACGGGAAGGTTTGCAGGCGGACGTGGCGGTGTTGTTTCATTGGAGCCTTAAGGCTGGGAGGCAGAAGCATTGGGCATCTACTCATAGGTAAGGCGTGGTGAGCGGTGGGCCGGCGACAGGTCCTACAGTATTGTGAGAGGTGCCAGACGGCTGGCCAAGCGCAGGGACCTCAAACACGCCACCTAGGAAGACGGCACGACGCGGCGTCGAGGACGCGAGTCCCTTTGGGCACGAATCAGCACCTGGTCTCGTCGGGTTGGGCACGGGCGACGTCGCCGGAGAGTCTTGGGCTCCTGCGTGAAAATAGCAGCGGCGCGAAGATGAAGACGCACAAGGCACGGCCAGTGTACTGTACTCTCGGGCAGATGTATAAGGGAAAATAGTGTACACGGAGCACGCAAGTACATTTCATATAAACGACGCAGTCGGAGATGCTGTTACGTGCGCAGCGTGCCACAGCACCTTGGCACCTCGGAAGCAAGCCACAAGCGTCGGCCGGTGCCTCGTACAGACAGCTGCGTCGCACCGCATTGCATGCCCATGCGGGCCAGGCCTGCGTGGTTGGCCGCGCCGTGCAGCACCTCACCTCTCACGTCTGGCCCATAGCCGCTCCCTCTCACGACGGGCTTGGTGATGACGCGCACGGCGGCGGGGCCGCGCAGCTAATGAGAAATTCTCTGCCGATAAGAGGCCCGGAAGGCCAATGGGTCCGGCAAGGCGGGAAACCGGCGCCAGCTCATTGTCTGTTTCCCATACCTTGTCGTTGCTGGCTGAAGAGGGGGACCCGCACGCACGCGCGCACAAGGCGAGGCCGAGATGCGGCGGGCGTGACGATGTTGCGGGCCTGGCCCGCCGGCCACGCAGGCACGCGGCCGGCGCCGAGTACTGTATCCTCTATTAGCTGTAATGTGAGGTATGAGTCAAAAGGGGGAACAAGGTGAGCGTGCGAATCAGGCGTCGCCACAGCCGTCTGGCGGTCAACCACACACCCCTGGCCGTCTTGTTGGCATTGGTGTTGGACAGGCGGAGGAGCGCCGTGATGGAGTCGCAGGCAGCGTCACACAAGAAAGCGAGAGAAGAAGACGACGACAAAGCAGGCTGGGCGGGCGCGCGCGCAAAGTATATCAAGGGGGAGGGGAGAGCGTCGCCTTCGCATCATTTTGCAAGCATCGAAACAAAAGCAACTAGCTGTGCGGTAATAAATCATCTTGGCTCGCAGCAGCTCATCTTCGTATTGCTTATCCGCAACGGACTGGGACAGCCAAGTTCGACCCAACAGGTCCCCTTCATCATACACCAGAATACGACAACGACGGCGTCAAGCGGTCGTGAGCCCATTCATAACATTGACCTGACCTGACCATGTTGATTTGCCCGCTACAGACACCATTACTCTACTCGTTGCACGCGCAGGGGACGCAGACGCAGACGCAGACGCACACACAGACGAGACGCCAACGACAACGAAGCCGCTGCTACCGTTTCTGCAACTGCTGCTGCTGTCGTGACTGGGCGCTGCCGACCACATAATCGGGGGGTCTCTCACCGAGTCGGCGCGCATTGGATCGATCCGCCCCGGCGTCCTCGGCGTCGACAGGATCGGGACGAGATATTGGGTTGCTTGCATCCTGCGGGCAAAGGCCACCACCACACATCTCCCATCTGGCCAGCCAGGACGAGGCGGAGCTGCCCGCGTGCTGCTTGCTGCTTTGCCGTGCAGGCGCATCGCATCGCATCTCCATCTCATCCCATCGTGCGGCGGCCGTTCGAGACGTTCCGTCCAGCCACTCGTGCGAATTGCTGAAGACACTACCACCACCGCCACCACCGCCGTCGCTGCAGGCGTCTTGGGTCGGTATAAGAGGAAAAAATCGCGCCGCCAGCCAGCCTGCCTCTGCACTGCTGCAGCCACCAAGGCCGACCAACGTTTAGAGCCGGGCCGTGGCTTGCAGCGGCCGCGCGACACCGCCGCCGACCGTTCACAGGACGGGCCGCTGATCGCAGAAATACCGCCTACAACGTAGACGGGGCCGTGCGCTGCTAGGTCCCTCGGTTTTGTTTTATGACATTGGCGAGCTTTTAGTTGGTCAGTGGTGAAGCGTCGTTGATACGGTCTTGGTGACACGGGGTGGACAAACGGTCTGGTCCACGACTGCGCACGAGACATACTGGGTAAGTGGACACGGTCGTTTTTCATATCTTTCCATCATCAGAGCGTCGCGTCATTTCTATTCCTGATTTGTTTCGATTCCTTCATCGCGGTTATTTATTTCGTTTATCCCTGGTACACGGAGCGGTGCGTCGGGGCTCAGGGCAGCCCAGACCTCGATCCCGCAGCACGGGCAGGCTCTTGCGCCGCGACGTGTTGACGGGGTGGGTTGAAGTCCAAGGCTGCCAGGAAGGCTCCCTGCCCGCTGTTTCAAGGCGACTACACGGCTGCCGTGTTCTGTCAGTGCTTTGCAACAGGCAGACAGAGGGTGTGAGCACCGCCCCTTCTTGGGCTGTTATACAGTATCCCAAAGCTCCTCTTTTGGAACCCAACGGGAGCCTCGAGTTTCAGATACCTGGGGTGCCTTGGGCGACTTGACTCTGTCTCTCTCGTCGCCTCACTCGACCTGCTCCTCTTCCCCTTCTCAACACCTCCTGTTTACCTCAGTCGACCAGCCTCGTCGAGTGTGCGTCCGCCGTTGGAGCGAGACACGCGCGGCTGCTGCTGCTGCCCACGGCGACTCACGCCTCGCCTGGATGTTATGCGTTCGTTCGTTCGCTCAGTGGGTGAGTCAAAGCGCCCCCCGTCAGTGGCCGAGCCCAATGGACCCTCGTGGGCGACCACACCCTCACTGCACTCTTGTTCCCGCGTCCGCAGGGCAGGGCGGCCTGTCTCTTGTGCTGTTCGTCTGACGAGGCGAGTGCCCCGAATCGAACGACTTGGACGGCGCTACCTGGTGGGCTGCAGGAGCAGTTGCCGCCGCCGCCGCCGCCGCCGCCGCTGCCAGCGTGAGTTGTGCTGTGCTGCGCGGTGCGCGCGGGCGTCTCGCCTTGCCGGCGGAGACTCGAGAGGCGCCTGCAGCTCCCGCCAACCCAATCGTGCAAAGCCGAGTCCCACGTCGTTGGTTTGTCGCTGGTGTGTGCCCGTGTGGGCTCGATGGATGGCGGTTGTCAAGCCTGTCGGTCCCGCAGGCGTTGCGAGGCTCAACAACAGCTGCCCGCTCCCAGCCAGGACACGGACGTACCTACACAGGCAGAAGCACAAACCCCGCTGTGCATTCATTGCTCCAGTTGTACAGTACCGTACATTATACATGCAGTATATTATACCTCCCGCCGACCAGGGCAGCTCCCAAGCGGGATGCTCCTGCTGAAAAGAGACGTGCATGGACCAGTCGCTAACCAAACCTGCCAAGTACCGCCCTGTCGCTTCCCTCCAGGCATCAGATCGCCTGCCTGTGCGGTTCCTCCTCTTCCCAAGTACCGCAGAAATCCCGCCGTGCTCTCTTGCCGCCTCGTCCGAACCTTTTCGCCCAACTTCACAGTCTCACCAAGCCAACGCCGTACCACCTACAGCCCAGTGCATATCACCTCAGCTATTCTTGCTCTGCTGCGACACTGTGCTCGAGTCCAAGTCGTCGGCCGTGAGAAACGCCTGTCAACGACTCGAAACAAAGACAACTTGCCCTACGGGTTGCACATCTCTTGTCGACCTCTTTTATCGCTTCTCACCGCGCTAGCTGCGCAGCTTCTTGGTGTCCAAGCTCGGAAAGCTACCTCGCCTGCTACCAGTAACTAGCTTGCAGCTCCTCCTCCCATCCGCCCGCCACCATCTCGACCTCGACCCGGCCGCGCGCGAGATCCCCCACCACCCCCTCTGGCTTGGTCGTCAACCTGCCTAATACCTACTCACCGCCGATCCGCGCACTCACAGGCCCCCAAGGCACCCGTCCCCCGGTACAGCGCACCGCCGTCGCCACCCTCGGCCAAGCTTCCGCGCTCACGGCAGACCTTGACCTTGTGACCCTACCTGCTTCCAAGGCCGCCGCCATCTTATCCCGAATAAAGCCTTGCGCCCCCATCGCGCGAGTGTTCGACGCGGCTCTCTTCCCTTCCGACCCAGCGTCCGAGCGGGGCCTAAGCTGCGCTGCGCTTTGGAGCCGCAACGGCCAAGACACGCGCGTCGTATAAACCACGAGCGAATTCGGCTCACGAACACAGTGACAGGGACCAGGGCAGCCAACCCGCGACAGGGAGGACCAAAAGATTTCTTTCGAGCACCGCGCCGGAGAAAACTCCCCCCACCTGACGTCGCCAACTCGCCCTCTCCCTCCTCCCCCCCAATTTTACGAGAATCAACAACCACCCACCACCCGGCCGCCACTGTTATTGCGACTACCGCCGCCACTACCGCTCACAGCAATAAGCCTCCCTACATTACATTACATTACTTTGGCTTTTGCGGTCCGCTCCCACGGCCCATCCGTCAGCCCCTCGCGCTCCTCGTCCCGCCAACCAATCGACCCCTCACACTTGTCGCACTATCCACCTCTTTGGCTAGCAGACAAGGTACCGCCCGATACGCTGCAAGCACCGCACACCACAGCACAGGCCCGTCCCGGTTTTGTTGTTGACCTGTGCTGAGTTGGCCAGCGCAAGTCGCAGTCGCAGCCGCAGCCGCACATTGAGCCGTCTCACTGCTCCAAGCCCGCGCCGACCTCGACATCCGTCCGCCTGTCCATCCATCCATCCCTCCTCATCCCGCGCTCGCCCGCCTACGACGCACTTTGCGCTCCCCTCCCTCGCCCCAGCGCCGTCGCCGCCTTCCCCCGTCGCAACACGCGCCGTTACTCCGACCTTCTCAAGCGGATCGTCGCGAGTAGACGGCAATACCTCGTTCGGATCCCTTGCCGTCTGATATGCCGTATGTGCCACAATCTCATTGTCTCCTTCTCGCGCGCAGGCACGACGAGAGAGTTTGGCCGTCCCAACCCACTCACCACTGACCAGACTCATCAGACGAACCGCAAACCCCACCACTCAAACGGGCGAGAGCTCACGCTCGAACTCATACAACAGTGAGGGAGAGCATTCGCACGAGCAAGACTATTCCGTCACCGACTCCATCACCGACGACGACGACGAGTGGGAAGACGAGTACGACCAAGACGTTCACCCGTCCGACTCGGCGTCGGCCAGCAACGACTATCCCCCTTCGCGGCCCCGCGCCACCAGAGCCGCGCCGCGACGCCATCGAGTGGCCCGACAACAACACCACTACGCCCAGGTGCAGGCGCCCGCACCAAACCCGCCCAGCGTGGATCCCTCCGAGGATTACGGCGGCCATTATGGCCCGGCCTATCAACCGCAGCACGCGCCTCGCGGCAACTTTTACGGCGGCCGCGGCGGCCATGGCCAACACCCCTTTCAGCAGAACCACTACATGGGAGGCTATCCCGGCGGGAACCAAGTGATCCCCTACGGGGGCTACGGGCCCAACCCGAACCCGTTCAGTCCCATGAGCACCAGCTCGAGCGGCGCCAGCTACTTCGGCGGGGAGCCTCCGCGGCACATGTATGATGTGATGCCGTACCAGCACGGGTATTACGGCCCCCCGGCCCAGTACAACCTGCCCGCCCACATGCAGCAGTTCCACCTGTCTCAGCCGCCGCCGCCGCCGGCTACGGAAGCCCCAGCCCCAGCAGCGACCCCTGCGCCCAAAGAGCCTCCCGTGGATATCGAGAAGATCAAGATGGAGGCCAAGATCGCAGCTCTGCAGGCACACGAAGAGAAGCAGCGAGCGCTCAACGAGCAGCGGGAGCGGGACGCGCAGATCCGCAAGGAAGCTGAGGAAGCGTTCCTGAAAAAGATGGACGAGATGAAGAAGCAGCAAGAGGAGGCTCAAAAGGAGATTGCGCGAGCCAGAGCCGACGCAGAACGAGCCGCCGTCGAGAGGGTCGAGGCGGAGAGGAGGGCCGCCGAGGAGAGGCGGAAGCAGGAAGCTGAGGCCATGAAGAGAGCTGAAGAGAATGCGCTGAAGAAGGTCGAGGCCGAGATGAAGGCGGCCGAAGAGAGGAGAAAGAGAGAGGCGGAAGAGCGCGTCAGGATCGAGGAGGCGGCCAAGGCTCGCCTCGAAGCCGCCATGAAAGCCGAGGCTGAGGCAAAGGCAGCCGCTGAGAAGAAAGCCGCCGAGGAGGCAGAGCGGCTGAAGCTGATCCAGGAAGACGCCAAGCGCAAGGCCGAAGCCGACGCCGCCGCCAAGGTTGCCGCCGAGAAGGAGGCCGCGGCAAAGGCAGCCGAAGCCGAAGCGGCGGCCAAGAAGGAGCACGAGGCTCTCACGAAGAGGATCCAAGAGGAGACCAAGGCCAAGCTGGAAGAGGCCGCCGAGGCCGCCAAAAAGACGACGAACAAGGCGCCCATCAAGTTCAAGGACGCCGTGGGGCGGAAGTTCAGCTTCCCGTTCCATCTCTGCAAGACCTGGCAGGTATGTCTGTGCCGCTTCCTGTTTCGCCCGTCCAAAGACTAACCCGATCGTTCGATCAGGGCATGGAAGAGCTCATCAAGCAAGCGTTCCTGCACGTGGACGTCATCGGACCGCATGTGCAGCAAGGCCATTACGACTTGATCGGGCCAAACGGCGAAATCATCCTGCCTTCCGTGTGGGAGAGGGTGATTGAGCCGGACTGGTCCATCAGCATGACGATGTGGCCGGTGGAGAAGATGCCGCCTGTCGGCCCCAAGTTTCCCCACGGGATGATGCCTGGGCCGGCTGGCGGGCGGCGGGGACACATCGGCGGCGGCGGCATGCCCATCCCCCCACCCATCCCCGGAGTCCCACCCGCCGGACGTCGCCCCGGAGTCAGCGTGCCACCGGCGCCTGGCTGGCCCGGGGCCGCCGGACGTCGTGGCGAGCCCGATATTATCAACGTTGGGCCGCCTCCGACCAAGGGCAGCAAGAGCAGCAGCAAGAGGAACTCGGCTATGCTTACCTTCTTTGCAGGCAAGCCCACCAAGAAGAAGTGAGTAGCCCCCCCGGCCGTCTTCAGATTGGATTCGGCGCTGACGTGAAGCAAAGGTCGAGCAAGAGGGGATGATGAGACGCCGAAGACGATAACGACGAATGACCGTTTGACTTATGCCATTGCCTCAGCGCCTCCCCCCCGCACCGTTGGTGCGGAATCTCGCTTCTCCCCTCGATCTGTTTGTTGATGTACGTTGTGTTCGGCTCCTCCTTCCGTTGTCGAGCAGAGGTCTTCATTTGCATTGGTTGCGGAGTCTGACCGTGGGCGGCCAGAGCGTTCGGACGGCGGTTTACTTACTCGGCTGGTATACCCTGGGAATATGTTTTGCAGGACTTGCGGCGGAAACGAGGCGTGCATAATGCGAAGCGTTTGGGACACACCATGGCGGCGAGACAATTTGCCAGGGGAGTCACGCTCGAAGGCGCACAGCTCCCGTGGAGTGGCTTTTGATACATGCCTAGAACGATTGGATGGCTTTGTGGAAAGGAAAAGAAATGGTTGGTTACAAGCTTTGACACTGGATTTTATCAACATGAACATCTGCAAATCTGGCATCCATTTGCGAGGTAGTTCTAACGCTCGCTGTTGCCGGGCGGCCTCGTCATGACTGCACCTCTATATACTGAAAAGAACGCGTTGACGCCTGTAAGACCCTGATAGTCTGGGTTGCCCACATGGTCCAGATGGCTCCCTCGGGTGGGATCGGCAACGGCGCTACACGCTAACTACTCACTCATACGGGGAGCTGCCTAACAGATAGAGATATCAACATTTTGGGACAGGCAGCCTTCTACTCTATAACCCCGATGGGTGAACTCCTTCTAGATGCGGTGGTTCTAGTCTAATTTACAATGAACTACATGCGACTTTTATGTGCAACAGGTTGTTTCGCAGCAGAACTCATGGGTAGTGGGGAGGAGACGCCAGCCTCTCATGTGCTCGCTTCTCAAAGGCCTCGATCATGAGGCCAGCAACCTTGTCCGAGACGGCGGCGCTGACGGCGGCGTAGAGCGGGTTGACGAACTGGTACTGGATGGAGAGATGCACCTCAGTCGCGGGGCTGGGCTGGTCGGCGACCTGGCGGACGGACCAGCGGGTGACGAGGCTCTTGAAGACGGTCGAGACGGCGGCAGCGTCGGCGTCGGCGGGATCGCCGCTGATGGCCTCGACGGAGACGCCAGGGACGCAGCGCAGGCGGCTGGTGAAGACTTCGTTGAAGCCACCCCAGCCGACGTGCAGGTCAGCGAGGACGGGCCAGCGGCGGCCGTTGGCGTCGCGCGGGTCCGGGGCGGACCACTGCGTGACGCGCGAGCTGGAGCAGTAGGGCACGAAGCGGTCATACGAGTCGACGTCGGCGATGAGCTCGTACAGAGGGCCGGAGGGGTACGGCAGGGTGCGGTCCGCGGTGAGCTGCTGCGTGGTGCTGGCGCCGGTGCCGACGCCGGGGAAGCTGAAGAAGGGGCGGCGGAGCTGGGAGGCCGTCGGCGGCGCCGCGGCGAGGGTGAGAGGACCGCAGCGGGCGGAGAGCTTGCCGCGCGAGGTGAGGCGCGGGACGGCGGAGGAGAGGGTTCTTGACATGGCGAGCGAAGCGGGCTGTCTCTATCGATCTAGGTGTGCCGATTTGAAGAGGAATGAATGAACGAATTGGTGCCGTAGAGAGTGAAGCTGTTCATGCCATAGTGAGGTGTGGGCGGTTCGTGAATCCCTGGCGGGGCGTTGGCCGTTGCGCCGTGTGCGCCCTCGTGCGGGCTTCTATAAGAGAATGAGTGAGAGGCGGGATGGATGATGCCGTGATGTTGAAATCATGGGCCGGACTGGTGGTGGGATGCTGGTCCGCTGCCGTGGATGGTCGGGCCGTTTCGCTCCCGGGGGCGCGCTGTAGTGGGACCAATTCGTCACTGTTGGGCGCCGCCAGCTTCCACGGTTCAATGGATCCAATTGCGCAACGGCAGCCCGGTCTGTCGCGGGACACAGCGGCCACCTTCCGCCCTAGGGACCTGCAACTCGACGGGCTACAGCACCCACCACTGGAGCTTGCATGGGTCAGCGCAAGCGGCAGACCACCACCCGCAATTGCTCCCACCGCAACATCACCTCCTCGTCCCCCACGACGACGACGCCGACGACGTCGACAACCGACACCCCGTCCCCGCCCCGCCGCCGAACACAAGACGCCTCACCACGCTGACGCACGCACGATGAGCACGTGTCTGGCGGGCTGCGACGACGACGACGACTGCTGCTAGACGGACGAGCCTGATCCGAACACGCAACTGACGCTCGAGAGCTGCGCAAGCCCCACGCGGGGCACCACGCCCGCACCATGTACGAAGCCTACCCTACCCGACCGAGCCCACGGGCGAGCGCGCATGCTAGCTGCGCTGCGACGTGTAGGCTCGGAGGATGGACCTAGAGAGAACAACGGTGGCTGACTTGGCCGGCTTTGTGCAGGTTCGAAAAGTCCCTCTACGACCTCATCCGCGGGCTGCGGAACCACAAGGGCAATGAGAAGGACTACATCCAGAAGAGCTTGAAGGAGTGCCGGGTAGAGGTCCGGAGCCAAGATATGGGTTCGTCGATTTGTCTCTTCTCCCTTGTGCGTGGTTGAAGCGTGCCGCGAAAGCTGACTCGGGTGTGTTGCTGCAGATCTCAAGGCGACGGCGCTCCTTAAGCTCATCTACCTCGAGATGGTGGGCTACGATATGTCGTGGGCGTCGTTTCATGTCCTCGAGGTCATGTCCTCTGCCAAGTACCACCAGAAGCGCGTTGGATACCTCGGCGCTATCCAGAGCTTTCGTCCGGATACCGAGGTCCTCATGCTGGCCACCAATTTGCTCAAGAAGGTATGCGTCGCCTCGTCAAGGCTGCACTTCGAAGTCCCATGCACCGGCTGACCATGTCTTGTACAGGACCTCGGCTCCTCCACCCCGACCGTCATCTCCCTGCCCATCGCGACTCTCCCGCACGTCATCACCCCATCGCTCGCCCTCTCGACGCTCGCCGACCTGCTCCCGCGCCTGAGCCACAGCCACTCCAACATCCGCAAGAAGACGCTCGTCACTCTGTACCGCCTGGCCCTGGTGTACCCCGAGGCGTTGCGCGCAGCATGGCCCAAGATCAAGGAGCGCCTGATGGACCCCAACGAGGACCCAAGCGTCACGGCCGCCATCGTCAACGTTGTTTGCGAGCTGGGATGGCGGAGGCCCCACGACTTCTTGCCCCTGGCGCCCCGGCTGTTTGAGCTTCTTGTGGATGGAGGAAACAACTGGATGGCGATCAAGCTCATCAAGCTCGTATGTGAACATGCGCTCCATCTTATAGTTTTGGCTGCTAACGCGCCCACAGTTTGCTACCCTCACGCCTCTGGAGCCGCGGCTCGTTAGGAAGCTGCTGCCGCCCCTAACCAACATCATGTCCACCACCGCTGCCATGTCTCTCCTCTACGAATGCATTAATGGTATCATTCAGGGTGGCATCCTTGGGAATGAGGACGATGCTTCAGGGGCGGACGAGGTCGCGACGCTTTGCGTCAACAAGCTCAGGGGCATGATTATGATTAACGGCGATCCGAACCGTGAGTCCACGCAGCTCTTCGGTCGTACAGAATGGGCGCTGACTTTGCCAAATAGTGAAATACGTTGCGCTCTTGGCTTTCAACAAGATTGTCGTAACGCACCCATATCTTGTTGCACAGCAAGAAGACGTGATTTTGGAGTGTATCGATAGCCCCGACATTACGATCCGGATCCAAGCCCTTGACTTGGTGAAGGGCATGGTCACGAGCGACAACCTCATCTCGGTAGTGAGCCGCCTGATGAAGCAACTCAAGTCCTCGGCGCCGTCCAAAGATCGGAGCAGACCCGAGTCTAGTTCTCTGGTCCCCAGCAGCGACTCAGACTCGGACGCGCAAGTCGCCATCACCGAATCTCCCAGGGCAGAAAACGAGTCGCCGCCGCTGCCCGAGGATTACCGAATCGACGTCATCAAGAGAATTCTTTACATGTGCTCCAAGGACAATTACGTCAACATTGTGGACTTCGACTGGTATCTCGACGTCTTGACGCAACTTGTTCGGATGGCACCCGTGCCGCGGGCGTTTGAAAACGAGTTTGAAGGCGATGCAGCTTCGCGGGCGTCCACGGACGTGTCCGAGAGGATTGGGGACGAGCTGCGGAACGTCGCAGTCAAGGTCAGGGCCATGCGTGGAACGGCCGTTCGGGCATGCGAGATCATTCTCGTGCAGCTGAACACAGACACACCGCCGGGACACACGATAACATCGGGAGCGCTCAAGTCTGTGGCATTTGTCCTGGGCGAGTATGCCGTGCAGCTGTCGACGCCAGATGACACGCTTAACAGTCTGCTTCAAGTCGTCCCTCGAGCCGGGAAGCCTGAGGTATGCACAACTGCTTTGCTGGCCATCACCAAGGTGTTCGCGTCGATTGCTGGCGACGATACGGAGCCATGGACTGCGGAGAGAAAATCTAGGATATCTCTCTTGATGGCACGCATCCTCAACGTTGCTGAGCCGCTAGCCCTGCACCCCAACCTCGAGGTGCAGGAACGGGCTGTGGAGTTTATCGAGCTGCTCAAGCTCACGGCCGAGGCGGCTTCTGGGCAACCAGCCTCCACCGATGAGGCGCCCCAGGATCCGCCGCTGCTCCTTACGCAGGCCATACCATCGTTGTTCAACGGCTGGGAGCTCAACTCGGTCGCGGTGGGCGCGCAGAGGAACGTGCCGCCGCCGGACGGCCTGGACCTTGACGAGCCTATCCATCAGAACCTGAACCACCTTCTCTCGCAGGCCGACCTGATCACCCTCGAGCCGGACGCGGAGGATGACTTTGAAGTATACTACAACCAGCGGCCGCCGCCAACGAGCATCTCATCTTCAGCACCAGCCATGAGCCGACTGGCAGAGCCGGCGGAAGAGATGGCAGGGTCGTATCAGCAACAGCCAAGTGAGGACAGCTATCTCGACGCTGATATCGTTGCGCGGAGGAAAGCCGAGCGACTTGAGAGGAACAAGGATGACCCATTCTATATCCCCAGCAATGACACACCCCGCACCTCAACGCCCATCCACAACATTTTGCAGAACAGCAACGGGCCCGACTTGGATATCGACTCCATACCCATCATGCAGTTGGATCTCAACAACATGCAAGGCCCATCTGCGCCTGCCCCGAAGCCGCAGCCCAAGCCTCGGCAAAAGGTTATCATTGCCGCCGACGAGACGCTAGAAGGAAGCGACGCCGGGTCCGGCCGCACCTACGACTCGGAGAACAACTCGGATAGCCTCGCCAAGGCCAAGCGCAAGAAGCTCAAGAAGTCCCTCCTCCAAGTGGACTCGACCACCATCGGGTCCTTCAGCCTGGAGGGCGACCGGCCCGCCGACGGGTTCGACTACGAGAGGCAGCAGCGCGAGGAGGCGGAGATGCAGCAGGCCATGAAGGAGGTGGAGCGGCTGCGCCTCGAGATGCAGCGCGCGAACGAGCGCATCCAGGTGGCGCAGGGCGTCGACGTCGAGGGCACCGTCGTCAAGAAGAAGAAGAAGAAGGTTGCCAAGAAGACGGGCGACGAGGAGGGCGTGGAGGTCAAGCCCAAGAAAAAGAAGAAGAAGAAGCCCGTCGAGGAGGAGGGCGGCGCCGTGGGGGACGCGGACCCTGTCGTGGAGCAGCCCCCCGGTGAGGCCGTTACCGTGGCGCCGAAGAAGAAGAAGACGAAGAAGGCTGTCGCGAAGAAGCCCGCGGGTGGAGATGGCGAGGGCGGGGGCGAGGGGGCGTCGCAGGACTTGCTGGAGACGTGATGACAGGTCGTGATGGACGTCAGTGTTCTTCACTGTTCGGGCACACGCACCGGAGGAAGAGATGGCTGACGATGGGACGGGGGCATCACCATCATTGAACATAAATAGGAAAACGCATCTGGCGGCGCCGCGAATCGATAGCATTCCAATTGGCATGGCCACACGATAAAATGCTTGCAGTAACGTAACGTAGTATATGCACATCTTAGGGGGCGTCATATGACGACGATTCTAACTCCACGCCACATGGAGCACCGCCCCAGGCACTGGTATCATGTCGTCCGTAATATGTGACATCTCTTTCTTGTTGTTTTTCCTTTTCTGCGTGGTCATATCGTGCTACGTACGTACAGCGTACATTGTGCGCCCAGCCCACCACTCACTCCCTCTGCCAGTCAGTCCCGTCACTCACTCACCCGTCATCTACACCCGCGCCGCTCGTTCCATGAAGCCTCTTCCAAGAAACGCGCCCAGGCTCTGAGATATCAACGAGAACAGACAGGGCAAAAAGCGGCAAAAAAAAGGGGGGGTTGGTGGTGGTGGGTGTCGGTGTGCGAGAGCAAGAGTGGTGGGAACAAAGGGCGGCCAGAAAAACAGAAAAAAAAAAGAGGATGAGCTTGCCGTGGCAAAGCCCGTTTCATACACCCAAATGCCGTAGGCTCTCTCATGCATCCGTGAATCCGTACAACGTGACGAAAACAAACCGAAGTCCTGAACGAGGTAACGAGGGAAAAAGTACACATGTGTGGTATTCGCGCGCTCTTTCTTGCCGACGGGTGCCGTTGACGAGCGGCCCCGCAGGAACGACAAGGCGAGCCGCGCGGGAGAGGGAGTAGCATTTAGTCGTCCATGGGCTTGTCCTCGAGCGTCACGCCCCGAGCAGGAGTCGACTCGCTGGGCGGCGAGGCGGGTACCCGACGCCCGCCGACGAACTTGGTCCCAACCCGGCCGCCGCTGTCTCGCTTCTCGGAGCCGGACTCGCTGTCGGTCGACTTGGGCACCTGCGGCGCTCCGTTGGATGCGTCGCCGTTAGCAGCGCCGTCGGGGCCGGGGACGTCGAGGGATGACCGCTTGATGCGAGAGTCAAGCCCGCCGAGGCTGGCTCGCTGGCGGTCGGCAGCTGTTGGGCTCGTCTGAATAGGGAACCGCGTCTCCGGTCCGCCGCTGCTCCGGTCGCGGCGATGCCCCCGAGGACTGGGCGCCGGGCTCGTGGCTCGACTCCGGGACGCGGTGGCCTTCTCAAGGAGAGCCCTGTTCCGCTCTTCCATCAGCGTCTTGCGGTTGCTTTCATCCGTGCTGACAGCACGGGGGCGGTTGTTGCTGGGGCCGACTGATGTCGAGTGGTTCAGCGTGGACATGCGCTTCAGCTCGCTGAAGATGGGATCCTTGTGAGCGAACAAGTCGCGAACAAGTCTCGCCGCGTGCTTCTCCTCCAACGTGAGTGACGTCTCTGTCCGGGGCCGCAGGATGCAGGGTGCCAGCGCGGCAGCCAATGTGGCCGTGTACTGCTCATCAGCCGAGGTCAAGTCGATGAGTCGAGTAAAGTGGTTCATGCAAGCATCCAGAGTAGCGATATTCGTGAGCCGCAGCTGCGACAGCGTCTGCTGCAAGACTGCGATGCGCGAAGCGTCTGTGCCGTCGGCAGCCGGGGTTGTGTAGATGGTGCGGATGATTTCGTAGACGTGAGAGCTGACAAGTGAGTCTGCGTAATCTTGTCAGTGACGGAAACACCACGAGTGCAGCACACCGGATGTCATTACCTGGCAACTCCAAAAGGTACAGCTTCAACAGGTTTGCAATGGTTGGAATGTCGTACTCGCTCAGTACTTCTTGGGAAATTGGTTTCCCATCGTTGACTCTGGCACGCAACTTGTGTACCTGGGCCAAGGGCACGTCGACGAGCCACACTCCCCTTCGCGCTTCATCGCCTTCCAAGTCGGGGTAGTGGTGATCGAGGTAGGTGAGGAGCGTTGTGATGAGAACGGGGACACGCTTCTTGTCGGCCCGGGCCCGGGCCTCCAGATCGACACCAAAGGTTTGCTCGTCTACTTTGTTGTAGTAGTTTTCGTACACGACGACCTTGGGCACGAAGCTTCCGGTGCGATAGTTCTCGAGGAGATAGCGGAGATCGCCAACGGGCTGAACAGTTTCTTGGAACAGCAGCATCTTGTCCACCGTGGACTGCAGGCTAGGGATGACGTTGCCGATGGTGCCAGAAAAGTCGAGGATGACTGTCTTGATGGCCTTGAGACGGTCGAGCTCGCAGCGCTCAAGGAACTTGAGGTGGATAAAGATGGCCTCCTCGAGATCGCAGCGCAGCTGGTCAAGCTTGCGCACACCGGCCTTGTACTTGTCGTCCGCCTCGCGTGACTCTCGCTGCAGGCGCTGGGCAGGCGTCTCATTGGGGTGCTGGTTGTTTAGGACATTCCAGTTGGCGAGGTACTCGCTGACGGTGCCGACGACCGGTGAATCGCCGCCATCGGAGCCCGTGACGGGGATCGAGAAGGTGCGGTTCAGCGACTGCTTCTTGTCTGGCACTCCAGCCAGCCTGAAGGCCTTGGGTCGCCATTGATAGAACATTCTGGAGCTGTTGGCAAAAGTGCTGCCGACGTTTCCAACAAGGCGGAGGAATCCGTTGGAGACGAGATCCTGGCCAACCCGCTCAGCATAGCTCACGCTGGTGACGCCCATGTTGCGCTGCAAGTATTCGACGATGTCGGAACCTGCGGATGTGTTCTGGTACGTGCCGAGAATCGGAACCTTGGTCTCGCCCATTTTGATGGTGCTGAGCATCTGAGAGAGTATTTTCTTGAGCTGGTCGGGTTGGTACGTCTCGTCGCCGATCTCGTAGAATTCGTACTCCTCAGCCTCTTCCTCCTTGTGGGGTTGCACCTTGATTTCGGGGATGGGCTGGTTCTGGTTCTGAGCTTGCTTGGGGCTGGCTTCGGGCTCTTGAAAGGCGAGCTTGTTCTCCTCCTCGATGTCCTCGACGAGCCGGCACTTGTTGAAGTAATTGGATCGAAGCTTGCGGACGAGGTCGGCTTGGCGATCGTGCGTCTTGATGCGGCTTTGCAGGTCATCCTGCGAGTCTTGGATGCGGGCCTCGTGCGCATCGCACCAGCGTGAGAAGGGGTTGATGACGAGGTCGCGAATGCTCTGGGCAATGCGCTGGTGACTGCGGGCGGCCTCCTGCATCTCGATGCGCATGCCATCATAGGCCTGTAGAGCTCGTTTAGCACGACGTGACGGAGGGCGCTCGCTCAGGGGTCGGGGCTGAAATGTACCTTGCGAACGGTTGCGCCGTCATCCCGCGAGAAGCCACCGTTGATCTTGTCGGCCGCAGGCGCAATGTCCCCAAGGCGGCTGCCGTAAGTCTCCTCGGCTTCGGCGCGCAACCGAGCTATCGTGAGGACTTGGCGGTTCTCCAACACACCCTGCTGAAGCTTGCCGAACAGGACGCCGAGGCCTACAACGACGTGTCTTAGCAAGGCGATGACGCGCGAAGCTAGTGCGAGAAATGGAGAGAGAAATACCTGCGGCGTAGTCGCTCGACCAAAACGAGTCTGCGAAGCCGGGCATTGTGATCTACTCCAGCCAGCTGGGTAGAGAGGTGGTGGTGATGCCCGCGGTGGCGCGACAGTTGCTGAGCTGGTGGGAGAAGAGGTTTGGGCTGAAAAAGAGGACGGGTTGTCGGCAGGGAGCTTGCGAGGATCGGTCGCGCAAATGTCTCTGATTGACGTAGTCGCCGCACTGGTGGGAGCGCAAGACAACAGCCTAGCGAGGTGGGCGAGACGAGACGACGAGCGACGAGGTCCGGCGCAGGCTGCGCGCGGTTGTTGTCGGTTGGTTGGTCGGGGGGGCCTCGTCACCGCGTGGGAAATTCGTACGAGGTGTAACGTCGCCGTTGGGCAACGCGAGGTCGTATCGCGAGCGGTAGAAGATTAGACAAACGGCGGACGGGCTAGCCGGAGGGAGGGGAGCTGGAAACGAAGGTGGGCGGCAGTCGTTGGGCGAGGCGAGGTGACGGGATGCGAGGTGAAGAAGCTGTGTGGAATGGGAAAGGGGGGGAGAGGCCGGGTCAGCAACGAGGCTGGACGTGGGTTGCGCTGCGCTTGGTTGGAGGTTCGAGCTGGATGGCTTGGGTGGACGACGACGGGCCGGAGTGCGGGAGGAGCTGGAGGCGTGCCCGAGTCGGGCCAGGCCTCCAGGCTTGGGCCACTGTAAGTTTCAGGAGGCCGGCACTGCTAGGCCAGGGCAGCGCAGCCCAGGGTGCGGCTCTCCAGAGCATGGACACCTCCCGTCACCTAGGTATGCCCGGCGCTTGGCGGGGGGGCACCTCAGTTGACGAACGGGCAGCCTGGACGGGAGCTGGCTCCAGCTTGGGCCTGCTCCCACTGACCACTGAAGCGCTCAGCACAGCGCCACTGTTGTGTCCAGGTGCCTCCCGTCCTAACGTTTCCCGTCGGAACGTGGGGGGCAGCGTGGTCTATGCTCGGGCAGGTGGGTGCGTGGCAGCTGGGGCGTCGTGGCTGGCGGTGCCCGGGCTCCAGCTCAACTAGGGCCAACTTGGCGGGCAGCCGCACGCCCCGTGCTCGGGCTGCCCGTCAGGGGTCGCGACGCCCAGGTGCTCGGGGTTGGCGCTGCCGGGTGTTGCGGCCTCCACTGGCGCTGCCCTGGCTGGTGGTGGACTGCCCTCCAAGGTTACCTACGGACGCCGTGCCCGCCGAACACGAGTCCATGGTGGCTGGTGGCACTGGGGCCCCCGTCCCGGTTGCCCTGCGGTAACGGCCTCGTCGGCCCTGCGGCGAAAGTCGTCATCGTCATCGCCAGCGTCATAAGTATAATAACGGCAGTTCCCCTCTGAGCGGGCATTGCTGCCAACATACCTGGGTCCGCCTACAACACACCATGGCTGTGACACAATGCCAGCACGTCGGGATATGGCGGCTGCTGGCGACTCTTTCGCCAGGCTGCCTGTGAACTACCTGCACGGTACCTGCGCAGGCGCAATCCTCGACTGCATCTCACCCCTGGGCTTATCCGGAGCCGCGAGGTAATGGTAAGAAGTCGTGCAACTCAGCAAGTTCACTGCACAATCAAGCAATGCCCGCCGCACCTCGTCGCGCAGAAAAGACTGAAGAAGTCGCTGGTCTGCGGTCCAAGCCTGCGCAAGGAGTTGGTCCGAAGCTACGGGGGTGCCACAGCGCCCCTGGGCCCGGCGGCCACCAGCGCCAGCACTCTGTAATCGGCACCACCACCGGGCACCTCATAGAGCGGAATGGCAAAGTTGGCGTCCCCGTCCGATTTGGAAACTATGCGGGCGACCCCTCCGGACTTCGCAAAGTCCGTCCGTACCTTACCTTGTGCTACGCTGCAAAGACCACTTAGCTAAACATGTCGGACGAGCTCCCGGTCGATGTGCCTGATGCTATCAGCGAGTTCCCAATCCTCACCATTTCTGTCCTCCTCCATTCCTCCGCAGGTGCGCAACCAACAGCTCTCGATCCGTGCACTTGAGCTGCCCATTGACCCTTGTGTCTTGTCCCTTACTCCGCGTCGAGTCCCACGTTATTAATAGTACTTGGGCATCGCCGTCTCGTTCTCAAAACTCCGCCGTTCGCCTCCGCTACCCTCCGTTCCTGCGCGATACTGGTAGCATCATGGCAGCGGAAAGCAAGTTGGGCTCGTTGCCGCCGCACGGCACGGCCGACGAGCCGCTCTACGTCGAGTCGCAGCAGCCCAAGCCCTCGCGCAGGCTTTCTCCAAGCAAGATTGTACTCTGCGTCATCTTCGCGCTCGTCTTCGTCGGCATCCCTTACAGGCCCGCCACTCACTATTACCACCGTGCCTCAAACCATGTCTGCCAGAAGTTCATGTCGATCGAGCAGAGGGCGCGTAGGATCCTCGACCGCAACCCTCTGATTGGTATTAATCACTGCCTGTGGCTCGCGCCTTGCCGTTCCTCGGTCCTCGTTCACTGACTCACACTCTCATAACAGACGGCCATGTTGACCTTGCAATCGCGTTGCGCTTCTTGTATGGAAACCGGATTGACAATGCTGGATTTCTCGAGTCCTTCAGAAACGGCACTTCTCCCGGCCAGGTAGACCTGCATCGCCTGAGACAAGGCCAGGCTGGTGGCGCGTTCTGGAGCGTCTTTGCGCCGTGTCCCGAGGACGCCTTGTCAGAGGAACAGCTTGCTCCGAGTAAGTTGCACATCACACGCCATATCTCAGTGGTTCTGACCTAGAGTGCAGTTGTCCAGTACACCCTCGACCAGATCGATGTCACGGCCAGAGTCCTCGAGTCCTTCCCCAATGACTTTGCCCAGAAGCCTGACAGCGCCAGCGCGCTTCGGGCCTTTAGCGAGGGCAAAATCATCTCCCCCATGGGCGTTGAAGGCCTGCATCAGATCGGCAACTCTGCAACCAACTTGAGGCTGTTCCGTGATCTCGGCGTTCGATACGCCACGCTCACGCACAACTGCCACAACAAGTACGCGGATGCTGCCGTTGTCGAACATCCTCTGGCGAAATCCAAGCCTCACTGGGGAGGTGTCAGCGGCGAGGGGCGCAAGATGGTCCACGAGATGAACCGCATTGGCATGATCGTGGATATTTCTCATGTTAGGTGAGCTATCAACCGCGTACTCTGATGCGATTTTCTACCCCGCGCTCATACCTACGCAGCGACGACACCATGGTCGACGTGCTTGGAGGCAAAGACGGCTGGGAAGGGTCCAAAGCGCCCGTCATCTTCTCCCACAGCTCTGCCTGGAGCATTTGCCCCCATCCTCGCAACGTCAAGGACCACGTCCTCGACCTCGTCAAGAAGCGCAACTCACTCGTCATGGTCAACATCAACCCTGGGTTCATCTCATGCAAAGATGTTGGCAATGAGAATGGACTGCCAGAGGACGACTATGAGCATGCGAACCTCGACCAAATCGTGAAGCACATCCTGCACATTGGAAACCGCATTGGCTACGACCACGTCGGCATTGGAACCGACCTTGATGGCATCGAGGACTTACCCGAGGGCTTCCGTGACGTGACAAACTATCCTGACTTGGTGGCTGCCCTCCTCAAGGCTGGAGTCAGCGACGCTGACGCCGCCAAGGTGGTTGGCCGCAATCTCCTCCGTGTCTGGAGAGAAGTCGACGCCGTGTCGGCCAAGATGAAGGCAGAGGGCGCGCCCGTTCTCGAGGACAAGATCAAAGCATAGATGCTGTTTTGAACTGGACAGTGCAAAGTTGAAGAGCCTTTTGAGAAAAATTGGATATCTATTCCCGCCAATACTCGTACATCGGTGCCTCATATACATTCCTAGTACAAGGGCCTGGCATGGCGGCACGCTGCCGCAGCCCAAACTGCGTCCCCAAATGTTGTTCTAGCCGACTCGATTTCTGGGCTGTCGGAAGCCAATGTAGGACAGAACGCGTGCGTTGATAGAGATAGGCCGGGTTGCGCTCCGCGGCTCCGCCTGTCGTCTAGTTCCGCCGGTCGATGCGGTTGAGCTTATTGGCCGTTGCCGTCTGCGTTCTTGTCCGCTGTCCGCGCACCGGCAGGCCCATGGCATGCCGTCTTCCGCGATACGACCCAATGTCCTTTAGCCTGCGGATATTCTCTTGCACCAGTCTCCGCGCGTCCGTCTCGATCGTCATTTGGGACAGCTCGGCCGTCAGGGAGGTGACGGTTCTCGGGGCCAATGAGCCAATCTTGGCGAGCTTGTGTATCGAGTACTTGGCCATGATGCGCCCCGAGGTGGTCGGGCCGAGGGCGTAGAAGGATTCGAGGGCTTTCTGCATTCGAGGAAGCTGGTTAGTTGCTGTGACGATGCTCTTCGGGGGGTTGTCGGTTCGAGTCTACCTTGACGAGCTTGCCCTCGCTGAAATTGACGCCTAATATGAACACCTATAGTCCAAGAGTCAGTGGCCAGATCAGATCTCCATACGAATGACGCGCCATACCATTGTCGCGGCTGTGCTCGGGAATCAACGATTCCTCTCTGATGTCGCATGCCAAATTCGGCTCTCCGTTGCAGCAGTTCGCCCCAAACTGAGCAAAGTACCCACAGCCGCCGACGGGACCGGAGGAACGTCGGCTGAATGATTGACGCCATGGGCGGCTGACCTAACCTCACTGCCCACCCCTCGTGCTTCCGTGCGCCAACAAGGGTCCCGTCCTGTTTGGGGACGGGAGGTAGCACTGGTCCACCGCGCAGGGGCCTTTGCGTTGTTACAGCGGGCAGCTAGCCTGAAACGAACCACTGGTCGGCCGTAGCTAAGGTACAGGTGTCCCCCGCGATCATTCCTCCCGCCCAGTCCTAACCTTCCTCCTCCATCCCTCGGCAAGCTGATTCAATCGTCAATTGTCGACGAATAACCCCTCACAATGTTCAACTTTAGACGACTACTCGTCTCTGCCGCCCTGCTCTTCGGAGTCGGGCTGGTGCTCTTCTCGCAGACCGCCGAGGCCGCCAAGGGACCCAAGATCACCCACAAGGTCTACTTCGACATCCAGCATGGCGACGAGAACCTCGGCCGCGTCGTGATGGGTCTTTACGGCAAGACCGTCCCCGAAACGGCTGAGAACTTCCGCGCCCTGGCCACTGGCGAGAAGGGCTTCGGCTACGAGGGCTCGACCTTCCACCGCGTCATCAAGGACTTTATGATTCAGGGCGGTGACTTTACCAAGGGCGACGGCACTGGTGGCAAGTCGAGTACGTTCCCGCCGCACTTGTCTTAGTATAGGAGAAGCGACAATTGGCTGACATGATTATCTGTGCAGTCTACGGTAACAAGTTCAAGGATGAGAACTTCAAGCTCAAGCACACCAAGAAGGGCCAGCTCTCCATGGCCAACGCCGGACCTGACACGAATGGCTCTCAGTTCTTCATTACCACCATCATCACTTCGTATGTGCTCTGGCTTCACTGGCAAGATGTTCGTTGCTAATCCGTATAAAGGTGGCTCGATGGCCGTCACGTCGTCTTCGGCGAGGTCCTCGAGGGCTACGACATCGTCGACAAGATCCAGAACGTCAAGACTCAGCCCGGCGACAAGCCTGAGAAGACGGTCAAGATTGTCAAGAGCGGCGAGCTGGAGGTTCCTCCTGAAGGTATTCACGTCGAGCTCTAAATGCGTCCTACACCGTGCCTTGCGACTCGCACATTCGCGCACCTCTGAATCTAGCTGGCCGGTGTGCTGATGCGTATTGCGATGCCTCTCGCAGGCCTACAAGGACAGGCGGACTGGGCCAGCGGCGCCGCCCCGTCTGACAACTCGGCAACGGTCGGAGCTGGCGGCAGCGCCGCCGCCGGTTGGTCTTATGTTGAGAAGCTGATGCTGTTTGGTGTCCTTGTCGCCGTCATTGCCGTCTTTGTTCGCCTGACCAAGCAGAGGACAAAGAACGACGTTGGTTATGAGAAGACTATGGCTTAGAGTTGTAGTAGCAACAAGGAATGTAGGAACAATTGCATGCTCGATGAAGATTGGGACATTGGAACAAGGTGATCAACTACTGCAATTTCGTTGGCAGATTGTAGAGTGAAACCATTTCGATCCATTTCGTACCGTCCATTTTCATTTCTAAAATTATGCTCCTTCAGATATGCATTTCTCAACTACCAGTTCCGAGTCAATTGGCTGATGGTAGACTGGTCAATTCGTTGCGGCGACAGTGACACTAATCCCTGTCACGTGGGGCGCCCGACACCCCACGATGGAGGCCTGGCAGAAAAAGTTGTGTAAGTTCACCACCACTCTCACTCAACGCCTCGACCTCACCATATCAACTATCCACGTCACAGGGCACAAAAGTCCCCTCGTCCTTTCAACCCAAACAAAAAGATACTATTCCTGGTGTGGGATCACTCACCGCCCGGACCCCCACGATGAAGGTCCTCAGCCTCAACTTCCTCACCTGCGCCGCCAAGGCCTGCAAGAGCTCGTCCGCGTCGTTCCCGCTGCACCCCAAGGACGCCGAGCTCGTGCAGGACGACCTCGAGGTGAACCCGGAGATGCTCATCAACGTGCTCCCGCGGCTGGACTGGGCGGCTCTACGGACGACGTCGTCAGAGGTACGTTACACGTGAGGCGCAATGCGTGGCGTGCCCCTCGGGAATGCAGCGGCCCTCCCTGTTCTTAGTGGTGCTCAAAAGGAGGGCTATAGACAAGAAAGGAGCGGAAAGAAGTGTTAAGAATCAGATCCGAGGCTGACAGGAGCATACAGCTGGGCTTCCCGCAATTGCCAGAACAGCCCCCGACGCAGGAGGAGCTGCGTGGGGACGAAAAGATGATCAAGGACCTGCATCACCTGCTTGTTGAGACGCAAATTTCCGAGGGCCAGCTGGTGTGCGAGAACTGCGGGCACGCGTACCCCATCAAGGAGGGCATTGCCAACTTCCTCCTGCCGAGTCACCTGGTTTAGACTGGCCCCCCTTGAACGGACTGGTTGGGGACCTGGTTGAGAAGTCGAAGTCACGGGGTTGGTCTTTACTGTTGGAAGGAGAACTGGCCTAGCCGATCGGTTGCAGGCTTGGCTGGGTCGTTCCCAGTCCACTTGCATTGGAGTAAAAAGGCGTTCAGAGGAGTTGCAGATAAAATTGCCGACAGGGGATTTCAGATGTGTTGGCGAAACATGCTTGAACGAATATCTTATTTCTAGCCCGCCTTCCTTGCGTGTTGTCCACAAGGGAGGCGCAAACACCCAAACACAGCCTATAACTCCATATTTGCATACACATGATACACTGCGGCCACAAGGCCATGGATCAACACGCCACCTCCTCGCTGAACGTGTATACGAACACGTATACGACCATGTCTACTGCTGCTTCTTCTGAGCAGCGGGGCCCATCTCTTTCTCAAAGGCACCGTACGAGACCTCCAGGCTGCTAAGGGCCTTCAGGCCGACGCCGAGGATCGAAAACAGAACCAGCGCCACGAGCAGACCCATGAAGATGCCTGCGAGCCATGTTAGTTGTGGTCTGAGCAGCAGTGGCGAGCAGCCTCTAAATACGTACCAGGTGTGAAGAACTGGTACTTCTCGAACAGAGGGCGAGTGTCTCTCTGTGTGCTGTTTTTATTTCCAGCGCGAGGCGTGCCCTCCATGTCTCTCTTAAGGTCCATGTGCAGGGAGTCCACAAACTCGGGCTCGTAAGCCGGCTCACTGGGCGTCGAGTAGAAGAGGATCGTGTAGCTGCCCGACTTGGTAACAGAGTCGATGTTGTTGGCAAGCACGGCATCTATCGATTCGTTTAGCTCAAGTTCTTAGCAAATATGTCTGGCGTGAATGGATGTACCGTTGTGCGACAACGCGCCGGCTCGGTCCTTGCCGACCAAAGAGCCGAGTGCCACTTCATTGACAGTGACAGTCTTCTTCTTCTCGGCGCAAGATGACCTAATGTATTCGGCAACGCCTGCACCAGTCACGCTGCCCACGACCTCGGAAACCGTATACCGGCTCTTGATCCTGGAGTCATCCACAGCCCGGCACAGGTGCGGCATTGCGCATCCGTCATCGCGGCGCAGGTCGGCGGCGTGGACGCCGGGCTGGGTCACGACGAGGTATCGATCGGTCGGGCATTCCGCCAGGACACTCTTGGTGTGCTTCAACACCTCTGAGCTGGTCTGGATCTGGTTGTGTTTGGACGCATCTCGAAGCCTAGACGAGGCGTCAGCTCGATTGCCAGCTCGTGGCCCGGTCGCGACGGCGCTTACTTGGACGTGGAGAGCAACACCCAAGGGGAGGAGTCTGATAGAGCAAACGCAGCTCCGGGCAGTGCCAGGGCGCTGGCGATTACTTGGAGACGCATGGTTGGCGATGTCGATGAACGGTTGACCCGTTCCTCTCCTGGCAGGCTGTTGAGGCGAGCTCCCGAAGCACTGGACACCGCGCCAGCCCGCTGGGGAGTGATGTAGACCATTTACGTAATCCGGCAGCGTTTGGCGCAACACCCCACTTGGTGCACACCGAGGTGAGCGAAAGTTTAGGGGCCCCTGCCATTGAATCTTGAAGTGCTGCAAAAAGCAAGCAAGCGTGCGACGTAACGACCTGCTGGAAATCTCCAGCGACCACTTTTTGACGGCGAAGATTCCAATCGAGCTCCTTTCTCCCACAGAGTGCTGTCGCCATGTTTTTCGCAAAGCCGAGACCGAAGAAGAGCATACTGCCACCGCCAAGCAAAAAGCGAAAGACGACATCGGCTGTCGAAGAGGTTACCTTCGACAACGACGCTCGCCATGAGTTCCTCACGGGCTTTCACAAGCGGAAACAGCAGCGCATAAAGTTTGCGCAGGAGCAGGCGGCGAAGCAAGCCCGGCAAGAAAAGCTGGAGACGCGAAAACAGGTACTTGCTTGTCCCGGTGACCTGGAACCTTTGCCCTCGACTAACGAAGATGGCTCCAGATGCGTGACGAGCGCAAGCGCGAAGTCGAGCAACACGTTGAAACCGTGAACCGACTACTAAGAGAGTCCGGCGCTGTGGTCGACCCCGTCGAGGCGGAGTCCGGCGACGAGGCTGAAGCTTCGGACGAATGGGACGGCATACCCGATAAGCCCGACTTGGACATCGTTGACCACGAGGAGGAATACGTGGACGAAGATCGTTATACGACAGTGACAGTCGAGTCCGTGTCCGTATCTCGGGACGGGCTGAGCAAGCCGCAGCTAGAGAATGACAAAGAGCAAGACGACGAGAACGAGGACGCCGACGAAGACAAAGAGGGCAAGTCGGAGGGCAAAGAACCGAGCAGGCCCAAGAAAAAGAAGAAGAAGTTCCGATACGAAACAAAGATTGAGCGGCAGCTGACGGAAAGGAAACATCGGGCCAAGTCAAGAAAATATTGATCAATCAAGAGATGGATACAAGTATGGCAACCTCACAGCGCTGTTTGGAAACATATACCCCCAAGGAAAGGCAGCTCAATTAGCTAGAAATGCGTCGCAGGATTCGGGCTAGACCATCCACTGCTCTCGCTCATTCAAGCTCCTCGCGTCACGACGGGACCGCCGAGGTCCCGGACTGCCCAGCCAACGGATTCCTCAGAGTTTCGCCAACATACATGCGTACTCGTATGGACAGGTATCTACTAAGAAAGGAAGGATCCGCGATCAAATGTTGCCAATCTCGTCCTGCAGGTCCTTCAGGTCCTTCTCCAGGGTCGCGTACTTCTTGGCCATCTCCTCGTACTTTGCCTCCCACTGGTCGCGCTCGGCCTCGCACGCCTGCACCTTGCGCTCAAAGTGGCCGGCCTTGACATCGGTTTGTCGGAGCCTAGCGGTGCGAAGCGAATGTTAGCATGTGGCATCTCGTAGCAGCGTAGCGGTGTGCAGAAGGTGGAGCTGTCACGTACTTCTCGTTGGTCTCGCGAAGAGTCTTGTCGGCCTCCTCAGCCTCGTCCTCGAGGAGCTGCAGTCGTCGCTGGAGTGTCTCGTTCTGGGTGCCGTGTTGTTGACCCTCGTCGGCGGCCTTCTTGAAGTCCTTGATCTGGGCCTCGAGCTTCTCCACCTCACCCTCGAGGATGCCGTTCTTGTGCTGGAGCGACTTGATCTCCTGCTCGTTGGCAAGACCCTCCTGCTCCAAGACCTTGTTCTTCGCCTGCAGCTCCTCGATCTTGGCGTTGGCCTCGTCGTTCTCCAGGCGGAGCGAGTTCATTTTCTAGACACCGCAAGTCAGCCGCGTCGGTCCTGTGCCTTCGGAGCTTACCCCTCTAAAGCATGGGCATGCGAGTGGGGTCGCGAGCTTGAGGGGTGGGAAAGACGAACCTCCTTGATGCGATCCATTTTGCAGGTTTGTAGCGTCGACGCGTGCGGGTAAGGGCGCTGTGGAAGGTCGGTAAAGGTGTTTGCGATGCAGGCGAGTTGATGACGGATGGGGCCCGGGAAAAGGAGATGATAGATGGACCGGACGGTTTGATGGGGAAGGGGGAACGATGTGCCCCTCCAACGATGCGATGCGAGGTGTGGCTGCGCGGCTGACCAGCGCCGGGGCCCCTGTGGCTTGGGTGTCTTGGGCCGCTCAGGGGGCTGCGTTCCAGCGACACCACCGCGCTGCGCCAACGGGGGCTGTGGCTGTTGCCGTGTCAACACTTCGCACGGATCAACTTAAAGACGTGGCGGACCCCAACACTCGCCACGGGACTTGTGCGCGTACATGACGAGACCCCCTTTGTCATGAACGAGTCCTAAGCTGTGTCATCGATCCGAGTCGACCCTCCGAAGTCACGATATTGCCCAATCCAGGTTTCGATAAACAACAAAACGCAGACGGAAAATCACCGAGGCATCTGTTTACACGCCATGCTCGCGTCGCATCGCGACCAGGAGAACCTGGCGCACAGCCAGCAGGTTCCGACGAAGCAACAGCCAAAGACGCCCGGCGCACGCTATCCCAAGACGCCCCTTGCGTTTCGCAACGATGAGAACCTACCGACCGCTTTTGCGGGCAAGACCGGATTGGGAGGCGCCGGCACCAAGCCGGGTGGAATGGACAGGATGACGGCCAAAAAGGGCCAGCAGCAGTCCATGGTGACGCCGATGGGTGCGTGAGCTTGGATGTGTCGCACGAGCTCACTTTTGCTGACTATGATGTCAACAGAACCGCGGACGAGGGCGCCTCTCGGGAACAAAACCACGAATGCCAAAGCCAAGGCCGGGCGAAGCGGCGGGGTCAAGGAGAGGGTCAACGAAATCGAAAAGTCACAGGCGAAGCAGACCAACGTACAGAAGCCGAAGCTGCAACCTGTCGATGTTGCCCCGATCAAGCTTAAGATTCAGCCCGACTCACAGGACAACCATTCGGACCACGACGACGAGCCAGAGTATGCCCCACCGCCAGTGGCTCCGTTGCCATACGAGTCGGATGTTCTCCCGAAAGGCGGTCTCACATTCGAAGGCTTGAAGAAGGAGAACTTCCTCAAGGGCTTCTACCAGCACTATAACCGTCCTGACGGAAACGGCATCTCACGGGAGGAGAAGAAATTCAACGAGGAAATGGAGGCCGTGCTGAAACGGGTCGAAGAGCGCACCCAGCGTGATCTCGACGACTTGCAGTGGAACGCGGCAGACATCGAAGAGACAACGGCAGCCATCCGACGCAAGCCTGAGGAAAGCAAGGACGAGAGAGCGAGAGTCAGGGCGGGCACGCAGCGGAACCCACCGACCATCACGTCGAGGAGGGCGGCATCGGCTCTGGCAATGTCGTCGGGTGCCCAGAAACTGGCTCCAAACAAGGCAATGACAGCGCCCAAGGCTCCTCGACGGCCACTTTCTGCACTGATGTCTCGATCCAGGCCGGCGAAGCCGATCACGTCCACGGCGGCCACGGCCACTGGCAACATAGCAGCAGAAGCGGCGTCACGCACCACCATCGGCTACAACAAAGGTCGAACGGCTTCGTCCATGCTTTCTCGTCGAGCGCCGAGTGTAAGCGAGCGTCGCAACCCAGTGACCAGAGCGCCTACGCCTCGCGACGCAGAAAGTGACCTCACCATCACCCCAGCACGCATCCGTCAGGGCCCCAGCCGCAGCGAGACGCCCGCGGAGCGGCTGCAGTTCTTGTCGATTTTCGACGACGTCGACGACGAGGATCTGCCGCCGATGCGAGGTCCACTGCTCGACTCAGACGATGACGAGGAGTTTGAGATGAAGCTCACTATCTGAGTTGGGTACCGGCCAAATGAGGAAGTGGCACTGGATTGATGCTGGCGTTCAGGGAAGGACTACGGCGCGGAGCATGACGACACTGCTCCGCGCTTGGCGTTGGTCGGTATCGTTCAGAATTCGCTCACGGAAATGAACGGGATCGTGCGCCTGGATCGGCGCGTATAAAACGAGAGCACTTTGGTGCCTTTGTATGGCAACCGAGCACGATCGGGTGCGTAGAATGGATGTGGTCTGCCCGGCCGCTCCGGAAAAGGCGTTTTTGGTGCGCACTCCCCGAATACGAATAATTGCTTGCTTGACTACGATAATGCCGTGCTATTCGTATCCTTGAGCGGAGTGGCAGTGATGCTGCTCCGAGTGCAGCCAAAGCGTCGGAATGGCGGGTGGCTGACGCATGAGACGCTTGGTCCATTGTCGTGTGCTTGGCTTTGAGTGTCAATCAAACAAAGGGCCAAAAAGAGTCGCTGCTGGTGCCTGGCCGTGCAACGGCCAAACGAAATGGTCTGCACGCATGGAGGGATCCACGGGTTGCCGGAATCCTGGAGCGGGAAAACATATTCTCCGGGTACAGCAGTGGGGCGGACGCGCTCAAGCGCCCAATGCGTGCGAGGCGCTGGGACAGACGCGCTGGCTGGCTGCATGTGGGCTTGACGCACGCAGTGCAGTGCAGGTGGATGGAGCCAATCCACGGGCGCGTGCGCGCTGCCCATCTGCCCCGTGCGGCTACACCTGGCGCACCACCTCCAGCGCGCTGATGAGATTGAGCGCTGGACGCTGCCTCAAGTGTACCACGAGTAGGTACCTACCGGCCACTGGGGGCCCTCCTCCCCTCTGCTGCGCACCCGCACTGCTGCACCGCACTGCACCCTGGGCTCTTCATTCAATCAGTCGCGCTCTCGCGCCGTAGCGCTGGTGCTGCCCGGGCACGGTCGGTCGGCCACTCACAGCGGCACTAGATCGGGATTGGTCTGGCCCATCCCTGGACGCCAAAGCTTCAACTTCTCTCACCTCCCTCACCACACGTCGCCTTTCTCTCCCCTCTCACCTCTCACTCACCCGCGACGACCCCTCGCCTCGAGGGCCGCACATCACACGAAGCCCGCGGTCGCCATCGCATCGCACGTCGCTTGCCAGCGCAACTTGGGCCCTCGCTTGCCGCGATTGCTGGCGCTGCACACACGTGAATACGCCCGACGCTGCTGCTGCGACGCCGCCGCCGCCGCCGCCCACCCACTTCAATCTCTCTCGTCCCGGTCGCGTGCGCTCAGCCCGAGCGCGTCTCACCGCGGCCCTGCACATCCGCAAACCGCCGCCTGCCCATCGCGAGCGCAGCGACGCCACGAGTCTGCATGGTGACAGCGACAGCCCACGGCGCGAGATATCATGAGCCCGGCGCGGTGCACGCGATAGCAAGAGCGCCTCATCGACACGATGACTCGCACCCCGCCGGCCGTGAGTTTCGCTCAATTCTTCCCTAACGCTGCCAAGGTCAGGGCCGAAGCCGACCGCCCTGGGCGCGGCCCCTCGGCCGCCGCTCCGCCGTCGTCGCGCGAGCCTCCTGCCGCGCTCGGCGTCGACGCGCTGACTGGCATCGCCCGGCCCTCTCACGCCGTGTCTTCCTTGCCTGACGCACCACACACCCACGGCGACGATACCGCCAACGACTCACCAACCACCGAGATACCAAGCACCGGCGGATCCTCCACATCCCACGCTAGCTCTGCCTCATCCATATTCAGCACCTCGCTGAAGCCCCCGGCAAATGCGCCCGCCTCTCACCTCTGCGCGAGCCTGCCCAGAGACTCGCTTTCACACTCCCCGGCCCCGCTGCAGAGACCAGACATGCCCGCGTCCGCGTCTGCCGAGCGGCCGGGCCAGGTCTACCGCGATGATCGATCCAAGCGCGGCGCTGAGCCCTCGCCTCGGAGCGGCCCCCCGTCCGACGGGCGCATCCCCGCTCGAGATCCTCTGCCATCCGTCAAAGGCATCAAGTGCACATATGACCCGATCCTCGATCGAGTACGCAACAAAAGCGTTAGCAAGAACGCCAAACCGACCTACAAAGAATTCGGATTGGTACGTCCATCTATACATACCCCCGGCCTGAAGGGGGGGCGTCACTGGCTGGGTCCCTCGAATCTCACTCACGGCTAACGATGTGGCAGGATGATGACGCTCCCCCTTCAGACCCGCGGCTGGCCAAGGCTGGCGACAGGCTAGGCTACATCAACACCGACTTCTATCTGCCCAAAGCACGCCTGCGCCATGCCCCCGAGAACCTCAGGCCGTATCCCTACGACCCGAAGACGTCCATCGGGCCGGGACCGCCTACGCAGATTGTCGTTACCCGCTACAACCCCCTCGTTCCGTTTACCAAAGTGACGACCGTTTTCGCCACGTTTGGTGAGATTGCGGAAAGCAGCAATAAGATGCACCCTGATACCGGCAGCTACCTGGGGTTTGCGACAATCCGCTACCGAGACAGCAAACGCCCAGGCCGACCTCCCGTCACTGCCATCGATGCCGCCCGCCGTGCTGTTCGCGCCCGCGGGATCAGGATCGATGCCGACATTGTCAAGGTGGACTATGACCCAGAAGGTCGCAAGAGCCGACGCATGCTCGAGGAACACCTAAAGCGCGAGAGAGAGAAGCTCAACCGAGAAAAGCCTTCGCGGCAAACCTCGTCCACTCCGAAGCCACCCCCCACGGGCCCAAAGTCGTCTTCGGCCGCTACGCCCGCACCTGCTTTCGTGCGCCCCCCTCCGACAGCGCCAAAGGGTCCTTCTGCGCAGAGGCAACCGACGACGACGACGCCACAACAACAGCCGACAGTCGCCGTGACACCTCGGGGTGTTGAATTGCACAGTATCGCACCGCAGATTGCCGACCAACCCTATGTCTTCGTTACCGCAGAAAGCGTACCCGTTTTGCCTAGTATCATTCCTCACATGAAGAAGCGGCTCAAGAACTACGCGTTTGAGGACATACGGTTGGACAGAACTGGCTTTTACATCGTATTCCGCAACTCCTTCACTGGCAAGTCAGAGGCCGAGCGATGCTTCCGAGGTGCTAATCACACCGAATTCTTCACCTATGACATGGCAATGCAGCTTTGCTTGCCGCGCCCGCCTGCACGTTCCACCGACAACGCGCCGAAGCGAACCCCGAGTCCAGACAGGAGTCAGCGGCCAGCATATCGACGACGAGACGACGAGGCGGCCAGACGGCGACGGGAAGAGGAGGCAGACTTGGAAGAGGAGAAGAAGCAACGGGCCAAAAACTTCGATCCAGTCATCGAGGCTGTCGAGGTCGTGCGCAGGGAAATGACGGAACATCTCATTCGCCATATCCGCACTCAAGTAGCAGCACCCTGCCTTGCAGACTTCCTGGACCCGGCCAACCACGTTGCCAAGAGAAGGAAGCTCAACCTTGATCAGCCTGACGATGATGAGGAGTTGGCTTTCGACGACGGCAGTGCTAGTCCGCGGATTGGGACACCGAATTCCAGGACGGATCCCATCGAACGTCGCACGGGGACCTTTGAGGCAAAATTGTTGCCTAGGATTCGCAAGAACAAGAGCAAGGGGCAGGCCCACCGCAGCACGTTCGTCGACCCCTTTTCAAGAAGTCGACCCTCTGTGGCCCGCGCTGCATTTAGGTCTTTGCACCATCGCCTTAAGAGCCTTGATAGCGACTTCGAGTCCGATGACGAGACTGATGCTGGAGCCCTGGCGGCCCGGGAGACCGAGGAGCCTGAGTCGCGGCCGCGCAGCCGCATGAGCACGGACGATGAAGCTTCCAAGGATGACTTTGGGTCTTGGAGTCGCCAAGAGGACGATTCCATGACGGAGGCGAGCCTGGCCGTTCCCGATGGCATACTGCCAAGGAAGCGCAAGCTGGAAGAGACCATTGAGACAGCCCTCAAACGCCAAAAGAAATCTGATGAAGAGCTCTTCGGCGTCAAGATTGGCCGTCTCGAGGCTGAAGTCAACGGGCGCGCGACCTCGGAGGATGTTGGGTTCGACATCGACAGCAGTGTCTCTCGTTCCGAGACGCCCGCTTCCCAGACTGCAAAGGGTCTGAAGAAGAAGCCAACAAAGCAGAAGAAAAAGACCAAGAAGCAGCTATTCGAGGAGCGTGAAGCCTTGAAACGGCAGCAGGACGTTGAGTCTCAAGCCGACGAGGACGAGGCGCCCCCAGTACCAACCAAATCTGAGGGACAAGAACTCCTCCCGCCAGCCCCGGAAGCCAAGGTCGAGAAGCACGACGACAGGTTCTTCTCCACAGAAGCCCTGACTGCGGCACTCACGCTCCCCGATGGCTTCAAACCCGACATCTCTTCACTGCAGAGCTTGGCGTTGGGGTCGAAAGACCTGCCGGATCTGGCAAGACTTCAGAAGAAATACGCGACAGCCGAGATTGGAAATGCGGAGCTGTGGCTCTGGAAGCGCAACCGCATCAGAGAGCTCAATTCGTCCGATGGCTCAGTGGACCGGCCAATTTCGATTGGGGGCTACTATGTGCCCAATGCTACGGGCTGTGCTCGTACTGAGGGTGTGAAGAAAATTCTCAATTCCGAGAAGTCCAAGTATTTGCCACACCACATCAAGGTCCAGAAGGCCCGAGAGGAGCGCGAAGCCCGGTTCAAGAAGACGGGCAAGGACGCCAGCGCCGCCGAGGCTGCCAGATTGGCCGCGGAGAAGCTCATCGCCAAGGGCAACTCTCGAGCCAACCGTGCCAGCAACCGACGATACGTCGCCGATCTGAACGATCAGAAGAAGACTCTGGGCCAGGACTCGGACGTGTTCAAGTTCAACCAGCTTAAGAAGCGGAAGAAGCCCGTCAAGTTCGCCCGGTCCGCCATTCATAACTGGGGGCTCTACGCCATGGAGAATATCGCCAAGGACGACATGATTATCGAGTATGTTGGCGAGGAGGTGCGGCAGCAGATATCGGAGATCCGCGAGAAGCGCTATCTTAAGAGTGGCATTGGGAGCAGCTATCTGTTCCGCATCGACGACGACACCGTCGTCGACGCCACCAAGAAGGGGGGCATTGCGCGATTCATCAACCACAGCTGCATGCCGAACTGCACGGCAAAGATCATCAAGGTCGAGGGCAGCAAGCGAATCGTCATATATGCCCTCCGTGACATTGCTCTGAGTAAGTGTTCCGCTCCGACTCCAGCTTCGGCACTGTCTAAGTAACGACTCTAACACCCTACTTTTAGATGAGGAGTTGACCTACGACTACAAGTTCGAGCGAGAGATAGGCAGCTTGGACCGCATTCCCTGTCTCTGCGGCACTCCGGCATGCAAGGGCTTCCTCAACTAACCCTCATCTTTTATGTGGTGGCCCTGGTGTCGACAACATTCGCTTCACCTCCTGGGCATCGAGATCCCATGGCGCCTCGAGTCGTCGACGATCTCATCATCGCCCGCACCTACCTTGCAGAGGATCTGTTCAACGCAGAAGCCACCTCGAAAACTCTCCATTGGTTCCGTCCCATTGTAATCATAGTCCAGCGCATAACTTGGGTTTTGCAGGCGCACTGGTGTTTTATGTTGCGGGAGGGTGGGGGGAAGCGGGAAGGGGGAAGGGAAAGGCTTCAGGGCGGCAAAGAACCTAAAAGTGGCTTTGTCTCGGGCTCTCTTTGTTTGCGGCGTTGAGGGACGCGGGTTGTTACTGGAGCATAGGGCTCGCATCCGCCCGACTTATCTCGGGCCCTGGGAGTTTCCGACAACGGGATTTTTCTTCAGCCTTTACGAAATGGGCCTCGGTCAGAGGGCGGCCTCTCTCATCTGGTGGGCGGGAGGGCCGGGGTCGGAGCCCCGTTGTTTCTTTTCTTTCCTTTCCTACGGGGCGTTGCGGCTCACCATGTACACAAGTATACACGCCCAGCGCAAACAGAAAGGTGTTTGTCGCCAGTGGGCAGGCAGGGAAACTCGGTGATGATGAATAGAGAAAGGGGTTCAGCGAACATGACGTTGCAATTCTGACGTAACGTGAGGGCGCTGATGTTCGTTTGCGTGCCCATTGATCCCAATTCTGACGTAATATGAGGGCGTTCATGTTCGTTTGCGTGCCCTCGGATCCCCCGCCGCTTGATCCAATCGCCCAAAGCAGAGAGCATTCTCAGCCAAAGAGGACGTGTGGCCGTTGCGTGCCGTCCACCATCGCATATGCCTGCCATGCACTCTCCATGTTATATCTCGCTTCATATAGGATCCACCCATACAAATGCATATGCCAATCGATTATAGGGCATGGTCATGTTCCCGGCTGACTCGTGTGTGGCCCGCTGATGTGCATAGGTTTCGCTTATACCAGCACCTCGTCGTCGTCCTCATGATCTTCGTTGTCGTCAAATGCGTTGAAACTTGTAGGTTGGGGCAGTGGCGAACGCATTTGGGGCGTATGGTATCCAAATCCGCAGTGTTGACGTCTACGACTCCCGGTTATCGACGTCGTCTCCAGGCTTTCAGTCTGCTGCGGCCCCAGGTCCTCCTTGGTTGTCGCTCACGCTAGGGGGGGCTCGGGGTCCCAGCATCCAGTCCTGCATGGCGAGCCACTCGCTCCAGTTGCTTTCGGCATTGACAATCTCCTTGTTGGTAACCCCTTGCAGCGGGCGCAAGAAGGGGATTGTCTGCCCATCCTCCATGTCGTATGCGGTCTTGACCGTGAGCCATGTGTCACTCTTCGCCGCAAAGAGGTAGTTACGCCGCTCCTCCTCGTGGATCGGGCCGAGCCCCGTGGTCCAGTCGTCGCCGAAGAAGCCGTGGAGCACTGTCGGTGTGTCGAAGCCCGTGGCGACGAGTCGGCGGACATAGGGGACGAGCGAAACGGAACCAACGATGGCGGCATCCGGCACCCCGTCTTGACCGCTGCTGCCCGTGTGTTCGGCTGCCAGGTCTAGGCCGTTGCCTGGCGGTTTCTGAAAGGGGAGTTTAATGTTTATCAGGGTGGCGAGGGCCTGTACCGGGACGCTATGCTGCCCGTGGGCGATAAAGTACCGAAGGCATGACTGGTATTTGGGGTACCAGTCGAAAATGTCGAATTGAAACTCCTGAAAAGGCTATGGGAAGTTGTCAGCGCTGCTTAGTGAACGGCAGAGAAGGTATGTCGAGAGCACCCAGAATGGTCCCGGGAGCCAAACGTCCAACTAACATGTCTAAAAGGTCTCGCCATTCCCAGAAGACCCTATGGCCAGTGCAGGTGTTTGATATTCAAAGAGTGTTGTTTGCGTGATGGGCAAGGCTTTCCGGCGCGGGCTGTGGTGAATTTGAAGCCGACTTGAAAGGTACCCCAGGGTGGAAACAGGCGCAGTGGCGCAGGACCAGATCTATGACCAGACAATTATGTCTCGCAGCGCAGCACAAAACACCACCAAACGAGGGGGCGAGGCGTGTTCTGGACGCTCGCAGTCTAAGCAACGTTGAGCGAGGCGCTTAATACGGTCAGGGGGGGCACACCCACCACGGTTGGGTACCTATCTATGTCGGCAAAAGCATGCTTCTCCTGCAGAGATGGCTCGATGCGGACACCACTCTCGGAGAACTAGACGGGTTCAACGCTCGAAGCAGTCGCCATGCGGAGGCGTCGGTGTCGAGGCGGGATTGGACGGGGCAAGGACCAGGTCTGGGGAAGCTGAGGGAAGGGGACATGGAGATTTCACCGCACTCGCCCACTGACTTGGCGACTATATACAGACTTAGAGCCCAGCACCCCGGGGTGGAGAGAGCTGCAAAGGACAAGACGAGCCTTGGTGTCCCCCCACAAAAGTCGAGTGACTAGCCGCTGAGAGCCGAGACGGGAGCACGGCAGTCGAGGGGATGACGCTTCGGCTTGGGAGGGAGCCTGCGATCTGTGTTCGCCTACAAGATGAGACGGAGCTCGTGGTAATCGCAAGCGTAGTACCGATCTGGTAAGCTCAGGTGTGCGGCAGTCGGACAAGGTCGCAGGGAGATGGAAGCAAAACACCGTCGACGACGTGCGGTCGAGAGCGAGATCCGGAGACGTCGATGGTGACGGCCGCAGCCATGTGTTATTATAGCGCCGCAACGAGGGCGGATGGGCCGAGCGTGGCAGCGCCACATGCCCGGAGTCCCTTGCCCGCGCGACGGCTGAGGCTCCGCGGATACCGTACCAGCTGGCTGGGCGGGAGCTGACAGCCCGAGGCGAGGTGTTTGGAAGGTGAGTCCGCCTCATCAGCCCTGCAAGTGCCGCGTTTGCACGATTTTTTCCTTCTTGTGGTAGAGCAACCCAGACAGACTTCGACGCGGACCGCAGCCGAGGGGCGCGGTCGTGAAGGGTGTGAGCGGGAGAGGCGACCCTGGGCTGAAGCGCGAGTGGTTACTTGGCTTGATGGCTTGTTACCCTGGCCAGAGCCAGGGTTCAATGGTGGAGCCACCCCGAGGGCGGAAGAGGGAGCCTTGGGAGCGCAAAGACGCACTGACTGGTGGAGCTCTCCAGACGACGGCGTCAGCTATTACCAAGGCGAGACTAGACGATGGGAGGAACGGCGTGGCCGGCGCCCGACTGTCGCACCCGTCGTGCCCGGCGCTGGTCTTCTAGGCCGATATAGTTTCTTCTGCTCTCGACTTTTTCGGCTCGGGGCTGCCATTGACACGGCCGTGCCTGGTGGGCCGCTCCGTCGGAGTTTCTGCCCGCCCTCGTAAACTGGCTCTGCTGGCCGAACGTCCGTCGCAAACCCCTTTGGACGTCGTCATGGCTTTGCTACGATGTATTCGTGCCGAGTCCAGGCTTCGGCTGTGGGGCCGGACGATGGTGGCGACTGGCGGCGGTGCTGGACATATACAGCAGGTCAATCACGCGGTTTTGCCCCCTTGCCCCCTACCTGCACTTGTACGAAGACAAGCATCTCCTGGTTGTTGGCAGTGATGGGAGAGGTGTGCGATCTGATTGGGTCGTCGTGAAAGCCTCAGAGATTGGCGAGGTGCGTGGCTGTCACGAAGCATTTGCTCGGCTTCAGCGAAGGACTCAGCCTGCCTCCGCTCTCCGTGCAAATGATCGTGGGCCTCGTGGCGGTCATCCATCGAGCGGAGGCTGCTTCGTCGGGCCGAAGGCAACCCAGCGCGATGCTCGCGTAGCCGACGGAGGAATGCAAATCTCGACGTCGACCGCAAATCGTGACGCGACGAGATGGGAAAGGGCGGAAATCGACGGTGAGACATGAGCATCGTGTGTCCGGCGGAAAGGTTCACGCTTGTTGGTCGCGCAGATCTGCTCTTGATGCATCAGCATTCAGCACCACTCTCACCAACGACACTCACTGCCCAGCGCACCACGGCACAGACGACAGCCAGACACGGCCGCCCACCCCACCTGTTCAGGCGGTCCAGGGTGGACAGCCGAGCAAGCATGCCCGCCATACCCGCTCATCCGCTTAGAAAGAAACCAGGTGACGTGACGTGTGACCCCAGTCGAGCGTGTCGGCTACTCCCTGATATTACTCGCAGAGGCTTGCTGGCATGGCGATCGACGACGTCGTCCACACACTGAGCTGGCCTGGGTTGTACGAGGGAAGCCAACCCAGGTGGCTTGCCGAAGGGGCCAGAGATTGCAGCATGATGATGGCGTGGTTTGCCCCGGCAAGTCGTGAGGCGAGGAACAGTAAGAGGCGAGCCAGACGGTGCCTCTGTGCTGCGCAATACGGTACGAAGTACAGGGGCAAGATGGCTGCGGCCTAGTAGTGATTTGATGCAGCGGCTTGAAAAGGAGATGTGCGTTGGAAGTTAAAGGCGCCTCGCGTGTCGCGTCGTGTCGTCCTGCCGTGTCGTTGACCCGTCATTGATCCGTCACTGACCCATTGCTGGGGGTTTTGGTTCGCACCTGCCTCACGCGCAGTTGCGTTGCGTTCCACAGTGGTTCCTCGAATCAAAACATCCACTCACGACGATGCAAAAAGTGAAAGTGCAGCCCCTGCCCCCGGTAGCCCCTTCCATTTCCAACAACCCACTCGACGAGGAAAGAGAGAGAGAGACCGGGTCACGACTGCTCGACTCCTGATGCACAAGGCCTGAGGCAGAAGCAGAAACAGGCAGCCAATTGAGCTGTGAAAAGCTGTGGCCGCGCAACTTCCCCTCCGCCATGATGAATTACCAGTACGCCCCAGCTTCTGCTTTGCCAGCCATTTCACGATAGCCAAATCGGACAAAGACGCAGTTGTTCTCCCCGACATCCTCCCCGACGGGATTCGGCCCCCGTCACGCCACGACATTGCGTCACCAACCAAGGCCGTCCGACGAGGTGCCCATATGCCAGGTAAGCATGGCAAGCCAGGGTAGTTATTCGGTATGCAAGATTCCTGCATCTGCACCTGCCCACGACCGTGCCCTCCTGTCTCTCTCACTCCACGAGCCCGCAGGCATCCTTCGAAACGAGCTCCACACACTGCTTGGCCATCTCCATTCCGGCCACTCCTGCTCATGCACGCATGATGCAATTCCGTCCAAATGGAGAAATTATGCAAGTATACGAAGTCGCAGGGCCTTCTTTCCGGCATTATCTGGAAGCCGGTGCCACCCACATCCAGGTCATGATGCCGACGTCTCCCACCAGCCGACAGGCCGTTCCCGTAATAGGCGACCCTCGGAAAGACACAATGACGATGGTCTTGTCGGGCATGGCCAGGCATGACGCGGATGAAATTACAGCAAAGTCGCCGTTGTATACGCCAATGCCTCGACTTTCTTTTTCAGCCCTTCTGTCGCCAGAGGTCGCCGGACACGATTATGGCCGCCTTGTGATGTAAACTCCGAAGCATGGGCAAACCCTCCGTTGAGCCCGCGCCAAAGAGAGACCATTGCAGTTCGGATCGATGGAGCCACATTCCGGACCCAAGCATCCGGAAACGTGCCACCCTCACCCAGGTTTTCTCTCTCCTCATCTTACATACAGAGTCTCATCGCCAACAGACAGTCCAGTCGCGACACGACAGCAAATCTTACCGCTTCTCTGGACTCGACAACACCACCACGTAACGCCCCCGCCGTCCCGTCCTGGCTGCCACGCAGCCATCCGACACATCACTTTGTCCACGGTGGGCCTGACGGGACCAGGGCAGTCCATAAAGGACAGGTCAGGACAGGGTCCCATGCTCAGTCAATGGCGGACCTGCCACCACGACTTAGCGTCCCCGGCATCCCCGTCAGTTCAGCTGGGTTGTGCACTTCCCCCCTGTCCCAGGTACCACCGAACTTCGTCTAGTCTTGCCCTCCTGCCGAATCTTGATTTGTGACTCGATCTCGCCCGATTGGCGGCACGCCATTTGGCCCGCAAATCATAGGACTTCCACGCATCCGCCGGGGGGTGCCCGGCGACCAAGCAAGAGGTATCATTTCTGCCTTGCGCATGCATTCTATTTCGGAAACCGGAATCGGATGCGATGAGTTACTCTGACACGGAATCAACTCTTGTGCGGATTTCCCCTTTTGCATCAACGACACTATCCGTCAACCTCGTCTCGATTTGTCGTTGTGCCTATTGGAGCTGGCAGAACCTCCCTAACAGGTTGTCACCGAGTATCGTCAGTGATCTGTGATGTTCCCCCACGGTAAACTGGTAGACAGCCTCTACTCCGTACGTTATTACGATGCAATGGCGACATGCGTGTCAATGGGTGTCTCGCCGGCTTCCCCCAAAACCCGCGGGGACGCAGTCTTCACGCGGCAAGCAAGCCTCGTTCAGCCTCGAGGCGATCCTGGACCCCTGAAGTGCAGGCGAGCAAATAAGGTGCTTTCCTGCCTGAACATTGCGCCAGCGCTGGTGCAGGCGTTTGCCTATCAGCGATCACATTACTGGCCATGGTGGCCCCTTGTTGCTTTTTCTCCGTTCAAGGGGTAGCTTCCAGAGGCATGCGTTTGGACTATGCACAAGTCTTGCGGGCCGGTCAGTAAAATGCTGAGACAAACTTGACAGTTAATAGCGACAGCCGACAAGTCGCCACGGAGCAAGACTACCCTCCCTGGACCCAACGGGCTGCCGGCATGCCTGGCCTCGATGGACGAGGTCGATTGCACACATGCGGGCGATATTTGACAAGCGTTGGCGCGAGTGATCAGCGAAGCACCTACGGTTTATAGACGCTGACATTGGCTCGTTGACTGATCCAGACCGCTCTGGCCCCAATATTTTCGAGAAGCGAGGCCACAGCCATCCGGAACCACCTCAAGGGCGACATTTCTGTGTGTCATGTAGCAGCCGCCGCCGCGAGCATTTTAACAAGTATGCCAATCGGGCTCTGCAGCTCACCTGGGGATGGGCGCCCTTTCAGCAGCTTGCATGCTGCCATGTAAGTGGCATAAAATGTTAAAAAATCAAACAGGGGCTGTCCCTGGTGCCCCGGAGTTGAGGCAAAGATTTTACCGCCTCGGACGCTTCTCGACTGGGATTGCTGACATGGTTGATGGCCTCCTGCATGTCTCTTGCGTTTCAGGATTTTGGAAGCAGGGCAGCCACCTTTCAGAATTAGATTCGTCTCGACTGCTCTCCGACAGCTCGTCTGCAGAGGGGAGGCGGGACGAGCCGACATATGTTTTTGCCACTCCCCCACAAAACGATGCGGACAGCCTCAAGGGGTAAGCGAAAGTCGACTGCTTGCTCAACAGCACATCCACCAAGCTCATTCACCCTCCTTGGTAGCGAAACGGCCTGGAAGCAGCGATGATTGCCTGTACAGGCTCACCAAGGGACACTCTCTCATGCCTCGAGTTTCCGCTGAGTCACAGACTAGGGGTTGCCGCACATGAGGGCCCCAGCACATGGGTTGGTCCCCGTTCAAGCCCTGTCCGTCCGGCCCCAAGTGGTGCCTCCTATTTCAGTGCTTCACGGACAACTTACTCTTATGTTGCGTCTTTGCGACCCGTTTGCTGGGCATGAGCGCAAAACAGCAAACTAGTACCGTCAAGTCACAGACAGGCGGAGCAAACCTCGGAGCTGGCTCATCATCGTGTGTTAAGCCATCCTCATGTCGCATCATCCGCGTTTGTTGCCGGGCTCAGCAGCTCAGCCGCACTGACTGGGAGAGGATTGCCACCAACTCATCACGTCGCTTGCACAAGTTTTGATGTCCCTTGAGGCAAACAAATCGAAATGGCTTTAAAATACCCGTGGGAAAATGTAACGAACCTGTCGTTTTGCTGCCATGATAAATGCTTTGAAGGCACTGGTGCTCGCTTCTTGCACGGACTACTTATGAACCATCGAAAAACGAATTCTCAGAAGCGTTTACACCCGGAGAGGCTTCATCCCCTTGATACTCTTCGCCATGCGGACGACGAGTCAGCCATCGTCTCACGATCAGGTACTATCGGTGGCTCGTTCTGGGTCTACCACACCTGGCCCAGACACCTGTGGCTGGATATCTGGAAATCGAGGTTGTAGAGCGGCGTACCGGGCGAGCTCCGCAACGCCAACCTACCCGTTGCGAGTCCCCATGTTAACGAGAGGAGCACGGCAGATCACCCACTTACATGCAATCCGGGCCAAGTATGCGGCGTAGACAAGTTCAACAGCATCATTGGGTGTTGCTGGACTTCCGGCGGCGAGTGTCCGGTCTCGACGAGATGTTTGGACGTGAAGGACCCCCAGTTCAACGGCCCGACCAGTGACCTTGACATGATCTGGCGAGTCCCATCCTCCTCTGCAGGCGCGGGATGTTCTCTTGAGCATCATTTCCCTCTCCCGCCCCTAGGAATGCGAATAGTCGTAGCAATGGCTGACCGAATCGCCTCGCAGCTTCGGTGAAGTTACTCCATACTGCAAAACCAATGTCATGGCAGACGACCCGTCGCTCGGGGGCTACTCGCTCTTTATCTGTGCCGCGGACAGGGTCACGCAGACGGTCTTGCGATATACGACTCCGGATGCGCATCCGACGACGAGCAGCAGCAGCAGCAGCAGCAGCGTTACCGCTACTAGCACCACGATGGGCAGCAGCTCCCATAACCCGCCGCCGTCTTCGGTGTCGACAATGCCTACAACTCCATCGAGCACACGACACGCTGTCACGTCGCCGCAGTCCAGCAGCCAGTATCCCACCACGACCCCTGCGGCACCGCAGCAGCCATCGACTCCGGCGTGGGGCATCGCGGGGACTGTTCTCGGCGGCGTTGGTTAGTCTACCCCCCAACGGAAATATGAGTGTAGGAGCTCTCGTGTACAGGGACACTGACGGGTTTTACGTACATGGCGACAGGAGGAGCCTTGGTGCTGCTTGCTGCCGGTTACTTCATTCACCGCAAGTGGAGGAACAGGCGATTCAGGGTCAAATTACAGCGCCTCAACGACCCCGAACCATCGCGTGAGGGAGAGCACCATGAGGGAGATCACCGCTGCATTCTCGTGTGAGCACGGCCACGAAGGGTCCGAGGCCACGGGATCCGATGGGGCAGATAAACATGACAGGTTGGCGAGGATTAGGGATCCGGCCGGAGCATATCCATATTCAAGGCAAATGATTCACATGATTCTATTCGCATCGTCTGCAGGCGCTTAAGATAGTCAATTGTAAGGGAGTTAACACTGGAGAAAAGCCTCGGTAGCAGGCATGGCCGTCGAACATGGTGCGTGGCCCCTGAACGAGCAGAAAGACACTTTGAAAATAAGCAGGGGACTACAGTCGGCTCCTGATGTGCGTCGCCAAATCGGCACTTTGCTTCGCCGGGATGAGGTGGTCTACGGCGAGCGTATTCAGATATCCGGGGTGAAGTTGGTCCAGGCTCGTCACTCCACACAGCTTCATTGTCGTTTCCAGCTCGTCTCTCAGGACTTTGTGCGGTCAGCAAACGTAGCGGCGGCGCGGTTGCACAAGTGACGGGGATATTAATGACGAGCATACTTTCAATGTACTTGAGGACCCCTTCGTAACCGTAGTTGACGGCAAAGAGTGGCCCTCGCCCGATGCCCACGGCTTTGGCGCCCAGACAGAGGGCCTTGAATATGTCGGTGCCGCGACGGATGCCCCCGTCAACGCACACGTCCATGCGGTCGAAAATCTCGGGGCAATTCTTGCGGAGCTCTAGCAGTATCAGAATGGTGGCGGGGGCGGTATCGAGGCTCCGGCCGCCGTGGTTGGAGACGACGATGCCGTCGACGCCAGCCTCCATGGCCAGGACGGCGTCTTCGCTGGTCTGGATGCCCTTGAGAACGATGGGCATGCCCGGGGCAACGCTGCGCAGCCACGGGATGTCGGCCCAGCAGAGGGACGGGTCGATAAAGGCGCCCATGGTGCGGCCGATGGAGCTGCCCTTGGCGTCGTTGGTGGCTGCCGTGCCGGACAGGGGCGAAGTGATGGGGACGTCGGCGGGGACGCGCTCGTCGGCCTCTCGCTTGCCCGGGACGGCGGCGTCGATGGTCACGAAGAGGGCCTGGGCGCCGGCCGAGCGGGCGCCCTGGATGAGCCTGCGCGTGTTGTCGCGGTTCTTGTCGACGTAGAGCTGGAAAAAGACGGGCGTGTCGTGGGGTGTATCGACGGGGTGGGCATCGATGGCGGCGACGATGTCCCTGAGGGGGTAGCTGGCGCTCGTGGAGACGCACTGTGCGATGCCCGAGGCCTTGCAGGCGGTACCGATGGCTTTTTCGGCGTCAGGGTGGACGAGAGACGCCATGGCGGCAGGGCTGCAGAAGAGGGGCATGCGCATCCGGCGGCCGAGCATAGAGGCAGACAGATCGATGGACGAGACGTCGCGTAGGGTGCGCGGGCGGAGGGAGATGTCGGCAAAGGCGGAGACGTTGCGGCGCCTGGTGGTGAGGTCGGTGGCGGCGGAGGAGATGAAGGCCCAGGCCTTGGGGGTGAGGGTGCGGGAGGCGGCGTCCTCGAAGTCGTGCGTGGAGATGAGCGAGGCGAGGGGCGGCTTCGTGTGGGGGCTGGATGCCGAAGATTGTGAAGTTGACGCCATCGTGGAGGAGATCGGGGGAGTGAGTATGAGGAAGCGGAGGCGAGATTGGTGTTGGTGATGGCGATGGTGGCTCGTGAGAGGCCTGACGATGGTGCGGTGGTGTTGAAGCTGCTGGGTCGTGATGAGTTATAACACAGCTATGATGCATGCGCAAGGCAGCTCAGAATCGGAACGGAAATGGCTGCGCCCCTCAGACAAGAAAGGAAGGCTTGCGCAGTTGAAGTGTTTATTGCCAATGGTTATATGTACGAGGTATGACGCCCTCGGCAATTGAGCAGTCTGGGGGAGGCGGAGGTACGGAGGTGCATGCATGCATGGCACGGCATGGCATGGTGTGGGGTTTGGAGTCGTCGTTGCAACCAAACATGGTGAACCACTCGGGGGCGATTGGGCCGAAGCGTCAATCCGGCGGCCGATGCCGGTGCCTCTGCAGCGCGTCCGTCGGCTTTCTTCCCGCGAACCAATAGTGGTGTCCTTTGAGGATGGAAAGCGATGGTCACAACGTCCTTGCTCGTTGAACGAAACGATGATGGTGATGATGCCCCGTTTTGCCAGCGCAACTACTGAGGATGCAATTCAGCCAGCCGCATCGAATCGAAACAAGCTCCTCTAACGTACAATGGATATCTAGGGAACTCACTCACGACGATAGGCAGAGACAACCTTCCGAGGCCAACGCCTCTACGCAGCAGCGTCCTGCGGCTCCAGCGCGCGCCCGATCAGCAGCTTGGCCCTCTCGCTCAGGTCCATGCCCAGGGCCAGCGCCCTGCCGGGCTCGCTCATCTTGGCCCACGTCTTGCGCAGGATGCCCACCACCTTGTCCTCGTCAATGTCGGCCTTGGCCTCGAAGTCGTCGAACTGGTCGTCGAGGAAGACGAGGCACGCCACGTCCTCGAGGGCCTGCGTCTCCGCGTCCGTCGCCAGCGACTCCTTGCGCACCAGCGCCGCGATGCGCGCGCGCGCCTCCTCGGGGAGCGGCGGCGAGACGGACGCCGACGCCAGCAGCGAGGCCACCTGCGTGGCGGCCTGCGTCTTTTGCTTGGCCCGCCACGTGAGGTATCCCGGGCGCGTCATGGGGAAGGCCGATCGGGGGAGCTCCCATCTGCGACGAGACGTAAGCTTCTACATGTTTTACAAGACTTTTGCGAATGGCATGCGGCCGGGTAAGCTGCCTACCTCTTAAAGTGCTGCGCGCGGCAGGCGAGCTGCAGCTCGGGCGAGGCATCGGGGCAACGCGCCTCGAGCCACCTCGTCATCTTGCGCGCATAGTGAAGCTCGTAGGGGAGCGTCTTGGGCCCGTCCGGTCCGTCAATCTTGTTGGGGTCCTGGCTGTGCGCCTCGTCGATGAGCACGAGGCCCTGTGCAAAGGCAGGCGGGAGTGACGGCAGTCCGGAAGCCATTGCTGCGAGCGGCGGCTGCTGAGGGGTTCAGAGGTTGGGGAATGGGACCGTGAGGCTGTATGTGATCAATTGTGACTTCAGTCTTGCGGATTGTGACCGGACGAGAAGAAGAGCCGGGCGCTGAGGCCGCTATCATCAGTGAGTTCAGCGCGTGCGACGAACAGCTGGAGCCATTGTCGCTGGATATCGTCTGAGCGATGAGTCAGCGCCGTTGACGGCAGCGCCATTGGCCAATGCATGCAATGCAATTGCAGGTTTAAACGACAGCCAACCCTCGGGCCCCTTTGTCCTCCTCCATCACTCCAAGCTTGGAATCCAATGCATCAAGTACGCACACGCCTTGAATGGCCAGACCATCGTTACATCTCTCCGCTGGTAATTCAGTTAGCCAGTTTAGAATCACATAAGCCTCTCTCTCTCTGTCCATCTGTCCCCGAGTCTTCCCTCCAGTGCCCATGCAGAAGCCCGCCGTCCCAACTTGCGGCTGGCGGCTTGCCCGTGTGATTCATGGGCAGACGCCCAAACACAACGGATGTTCTGTCTGTCTGCCCGGGCTGCCGTGGCGTGCGCGTTGGGGCCCTGGCCGTTCAGGCCAACAATGAACACACAGCCTGGTTGCCGTGCAGCAGCCGCCAGCTGCGAGCTCACGCTGCGTTCACCTGGCGAGCACCTGGCAACCCAGCCCCAACACTCACTGTTCAGTCCCAGCATTACCTACCCAGCAACGCAACGCACCCCGAGTCCAACAGCTGCCCTGTTCCGGCCTGGCCTGGCCTGGTCATGTGAGGCCGTGCCAACTACGTCTTCCGCCTCTGCACCCCGACCTGTTCGCGTTCATCTTCCTCCTCACAACCACCTCGCAACCGCCTCCCCACCACCGCCTTCAATTTGACTCCAAACAACCTCTGCGCGCTGCAACACCAGCAAGCATCTTCCAAGTCAGCAAGCCGCAGATATCAATCTGCCTCTGCATACGCAAAAGAGCCATCGTCGGCGCGTCCATCTCTACCTTGAAACGAAGCAAACAACGCGTCGAGCAGGTCAGTTCTCCATCCCAGTGCCTTGACTTCTGCCACGCTGACACCCATCTACCACCAGACTTCTTTGCACAGCGTTATTCCCATCGGGAAAGTCACCCTGCGTGTTTCGCCTCAGAAACTCCGTTCCGTTGGCTGATTGTGTTTCCCTCACTCAAGTGTCGGCAACCTAGCAGTCGCTACCATACCTCTGGTCGCCAAAATCTTGAACAACGCGTTCTAGCCTTTCGCCAAGATTAATCCCAGAAAGTCGAAGCACTAACGCGGCATGGCTTTTCGGGATAACCGCAACGCCGACGATGGCGGAGCGGACAAGCTGCGCATTTCCATGACCAACTTGATCCTTGGTCGAGACCCCATCGTGTCAGGCAACAGGCAGGGCCAGCGCAAGGATGAGACCGCCAAGATACACGCGTCTGCTAACGGCACTGGTGGTGAAGCTGAGAAAATTGTTGACACTTCTGTCGCTGCCAGCCAGGCAGAGGAAAACAAAGACGCGGCCGCGCCCACCGGTGGTGACGCCGCTGAGACTGCCAGCGAGGTGGCCAGCTCCTGCTCGCATGGTGCATCGTCTGATGAGTGCTCGGACTGCAAGAACAAGTGCAGCGAGTATGAGGAAGCTGAAGGTAACGATCAGGAGGGCTCTGCTTCCGCTGAGGACACTGTCTCTGTCGAGAACTCTGCCGCTGCCCAGGACGAGAACTCGTCTGTTGGTGCAGATGCCGACCAGCCCTCGTCTCCGGCTTCGGCCTCTGCCTCGGCCAACGACGGCGACTCCGCAAGTGAGGGTAACACGGGAGAATCGCCAGACAAGGTTGCTTCCGCGTATGATGGCTCTGCTCAGCCGTCCGACAAAGAATTGTCGGTTCACAGCAGCTCTGGTGCCGAGAGCGGCGGTGAAGATCAAGACTCGTCTGGAAAGGGCGACGACGCTTCTACTGGTATTAGTACTCCTGGAGCGGACTCCTCCAACGACGGTGCCTCTGACCAAGGCAGCCACAAGGCGGCATCCGCAGAGAACACTGACAGCAATGAGAGCAGCGGTCCAGGCCCCGCCTCCGACTCTGGATGGTCCATCTCGGAGGACCATTTGCTTCGTGGCATGAAGGAGGCTGGCGATGTCACCTGGGCTGAGATCGGACAGGCCCTCAACCGTGGCAAGAACGAAGTGAAGGCACGTTGGAAGGTCATTCAGAAGGCTGGCGAGAAGCATACCGCGGATGCCGACAAACCACAGTCTTCGGCTTCCGAGCCGTCTGGCGAGAACAAGAAACCCCGCAAGCTTGGAAAGGCCGACAACTCCCAGGCCGCGTCGTCGGATGGTAACGACGGTGATGCAGAGTCCGTTGGCGAGGCCACCAAAGGCTCCAAGAGCAAGGGCAAAGGTAAAGGCAAGGCGCCCGCCATCAACCACCAACCCAAATGGCGCCGATACAAGGGCCAAGACCAGAACAAGTCCGCCAGCTCCAAGGCCGCAACCAGCGAGCATGAAGGCGACGGGTATGAAGACGGCGAGTATGAAGAAGATGACAATGAGCAGCACGTCGTGCTCTCAGGCGAGGAGGCTTCGTCCGAGAGCTCCTTCAGAATCGACGGTAAGGACGACGAGGAGGATGAAGAAGAAGAAGACGACGGCGGCTACCATGCTGCTCACTACGCCCACAAGACGCGCGAGGAGATCCGATACCTTCATCAGGAGGTCTACCGCGAGCTCTACCCCGACATGGTCGATCTGCAGCCTGACGAGTACTTTGGCGAGGAGGACTGCGCGGTCCTCGCTGCTATGGACAGCAAGTACAAGCGATCGCGCTACCTCGAGATGCAGGCCAACTTCTTCAACGCTACCGGCCGTCTCGTCCCGCTGCACCTCATCCGTGACAAGATCGAGCGCGCCGAGGAGGAGTCCAGCCGCGGCCGCAGCCGCGAGCCTCGTTCCGCCGCCAACCGCCATGACGCGGTCGAGAAATGGGTCAAGGGCGTCGAAGAGGCCGGCGTGCCCGATGCTGGTGCCGCTGGCACTGCCGACGAAGCTGGTCCTGCCCCGAAGGCTGACCCCGCCGACGAGGCAGCTCTCTAAAGAGCTCTCTCTTGTCTTCCATTACTGCGACTCACGCTGTGTTTGTGTCCTCTTAACAGCCACCGCACGCTCCAGTGCTTCTGTGTCTCCCAGTTGTGACGGCTGACCAAGATTGTCTGTCTCTTCAGTGTACTTTTATCACCTTCGGAACCGCGCGCGGCAGTGCTGTTCTTTTCTTTTCCCGAGTCTATTTTCCTTTTGCGTCTTCGTTTCTTCGTCTCTGGGCGAGACAGCACGACGAGTTATACCAGCTTACGAATCCTCGTCTGCCGACCTGCGATCCTCTGTCGGAGCCATCGTGGTCTTGTTCGCCTGCTTTGCGATTTCCTTTCTTTCTTTCATTTTTCCTTCGTCGCCCCAGGCAAGTCGAGCGCCTTGGGCATTTCTGAGGGCCCAAAAAAAGTGGCCGCCATGAAGGAACAGACTTTCTCGTTCTCCCGGCACCACGGTTTCGGGCCTTCATCGGCCTGCGGATTTCGATAGAAACAAACAAAACAAAACAACAAAAAAACAAGCGAATGAAACAAAGCCTGGGTACAGCCACGGGCAGAAGCCTGTTTTGGCCACCACCGGGATAACGACCCAAAGCACGAAGGCGAAGGTGCGAAAGGTGGAAAAGGATGGTGATTCTGTTTGCTCGCTCTCAGGACCCTTTCTGGACAAGGTCTTGTCTATCTCGATCAAGTTTCTTCTTCTACCACTTCTTCTTTCTTGGCGATAACGAGCCACGCAAAAAAGGACAAGGGAAAAGGGAGACAACAGAAACCAAGGTGCGGCACTGCGAGCGACGGATATGAACAGGACCCTCCCGATGGGTCGTACGGTCTAATTGACAAAAAGGGGTTGGTTTGGCGGGAAAAGAAAAAAGTCCATCACTTGGTATACCAAGAATTGTCGAGCGGAGGACGGCAAGAGGACTTTGGTGTCGGCGCTGGAACTCTCGAGAAGTGTGTGTGTCTGCGGCCGGCGCATGCGTGGGCAGGCGGAAACCCGCACGTAAGAGAGATCCAACATCGCCTTGCAAGGGAGGGAAAGAAGGGGAACGGGCAGGGAATCGGGAACAGGGGATTGCTGGATCTCATGGGTGCATTGCCATTTGGCGTCGGACCGTGAGCATACTGCTTGACCATTGTTTCGTGTAATTTGAGTAACCGTTGCAAGCAAGCAACGCAAAATTAGGTAGATAATTTCTCTTCATTGAGAAAGCTGTCGATGCCCCCGTGAACAATGCATGTACGTAGTAATTACATCTCCAACGGCAAAGTCTTATCCTCGTGGGGACTGGAAACCGAAGTATGCGATCCAAGTATCACATTACAGGTGCGAGCATCGAAGCCCGTTGACAGACATCGCCGATCTGTGCGGAAGTAAATACACGCCCAGCACGCAAAGATTCTGGGCCGTCTTCAAAGCTACCAATCCACATATTTAGCAGAGGCGCGGTAGTCCTCGCAATATGCAGTCAGAATATAAAAGTCCCAAAGAATCGCACGAAGGCGACAAGGAAAAGATGAAAACGCCCTAGCTCCGATGCTCTCGGGGACTCCTCCGAGGAACACCACGCAACAATGCCAGTGCAAATGCCATGCCAAATCAAAAACACCAGATATCGCTATGCGCCATATTGGGCTCGATCGCACAGGTACAGCGGCTCCACAGCGGAGGGAAAATATACAGGTGCCCCCGGCGCTCGTCGCCTCATATGGGGTTCTCCATGCCCACAGGAGGCGTTATTTGGAGTCCGACTGGCTGCTTTGGGGCCTCTAGGCCTTTGCTGCGGATCGTGCCGTTGGACCCCAGTCCACGCTTCATCATCTTGCCCAAGACGGTGACGAGCTCGCAGGCGTCGCTGAACATGTCGTCGTCCATGCCCTCGGTGGCGTCGTAGACCTCTGCTATGGTGTCCTTGGCCAGCTTGCGACTGGCGTCGGCATCGTGGACGCAGTCGAACAGGAACGCGGCATACTCGGTCTTAACGGATAGTCGCAGTGAGTGAGAGCCCCACAGAAGTTGGTCGGCCAGACGAGCGGCTTCCTTGAAGTATTCGTGGGCGGTCGGAAGATAATCTTGGGCGGGCATGAGGAATGACGGCGGAAGCAGCGCCACGTGCACCTCGAAGCCGGGCGGCGGACCGACGGGACCGCCCTCGAGCGGATGCGTAGGCTGCACTGATGATGACCTCGACACCGGATCATCGCTGGGAGACTCGAAGTCCTTCTTTCTGTCCGACTTGGCCACCATCTCTGCTGCGACCTGCATCAGCTCTGGGGTCCAGCTTGCCATGCTGGACACAGAGGGGTGGTTGTGAAATAGGACAAATATGTGGTGGAAGCTGGCACGGAGCTTGTAGGCCAAGACCTTGAGCTCGACGTAGTTTCCCACCATGGGGATGACGTATTGCTGGAGCATGACGAGGCCCTCGCGAGCGAGCCATATGATATGCAGCACGCGCTTCAGGAAGTGAGGAGATGCGGCAGGGTCAGGGCGACGTTGCTTCTTGGCGGCGACGAGTTGCTCGGCGAGGTTCAGCGAAAGCCCGAGAATCTTGAAGAGCATCGAGGACAACAGGGGATTGTCGTGCTCGACGGCTCTTGCTAACCTCCCCAAGAACTTCTGGTCCACCTCGGACGACGCCATGCCGCCTGAGTTGTGGCCAGACGACCGGCTCAAGGCGACAACTGGCGAGCACACTTTCGACGACGAGTCCTCTGTCGAGATGACCGCTTCGGAAGGCAATCCTGGGCGGGGAGAGATGGTTTGGCTTTCTCTAATGACGCGCGTTAGGGCTGTGATGCAACAGGGGTGCAAATGCTGGCAAAATCGCCCGTAGGTTGAACATCCAATGCGCTGCAGAGCGGCCAGACGTGTGAGCAGGGACTGGTGCTAGCGAGGGTTACAGAAGCAACTCGGAAAGAAGAGCACCCCGCGGGCCTGGAACTGCCAGACGCGGGAGGATAAGAGACCAAGCCGCTGGATCGATAGACAGCTGGCAGGCCGTGATTGGGTCTGGGGTTGGTCTGCCAAACCGATCGGCTCAGGGGTTGAGGCTGAAGAAGGACGGAGCGCGCGCGGCTTGTGGAGGCATTCAACGGACGAGAAGCGGGATGGGTGGCTAATGCAGCCGGGACGTGGTAGGCTTGAAGAAAAGAATCCCGGCGCAGGAGACGGAGCTCATGTGCGGGCAAGGCAAGTTTCCTGGGGGTGGTGGGGAAAAGACAGACGACGAAGTCAGCCGAGCTGCGATGATTCCGAAGGTGTCAACCCCGGCTGCATGGGCTGGGGCGGTTCAGGCTGACGGGGTCAGAGATGGCTCGAGCTCCAGGTTGCAGGCTGCAGAGACACCAGAAACCAGACATGAACAAGGACGGTTCGAAGCATTCGGGAGACCAGATGTCGTCGGAATTCGCAGCAAGCTCCAGCCACACGCGGCCGATGCCCTGGTTGAAGGACCCCTGTCTGGCCCCTGGCTGTCCAACAAACTTGGACTCTTGCCCCGGTGGCAGCGGACAAGGGGCGGTGAGGGCGGAGCTGTGCCGCCTCGACTGGAGCTTCAGGCCGCCCAGCATGCAACTGAACTGAACTGGGAGTGTTTCGCCACAGCTCGGCCCGGCGGGACTGACCGAGAGCGACGACGGAGCGCGAAGAGCGTCATGGTCTCATGGCTGGGCGCTTCGCCAACGCAGCGACGAGTGCCGCCAGTCCGGCCACTTCTGGTCCGAGTCGCGTCAGACCGTGGCGTATCGTGTTCTCGGCATGCCATGCCATGCCATGTCCGTTAGAGTGCCTGGTCGATCAATGCAGAGAGGCTGGGGCTGCGGGCGAAACTGCCATGCCCTCTCGACGCACGAGCTGCAGAAGAGATGCAGTAGCGCCGCGTCCCACCGTCCCCCCCAAGCCGGCAATACCACGATCGAGTCCTCTGGCCAATGGTTCTCAGGTGCATACGGTGTCTGGAAGGTGCGAAATAAAGTGGCATGGCGTGCGCAGGAGACAGGATGATGACGAGCATGGCCTCAATGCCCAAGCAGATATGGAATGGGAACTCGACGAGACGAGAGGAGAGGTTAGATTCTTACCAATGGAGGCGTGAGCGCTGCACACGAGCGGTTTAGCAGGCCAGCCAACGAGCCAACCGACGGCGACAAGAGCTAAGAACGGGCGCAGGCGGGACCCGAAACTGGTCGAGACGAAACTGATGCAAGACCCGAGGGGCTATCGTACTCGTACAAGAAAGAGCTCGAAGACGTGAGGTCAGCAACGAAGCCGCTGGTCATATGCCGAGGTCGAGTGAGCTGCCGGACTGGCCGTCATGGCCTGGGCGCGGTCTAACCGCCAGACACTGAAACGTCTGGACGGCGGGACAGGTCGCGTGCCGCTGTAAGCTGGACGTCACTCGCAATGTTGGCTGCTGCAGCGGATCGTGTTGGACAGCGGCGGCGCCGTTCTCGGGCACGTCGTAGTAACGCGAAAGGGAGCAATGGCCGTCGCCAATGGCAAGGATACTGGATTCGTAGTAGTAGCGGTCCCGCAGTTGGGGCATCGACGTGAGCGTGGGGAGGGATCGATGTGCTGTGCGAGCGAGTACAGTACTGTATGCACTCTATGCCGGCCGACGGGACTCTGGATGAGACGTGCAGAAGAGGAAGCACAAGCTGGTCTGCGACGGCAAGACGGGTGTGAGGTAACGTCGCGCTTGTTTTGAATTTACCTCAATGGGAACGAACGTGTGTCGCAGCACAGAGTGCGCCGTGGCTGGGGACGAGGAGGAAGCAATAAGCTCGGCGGGCGAGCTACACACCAATGATACTTGCCGGTACGGAGCGTACGACGGAGGGTTCGTTACGGCAAGGTGCGCAAGGATTCAAGGAATAATAATATGGAGATGGACGGGGGGAGAAGCAATTCTCGCGGCAGCTGGACCGGACGCGCCTGGGTCGTGTCGAGCGAGACCAGACCAGGGGGGAGAGGACGGGGCCAAATCAATTTGTTACTCGCTGGGTTGCCGCTCGTATAATTTACCCACCGCTCGGCGGCGGCGGCTGACGGTCAACAGAGAGGGCAGTCACCGGCCAAGTACTTGCCTCGCGAACGTACGAAAAGGCACGGTACGTACTCCGTACTTGGTAAACGGTACTGGCAGCCGCTGGCCCTCGACATGCTGTAACAGCCAAATGTACTGTACAGTGCGTCGCACTTCGTAGAAGTGGAAGCGATATCCAATACCCCCAAACACACGCATGTGTTGCCAATGCGTCGTCCGTCCCGCCTTCATCGCCCAACAACAAACAAACACCAACCTCCCGCCCGCGTCCAGCGCCATCCAGCGCCGCCCAGCGCCCACGATTGGAGACAACACAGCACCGCCGCAAGGCAGAGCCAGCACATGCGGCCCGTTATGCGGCCTTGCCGGCCCTCGGCCCTCGCTCGTACAGTGCAGTACTGCATCATCACTTATTATAGTGTCCCTCATCAGTCCGTCCCCTCCGCGCCGGACCAGTGGCGGCGACCTACCGGCCCCCGTTTTTGCTCATCCCTCCACCTCCCCCAGCCTCCCTCTTTTTTTTCTCCCCCTGTGCTGCGGCGCGCGCCCCGTTTCCCGCCACCTTGCTCCCGCCGTGGCCAGACTGACGGACCACGTCACTGAAGCTTATCGCCTTTTTGGAGCGAAGAGAGAGAGACAGAGACAGAGACTGGCGGTCAAGCCCGGCCCATTTCGTTGCGGATGCTACCACCAAACATTGTCCGACGTTGGATATGGCAAGCTTACGGCGTCAAGCTTCCATTCCAGTGGCCTGCCGCCGCACGGCTTAGACCAGCCCTACCCGCGCCGCTGTCTGAGACACCCGCCGGTCTGCCACGAGCTGTTCCATGCTAGTTACCTACCGCGTCGGACAAGGCACGGCATTGTGTTATTGTGCCGCCTGCTGGCGCGCCCCTCGTACGTTGGTACCTCAGTATACTTCGCACGCACGTACTTTGCACACGCATCGCCTCCACACGGCTCAGGAACCACACGACGCCAACCGCACCTTGAATGTGCAACATCGCCCCGATATCTCATTGAGCCTCCAGTTGCCGCTATTACGGCTGCGCAAAAACGGGCGAGCCTTACCTACTCTACTCGTAAAGCCATACCCGTGGCCGCCGTACTCCCTTTTGAGCCTCCCGAGGTCCCAACCCAAACGCCCCGCCCCCCAGTCCCTTATACTCGGATCTATTCTAGACAAGATATTGTGTACATACAGCAACAACAAGACGCAGAAACTGGTATATCCGCTCACATAGAAACTCTCCCCTTGGTTCCTGCACCAGCCTTGCGGCGCCGACCTCCAGCACTCAGTGTCGAGTCCCGAGCCTGGTCGTCGTCTTTCTCTTCCAGGCGCGCCGTTGCTCCAAGCACCACCAACTTGATCATGTCCCCAAATGCAAAAGCAACCGAATTCAGGCCCACCCTCGCCTTTGGCCCCAGCTCCGTAATCAGCAGATGCTTGGCCTCCTCACCCTTCTCGACCAGTCGCTGACACTCATCCGCTTCGGACCGGCCACCGGGCGATGCCGTCCATACTTCCCATCTGTCGAAGGGATCCTGCCCGCTACCGCGTCTGGCCTGACGATTCCGTAGACCCGGCGCACCACTGTCATCTGAGCCGGCGCTGCCCGAGTGCTGCTTGCGTCGCACGCCAATGAGACTGCCGTCCGAGACCATGTCCCACAGACCAGGGTTGGATATACGCTTTTTTGTTTGTTTCGACGACTCCCACGCGCACCAATCGCTGTTGCACTCATCGTTCGGCATCCGCAGATAGATGGCGTCGCTGTCCTCCGGCGGAACAAATGTATGCAAGATCAAGTCCCTCGAATCAGCTTCAACGTAGCCCAGCGCAACCCATGTGAGGCCAATCGTGTCGGGCTCAGACTGCTGGTGGCAAGAAAATGCACATTTTAGTGGCCGAGGGAGCATTCTCTCAGTCTGGAGCGTTTGGATGACGGACCCGTCGTGACCGCTCACGAGATAGACGCAGTTGGATCCGGACACCAGGTACAGGTTCAACGACTGCAAGAACTCAATGAAATGCGAACCGGATTCGCCCAGGCCTTCTATCGCCAGTCGCTGCGATGTCCACACGCCATTCTCATGCGCGGTCAGGTGAACGTCGCCTTGCCTGGTGACGGCCATGATGGTAGTTGTTGGTCTTGCACGGCCCGGATCTTCTGCAAGGCAGCATAGTTAGTCGCGGCCCACTGGCACAGAAGCACACAAGACAAAGAAGGGGTTCAACGAACTTTTGGCAGTACCCAGACGGGCACACGTCAGCCCCTGAGGGAAAATGGCAACAGCCTCGCTTTCGGTTGACGTACGTGCAGATGCACTGGTCAGTGTGCCGTCGGCATGCACGATAAAGATCTGAGGTTCGCTATCCGATGCACATGGATCGAAGAAAAACGCGGCCGGTCTGTGCCTTGAGGTAGGGACCGAGACTGATGATCCCCACGCCCTGTCGTCTAGGTTCCAGAAAGAAACCGTTGGATGCTCTGATCTCTTTGGCCGTGATAAGAATGCCAGCCACTTGGACTTGGCATCGACCGCCATTGTTATGACCGGACACAAGGTCGCTGCGGCCTCTTCACCTCTAGCAATCACATAGCTCGTCCCCGTGCCGCGAACGGACCAGACCCGAATCGTGCAGTCAAGGCTTACCGACACGATGTGCCCGTCATTCGAGCTCGTCATTGAGACAATGTCTAACCGATGACCTTGGGCGAGAGACTTGACCGACATCATGGGGCCGGCATTGGACTCACGGTCATCCTCATCCTCCCACAAGAGGTAGTTGGTCAAGAGTCGCAGGGCTGCCACCACTACGACGACAATGACGACGAAGCGAGCCAGCTCATGGTGAATAAAGTCGTAGGCGGCGGGGAGTAAGGTCGGCTCCTTGGAACGCGGTGTGCGGTCCGAGCCCTTCAGGACGAAGACGAGGGGTTCATATACGCGCGCCGTGTAGCTGTAGGATGATGGCTTGATGATGTTGATAACCTCCTGAGCCGTCTCGTGATCTTGCATCCTCAGCCACGATCTGGGGCTTCTCGCCTGATGTATGTCCTCAAGCAAAGACGACTCTGGGTCCTCGACATGGAGATCGGACCCGGTCCACGACCCAATGAGCTTTTTGAACAGCCCCTCGTCGCCGAAGAAGTGCCACTGGGCAATGAGGACAAATCCAAACATGACGATGGTACCGGCAATGCGCGTCGACATGGCGACCCTGCCCTGGAGCATGCGATCCAACCACGATCGGCAACTGCGACTCTCACCGACTCTGCGATTATGCCTCATGGTGGCCTTGGTAAGAGCGTCGCCGAGCTCCATTCTGCGCACATCGACGCTCAGCACGGCCAAGAAGAAAGTACAAAGGTAGAAAAAGTCGAAGACGATGGCGATAGCCGCAAAGACACAGAACTCGGACACGCCTTGAGATACCAGTCGGGACAGGACTGTAAGTATCACAACGTTCTGGAGGGTGGTGGCCAAGGCTGTGTAGGCGGTCTGGCCAAAGGCCTGTCCAATGCGGTTGCTGACACTGTCCTCGAAGGGGGTGAGGATGACGGCGTTGATGAGCCTAAAGATGTGTTCAAGGCTCATGGCGAGGATGACCACCGGATAGGCGGCGCGGGGGATACGAGAGAGGTCGATGTTGAAGATGGCGCAGACGGTGAAGCTGGACATGGTGGCAAAAAAGATTTGCGTCGCGATGGTTACCATGAGACCAAACTTGGACTTGACAGCCATGAGCTTAGACAAGCTCACGAGGAAGTACAGGAAGGTCAGCCCGTACGCAATGGCGAGGCTGGCCATGTCCTGCATCGATATTGGGCGGAATTGGAATTCGTAGAGCTGGCTGCGGGTGGCATGCCCGTCACTGGGGTAAATGTTCCACTTGTCTCCTACTTTCTGGGGCAGACCGAGCGCCCTGCTTTCCCACTGGCGGCCGATGGGAGAGTCGCGGAGGTGGAGAAGCGTGATGACGAGGGCGTCAGCCGCAACGACGCGGCGATCCTCGAAGCGCTTGCCACTGAAAACAATGGAGTGGCGGAGGGTGACATTGGCAGAGGTAGACTGGTTCTTCTTGTCGTTGATGGTCACGAGGATGTCTGGGTCGGCGAGGATCCTCTCGCGAGAGCAGCGCCAGTAGAGCAAGGGCGAGTGGAAGAACCACGACTGGTTAGTCAGACCGTTGGCGACGTGGAAGGCATCCCTCTGAGTCAAGGTCAAGGCGCCGTCGTGCACGTCGCCGACATGGACGCCACGGGCAGTTGCTGGACGAAAGTTTTTGGTCATGCCAAGCAGCTCGTCTTGCAGGTCGAGAGCGGACATGAGGAGGTCGGTGTTGAGGGCCTCCATGTACCCGGCGTGGACCCATATTGAGCGCATGATGATGTCGGGCTCGGCAGCGGCCCGGTAGGACAACGGCTGGGCGACGGTCCAGACATGGTGGGGAAGGTTTGACGCGGCGTTGATGAAGTCACTGGTGAAGAGAAAGGGGATGGGGTAGATGAGGATGGTGGCGACGGCGGCGGATATGAGCAGGGTGGTGACGACGTGGCGAGCAGCATAGCGGCCATAGCGCGCCGGGAGGCTGTAGAGAGGATGGGTCGGAGGCAGGACGGGGGCCTCTGTTGTTCTGCCGCAACGGTCAGAACGGGAGTCGAAGTGACATGGGACGAACCTGCTCCATTGCGTGGTGGAGCGAAGTAATAAAGCGACAACTTACCCTCGCAGAGGGTACAAGAGGTACCATATCATGGTGAGCTGGTGGCGGCCGCAGAAACGGCAGCCAGCGGAGAGCAGCAGGTGGACGGTCCGAGGCGACGATGCCGTGTGCGCCGTGCTCCGTGCTCCGTGCTCCGTACTCGGTGCTCCGAGACCCGTTGCGCACGCGCAGCTGTGTTGGTTGCCGAATGCTACAGTAGGTCGGTATTACAGTGCTCGCCGCACCGGTCGACTCGATCCGGTCCCACGGCACGGGATCGCAACTGGCAGTGCGGTTCGTCGGCTACGGCGACTTCCGCGGAGACGGGGGCGGACATGGACTCATGTGTGAAGACGGGCTTGAGACGCGGCTTGGGGAGCGCGCTGGGAGCAGGTGAGTTGAGCGGGCGAGCGAGCGAGACCAGGCCGACGGGACGTACTTGGGGGCAAAGGCGGCGGCGCAGTGCTTGCTGCTGCTAGTAGGGTATTACCGACCTTATTAGCTGTTGCGGGTACCTACAGCGGGAGCAGGCAAGGGTTGGCGTGGATTGGCGTCGGTTGGCTGCTGTCAAAGCATGGCCCGCACCGAGCGCCTGATCGATGGAGGGAGCAAAATCGGGGCCGTCGGGGCGAAGCTTGACCAGGTGAGGAAATGGGCGTCTGGACTTGTCACACTCGTCGGTACGGGCAGGGTCGAGCGGTCACGGTACCAGGTACCGGTGCTACGTTGGGGAGGCCAGCCTCGAGGGCTCGGCGTCTCCGGTACAGTGTACTTGACACTTATTGTGTGTCCACGGTGTTTGCTCACAGCCTGTTGGCGCCGGTGACGGCAGGCGTGACGGAGGCCCGTCCCACGAATGAGCAACGCGGGCTCATGCCCCAGGAAAAAAGGAACACTCTTTACAGCGCCTGCATCACTACGCGGGCCCTTGCGTGAAGAAGACGAAGGAAATTGCAATGCATACAGGATGTCCTTGTTTGAAGAAATGTACAACATGCGTGTATGAGTTGGTTTTGTGGTCTATACTGTACCGAACTACGAGCCCAGACGCAGGGGGGGCAGGTAGGGTGGCCACCCGCATCCGGCGACGGCAGCCAGCACAATCTGACGGCCTGGCCCCACAGCACTGCTCCTGTGTGAGCGACCGAGATCGACGGATGCCGCGATTCCATATCTTCCGGCCTGCCAGCGTCGACCCTGCTCCGCAACGAGAGCTCCCTCGACGCTTCGGGGCACCGTCAAGCCATCCAAATTCCCCTACCGGAACGTACGACTACAGCACCGCGGCGCCATCGCCCTTGCTAAAGCCGGGACAAGCAAGCATCCACGACGCTGGCGGAGCCTGCGCTGGCAGAGCAGGAAATATGGCCGTTGCATGCGCGAGAGATGCCAGTTCTACATAATCGTACGCAAATGCGATACGTTCGAACCGCTGGCTTATACCGACCAAATAAGGCACTCTTTTGCAGAGACACGTGGATGATGCCAGCTCGCTGCAACGCCGTCAAGCCGGCCGCCTGCCAGCAACCGCGCAGGCGCGCCCCAAGCAACTTGTCCAGACGCAGGACGCGGCACCTGTGCAGGCGTTCATCGGGATGATGTAACCTTGACACATGACAAAAAAGCACAGCTGTCCTTCAGGGGCCTGAAACGGGTGCTTGAAACCTGCGCAGGTAGCAATGAGAGAGGGCCGTTGATGCAAGGCCCCCATGCCGCAGTCGTCTGTTCCGGCTTTGGCGCAGGGACAGGGCCCAGTGCGTTGGCCAATGTTGACTGCCTGCTTCCATGCAAGCAATGTAGAGGTTTCCGTCCATATGTCGACGAGCAAAGGTTCAAAAGCACATGTATTGGCAAAGCCGCCAGCAATTAGTCGCCCCCGTGCAGAGCGTGAGATTCGCAGTGAAGCAGCCCAGCCCCGGTGCCGAAAAGGGTGCCACCATCCGGTGTGTGGGGAGCTCTCCACCAAGCACTGCACACCACTGGACTTGCACACTTCACTTGCCAGTCCATATATCTGCTTCATGCCTCACCTCACCTTTGAACACAACGAGCTTCAAGGCGTGGCTTTTCTCATGCCTTTCCCGCGGAACCGTCACCATTCGTGAGCAGCCGTGTCAATACAACCGTCGCAGACATGGCTGGCACAGGAGGCACAGTCGACGCGGCCCTCGAGGAGCTCATCTCGACCTTCAACGAGCTCAACAGCGCCACCGTCGAGGAGTTCGACTCGGAACCCAGTCCCCTCGAGTTTATGCGCTTTGCCTCACGCAACGCACCGTTTGTGATTCGAGGCGGTGCATCTTCGTGGAAAGCCTGCCGCAAGTGGGACGCTGCCTACCTCAAGGCTGCCCTCGCCGGCGAGTTCGTCAACGTTGCCGTCACACCACACGGGTACGCCTACCACTTGCACCGCTTGCAACTACCTGGACGTGATCTCTTGAGCCTGACGTGGGAAAATCCCCCGAACCCAGCAACGCCGATTCGCCCACGTTCTCGCCTGCGCATCAGCGCCTCGTCCTCGCTAAGCCTCACGAGGAGAGTCAGTCATTTGATGAGTTCCTCGACTACGTGATTGATCAGGAGACAGACCCGGCGTTCCCTCTCGATGCAGAGACAAGATATGCCCAAACCCGTCAGTCACACACTCTCACCTTTGCTTCCCCCCGATTCCCTTGACTAAAGGCTGCGATGTCGCTTCCAGAAAACGACAATTTTCGGGATGAGTACTTGACCCTATTCCCCGATGCCCAAAAGGACATACCTTTTGCGCGAATAGCCCTCCAGAAGGCCCCGGACGCCATCAACCTCTGGATAGGAAACTCCAAGTCCGTCACCGCCACTCACAAGGACAACTTCGAAAACATCTTTGTCCAGGTCCGCGGCAGGAAGCACTTTGTCCTTCTCCCGCCGCTATGCCAGCCTTGCATGAATGAGAAGCTCCTGCCGCCGGCGACGTATGTGCGGCGACCTCAGTCCGGCGGCTTCTCGCTCGAGGTAGACGAGGGCAAGGAGCCGGTACCGTTCGTCACGTGGGACCCTGAAGACCTCAGCTCCAACGCGACTTCTCTTTCTCGACTTGCGAACCCGATGCATGTGACTCTGGAGCCGGGGGACATGCTATACCTGCCCGCCATGTGGTGAGTCACGAGCCCTCCATGCAGCATGCGATTCGTGGCACACATGGCGTCTAACGACAGTCTTACCACAAGGTATCACAAGGTCTCTCAGTCTTGCATTCCAGGCGATGAGGGTTTCGTCGTTGCCATAAATTACTGGTTCGTACTTTTCAGCCGGAGAGCAAAGTGAAGCTCTGGATGCCGCTGACCGCTCACTGCACAGGTACGACATGGAATTTAGTGGGACGCTGTACCCATTGGCATCTTTCCTGCGAAACCTTGGGCGAGCATGCGACAAGTGACGGCAACGCCCCTGCATCGCAGCAGGTGCAATTGCACTATGATGATGATGATTATACAGCTCATCACATATCTTTTCTATCTCAAAATACCCGTCTCTTGAATCATGCATGAGTCTCCAGCCCTCTCATCTGTTTCATCACCTCTTCTTTCGCTGCGAGACCCTCTTTTGGGCCCTCAGCTCCTTCTTCATTCTCGGGTCAACCATGCGGTACCGACCCTTGATGCCCTTCGGACGGCCCTGGATACCCCTGTTCACGCCCTTTGCCACAACCAACTTGGCGGGCTGCGATGGCTTCTTGCGCGCAGCCTTACTCAGCAGCTTGGCTATGCTCTCCGCCTTCTCCTTCTCCGTCATGCCCTCGTCGTTTGCAAGCATATCCGACTTCTTCTTGAGCTTCTCCAATTTCTGCGCGGCCTTGAACTTCTTGCGTGCCTTTGCCTCGCGCACCTTCTTGATGGGTCGCGCGTTGAAGGCCCGCATCTTGTCCTTGATCGCCTGCGCGGCAGCCTTGGTGATGGGCTTCATAGGTTTGTCGTGCCTGGATTCCTCGTCAATGAACCACTCTGGCAGCCCATCACGATCACGGAAGGCCCATTTATTAAAGCCGTCATCCACAGCATCATGACTGGTCTTTTGCCCTGTGGCAAGCTGGTGTGCGAGAGTCATGGCTTCGGCAGTAATGATGTCGATATCTGCGCAGGAATGGTCAGCGTATTCTCTCCCAACAGTGCCAGTTGTAAAGGACCAAGGGACTTATGAACAGGTCTGCACTCACCCAGCTTTCCGTCTGGCCGCCGATTTGTCTCTTGTTCCCAGTCATCATCGCCGTTCTTCACCGTCTCGAACGGCTTATTCTCATCGTCAGACTCAGACTCAGACTCGATAGCAGTCGTTGGCGCAGCCGAGACACCATTCGTCGGCTTGCCCCGGGTCGTCTGGGATTCCCGGGGGTTCGCAACAGAATTTCTCGCCTCTTGGCTCTGCTCCAGGCCGGGAAGAGTGATCCCCTTGAAGATGTCTTGGTTGAAGAACGCCGCCGCCCGCTTAGACAGGCCGTTCTCACCCGGCTCGGAGTCGTCCAAATCTCTCAATAGGCCGTTGGGGGACACTCCCTCATCGTCGTCGTCCGATGAGTCTTCCTCGTCCAGGTCGCTGGATTCGCTCTTTTCATCCTTCTCGCTGCCCGAGAGTCCTTCCCACTCATCGTCGCCGTGTTCTTTCCTTGCCTTCTTTGCGCGATATTTCGCGTCGGCTTCGGCCTTGCGCTCACGGTAATTGTCGTACATGGAGTCAAGCTCTCGTTCGAGTCGGTCCTCCTCCTCGTCACTCACTTCGTCCTCGTCATCCTCCTGGGCCTGTTGGTTGTCCAGGGCCTTTTTGGCGTCGTCGGCAACCTTGGTCATCTTGCCGCGAGCCAGTCTGCGCATTGCATCCGTCTTGTCGACTTTCTTGAGCGAGAACATGGAGCCTTCGCCAATCGGCCCTGCTTCCTCCATGCCAATATCCATAGGTGCAACCATGTTGAGTTGCATGCGAACAATCTCGCGCTGCTTGCGCTCGTTTTCTTTTCGCTTCTCACGCTTCTTCTTGCCGCTATCCTTGTCTTTCATTGCCTGAAGTTCTTCCTGGATCTTAAGCTCTTCGTCCATGGAGCCCACTTCGGCGACCTCCTCAGTCTCCTCCTTGTCGGCGTCATCCGTCGTTTTCGTCTTGAACCCAAAAATCTCCCGAACTCTGAGACGCCATTTCAAGAGCAGCTTGAAATCTTTGCGACCCAAAACTTTGAGGTCGGCGCAGCAAGTCCTGATCTCCGGAGTAGTCTCGGGGAGCTTGTCCAGCGCGGCCAAGGCGACGTCCCCATTCTTTGGCTGCTCAAAGGTGAGCTTGTTGGAGCTTCCCAAAATGGCAATCGGATCTGTCGTTTGGATGAATTCGCTCGCCGGGACTTCTTTGAACTGCGTGTAATCGCCTTCCTCATAACCGTCACGCTTGCGCTTCTTGACCTCGGGGTTGTACACCTTGGCTTCGTTGTTCGGCGTCGCACCGGCTAATTCTGCGAAGACATACTTGGGGTCCAGGAATCGCGGATCCATTTTCTTCGGGGCTTTGTAACCACGGCAGACGACGAAGATTTCGGCGGATACGTTTCGGGACGAGGGGGGTTTGGTGGCTTCGACCTTGGTGAACAACTGGTTCAGAACCCAGAGAAGTGGGTTGTAATCCTTGGAACGGAACACCTTGGTGACGAAGGTGCCACCCTCGACGAGGAATTCTGTTGCTAACTTCATGGCCTGGAGCGCCAGCTCTGCCTGGTTGAACGAATCTTGCGCCCAAGCCGTACCGACATTGGGCGCTCCGTCGTGAAGTACCGTGTCCGCCTTCCAAGTCTTGAAGTGTTGTCGGATAGTGGCACGGCACTTCTCGGTTGTGATGTCGCTTTGGAAGGTAATGACTCTGGGGATCGGTTTAATGGGCGCCAGATCGACACCAACAATCAGACTGTTGACTGGCATGACCTCGGCCGCCACCTGACACCAGGACTGCGAGCAGCTCGTCAGCAATTGAGGCGCAGGCTTTGGCAGAATTCAGACTCACGCCAGGGGCAGCGCAAAGATCCAGAAGGACCTTGCTCTTCTCCAAGAAGCCATACTTCTTGTTGAGTTGGATGAGCTTGAAGGCAGCACGGGCACGATAGCCCTTCTCCTTGGCAAGCTTGTACCACTTGTCCAGACGGCCTTTGCCGTGCTTCTTTTGAATCGCCATAAAGACGGTGGTGGTCGGCGAAGAAGCAGCGGCACGTCCGGTCCTCTTTGAGTGAACCGCGACCGCAAAAAGGCCCCGCGAGCACGAAGTAACAGCGACTGCCAGAAATTTTGTTGCAGATAAGGGCGTCACGTGGCGATAGCGGGAAAGAATGGGTCCAGGGACTCCGAGACTTTGGAGTCCAGGTACAAAATTGTGGCCTGCACGCGCAGTATTCGGGCCTGTCGCGGTGCGCTGGGCGGGTACATGGACCTCTTCGCAAGGGCCCGCCACCAACAGCGCCCGGGCCCCACCTGTCCAGCTGCCCACACGCGTACGAAGCAGGATGTAACGCTTTACCAGACCAGGCAAGCCACTGGGCAAGGAAGCCGCTGTGCAGTGGCTCGATGATGCATTGGCGCTGCAACTGGGACTCATCTGCAAACCCACCACCACCACCACCCCCCGTTGCGCCCGCACCGCAACGTTCGTCGCCGTCGTCTATCCACCACATGCCACGCCTCAACCAAGTCGATTTCCGCTCTTGAATCAGGGTCCGGTGAAGGCGTCGTTCTCGACGCAGGTGCCCGACCTGGCCGTTCTCATACACAAGTACATACGCGGCGCGACACTTTCGACGATACAATGAGCGGACGGGTCCTCGCGGCCGGGCTGCGCCCGTTGACGCGACGCGCCCCAGTCAGCCCGGTCCGATATCTGCATCGACTACCGACGGGAGGGCTACTTCGGGCGGATGCCACCATTCGCGCGACTCAAAGGCGCATGTGGTTCGGTGGCAACGCCTTCCACAACGCGGTTACCGCCCGGAACGCCTCCTTTGCTCGGTTCCTGCCTAAGCTTGTCCTGAAGTTTGCCAGAATACCAGCCATGTTTGGCGGCCTAGCCATCGGCGCGTTTGCGTGGGTCCAGTACCAGGCCACACGTATGTTCTGTCCCTGTCTCCTTCATCCCTTCCGACGTTGTGCTGACTTGGTCGCCGGCGACAGAGGCAAGCGCCTATGCGATTGACATATTCAACACAACCAAGGACACGGTCTCAACTACCGCTTCGACCATATTCGGCGGCGCCAAAGACATCGCAGAACAGACGTACCATGGATGGGAGACCACGAAAGAACAAGTGGAGGTACCCGAGTGGTTGAAGAAGGTGCTCCGGATCCATGAAGACATCGGGACCGGAGGGTCTGGAGGCCCCGGCGGTGACGGCGACCCAAAGCAGAGCAAGCTAGGTGCGGCCGCCGCTGTCGGCGCATCTGCAGCGGCATACGGATATGACAAGTCAAGCGAGGAGGATCCTCGCGAACTTGACGAAGTGGCCAAGGACGACCAGATGATGATTTTGACAAAGAAGATGATCGAGATTCGGAGCATACTTCAGAAAGTCGGACAGTCGAGCTCGCTGACGCTACCATCCATTGTTGTCATCGGCTCGCAATCGTCGGGAAAGAGCTCGGTTCTCGAGGCAATTGTTGGACACGAGTTTCTTCCCAAAGGATCCAACATGGTGACTAGGCGACCCATCGAACTGACGCTCGTCAATACCCCCGGGTCGACAGAGGAGTATGGAGAGTTTCCGGACCTAGGCCTGAGGCACATGACCGACTTTTCGTCTATACAGCGCACGCTTACGGAGCTCAATCTTGCTGTATCCGACGCAGAATGCGTCTCGGACGACCCGATTCACCTTACAATCCACTCTGCGAACGTCCCCGATCTATCACTTATCGATCTTCCTGGCTATATTCAGGTCGTTGGGCAGAACCAGCCTCTACAGCTGAAACAAAAGATCTCAGAATTGTGCGACAAGTATATCCAGCCCCCGAATGTGATTCTCGCCATCTCTGCTGCGGATGTGGATCTTGCCAATTCTACGGCATTGCGGGCCTCGAGGCGGGTCGATCCTCGCGGAGAACGGACCATTGGAGTCGTCACCAAGATGGATCTGGTTGACCCAGTCAGGGGCGCTGCCATCTTGAACGACAAGCAGTACCCGCTCAGGTTGGGCTATGTGGGCGTTGTGTCGAAGGCGCCGCAAGCCCCAGGGCTCTTCAAGATGGGTCCGAAAGACCTGCTCTCCGCCATTGCAAAGCACGAGAACTCATTTTTCTCATCGCACCCCGTCGAGTTCGGCCCAGATGCCGGGGTCAACGTAGGGACCACTACACTGCGCAAGAAGTTGATGCATGTCCTGGAGCAGACCATGTCGTCGAGCTTGCAGACCACCAGCGATGCCATCAGACAAGAGCTGGAGGAGGCAACATATGAGTTCAAGGTTCAGTATAACGACCGGCCTCTCTCCGCCGAATCCTATTTGGCGGAGAGCCTCGACGCGTTCAAGCACTCCTTCAAGCAGTTCGCCGAGGAATTCGGGCGCCCACAGATGCGGGAACTCCTCAAGAGCGAGCTGGATCAGAAGGTACTCGATCTGTTAGCAGCCAGATATTGGAACAAGCCGATCGCGGATCTGTCGGTCACGCAACCAGAGCCGGATCAGATCGCGGATTTGCCAAAGGCTGATGTTGACTCATTATACTGGCGTCGGCAACTCGATGCGTCAACCTCGGCCCTGACCAAGCTGGGTGTTGGACGGCTTGCCACCACCGTCGTTGCGTCGTCGCTGCAGGCGCAAATCGACAGGCTGCTGGGCAACTCAAACTTTGCCACCCACCCCTTCGCAAGAAAGGCAATCATGGAAGCGGCTTCGACGATACTCAATGAACGCTTTTACAGCACAAGCGATCAAGTCGAGAACTGCATCAAGCCCTTCAAGTTTGAGGTCGACATTGAGGACAGAGAATGGGCACAGGGCCGGCAACATGTAGGCGATGTGCTCAAGAAGGAGCTTCAAGATTGCGAGTCTGCCATGGGCCAACTCGAATCAACAGTCGGCGGACGGAGAAAGCTCAAGGAAGTCATGAACTTCGTGGACAAAGCGCGCAAGGGTGACATTATCGTTGAGGGCGATGGGCGGAGCGGTGCTGGCGGATTCAGTGCCGCTCTGCTAAGCAAAGGTAACTCTACCCACGGCCTACCTCTCCTACCGGGTTGCTAACGACGTTGCAGGACGTGAGGCCGTCTTCCTTCGAGACAGGGCCGACATCATCAAGATGCGCCTGTTGGCAGTTCGGTCCAAGCAGTGTGCCTCGGTCAAGAACAAGTACCACTGTCCGGAGGTCTTTTTGGATGCCGCCGCTTCAAAGCTGGCCTCGACGGCCGTTCTCTTCCTCAACGTCGAGTTGCTGTCCGAGTTCTACTACAACTTCCCGCGCGAACTCGATCTGCGGCTCGGCCGACACCTCTCCGAGGAGGAGGTGGAGCGATTCGCAAAAGAGGACCCGCGCATCCGCAAGCATCTAGAGGTCATCCGTCGCAAGGACCTGCTGGAGCTCGTACTCGAGAAGATGGAGAGCTTGCGGCAACTGGAGGGCCGGGAGCGGGAGCGAGCATCAGGTGCCGGTCGCCGGCGGGATGCGCAAAAGGAGCGGGGGCGATGGGGCCTCTTTTGAGTAGAGAGGCAACGCCGGCGCAGCCTATTCTTTTCCAATTTCGTCCTCTTTCCCTATGGTTGTGTAGACACGAGGATGCCCGGAGTTCATGTGGAGGCGGTTTTGTGTTTTTCCTCCCGACACTTGTCATGCCAGCACGGTGTCCTCATCAAGACGGGGGACTCTGGAAGCTCTCTCTTCTCTCGCACAGATACATGTTTTCCTACCAGACAAGCCGAGTGTTGGTCATAGACAGCCACACCAATGGCTACAATGGTTTCAAAAGGATACCCTACTCAAGACGAAGCATACTCAAGATTGTTTGCCATGTACGAATGATCCAGCAGAGTAGTCCTGTTTGTGTTGTCGGACGGCTATTCAATACACGTATATTATGAACTGCTCAAGGCCATGCATGTCTTCCCAGACCTTGAGCCCTACCGATCCGCTTATAGACCGGCCAGAGTCATCCTATGTAGCAGCGTCCGTATGCATTTGTAGAGTCACCTCCCACCGAATGAATCCCCCCGTCCCATAGCCCTCGCCAAGACGATTCTGTATCAGCGACGAAATGCGGCTCCGCAATTTGCTCAGGGACGTCTCGTCGTACCCCTTGGCGATGTTCAGCCGCAAGTTGGCCATGCAAAGGCCGTAATGGACCTGCCAGAACTGGGCATCCTCGACCCGGGAAATGGCGGACTCAGACTCGATCTCACGCAAGACAGCCGAGACACCAGAGCTTCCGTTGCTGCCGCCATATGACATGAGGAGCATCAAGCCCTGAGCTATCGCGACTCTCATTCCGAGACCGAACATGGCTAGTGCAATGATTGCGCAAATCAGTCTGTCCAGCCACGTGTACAGTGAGATGGAGAGCATGGGAAGCAGGGCTATCAACGCCGAGAAGAAAAGGGTGAGGAAATGGAACGGGTTGGATAGCACGCTCGGCATAGCCGCGAGGTACGAGACCCTCATGACCTTTGCAATTCGCGCGTGGTTCTTCAGGCCATAGGCTGAGATGAGGGTGCTGACGATGGCGACAGCCGCAACCAGGTCAACACTACCCGCGGAAACACGCTCGTGAGCGTGCTCGTGGTGTGCCTCATGGTTGCCTAGAGACTCGAGAAAGTGCTTGAGGTTGTGGGAGACGAGGTCGAAGCCGCCGAAAAGAAGGAAGATGGACAGGGCAAAGCCGGCCAGAACCTCGGCCCGTTCGAGACCAAAGGGGTGCCTGATACTGCTCCGTCGCCACACTTCAAAGTTCCCAAGCACCTCAACCGCGGCGCAGACCGCGGCGCTGCCGGCGTCGAAGAAGACCAGGTGGGACAGGGCCATGGCCGCAAGCGAGCCTTCAGACTTGAAAAAGACGAAGACGGCGACGGCGAGGTGGCACAGGCTCCAGTAGAGCCGCGTCCGCTGGTCCCTCTGAGTGCTCTTCCATGCTTCTGCAATCGTCGGTATCGGCAGCGACGCGGGGAGGACCGGAGGTGGTCTCGGAGGCGGTTCCTGGAAGATTTGGTGCTGCGCCGAGATGCTACTATGCTTGTATCTGTGGCCACGGCGCTGCCCAATGTTCTGTGACGCTGCCTGTCAGCTACGATCTCGTGCCACGGGAAGCAAAGGCGCACTGGGGGAGGTCTTGTAGGAGTCGCAACGCACCGACTTGACAGGAGACGTCGATATGACCTGTGTCTGGAAATTGAAAGGGTTGGGGGCGGGTGGCCCCTGAGCCGCATCAACGGTGCTTGCCTCACCAGGCATGGTAACGGCTGGGGAGAGGAAGCCTGGCCCGGATGAAGTGAGCGACGCGTCGCCAGTCGACGGTGGGAATTCGTCGGTGTCGTCGATGACAACGGTAGGCGGGGGGTGAGATGCGGGCTGATGCTTGCGTGGATCCATAAAGCCACCGTTCTCGGGAGATTGCGATTGCGCTCGATGTGCGTGACTGGCGGGCGGGCCCTTGTAATGCCGAAGACAGAGTGACGATCGCGCCCGCGCGGCCGTAGTCGTGCTCCCGCTGTCTTATCGAGGTCGATTGGAGTCGTTCGCGAAGCACGGGCTGCCCGCAATTGGCGGCGCTGGCGCTGGCTGAGATGGTCCGGGCCCAGCGACTTGCGTGGAGGTGCTGGCGACAACGAGCCTAGAGCAAGGAACGTCGCGTCTGCGTCAGGCCGAGGCGATTGGACGAATCAGTAGGGTGCGCGAGGGAGCAGCAGGTAGCGCGAAGGCAGTCTCCGTGGATGACAAGCAAGCAGGTGGATGGAGCGATTTCAGCGCCATCGTGGCATCATGGGCGGTTCGGCCCAGGGGTGGGCGGGGGAGGTGCCCACCCAGGTGGTGGACAGGCCTCGGGGGGGCTGCGTTGGCGGCACCTTGATAGGCCCCGGGCCCGCAGGCGGAGCCTGGCTTGCCTGGAACCTGGAACCCATGCCCGGGCAACCTCCACTGCCAGAAGGCCGCCCGTCCAGGCTTGCCAGGCCCGGCTGCCAGGGGCCCAAGGAGAGCCCCGGGCCGGGGGGGGGGGGGCCTCATGGCCTGTCATCGGGCGGCTGCAGGCTGTGCGGCACAGGTCGCAGGCTCTCGACGCTAACACCCAGAAGCCATCCAATTGCCTTGCCAGGCTCGCTGCGGGTCAGCCAGGAACCTCCAACATGAGATTATGCTGGTCTCAACTTCCTGCGACGTCAACTCGATCCGCGTCGGAAACCACCTGACGCACCACCATCCCAGCGCGCAGCGAAGAGCAGTGACAAAGTTTCGTCGCACCACCGTGCGCCCGTGCCGAGAGGAGAGCTACCTTTACCCGCACACGTCGCGGCAGTGCATGGCCATGCCGCGACACTAATTGAGCTCCAGCCGAGAGCTACCTGCAACCGTCCAGCTTCACTGCCGACCGATGCGCGTCCCCCTTCCCGTTGCTCGATACGACGTCCCGCATCAGGCCACCAACTCTACGAGCCGCCCTGCCCCGATATGGAGGAAGGCTCGGCTATCGGTCAACTGGGCGATCCTCCCGTCCCCTCCGCGTCCACCTCCCACCGACGCGCTCCGTCAGGCTCGAGCCTGCTCTCGAGACTTCCTTTCCTGCGGCCCGCCGGCGACACGAAGCCGCCCCACGAGGCCGACGATGAAGATGCGGCTCCGGCCCCGGCTCCCGCCCTCGCGGCCGCGGCACAGCAGCACAAGACGCGACGACGCAGAGGGTCCCTTAGGAAGGTGGCACTGCTCGGGAGGGGCGCACAACGTGAACGCAGGGACAGCAGGGCTCTGACCATCGATACCTCGCATGGCTCCGACGTGGATCCAGACTCATCAGGGTCCCCGTCAAGTGCCGCCATGAACGGCCACGACGCCCTTGGCCTCAAGCTCGTCAGCCTCGGCCAGCGCCCGCTGGGTGACGAGCCGTCCTCACAGCGAAGCATTACCGATCCGCCCGCTTCGGTCGGCCCGTCAGCTGACTCGACAGCGTCGCACAAGGACCGCGATGGGGAACGATCGAATGCATATACCTCGACGACGGACGAAGAGGACGGCTTGCAGATAGCGTCCACGTCGTTGCCGCCACGAAACGGGCTGTCCATGTCGTCGGGTTCCGAGTCGCACTTTGGCAGCGGCCGTGTCACTGCCAACAGGCGAAGGTCCTTTCAGCAGGCCAAGTCGCCCTTGTCGTACAGCGGCATCTCGACAAACGCGATCCCGCCGGCCGACTCAGATTGGGACTATGCAGAGACGGAGTGGTGGGGGTGGGTGGTCCTCACCGTCACCTGGTTCGTCTTCGTCATCGGCATGGGCTCGTGTCTCGAGGTCTGGAAGTGGGCATGGGACGTGGGGAAGACGCCGTACGCGCCGCCGGAGCTGGAGGACGACGAGACGTTGCCCATTATTGGATATTACCCGGCCCTCATTATCCTGACGGGCGTCATGGCATGGGTCTGGGTCGTGGTGGCGTGGGTTGGAATGAAATACTTTCGGCACGCCAAGATCAGTGGTGATTGAGGCTCTGGTGCACCAGCTACTATAGCCGCCCGACTTCAAGCTCTAATACTGTATAATACACGTTATGAGACTGCCGGGTTGCCTGAGCCTACTCGTACTCTGGTGCGGAGTGTGCTTGCGCGTCGAGCGTTGGCCATGCCGCCGATGCTGAGTAGCTCAAGAATCTCCGACAGAGAGACACGCGTCTGGGGTTTGTCCGGCACTGTGCAGTACAGTAAGTACAGTATAATGGTTTCGAGGCAGCGCGGACAGTCAGTTCCGAGACGCCGCGGACTCGCCGAGCCACCTGGAGCACTCACGCCACAGAGAGGTCACGGCGGCGAGGCCCGTGGATCGACAGCGGCCTGTCTCTTCTGTGTCTCTTCGCCATTTGACAACTCGCACATCCAGTTGGTGATCGTCGACACCCCGACCGCCCATGATCGCCGCGGAGGCTGGATGGCTGGGAATGCACAGCGTTAGTCCGTTTAGTACGCGGGCGCCGACGAACCACGCGCCGCCCCTGGTGCCCGCGTCCGGAGGCAACATCCTCGGGGCGAACGAACAGGCACGCGGTTGGCGGGTTGGGAGATGGCAGGCAATCCTCGCCGTGCTGGCAAGGACGACCTCTGTCGATCCCAGCCGGCCGCCAGGTCAATTGCAGCGGACCGGCTCACACCGTCGTGGCGGACGTGGACCTGCCGGAAACAGACCTCGGACAGACGATGGAGCCAGTCCTCGAGCCCCTTGAGAGCACCATCCGATGCTCTGGCGGGCTGCTCAGCGGGGTTGGTGGTAAAATGCCAGGCCGGCGGTAAGTCACTGGTGGTTTTGCAGACCCAGCAGGGCCGCACTGGATTTGTCTCGAGTTGGGGACCAAGCAAAGACATCCTATGTTCCGCTTGAGAATTCATCCGCCACTGGATGAGCGTCAGGCTCGATGTACGAAATCGATACCCAGGCCAGGCTTGGCAGGCAACCATTTCTGCGCAAGATGTCACCTGCCCGCGTGCTCGCGTGCGCAAGTGCCTTGCCGACGCCCGTGTAAATGAAGCATACCCTACCCTACATGAGATAACCAAGCATGTCGAGCCAAGGAAACCTGCCACTTCGGTAAGGTATACCTCGCTGCCAAGGATGGGGCGACCCTTGGACCTGAGGGGTTGGGGCTCCGAGTCACTTGGCCCAGTTTGATGCGCGGGCGGCGAGTGGCGACCGAAGCGCGAGCTGCTGATTGCCACGGGCCACGCGCATCTCTGCCAGATCGTACCTAAGGTCAGGGCGACTGCCCTCGAGCTTGGGGTGCATTTCCGCCCTCTTCCATGGATGACGGCCAACAGAGGGTGACAGACGCAGCGTGGGCGTGCCTCATGGACCTACGAAGGACCGACCGACACTGCAGGCGCCGTGCGGCAACGTGTGTACCAAGTCTGTCACATGCCCCATGACGCTCCAAGCCGACGACCTGAATGCATCAATGCATGCAAGTCGAGCCCCCAAGCACCCGCTATTCGGCCGAGCATGGCCTTTGTTATTCAGCGTCGCTGGTGGGCAGACCACCAGCAATGGGCCCGTTGCGCCACTGTCATGGAAGCCGCCCCGTAAACCGACTCGCAGATGCGCCGTTGAAGGACCCGATGGGGCGCCTTGGCCTGGTCCGGACCCGTCTCCAGCGCCGCTGATCGGACAGCAGCCGGGCGGCCCAGTGGACGCGGCGGGCAGCCTGCCAGGCAGCGCCGTCGTGTCGGGTGCCGAGTCCACTATAATCGCCACCAATCTCTGGCACCTAGGTAATTTCGACGCCCGCCGCTGCGCTCTGTGCCGCTGGTCGACGCTGCCGGGGCGCCTGCCCGCCAGACGCCTGCCCGCCCAGGTGCCTGCGCTACCTACCTGGTATCCAGCAGGCTCCCGTCCCGTCCACGTCCTGATGCGACCCTGAGCTGAGGTGCCTACAGCGATTGACTGCGGCGGCTCTCCATCCCGCCCGTTGCCCACCCCCCGCCCGTCCTCACCGTCCCGTCTCCTCAAGCGCCGCCGAATTCGAGTCGATGGCCCTCTCATTGGGCCGGGACGCCCGCTTCCCCCAGCAGCACGAGGCCCCCAAAAGAACCCGCCCGTCAGCCTCTTACGGAGGGAGGGCCCCAGCCCATTTCCCTTCCCTTCCTCTCACTCTCTCCGCCCCCCTTGCTGTCTCTGCCAATATTGCTCCTCCCTCCCTGATTACCAACGCCCATCGACGACGACACGACACGACCACGACCGCCATCACGACCACGACGATCCTCGAGGCCGCGCTGCTCTGCTACTGCCCGCCCATCGCTCGACAGCCGGCCGTATTCCCCCGACGCTTTTGGTAGCGCCACTCGTCGCGTGCTGCTTCTGCACCCTGAGGGATTTGGGCCTTCGCCCCGACTCCAATCGGCGCCCAGTCACGCTACATCCTCCTGTGTCTCGGTCCCCGTTGTGCCAGGCCCTGCCTGAAACATCAGCACAACCTGCGCCATCGCCATCTCACGTCGGCGACCTGTGCTCTCTTTCCTTCCTCGACCGCCATCGACCATCACCACCCATCACCCTCGTCCAGTAGCCTTTTCGTCTCGAGCGCCTCGCCGACGGCCGTTGCCATCACCGCCAGCCCCCCGTACCGCCATCGATTCGCCTCCGGTCGGAATCCGCCACTCGGTCAATCCGGAGGCACAAATTGCTCTCTGCTGTTGTTCTGCAATTACGGCATCGAGCCCTGCAGCAAACACGACGCCGTCAGTTGCACCAGCCTGGCTGTTGCGTCGGTTCGTCGATTTCGCTCCCCTCTCCCCAGGGGGGATTACGTGCGCCTGATCCGCCATCCGTGACGGCGCCCAATCTCACCCTGAACCCGCCGCCCTTTCTCCTCACCGACAACAGCCTAAGATCTTGCAACCAACGTCCGCCCTCTGTCGGCACGGCCTGCCCAGAATGAGGGAGGTCAACTTTAGCATCCCCAACGTCAACAAGGCGTCGGTCGGCATCACCACCGCCCTCTACGACCGTCGCGCTCTCGACTGCACGTCGACCCTCCCGCTCATCAACTCGCTCAACCACCTCGCCTACCTCACCACCTCCTCTGCTCGGATCCGCGACATCCTCACCGTCGATGGCGGCATCGAACGCCTTGTCTGCATCCTCAAGCAGGGTCGCAGCAAGGATATGATGGGCATGTGGAAGTGGAACCTGGCCTTCCAGTGCGTCGTCAACATCGGTGTTCGTGGTACCGAGAATGTCCGCACTCGAGTCGTCGAGGCAGACATGGTACCCGTCATTGCCACCATCCTCGATAATTACATCAAAGTCATCGAAAAGTGTCGCGAAAAGGCCGAAGAGGCCAGTCAGAAACAGTTGCATGACCATCACCATCGTCGGCATCGTGGCCACGATCGGAGTTCGCCCAAGACATCCACATCCTTTGCCAGCCGCGCCGTGCGCCCCGAGCTCGACCAGAGAAGCGCCCGACGGCATGGGCCGCCTCCTTCCATTGACGTGCCTGCCAGTTTTGCCGGCCCATCGTCCGCCGGTGGCCCGTCTGGATCCGAGAATGCCACAGCCGGGCCCGCCCCTCCGAGGAGCGCAGTGGCTACACCGGAGCGCCCAGCGATAACTCCTAGCCGCCATCGGCACAGCTTTCGCGAGTCTACTGGCCGCTTGCCAGCGACCATCACACCCGGACAGCTTTTGCAACCACTGGCAACTCCCGGCCAGGGCAGAGACGTCTTGGACAACTTCGTTCGGCCGGTCCGCGACGTTGACCGTCTAGCTTCGATGGCGCCTTTCGCGCACACGGACCTTGCCTCACAGCCGACCTCGCCGACAACGCCCTTACCGCCTCCTCAGCTCCGCTCGCCGACCGTGAGGCCCACAAACAATATTGACGCCTCTAACCGACAGCGGCGAAGGCCTTCCATCAGGCATCAGAACTCCACAGTCGAGGCAGACGACCTGAATGCGGACAGCATGCCGTCTGACGAGTCGCCAGACGCCGAAATGACCGGGACTGCAGACATTCAGTCGGCCGTTGGCATTCAGGATATCTCCATGGAGGATGGCGAGAGTATGTTGACTGGCTCCTCGCTGGAGCTGACCAACCCCACAGTCTCAGAAACACACCAGGACGCCGGCACGTTCAACATCACCCATCGTGCGCCGATCGATGGCAGCATCGGCAACACTGCAAACCCTGCACCCGTCGCGCCCATGGGCCTGTCCCCCAACCGCCCTGCCATGGTCACGCCACCACAGCCAACCGCGCCCAACTCAACAGTACCTCGCTACCTGCTCGATCGTCACTATACTCCCAACCAGCACATGCTCGCCGCAATGCCTCGGGAAGAGGACGTGCTTATGTCGCTGCAGCTTCTGGCCTACGTATCCAAGTATTGTGGGCTGAGATCGTACTTTCAGCAAAGCCACCTCGTTCCGAAGCTCACCATTGGCAAGGATCTTGATCTTCTCGACAGCGAAGAAGACGCCTCGGACGTCGAAGAAAACGATTCGGCGGATGAGGAGTACCTATTGCCCAACGACTTCAATCTCTTCCCCCTCGTCGAGAAGTTCACCGTTAGGTACCACAGCACCGACATGCAGTACTGGGCCGGCGTGGTGATGCGGAATCTCTGCCGCAAAGACGATACCCGCGGCGGCATCCGGCAATGCGCCTACTATCAGTGCGGGAAGTGGGAGGAGTACACACGTCAGTTTGCCAAGTGCCGTCGGTGCCGGCGCACCAAGTATTGCAGCAAGGAGTGCCAGAAGAGCGCCTGGGCCTTCCATCGTCACTGGTGCGTTGCTGCGTCGCAATGAGCCAAGGGGACTGTTGGCGACTGCGTACTTGTGGCAGCCCATGCTTGGCCTGGTGGCTCCGCATGGCGTTTGATTTTTTGATTTCGCTCGACAGTTCACTGAAAGGTTGCGACTGCATAGCAAAGCACAGCGTCCGAACAGCGCGTAACGGCATTTCCTCTCGATACCACGGGTTTTACGGCGTCCAGGGTCCGCATCGGCATTCGTGGGAGAATCTTCTTTCAATCGGGATTCTCCACGGGTTTTGTCTCATTGTCGTTGTGGCTTAGGCCGGCCATCGACCTCTCGCACCAGCATTGGATCCTTCCGGGTGGCAGTGGCATTGGAAGGCCAACGATCCTTTATATACATAACCACGGATCTACAAATACACTAGCACTTACTCCGCAGGCGACGGCTCGTTGCTCCTGCCAGGAGAATTTCCGGCACGTACCGGGGAGAGTCTCGTTCAGGCAGGGATGGCAGGCCAACAAGAGGCAACACGGCGAGGCAGGAGGCGCAACGGCGCCAATGAGAAGCGTAGGAGAGGGTATTCATCGAACGTCTTTACATATTCCTTAGCGTCCTAGAGAGAACAACGACCTCATGAAGTTTATCACGAACCATGCGTGCACGAATGTAGTCCCGAGTGTGACGCTGCCAGGAAGTGCACGACTTTGCCCCTTAAGCCGGCCAGTGATACCTCCTTGGCGGCTTGGGTTCCAGAAACTTGTGTATCTTCTCCAGGAGTGGAGGAGAAGGGTAGAGTCATGCTAGTGAAGGACTGTCTCATGGCTTGGTTTCTCCTCACCGACAACAGTACTCGCGAGGTGCCTAGTCATCTGGTGGATGGAACCCGTCACCGTAGTGAAGCGTACCTCAGCCGCCTCAACATGGCGATGCGACTCTCGCTTTTTGCTTTGATTGGTTTCATCTACATGCTTGACTAGATCCTCGTGGGCAACCTAGCCCACGGAACAGAATATACCTGGTGGCTGGAGGATGCGTACACAGACGACAATGCATTAATTAGGTCTGCGACTTGGCCAAACTGGCTAGGGTCGCGCCTTTACCGCGTGCCCATTGCTTTTCTCCTGGCCTTACCGGGCCGCTGCGCCTTGCCCTTCGGCCGGCCCGACGCCTTCATCTGCTTGGCATTGAAGCCGGAGAGATCGCCGGAGCTGATGGCGTCGCCCGACTTGGCATGGCGCTTCTTGCCGCCGAAGCCAAACTTCTCATTCTTCTTTTGACGCTTGTTGTTGACGGACTGTGACTGCTTCCCCTTGCCGGCGCTGCGCTGGGAGTGCTTCGCCAGCTCGCTCTCGACGCCGACATCAAACATGTCAGCCTCATTCGTTCCGAGGTCGCCTCCGGACTCTTGGCGTTCTGTGAGGGGGTGTTTGTTAGCAAAAAAATCACTCCGGAGATTGGGAAGCGGCCGGCCCTTACTTCTCTTGAGCGTCTTGATTTTCTCGAGCGTCTCGCGCTTCTCCTTCTGGCGCTCCTGCAGCTTGGCGACCTGGACCTGCTTGCCAAACTTCTTGAGGTCGCGCAGCTTGCGGGCCTCGGCGGCGGCCTTCTTGGCGGACGCCTCTTCGACCAGTTTGGCCTTGACCTTGTCCATGTGCGCGTCCTCCTTGACCATCTCAGCGAAGTAGTCCTTGGGCCGGGAGAAGGGGACGCCCTCGGCTAGTAGCTTGGAGCGGCCGGTGAGGGCGGCGTCTCGGCACTGAGTGTAGAATGCCAGCTCGCGCTGGAGGTCGTCGGATACGTCGGGGATGGAATCGGCCGTGTCGGCGGTCGCGAGGATGGACTGATGCGACGAGAAAGGAACAGACTTGTCTGTGGGGAGGGCTATGCGGTCGAGTGCGGCTTGCAGGGCGGCTGTGTTGTTGATGGTGAGACGGCTGTGGGGGATGAGATCTTCCTTGTCCTCATCGTCGAGATCCTCTAGGTCAGACACCGGTATATCCTCGTCGTCTTCGTCTTCCTCGTCGTCCTCATCGTCGTCGGCAGACGGGATGCGCTTTGCTCCTGACGGCTTCTTGACTCTTGTAATCTTCTCCTCGAGCTCAATGGACGACTCAGAAGTGTCGCTGTCGTCTACGCCATCCAGGTTCAACTGCGAGAAATGCGTCAGTAAAAACGGTCGGCCGTCGCCAGAGCCGAAGGAGTGACTGCATACTGTGGCCTGCACATCCTCGTCCTCTCCCTCTTCCTCGCCCTCAGCACTCTCCTCGTCTTCCGGCTCTTCGGGCTCCGGCTCCTGGTCCTCCGGCCCGGCCTCTGCCCGCTTGCGCTTGAGGGCAGCTTTGTGCTTCTTCTCCTGCTTCAATTTCTTGAAGTCGACGCCCTTCTCGGCGGCAAGGGCCAGCCGGAGCTTGCTCTTGGTGACCATTGCGACGAAGTTTGGGGAGGTATCGGCGCTCCAGAGTTCGGGTGTCCGGCGTCAAGTTGGAATCAAGCCCTGAATGAGCGACGGCGATGGGCGACCAAATGGGCTGGCGCTGCGAGATGCGGTGGGTGCAGTTTCAAAAAAATCTCTGGGATTCTGCCGGACAGCCACTCCCACCGCCTTCCCCTTCAACGGCCACCGCGCCAAGACACCTTACCTAATGCGGCCACGAGCCTGGACGTGATCATAACCCACGTGTAAGTCACATTGCTGTTCAATTCCTCCTTGGTTTCACCCCAGCGTCGCATCGATACATGCCGTCACTTTGAAAATCACAGATTTCACTAGTTTTCAGAATAAGCAAAATGCGAGTAGTTCGAAGCCATGAACAGAATGCTGCCCTTCATGGGCCTGGAACATACTACCTCCTTCCTGGTGACTCTCACGTAGACGATATGCCCACAGTTCATCACAACTAAGAGAAGTTGCGTAACTGGGGAGTGAGGCTTTTCTATCGGCATTTGGAACAGCGGATGATGCATGTACCCTGTCTCAGCCTGTGAACGGGCCACTGGAGCCCTTGATCCGCGCGTTACGTGAGGGGAAGAAGGGCACACTCGACGCTGTCAGAACCGGAGACGTTTGTTTGAGAAACTCCCTTCGTCACACATATGATTTTCACTAGAGTACCGTAAGTGCTATGGTTTCGAACCCCTAAGGGTTGTGGCGGGGTTTGGCAGCACTGGCATGGCACAAAGCACGGTGACTCTTTGATACATGTACGCGCGGCAAAACTGTTGTATTGCATGCGATTTTATGAAGATTACAGCCCAGCCTTGTCCACCGCAGCTGTCATCCGGCCCTTGATAAGCCTCGACCCCAATGTCTCTTCGTGTCATCGGACTCATTTCCCCATGTTGGGAAGTCGTAAAGAAGGAGCTCGTTTTCCGACCGCAGCGCCGCGCGGCGTCAAAAAAGCCCAAGTGTTGTACAAAAAGTCGAAAGATTCAAAGCACCCAGCCCCCCGCCCATGTGCGGCATCCTCGTGAAGAGAGTCTCTGGTCGTTCGGATTCGCTTGACCAGCGTTGGCGGGATGTCGAAATGGGCCAGAGGACTGGCCAGTCCTCGCTTGTGCGGAACATGGCGGGTAGTGCTTTACATGACAGTGCAGCCGAGGTAGTGCTGCTGGTTGCTGCCCTTGGGAGCGGAGGTGTTCTTGGTGTTGGAGGAAGGCATTTTGGTTTGGGGGGGTGTTGAAGACAAAAAGTCTAAAGATTTATAGTGTAGATGTTGTAGTTTGAAGCTTGCTGTTGATGCTGATGATGATATCTCTTGATCGGGGAGGCAACCGCGGCCTTTTATGCAAATTCTTGCTCGACGGGACGGTGGGTTTCATGGCGAGGCATCTTGGCCCTCGGTGCCCTTGCTCGGACCTCTGGATGCAAAGCGTGAAGGAATCATCTCCCCGCTCGGCGCACGGCTAGCTGCAAGTTTGTCTCATTGTTCAGGACGCCGATAGCATTGTTCTTGGGTCCCATCAGTTCCCGAGGTGGCTGCATTCTGGCTGGGGTCGTTGGGTCCGAGACCTCCCATGTTTGCGCCGTCGGACGGGGCTAGCACGCGAACCGCTGCCGCCATCGTGTTGCCCTTGATCGCGAGGGGGGCGTGGGACTCGTCGCGGGAGTAACAGTTTGCCATGGCCTTCGCCGTCCGCGGGCCTCAGCGCAATGTGGTGCCTTAGTATTGTTCCTGTGCCTGCCAGTGCGCCACCAAACGCCACGCCCTGGCGGCGAGATGCGGCCGCCAAGGGGGCCGCTCCACCGTGTTTTGCGATGGGTGCAAGCCAGATCGCGAAGGACCGCAGGACAGAACACCACTGTAACGCATTGCACAGCACTGACAAGGGCGTCTTGGCAGCCCGGTACGAAGTGGCCCTTGGATATCGACGTAGGATGATCGCGGTGGAGCGTCTCGGATGGCATGGGTGAGCGAGCGCCACTGCAGAAAGGGACAACCCTGTACAAGCGAGGAGCACTGACAATTCACACGACTATCGAGATTGTGGGCAGAGTACATACGACAGTCTACGGCCCGTGACGCGTTGAACGACATGGCAGTCTCAGCGTGAAAGGCACAGTACTGTACTGTACATGCTGTGACGCATGACAGTAGCAAGCAAGCATAGCGCGTTGATGCTTACAAGTCTTGCGCTGTACGGTCAGGAGCGGCGTCATGATGCCCAGGCGCCAGACTTCGCTTCGTTCCCGTCCAGTCAGGGCCCATGGTTGATAGACGCACGACCAACGGAGCGGCCTGATGGGCTGGAGCGCCCGCCGTCCCGTGCAGGGCGACGTCTTGAGATGAAGCGCAGAGCCCACTTGGGACGAGTCTCGCCAAACAAATCTCGTATGTCCATGCTGCGGGCGTTTGGGTCCTGTCGGTGGGATTCCGGCCGAGGTCATTATGAAGAAGACAATGGGGATGCAGGCTACTGTAAGCGCGGGCGAAGCAAACCACCCAAGATTCGAGTGAGCCAACAGGCCAGGGGCAGCCCCGATGTCAGCCGTCTGAACGGAGCCATTGACTCCACGCCGGGACAAGCCACGCCCCGTGCGGCGTCGACGGCGCCCCGTGCGGTGCCGGCAGCGACATCGTGGCTGTCCAACAGTCTGCGACAATCTTGAAGGCGGCTCGAGGGCATGCGATGTTGCTGCGATGGATGGGCGGCGGGTGCGTTCGAGAAGCCTTGCGGCCATGAGTCGGCTCTGACGGCTCGAGTCCAAACCAATGCCACTCGTCCAAGGTTGTCTCTTGGCGCACGCCGTGTTCCTCGACGACCCCTGCCTCAACGCCCACAATGGAACCTTGGACGTGGAGAGCCGGCCATCCGCACGGCACGTGCCGACGAGGCCCCCTATTCTCTACGGTTCGTATTCGGTCGACGGCTCGTGCGATCGGGAGGGCCGGATGGAGGACTCGCGGGCGCGCCGGGCCGACATAGACGACGGGATGCGATCGTTGTCCGGCGACGATTGCATTGTCTCCCGTTCGAAACGATTGTTCGCCGGCCCTGATGTAACGTCCGGTCAGCCCCTGTTCCCGGTGAACGACCCTCGGCGACATTTGCACCGCAGCTCGACCTGTCCTGCAGATAAGACCAACAGCACAGGCCCGTACAGTGCTGAAGATGACGCAGAGCGGCCCGTCACTGGAATGTCGGGCCGGGAAACTCGAGCAGTGATGCTGTACAGCACTGTACGACACAGTCACGTACGACGACCAATGTGCGCAGGGAGACCGGTGCTCGTGCACCCGTCCGCACTGGTGGGGTGTGCGCGACGTCGTCGTCCGTGTCCTCGGGCCACGATCACGAACCGACGGTTGAAGCCGACGGAGGACCAAGCGTCGGAACAAGGGAGAAGAGACCCGATGCGGGACCGGAGGACGACCGCCCACGACGTGGCCACCAAGAGCGAGACGAGGCGACATGAACACACCCGGACCATGCGGCCATGTTTGCTGGGGCTCCAACGCCTGAGGTGCGGGCGCGCCAGTGCATTTTGGGCGCCTCACCTACCTAGTAATTACTTGAGGTACAGTACTGTACTGTACCTACCTAGTAGTGAAGGTACGCAGTGATTACTGTGCCGTGGAGGGGCTGGCCTGGAGCTCCCAGAGGCACCTGCGCAGTGCTTTAGGTACCTACTTACTCGTACACCATTGTAGTGGAGCACTGACCGGGCGAGAATCGCTGGAGGCCCAGGGCCTAACCAAGGGCACGGTACCTGACAAACCTGGCGCGGGGCAGCCCTGAGGGGTGCCTTGGGCGCTTGCTCGCCGCAAACCCAGGCTTATCGATTGCCAGTCGAGTGGATCCCGCCAGCAAATTTCCACAGCCTCCAACCTCGACTGATGCTCGCTTCGCGAACCGCCTGCCACCGCCAACTCACAGAGACGCGACGCGACGACACAACGCTGCTCGGTCGCATAGCCCTTGTTACAGTGTGAAATAGACCCGGGCCGGCCAAATCCATACCCACAGCAGTTGGGTTGGAAAATGCCGCACAAACACAAGAGAAAGCGCGGCGGTGACGACGATGAGTGAGCTTCCTCCAATCCCCAACCCGGCGAACTTGCAATGCTGAACAATGGTTGCACAGATACGATCTGCCACCGTCGCAAAAAGCCCGGCCGCTACCTGTCTCCACGAACAGGCAGAACGCGAAGCAACAAGCCCGAGACGCCACCACCAAGCAGCGCAGGGGCCGCGCCTCGGACAACGATGCCCCACGCGCGTTCCGACGGCTGATGGCCATCGCACAAGGGAAGAAGACAAGGTCGGGCCTCGACGACGGCCAGGAGCCAAGCTCCCGCAAAGGCAAGGGCAAGGAAAAGGGCAAGGAACCAACCACCACAGCCGAGGACATGCCCGAGGCGCCGCGTATCCGCCCTGGCGAGGACCTAAGGTCCTTCGCTGCCCGGGTCGACGCTGCTCTGCCGGTGGCTGGCCTGACCAAGAAGACCAAGATTAAGGACGGCAAGGACGAGGCGGGCCTCAAGGTCTTCCGCACGCGCAAGGAACGGAAGATGCACAAGCTCTACGACCAGTGGAGAGCCGAGGAGCGCAAGATCCAGGAGATGAAGGAGGAAGAGCTCGAGCTCGAAGCCGAGCGCGAGTTGGAAAACGACGGGGCTGGCGTCCTGACATCCTCTGCTTTCATGGACGCGCCCCAAGACGCCTCTGGGAAGAAGAAGAAGGGCCGCAGGCGGCGAGGCAAAGTCGAACAGGACGACGAGGATCCGTGGCTTGCGCTCAAGAAGAAGCGAGCAGAGGCAAAGGTCGGACTGCACGACGTGGCACAGGCGCCGCCAGAACTCCACAAGAAGATACGGCAGCAGCTTAGAGTTGGCGACGCTACAGTTGACGTGGACAGCGTGCCCAAGGCCGCGGGAAGCTTACGTCGGCGCGAGGAGCTGCAGACGGCACGAAACGACGTGGTGGAGGCGTACAGGAAGATACGCGAGCACGAGCAGGCCAAGCTCGACGCTCAGCGGAGGAAGAAGTAGCCTTTCGCATTGTGCCTGCGCCCTGGGGTACGGTAGAACTCGTGAACCAGCGGCATGCATGCACGTCCTTGTTCCTGATCAATTGAGCATCCAGCCCGGCACAAAGCGCACACTGCGAAGTAACCAAGGCTGCTACTGTACCAGGCCCGGTACAAAGACTTTGCACCTTGACCAAAGAATTTAAGGTTGTCCCTGCATCTGAGCATGTGCAACTGGGGACTTGGATTACGTCATCGTAGCTGTCAATCGCCTCGCGGCCCACTTCTCCACTTCCACCCCACACACGTCCCTGCAGTGAGCAAAAACACAGAACACGGCATCGTCCAGAATCCCAGTGGTTCCGATTCTGATGGTCGCGCGTTCAAATCCCGGAGCTGAGCACACTTTTATCACCTTCCCGACCTCTAGCTCTTTCGCTTGACGATGACCCCAAATCTTCCAGAGACATCATGGCCTGGGAGCTAGAAGGGTTGATCGCGCATCTTTTGATGCTGATCGCCTGTGCTGGTGAACAAGGTGAGTTTGCCTACCCCCTTCACATGAGCACGTTAGCCCTGGGCCATTCGCCGCAGGGATCTACTTTGCGGCCCATGCCTCCAACTTGAGCGAGCGATGTTGGGATTTATCTCAGGAGCTAACTTGAGCCGACCACAGGTTGCTCTGTTGAAGAAGTAATTCGGGCTATACGTGACTCTGCAGCACCGACAAGCTCTGGCTCCTCTGCCGCCGAGCAGCCTGTGGTGGACCGAGCTACTGAGACGATATGGAAATGGCTCGTCCAAAGAAGCGACGTCTCCGTTGGCCGCGAGAGGCAGCATAATCACCTTGCTCTGCCTGCTCTCCTCGAGTTGCAGCAAATTCGTATCGCCAGCGGGCCTGACACGGATGGCGCAGCCTCATCTTCAAGCCCGGACCACGCAGTCAGAATTTATGTATCCGAGGCTACCATGTGGGAGGCCATCACCGGCCATGCCGTCGACCACAAGCGGATACCCCGCTCCGAGTGGGTGCTCCTGCTCGGCATCGCATCCAGCGGCCCCCGTGGCATCCTGCAAGGCGATCTCGGGCGGCTTGTCGTGCAAGACAAGCGCTCTGTGCCTAAGCGAACCGATTCACTTGTCCGCAAGGGCTACATCATCAAGAGGACCACACTCGTTCGTGGGACCAAAACAAGTAAGATGTGGCTGAAGCACTTGGCTCCATCCTTGCCCAAGGAAAGCGACTCGATCAGCCGGCCAGTGCCCGAAATGACATTGACTCGTCAGGCCTTGGCCGACAATCTCGATCCTGTACCCTGGCATATCCGCTGGACCGGCACAGATGTCGATTACACTGCTTTGGCAACGACTATCATGGCCATCGCCAAGGAGTGGGAAGTGATACGCATGCAAGATCTCAAAGCGAAGCTGGGTATCCTCGAGATGCGGTGGCAAATGAAAGTCATGTCCAAGACTTGCCGGTTTCTCGGTTCGCGCGGTACGATACAGTATGTTGCAGCCAAGCTCGAGAACAAAGTGTTCAAGGACTGCATCAAGTTCTGTCGCGAACTCGATGCCGAAGATTGGTCCCTATTCTTGGCGACGGGGAGAAAGGCCGGCAGGCCGTCGAGGAACGCGGCGGAGGACGATCTGGGCGATGAGGATATCGCTCGACGTGCCAGTAGCCTCCGACTCAGCTCTTTGCCCCCATGGGCCCCGGACAAACCTCTGCCTTGGACTATCGCGAGGCTGGTGCAGGCGTCTAGGGACAATGGGCTGTCAAACCCAGATATCTATTCGCTCACTCTTGGCGCGACCTTTAATCGCTTCCTGTCAGCCATGACTGGATCTATGGCCACGACGGGCCTGCAGCCCGCCCACCTCAGACACATGCAGCTACGGAGCGAGCACGCCAGATCAGGCAAGGTGGCATCGTATCTCTTCTTCCCTCAGACCAAGGCCAACGAGGCGCCCTTACAGTCCGTAAACGTGGAAGAAACGCCCGTGGAAGATGCACAGGGTTACCGCTTTGGACCCCCGCCTAAGGTGCCCATGAAAACCTCGACGCAATTATCACTCGCGAGGATTTGTGGAGTTCGTTTGAAGGCGAAGAAGCCTTCACGCTCCACCCAACGAACAACGCCTTCAGGCGAATCCCCGGGATCGCAGGACGAAGTCCGTCCGGAAACCCCGGCCGACACAGCTACAGCTCAGGCAGAGAATGAGAGGCCAAAACTTGTGGTCAAGCTCATGCTTTCCCCAGAAGCCCTTCGCGCTGCCCTGACTCTGGAGATTCCCCCTCCATCTCCTGCTCCAGACGGGCGTGCCGATGAGCCACAAAATGAGGCGGATAAGGAGCTTACCAGTCAACCAGAAGCTGTCGGGGACGTTACGGAACATGCCACCGATGTTGCGACCTCGCCATCAGTAGCTGCCAGAGGCCGGGGTTCGGGTCGCGCTCGCGGGCGCCCTCGAGGTCGCGGCCGTGGCAAGCGCGGCCGAGGAGGACAGTCGACAGGATCTGTCCGTGAAGACGAGCCACCTTCACGGCCGTGGACATGCGAGAAGTGCGGCGGTAGCTGGAAGAATGATCTGGGCCTGAAGTACCACTTGGAGAAGTCAAGATCATCCTGCAACACTTCTTACGTCCCTCCCGCCGTTCCCGCCGGCCGGCGTACGAAGGCTAAGGCGTCCTCTTACTCGACAACATTGGAAGCCTTCTATGAGAGCGATTCGGTGAGAGGCGAGGGTACACCTGACGCAAGTGCTCCTTCTGTCTCCGATGAGCCCCTGGCTCCCAGAACCAGAATCAAGAGACGGCAATCCCCCGAGGAGCTGCTGGATAGCCGCCCGGCTACCAACGACGATGCTGCAGAAGGTTCGCATACAACGCCCATGGCGCCACTCAAGAACCTAACCACACTGGTCGAAGAACAAGGTCCATTTGTTCCAGCGAAGACTGGGCAAGGGGCACTTCTAGAGACCGAGGCCAGCTTGCCTCGACACAACTTGGCGCTCATGAGCAATAGCCCTTTAAGCGCACCTGTTCATGCGTATCCGCCAACTCCAAGTGACTTTGTCAGCCAGATAGGCCAGCCTGAAGGATCCGGATCCGTCTCAGCCACCCCTGGCCTCGAAGCCGAGTCAACGATGACAGGCAGGGAGAACAAAAGGGGGGATGGTAGCCATCATCGCCGCAACAGAACTACCAAGGTTAAGGTTATGTTGAATCGAATATCCAACATCATCGAAAACCTTCTGGAAGAACGCGGCGGTGCACTCTTGGGCGGTTCGACCCTTGCGCAGGACGTCGCTTCCTCGTGGAACGCTCTTTTCCCTGCCGAACAAACTCCTTCGGAAAGGGACTGCCAGACCACAGCGAGAGACATGATCAAGAGGAAGGCTGTCGCTGAACACTGGCATGCCTTTCGCGACGAAAAAGGCATGTTTTCAAAATGCCAGCTCATTACTCGGCCTAATCTCGATGCCTTCGCGCCAGAGTCTTTGCGCCTGATCGAGCAGCTGAAGATGGGAGACGGGCCGTTTCGAAACACGATGGTAGGCCAGGACAAAAAACCCGATCTCGACGCCTCAGCTGGTACAAAGATCCGTGGACGTCGACCTTTGCCCGAGGAGGTGGCAATTCTGGACGCCCCTGTCTATGCTGCGCAGCTGGCGGCAAAAAGAGCTGGGGACACTGAGAGCCCTCGCCGTGTGAAACGGTACAAGTACTCTGTGGACCCCAAATCTGAGGAGGGAAACGGTCTTGGGACTCCCCCCAGGCGTCGCAGGGGCAGGAAACGCAAGATTGGACATGGCGAATGGGACGACGGATTTTCAAGCCCTTCATATGGAACTCAAGCGTCTACCCGAGGTATCACGTTTCTGGAACCCAATACACGCCTCGATGACGACTTTGCGCCACAAGCATCTACCGCCAGGGGTGATACACCGTGGTCGCTCGGCCCTTTCACCTCTCGGCGTGGACAGGAATCTGCGGAGCTACAGGCATCGGAGCCTACCACCTACAAATTTGGCGCAGCCACTCCAATAGTCGGTTGCAGGGGCACTTGGCCCTGGTTCAGCAATGCAGGAATCGACAGCCTCGGCAGTAGCCTCATTCTCGAAGGCTGGATGCCGGATAGGAAGTGGTTCGAATGGTCCGCGATTAACCACCAAATCGAGGAACGGCTTGCAGCGTCGAAGCACAAGAAGTACACGCCGGGCTTGGCGAACACACCCCATCAGCGATTTCTTCGCAGGCTGCGTGCTTGCTTGGACGTGGAGTTGTCGCATGAATCTCACTTTGTCAAAGCTGCGCCCGGAGAGGCCGGTCCGTACAACATCTTTGTCCGGTTTCACGCCGACCCAGATGAAGGAGTCACTGGGGCTCTCCATGAACTGGTCTGGCCAGCCAAGGAGCAGCTTACGCCGAATTCAGTAAGGGACGGTTTGGCGAGCAAGGCAGATGATGCCGCCTCGTCCTCTTCTGATGACGATCTAGAGATCATTACTCGCCGGGCAATTGCCAGTCAGGCACGAGCGTCAGCTGCCGATGCTGGTAGCTGGGGCTCGAGACAACCAAAGATCAAGCGTGTTGCCCTGGTGACTCGAGCTCTCACTGCCCTTTCCACACCTGGAGGCACTGCCGAAGTAGCCTCGACGGGCACCGCAAAGATCGACAATCGACCGGAGCTTTTGGCTGCCTTTATTGCCATCCGCTCGGTTCTAGGGGGCGCAGATAAGGCAGTTGACTGGGGCCTGCTCATGAAACTATATCCCCATCTCGGTCTTGTGCATCTGAGGAGATTCTGGACAGCCGTTCGAAAGGAGCAGACGGCCTACGTCTCAAACTTCACCCGCATTTTCCAAGAAAAGCTCCTCTCCGCGTTCGAAAGCGGTGAGCTTCCCGTCATAGACTTTGACAAACCCCTTGAGTATGATTGGAGCGGGCTGATACGTTGGACAATGCAACTACCTCGGCAAGATGGATTCCAGATGCCACGCTCAAGGGAGCTCCTTGACCAGCACTACTCTCTGGACGGGGTTCAGGGCAAGACCGAAGACTGGAGAGAGAGATATTTCCATACCCTAACATCAACGTATACTCGCTTCGAGGCAATCACAATGGACTCTGGTGCGGTCACCATCACGAGCGCATCCAATGGAGCGGTCGCATGGCCTGCACTGGCTGTGACGGACTTTGACGTGGCAAAGTCCTGGGTCAAGTCGCTCTGCAGCACCGGAGAGACGCGATATTCAAGCGACCAGATCAAGACCAAGTTTAACCAGCTGTGTCCGGGGAACAGGCAGCAACGGGCAGCAATCTTTCGCCAGGCGACGTCTCAACTGACCGATGAGAAAGTCATTTGCCGGAGCAAGAAGGCCTTGCTTGGTGGTCGCCCGTACCGGCTGAACGAGTGGTACGTGTCGAATTTGGCGAAGATGGCCCAGACAGCAAAGTACGACGAGGCCGCCGCCTTCAAGGCGCAACTGGACGACGCCTTCCGCAGCCAGGGATCGATGGCAGTAGCGTACACTCTCAGCGAGGGCGCAGTGATGGCTCTCACCAACTTGAACGGAGCCGGGAGAGTTAGGCTCGTCCCCGTGGGGCTTCCCGACATCCCTCTCGGCTTCGAGCCGGGCAACTACGAAAGCCGCAAGTATCCCAAGTCGTATTACCACTTTGGGATCGACGCGGTGCCGACGGAATCTTACAAGTTCAACGAGGAGATCGATGTGCTGCGGGTTGCGCTGGCTGACGGACCACCGACGGGCCGTTCTGGGGGCGAGCTGCCTCAATGGGTCGACTTCTTCGAAGCCAGCAACGTTCAGCTGTGGTCAGAGATCCTTGGTGCGTTTTGCTTTGCGTTTGCGATACGAGGCGCCATGACCAGGGAGGGCATCTGCAGCGCTCTTCACCCTACGCTGGACGAGTTTGAGGCCCAGCTCATCATGGAATGGGGCCGAAGGACGGGCGTACTGGTGAGCACGATGGACGGCATGGCGACGACCGTTGGAGAGTGGTGGTGGCTTGTGGTTCCCTGGCTCCGCAACGGGCTTGCCGCGTAGACTGGATGTAGACGGGGCGCCTAGCTAGAGACAGGTGTACGGGGCACGCTGGCCGTTTGATTGAACCAGGGGGACGTTGTCACAACTGTTTGCATCTTTCCTGTATTGTACCTAGATACCCCTGACAGGAGCCGGGCGAGGCGACCCGTGTCATTTTTGAGCTGACTATTCCACGGGCTGTCGATTGCAAACAGCCACAATCCATCCCATCATCCGCGACCGTGTTCCTTGACGCCGTTCCTCGTGACTTAGCCCAACATGCCATGGCAGGCTAGAAACCATCAGGAGAAACAATGAAAGTGACATCCAGTTGCTCCAACTCCAATAACGCCACGTGCTTCGTAAATGCCACATTGAGTCTATATAGCTCAAAAACCAAACAAGACCTTGAAAAGTACGGCGCCCAGGAGTATAACCAAGGCAACAATGGCCCGGTCAATCCACAGAGGAACGCCATCGTTAGGGGCACCAGGGATTTGGTGGAGCTGGGGGCGTCCATGCCGGTCGTTGGCTTGCCCAGGAGCGGCGGGCAAGCGCTGCACATGAGCCGCCTGATTTGGAGGAGCCGTTGGTAACACTGTTTGCCTTGTATCTTCGGCGTGTCGTGCGGGCGGTGCCGTCCGGACGAAGCCCTCAGCCAGTTCTGCACCGTCAGATTCGTCATCTCTGCTTGCTGTGGGCGTCGCATTGCTAGCGGGCCCCTGCTCTGCCTTCGAATCGGCATCTTTCCTCGCCTGCATTTCGTCCTTCCAGCCCATGCTGAGTTCTTGGGGCACCTGCACCTCCTCGGGGGTCAACGACGAATGCTCGCGCGCTCTCTTTTCGGACTCGGCGATGATGTCGGTGTTGGTGCGGCCACACGTCGCGCACGCGTGGGAGCCAGACTCGCGGGCAAGCCGCCGGCGGACTGCATCGGTCGTATCCAGGCCACCCAGCTGGCCCCGCGCGTCAGTCTCCATGAAGCTTCTGAGACTGTAACACAGGAAGTCGGGTCAGTTTCGGGGGCGAGGGGAGATAAAGGAGTGGGGAAGTGACGCACGCGACTATAGCCGTCCGGATCCCCCACGCGGGCTGCCAGGTCTCCTCGTGGTGACCGCTGATGCTCAGACATATCTCGCGGTTGGCCTCGAAGCGACCGTTGGGGGTGGTGAAACGGAAGCTAGGTGGTCGCAGGGGGTACGTCGGCGGCAAGACAATGCGGCCGTGGTACACGCCCTCGCTGTAGGACGAGTTGGGCGGCCCTCGGAGGGTGAAGTGCCATTCAAAGAGGTCGGATTCGAGGGGCTCGGCGATGTAGTCTGGCGATGGGGAGTTGGACATTTCAGCAGCTTCTCGGACTGCACACTGTCTGTTAGCGGCCAGTTCGCGATGCGGCTCGGCAGCTCAGTCGGGTGCTGGCGACTCACGAATGCGCCGGATTGTCGGCGACTTTGAGCTGAGCTGAGGGGTGCTGTTGGTTGCGGAAGCCATGATGTCGGGGAGAATACGGCTTCAGCCAAGTGCTGTTCCTGGCTCGTAGCTGGTGGTGTCGTTCAAGCGTCGTCTCTATCGCGGGACACCAACAGGTCCCATGGCGAGCAGAGACAGCCAGCAAAGGTAGTGGCGGCGCGACGTTGATGGGACAGAACAGAACAGGTCTTGGGGAGAAGGGAGCGACGCTCTGCCAGCGGGCGCAGAGGGGAATGCAGCTAGAGGACGGAGGTGAACTGACGTTGTGTCGACGTGTCCAATGTTGAGGAGGGCGAGGATGAGCGAGGCGGGGTGACGATGGAGAGATGCCGCTGATGTGTAAGTCGTTAGGTCACTGGCGACGGGCTGCATGTGCATGGACCAGCAACGTGTATCATTTCCCAGGACGAGGCGTGGGAACAAGACACTTCGTACATACCTAGTAGTGACTGCCACTGACAGGACAAGGTGGGCGCTACGTACTACTACCTAGTACCTACAATTATGTATTATGTAGGTACCTTGGAATTAGATTGGCACTCGTACTTGGCCTTCAGGTATGACCCAAGACTGGGGCTACCTTGAGGCAAGTACCTGTAGGTAAGTAAGGTACGTGCCTAGCAGGCCAGAGCGGGAAAGAGGGAAGTACTGCCGAGTACGAATACGCGGCGAGTACCTTCCAAGTCAGTAGCAAGTACCTCTACAGGGCGCGCAATAGTTGTACCCGCGCCCGTCCCAGTACTGTGTTCCTTTCGTTTCAGAAGATGCCGTCCCCTAAAGTCTGGCTCCCGGGGCTGGCTCCAGTCAGCCAATGAGCTTGCGCATAGGCACGCTTAGTCATTCCAGAATTGTCCCCCCCCCCCGGGCCCGGTCTCAACTTCGGCGATGCGTCTCTCGCAGTGTCGACGAAGACATCCGGCTGATCATCAACCGCTGCACGGCAACATCGCGAATACGACCCGGTCTCGCGCGTCAATCAGGTTAGTCCAATCGCAAATTTCTCCTCCTTCCGTCTCCCGCGTCGTGACGGGCGACGGGCGCAGGCTTCGTGCCTGCCCGAGGCCGGCCGGTCGCTCCCCGCCCATTCTTCACCCTGCCTCCAGACGACATTCTGCAGCGCCGACTACAATTGCTGACCTCTGATGCGTCTTCTCGCAGCTCGTCGCCTGATCGGTAATTCCTCGAGCCGCGAACCCCAGACCACGAACGTGCTCGCCATGGGCCCCCCGAAGCCTCCCGTGCCCCATGTGGCCCCCATCTACCGGTTGACTGCGACCGCCCTCGGCGCTGGCATGTGGTTTTGGGTGCGTTTGTCCCCTGCAGAGCCATCGACGCCCAAGGCTTCTTGCCCGAACCCGCAAGGAAAAGGGACCGTGATGCTGACTTGCTGTTCTGCAGCTGATGTACAGAGCCAAGAAGGACGGTACGAAGAATATCCCTCGCCTCCGCTCCCGCCGCTGGCAGCCATTGCCCGTGCGCCCGTATTGCCGTCAACAAGCTGCTGACGTGTCTATTCACTGCATTAGGTCCGGTACTGATGGGCTGGAAGCATCCCTGGGATCATTGAACGATTGGTGGGGAAGCGAACACGGAGTCCTCGGCGGGAGAAGCGACCCGATAGAGGATCAAATCCATTGTACAAAACGAAAAAAGGCCATGAACTCTCTCTCACGCCGCAATGCACGCTACGCTGCCGTGACGTCTTTCCCTCTCTGCTTCTCCTTCTCAAACAGGTAATGGGCGACCCCCCAGGTGTCGCCGCCGTCGTACGCAAACAGCTCCGAGCAGGCCATGTAGAAGATCTGCCAGCGATTGTACCACGTCGCCGCATCCTTGTCGCCGTACGTGTGCACGAGGTGCGGCCACATGTCCTTCTTGTTGGCCGTCATGGACGACAGCCAGTCCTCGCAGGTGCGCGAGTAGTGCGTCCCGTTGACCCACCACTGCTTCTGGATCTTGAGGTCTCGCTGGAAATAGAGAAGCAGGTCGGCCGAGGGCATGGTGCCGCCGGTGAAGAAGTGCGTCGTCATCCAGCCTTCCTCGTAGTCGTACGGGGTCGACTTGTGCGCAAAGATGTGCACGAAGAGCTTGCCGCCGGGCTTGAGGGCGCGCGAGACCTTGGCCATGAGCAGCTCATAATTCTTCATGTGCTCAAAGAGCTGCAAGACGTGGCCCCTGCCGTCAGTATTCGCACACATGTTGTGATGGGATAGGCAGAGCGGGGGCACATACCTCTATCGACACCACACGGTCGAAGCTGCCGGCTTCAAACTCGTAGTCGACGACGTTTCCGGTGATGACTGTTACATTTGACAAGCCACGACGACGAGCCTCGGCGTCGATGTGCTCCTTTTGCGTTCGCGAGTTGGAGAAGGCAGTGATGGGCGAGTTGGGGAGCATCTCTGCAAAGAAAAGAGCGCCGGAACCCCAGCCGCATCTACGTCAAGGCACAAGCTCAGTCTCAACGCGGGGATCTGAACTGCATGGATGGATGGACCCTCTTACCCCAAATCGAGGATGCTCATGCCGTCCTTGAGCTCTGCCTTGTCGAGGTAGGACTGGAGCATGGCGACCTCGGCCTGGGCCAGCGTCTCGCCGCCCTTGGGATACAGGCAGCACGAGTACTTCATGCGCGGGCCGAGACAGGCCGCCAGCACGCCGGTGCCGACCTCGTAGTGCTGGGCGTTGGCGGCATCCGTCTCCACGGCCATGGGCCGCGTGCGGAGGCGCTCAATGTAGGCCATCTTGCTGGCGATGGCATCGCTCAGGGACGTGCTGGCGATGGATGCCAGCCGGTCCCGGAGCTGGCGCCGGATGCCGACGCGGATGACGGCATGCGGCAGGTAGCCGCCGTCGAGGATCCAGTCTGCCCGCGATCATGCCTGAGTGAGCACGTGTGTCCGTCCGTAGCTAAGCTGGCGGGCTCACCGTAGTTCATGGCCAGCGACTCTGTGATAGACCGTAGAGTAAGCTCTGTCACGGCGAGTGCGCAGGTGATTCGGCGCGAGAGGTGCTGGAGGGCCCGGCGGGCGGTTTCTCTTCATCCATGCATACAAAGTCTAGTGTTACACAAGCCAGGAACCCCGTTTCGGCTGCCGGGCGCTGCGCCGTTGCGGGCGGCTGCCAGGCGCAGGGAGTGGTGAGGTCATGGACTCACCCGAGACCAACCTGAAGCAGGCCGCCGCCCCACTATTGGCCAACGGCCCTGGGCCGCGCCGTGCCGCGCCGCGCCGCCGCCCCGAGCCCGGCCGTCCGGAGTTCTCCCCTTCGCCCGCCCTCATTTGTCTATCCCAAACGCCCTTCCGCCTGCCCCTAAATGCGTCGCCGTCCTTAATTACCCCAGATGCTCTCTCGGATTATCTTGTACTCCTTGCGCTTCTTGCCTCGTCCCGTGAGGCGCTCCTTGGCCGCCCCCAAGAACCTCGCGAGGCGCAGCGCCAGGTGCCGCTCAAACACCCAGGCCATCCCGATGTATGCCACTCCAAGCCCGATCAGGGCCATCTCATACCCCCGGCTCATGTTCGTCAGTTGCATAAGCTTCTTCAGCCAATGCGCCGGGGCCAGCACCATGTACACCGATACGCCCAGTGCCACCGTGATTGTCGCCATGAACGGCCCTGCCTCCGAGTCAGCATCGCCAATGATGAGGTCGCCGTCCAGCACTTGCAGGGGGCCAACTTACAGTTCTGCAGCGTGCCCTGCCGGAACGGTGGTCCGGCATTCAGGAGCACTCCTGACAAGACGTACTCGAAGCACGACACCAAGAACAAGGCTGTGTTCTCCGAGTTTTTGATACTTGATTCGTCGTGCTTGACCTTGGGTGGTATGTACCAGCTCTGCTGTCGGACCGTCACATATGCCACGGCCTGGATGAGAATACAGATGCCCATGAGGCCCAGAAGCGGTGTCAAGACTTTGCGCGACACCAAGTCCGCCGTTGGCCGCTTCCGGCACAGCTTAGGCGCCGGGCCGGCCCATCCCATGAATATGGCGATGGGCAATATTAGAAGAAGGTCGATGAAAAGGAACTGAAAGTCGCCGAGGTTGGACGCCTTGGCATACAAGAAGCTCACTGACGTGAACTGGATTGCCGAGTACAGGCTCATGTACTTGAAGCAGCTGAAACTCGTCACAAGCGCGGCCCTCCCCTCCCTAATGAGCTTGTTAGCAGACGCACACCACGTTGCTCGTCACGAGGGATTTCTTCTTTGGTCGTACTTGATGACCTCGAGGACACAGCCAATGTCAAACACCCTCGATGTAAAGGGCGCCGCCACAGACGCTTCTGCTTCTGACAGGGAGATGCCGACATCCGCTGCCTTGAGCGCTCCGCAGTCGTTGGCGCCGTCACCGCAGAATCCGCAGCAATAGTCTATACTCTGAAGCTTCTCAACCAATTCGTGCTTCTCGTCTGGCGACATTCGTGCAAACACCTTGCCTTGGACAAGCATCTGTTGGGCAACCGGTTAGCCCAGCCGCTTGTTGCAACGACATGTACGATGCTTACCGTTCGCAAAACCTCTGGCGATGCATAGTCGACAATCCAGCGGAACGCTTCTCCGCTAACAGCCAGAGAATAATTACGGAGGTTGGAAATGTCGTACGGCAACGAAGCGTCGGCCTCAGGGGGGACTGGCAAAGGCTACACCGTCGTCAGAACGAAATCTCCCCGTGGTCAGGCGCTTTGCATGTCTCACCGAAAGAGTCCGTTTATCAAGGCTGTAGACGTTGTTATCAATGCTTTCCCAGTGCAGTTCAGCTGTGGGATCGCGTGCATCGCCTGGAGAACGTTAGCAGTCTGAACGCAGGCCCTCTCCCAATGACACGACTCACCGCGTGTGAACCGCGGCACGAAGCAATGCGCGTTGCGATCCAACAGTCCGCATTCCCGCGCAACACTAATGGCTGTGAGGATGTTGTCGCCTGTCACCATCACCGCGCCAATGTTGGAGTCGAGCAGCTCCTTCAACACACCCGCCGTGGTAGGCTTGAGCTTGTTCTCGAAAATGATGAAGCCGACAAAGTCAAGACGGCTCTCAACCTCGTCTCTGGTCATCTTTTGCGCCTTGACCCAGGTAAGCTTCGGCAGATGGCGCGTCGCACAGCCAATGACGCGATACCCCTTGTGAGTGTAATACGACAAGAGCTCGTCGTAGTCATGAGGGACTAAAACATGTCAGAGAACGCAACGATCGAGACTGGTTTACTCACAGCTCTCCGGCCGACAGATTTCTCGCATCGCCTCGGGGGCTCCCTTGACGAAAATGTCGCCGCTCTTCTGCCCAAAATGACGGACAATAACACTGGCTCGTCTGAGCTGCGACACGAACTCAAATGACTTCAAAACACCAAGCTCAGCGGATTCCTGTTCCCCAAAGTTAGCCAACGAAGTTATTTGGCACTGGATAGTCAACATACGTCAGGTGGGCGCGCGATGGAGGGAGCAAGCCCGCCTTGATCCTCGTCCTCGCCGTCGCCTACCCGGTGTTTGCCTTCCTCAAACGACCAGCCGGTGAACTCAAACATCTTAACGTCTAGCGGGTCCCCAACGAGGCCGCCGTCCACCGAGCGAAGGGAGTGGCATGTTGCCATGGTGTACAGCGCGGCCTTGGTAGGGCTCCGCTTCTGCGACGCGACATTTTCGGCATGGCTCTCAATCGACGGCGGTGCCGACATGACGTCGCTGAACTTGTGCGTCTCTGGACATATGACACGGATCCCCAACACGTCGAGGCCATCCTCTGTCAACGTACCAGTCTTGTCGAAGCACATGATGTCCAGTTTGCCGCCGACATTCACCCTTTGAGGGCTGATGCAGAATATTTCCTTCTTCTTGAGGCGTGCAAGGGCGAAGTTGGTGCCAATCGTAAGGGTCGCGGGGAGGGCAGGCGGGACAACGATGGTGATGAGATCCAACGCCCGCACAATGATCAAGTGCCACGCAAGGTTGAGCCTGACAAAGTTGATAAAAGAGGCCACGAAGCCCAGCAAGGCGACCATGGCCATGACACTGATGTATCTGAAGGAGTCGCGATAGAACTTGAAGCCCGAAGGCTTGGGGAAGAGCATGGAACGGACCAAGGCGCCCTTGGTCGTATTGAAGCCAGTCCGCACTACAAGGGCAAGGGCAACGGCGTCGCCTCCCTCGTCCTCGTGCGGCCGCCTCGTACGGATGATTTTGGTGCCGCAGAACAAGAAGTGTCGTGCAGTCTCAGGCGAGACGGAAGCCGCCCCGAGGTCCATAGCCCGAAGCACCTCGTCCGTGGCCGGCAGCTTCGAGACCGGTACAGATTCACCTTCAACCGTCAGCCTGCTTGCCCTGTCTCATCAGCATAGGTGGCCGATCCCGTCGCTTACCGGTCAGCATGCTCTCGTTGACAATGCAGTCTCCACTGAGAAGCAATCCATCGCTTGGAAACTGTGTCAGATTTGGGTCGCTGAGCTCGTAAATGTCTCCCGGAACCAGGTCGCTAGATGAGACGTATCTCCCTTATTACTGTGGTCAGTGGCGTGCCGCTTCAGACTAGGAAATATGGGCTGTTGGCAACTCACAGAATCCATTACGGAGAACGCGAACGTCGCATTCAAACCGGGATATCTCCCTGAGCCTCTTCATAGTCTTTCCTTTGGTTAGCCTTGCCTAGTGCTAGAGGCGTGTCGCGCCAAGGGTAATCCTACTCACCGCGCGGGTTTCAATGAGCGTAGCAGTGATGCTACCGACTGACATGACGAAGATGCAGGCGGCATAGTAGTAGTACGAGTCCATGGACCAAAGGATCAGGCTGGCTACTTGAAACATGTAAAAGGGATGCAGGACCTGGGTGAAGGTTTCAGCACGTGGCGCCACGAACTTCAATATATGTATCGGGACAACTCACCTCGTCAACAAGCAGTTGGCCAACAGGCTTCTGGTCGACGTCGATCAAATTGCTCCCAAAGATAATCTCGCGGATGGACTTTTCGTCACTGTCGAGCCCGGCACGCACGGAACGGACATCAGTCCATTCCGGATCCTTCCACCCAGTAGACATGACGAACTTATCCTTGAGGGGGTGGTAGCAGAGGCGAACGTAGCGATAGTCGAGAGTCCGGAGACTATCCATCAGGGGATCACTATCCTCGTCGTCTAGGCCGTAGGCGAAGATCTTCTCAGGGAGGCCAAAGACAGACGAGAGGGGACGTCCGTAGAGCTGGGTCTTGACCGACATAATTGCGAGCTCGCCCCATTGGTTCTCAACAACAACCCAGTGGCACTCCCTCAAGGGAAATGGCCGGCCGACAAGTCCAACATACCATCGCGGAAGCCATCGGAAGAGCAGGAAAGCAAGTCCACATGAAACAACGCAGGTAAACACGTAGCATGCGTATCCGACCCTGCTCGTGCGAAAGCCAGCAACGGCGATGGTCAGGTCCTCGTTGGGCATATAGATCTTCTGGCTTGTACGGCCTTCATGACGAGAGCTCGCTGCCGTCGCAGCGCTATCATGACGGAGTAGGCGGGCGTGGACCGAAGTGCGTGACTGGGCCGAGGAGCATCGGCGGAGGACGTAGTCGTCCTCGGTAGCCTGATACTCACGATCCGCCGAATCTTCGTCGTCGTCGACGGAGAACTCGAATTCGTTTACATCGCCGAGGTCGCTGATACTGCGGCGGATGTAGCTGCCCGACACGCTCGGCCTCCGATAGACACTTTCGCGGTCTTCTGGCTCCGGCGCAAGTTCCTCCTCCTCTTCGTAGTACGTGAAGCTCGCGGTTGAGTCGGCCCGTGCTCTGCGATGGGAAAACGCCGACACACTTGTGGGCAGGCTCTCAGCCATGGGGCCCGAGTAGAGCTGCGGTGATGTTAGTCGTCGATATCGGCCATGGCCGCCCAAGGCCGTGTATGATTGCCCACCTCTTCATGCGCCATCTCGACGTCTTCGAAGACGCTGGTATTGCTCTGGTTCGAATTGAGGCGGTACAGGGAGGTGCCCCCGCGGTTTCTAGACTCGTGGCCGGCGCCGGGGGGGCTGCGGCGACGGCCGCCCGTAGGGGAGCTCGCGGCATCTTCCATCGCCGAAGAGTCACCAGCCGAAGCTCTTCATGGCGAATGCGACAAGGTGCGGTTGTGGCGGGCGTACTCGCGGTTCGCGGTTCCAGATGCGGCGCAGTCCCGGCCTGAAGGTAAGCGCACAAGCCGTCGATGGCCTCGAAGGGGGGGCCCGCTGCGCCAAATGTCTGAAGATGCCGTCACGCGACGTAGCAAGGCAGTATGAAGTCGAGGATCGCGTCGGGAGCGTCTCGCATGCCTCTCACACAACCCACGGGTTCGAGCTTGGTCCCACTGACGTCGGGTTACCTAGGACGCGGAACATTTGTCCCGCCGATGTCGAGTCCTGGGCGGCTGGAACAGCGGGTCAGATCAGGTTGGGTCAGTCCAGGGTAGCCTGCCTGTATCCGGTGGAGGCCTAAGGTACCTTCCAAGACTGGAGGCGCTGAAACCCCCATCGCGCGCTGGCAAGCCAGAAGTGCTTCAAGCCCCCAGGCAGGCCAGGTCAGCAAGGTCAGTTAGAACCCGCAGTGACCGACGATGCTGCGATTTACGCGCCCAAAAACTACCTATCCAAGGTACGTCGGCACCACATATGCTCGTTCAGATGAACCCCGTGCCGTACAACAGTGTTGTGGTGTCGTCGTATTATGTAGGGTTTTCCCAAGGTACAGGACAAGCCGCCTGGGCAGGTTGAGGGCTACTGGCACTGAGGTGCCTGTGCGACGACCTCTGGTTCGACAAGAGCCTACCCAAAAGTACTAGGTATTGAGCCGGACAACAGGGACACAGGGCCTTGCGCCTTGCCCCTAGGTATGCGCGCCACTGCATTAATGAATGATACCTAGGTACCTGGTAGGCAGCGACGGCCTCGCCAACGACAAAGACGGCAGCCAGGGCCGCCGTGACCGATCACCAACAACGGGCTTCCATAAGACGGAACGCTTCTCACAAAGTCGGTGAGCCAGTCCCCTCGTAGCACCTTGCACAACCTGTGCACGAGTCAAGATCAAGACCAGCGCCTGGGACTAGCTTCGTGTGCATTGCAACCTGGAGCAACTGGAGGTCACTAGGTTGGCAGGCCCGCGTTCATCAACCGCCGCCACAAGCACCCACCCGCCCTTCCCAGTTGTCAGGTTGGTAAATCACAGTGCCAAAGTCGGTTGCGCCCGGGGGAATGTTCAGTGCTTCTAGGGCGCCTCTAGTGCGTACCAGAGCGCCGCAACCAGGTTGGCGAAGAGCGTGCGCAGCGGGTCCAGCACAGTGTGTGATCTGTCTCTTATACACATCTAGATGTGTATAAGAGACAGCCCCTCAAGTACCGCCCTTACCCCTCTATTGCGGGACCGCTCCCGTCGAAAGGCTCGATGCACGTTCTTCCAGGTTGCGCAACACGACGCAAGGCAGGGTACTTCACAGCGCTACCTCAGTACTACTAGGTATACCTGCGCGTCTGCGGTGCCTGTGCCCGTCCTCCACGCCTGCCCAAGGTACTTGTTGCCACCACCCACCACCACCCTTCACCCACCGCCCACCAGCCCGGCTGGTCTGGACTTGAACCCCACCGAATTTGGCCAGACGCCAAAATCACCGGCCTCACCAACTTTCTCTCCCTTCTTCCCTCCCCCCATCATCGCCATCTGCACTCCCGCCTTCCTTCATCCCTTCGCGTTTCCGCCTTGAACGCGCTTGCTTCTGCGTCGTATTGCAACACACCCAGCGATCAGGCAAGCAGGCGGCAATCAGACACAATGGCCGAGCCCATTCGGAACAAGCGACCCGACGTGACGGCGCCGTGAGTGCTACCAACCTGCTGGCCTCGTCCGCCAAATCCTTGACGGCTTCGCTAATGACTCCATCTCGATGCAGCACGCCGCAGAACACGCCGGCCTCCAATGCCCCCATCTCCTCTCACGCCCAGCAGCCTGGCGTTGCCAGCATCAAAGAAGGTATTGTTTTGGCTCCTCATCCACGTACCCCACCTTCCGCCCACTGACCGCAGCTATCAAGAGGACATGGATCGAGCCGCCGCCGCCTCCATCTTTGCCCAGAACCCCAAGCTCGTTCAGATGATCCAGGGCCGACTTGGCTCTCTCATCGGCCGCTCCTCCGGCTACATCGAGTCTCTCCCCACCCCAGTCCGTCGCCGCGTCGCCGGCCTGAGAGCAATTCAGAAGGAGCACTCCAAGCTCGAAGCCGACTTCCAGGAAGAGGTTCTCCAGCTCGAGAAGAAGTACTTCGCCAAGTTTACTCCCCTGTACGAGAAGCGCGCCGACATCGTCAACGGCAAGGCCGAGCCCACCGAAGAGGAGGTCAAGGCTGGCGACGACGAGGAGCAGTCGCTCCTGACTGAAGAGGACGCCTCGGCCGAGAGCGCCTCCAAGCAGCCCGACACTCCCGAGAATGTGACGGGTATTCCCGAATTCTGGCTATCGGCCATGAAGAACCAGGTCACGCTTGCCGAGATGATCACCGACCGCGACGAAGCTGCCCTCAAGCACCTGGTCGATGTTCGCATGGAGTACCTCGACAAGCCCGGATTCCGCCTCATCTTCGAGTTCAGCACCAACGAGTTCTTCTCCAACAAGACCATCACCAAGACCTACTACTACCAGAACGAGAGTGGCTACGGCGGCGACTTCATCTACGACCACGCCGAGGGTGACAAGATCGAGTGGTTTGCAGGCAAGGATTTGACTGTCCGGATCGAGGCCAAGAAGCAGAGGAATAAGAGTGAGTCCCGCCGAGTCACTGCCGCAAAGACAGAGTCATTGACCGTACTTGTAGCTACCAAGCAAACCCGCATCGTTAAGAAGACGGTCCCCACTGAGTCATTCTTCAACTTCTTCTCGCCTCCGAAGCCGCCATCCGACGAGGAGGAGGAGGAGGACGACGACGCTGGCTCGGACATTGAGGAGCGTCTCGAACTGGACTACCAGCTCGGCGAGGACATCAAGGAGAAGCTCATCCCCCGTGCCATCGACTGGTTCACCGGTGAAGCTCTGGCCTTTGAGGAGCTTGACGACGATGAACTCGAGGCGGGCGAGTTCGACGACGATGAGGATGATGACGAGGACGACCTGAGCGAGGATCACGATGAGGAAGAGGAGTCCGACGACGACGTGAGTGAATCGACGGCACGAGCAGGATTGGGTCGGCTGAGCTAATCGGTTTACGTTAGGATGACTCGGGCAAGCCCAAGCAGGAGGCCGCCGAATGCAAGCAGAGCTAAATGCGCATGGACCTTCTCACCGGACACGCCGACACATTGCGACAGTCATGGCGTCTTCAGCAGGGCCATGCCTCGGAAAGCAGGCAGGGAGGAACTGCTGCTGGTGAAGGGGCAAGGTGATTCCGCTGGCATCTGCACCTGCTAGGGGTATCACGCAGAATGAGCGCATGGAGCCGGGCCGCGATCCTTGAGTCGGGGAAAGGGAACTTGTCGAGTTGGCCAAGTTGAGAATTGCTCTGGATTCTGTTGATAGAACGCGCGAAATGGCGTATGCGGGACGGCATACCGTATCCTTTATATGTCTTTGTTTTTGCTTGCTTTTGTTTGCATCTTTCGCTGAGATGCGCGTATCGTAGATAGCTAAGGTGGTAATTGGCGACAACAGGGCAGCACCAACAACAGCATCCAGCAAGCCGTCCCTTATCTGCAGGTCGTCTCAGACTTGACTGAGACCCTGCCGCCGGTTGCTCTTCTGCAAGCAAGCTCACACGTCACCTTGGTTGCCTTGGAGCATGAGGGCATTGCTGGCCAGTGGAAACAGGTCACAGGCGGTGTGGCCGCTGGCCGAGACTGTCACGCACACCCTTGGTTTCCATGCATACGCCTACATGGCCGTCAGCTCCGCCGTGGGGCGGGGGAGGCGCGCCGCCCTTGTTGGCCGTGGCATGAAGTGTGCGCTGCGCAAGCCGGGCCGGGCGGTCGGTCGGCTGCAGGGTCACGCCCCGCTACGGACGCATGGGAGAGCGGTGCTGCTGGAAGAGGAAAGGCAGGGCACCGGCTTGTCGGAGCTGTCCCAAGGTTGGTGAACCACCTTTGGATGTGGCATCATCGACCAGCCCAGCACGGATTGTATATGGGTTTTCTTTCCTGAGTCGCCCCCCTTCTGGTCAGCGACAGGCACATTTTACTGGCAGCCGGCACAAGCACCTTTGGTAGCCGCGGGATAGCACAGCACCAGAAACTCCAGAGCCCCGGCACCGGCCAGTTTGGGGCCACCTGTAATATAGGTAGTTACATCTGGTGCGGCGTGCTTGAGATGCTTCAATGGGAACCTCGCCTTGCGGTGATTCTCTTACAAGGTAACTACCTACCTAACTACCTAGGTAGTAACTAACTAACTACCTACTGGCCAAGCAAATGCCAAGGCACAGCAGGCAGGCACATTTGGCCACTCACCCGTAGTCGCACTCTGTTCGCCCCCGGTTGCTGTTGCGACGTCTACAAATCGGGATGACCTTGCTACAAGGTGGGCGAAACGGGAAGGCATCTGGCTCGCTGCCTTGGACGTTTTTCTTGAATAGCCGGGATGATGTGACGCATTGCATTCCGTGAGACCCTGGCTGTTTCCGTACATCGGAGGGTGCGGTGGCAGAGTGGCTGACGGGCAGAGACTAACAGGGGGCACCCTGAGGATCGCGGCGTTTCACGTCCTGCCGAATGTCTCTGCTGTTAGAGCCTCGGCAGGGCCCTAGGAGCCAAGGATGGGGCCGGCGCAGGTGCATTGCCATGGAACCCCGCCAACGGCGGAAGGCCATTAAAAAAAAAGTTTTCTGGCGAGTCAGCACGCCTTCAGGTCTGACAATGCTGTGAGAGCGCACAGGACTCCGCCCAATGATGAAGCAGCTACGCGCATTGGAACGCTCGTTGCATGTTTGCACAAGTCATCTTACAGAGGGCTGGATTGTATTAGGGAATTCACATGAATGAATGGGCGAATTGTTGTTGCTGCCGTCACTTGCATGCAACAATGCCGGGCCGGCAGCACTTGAGCACCAAGAAAGCAAGACACCCCTGCGGCCTTATCTAAAAGCATTAGGTACTGCAGGCCGTGTCTCGACGCAGTTGGCAGATAGCACGGATTGGCGTGGCGTCAGATGCAGGCCGGCGTGCGTCGCGCTCGACAGCCGAGTGACGGAATGACGGAGTGCCTGCTTCTGCCATCATCGGGGGCGCAAGGTGCCCACTTGGAGCCCGCCTCTGGCTGCGCGAATGGCCGCAGGGTCCGTCACGGTCGTCCGATGTGACTGAGAGCCCGAGTTGCCCTCCGTCTTCCGGAGTCTAATGCAGTGGTGCTGGAGTCTAATAAAGCTTGCCCGGGTCCCTCGCTCCCTCTGCTGGCACCCGCGCTGAGCAAAACCTCCCCCACCATACACACCTCCCTGGTAGCCATACCTCGCCACGCCAGACGTACCCATCTCGAATTCCATTCCCTCGAGGGCAGATATAAGACGTGCCGGAATTGATTGCGGCGCATCGCCTCCCTGACTGCCAACTCGGTAGTCGTCACACGCCATCCACGTTTGCGCTTTCCCCTCCGCCGACGAGACAGTCCCCCGCGGCCCTCAACCGAACACCCCGCCAATATCGTCAGCGGACACCCACCGCACGCTCCCGCGTCCGACCTCGCAAAGGGCAGCAACGCCATGACTCCGGCACGAGATATCCAGGGCGGTCAGCCCGCGGCGCAGAGAAGCGTCTCCCTCAGCTGGGGCAATAACTTGTCAACCTCACCGACCGCCACCTTCCACTCCCCCCCCGGCAGCTGGGGCGGCAACCTGGCCCAGCGCGGGGCTCCCAAGCAGCTCAAGCCCTTCAACACCCAGGACATCAAGATCCTGCTGCTAGAGAACGTCAACAAGACGGGACAAGAGACTCTGAAGGAGCAGGGCTATCAGGTGGAGGCTCTCAAGACGTCCCTCCCCGAGGACCAGCTGATCGAGAAGATCCGGTAAGAAATCTACCCCGGCCTTCCGTCTCGTCTCTGTCTCTGGCGCGCGCCAGCACACGCACGTGGTGCTGACACCTCTTGTTTGGTCGCGAAGCGATGTCCACGTCATCGGCATCCGCTCGAAGACGAAGCTCACCGAGAAGGTGCTGCGCGAAGCCAAGAACCTGCTCGTCGTCGGCTGCTTCTGCATCGGTACCAACCAAGTCGATCTCGACTATGCTGCCCGCCATGGCATCGCCGTCTTCAACTCCCCGTTTGCCAACTCGCGCAGTGTCGCCGAGCTCGTCATCGCTGAAATCATCACGCTGGCCCGCCAGCTTGGCGACCGCTCCAACGAGATGCACCGCGGCACCTGGAATAAAGTCAGCGCCAAGTGCTGGGAGATCCGTGGAAAGACGCTTGGTGAGTCGAGTCCGCTCCCCCGGCCCGCCTCCGGCCACTGACACGACACCTGTCGTAGGCATCGTCGGCTACGGGCACATCGGCTCCCAGCTCTCTGTCCTCGCCGAGGCGATGGGCATGAACGTAATTTATTACGATGTCGTCACCCTAATGGCCTTGGGCACCTCGCGCCAGGTCCCGACGCTTGAGGCTCTGCTCGAGGAGGCCGACTTCGTCACCCTCCACGTTCCTGATCTCCCAGAAACCCGCGGCATGATCTCCACTGCCCAGCTCGACGGCATGAAGAACGGCTCCTACCTCATCAACGCCAGTCGCGGGAGCGTCGTCGACATCCCGGCCCTCATCCAGGCCATGCGCTCGGGCAAGATTGCTGGTGCGGCTCTCGATGTATACCCCCACGAACCTGCCGCCAACGGTGACTATTTCAACAACAACCTGAACCAATGGGGAGAGGACCTTCGCAGCCTCAACAACATCATCCTTACACCTCATATCGGCGGCAGCACCGAGGAGGCTCAGCGCGCCATTGGCATCGAGGGTATGCACATCCCGCCTAGTGCTTCCAAGAAAGGACGAGGTCGCTAACGTGTTGCTACCTCCGCTTGCGCAGTCGCCGACGCGCTTGTGCGATACATTAACCAGGGAATCACGCTGGGCAGCGTCAACCTACCCGAGGCCCAGCTGCGGTCTCTTACGCTCGACGAGCCAGACCACGCACGGGTACGTATACATGGAATCGACAACAATGTCTGTGTTCATGTCTGACCCGAATCGCAGGTGATCTACATTCATCGCAACGTTCCAGGTGTCCTCCGGAAAGGTACGATGACCCCGGGAAAAGCCGGAATTTTTCTGCTTCAGGAGGCTCACATTGCTTAGTGAACGAGATTCTTGGAGATCACAACGTCGACAAGCAAATCAGCGACAGCAGAGGCGACGTGAGTGGCTGCTTCCTTGCCGCTCTGGAACGGTGGAGACTGCAGTCTGCTGACATTGTGACTTTAGGTTGCCTACCTGATGGCAGACATCAGCAATGTGCAATTCAGCGAGATCAAGGACATTTCAGACAGCTTGGAGGCACTCAGCTGTAGGTTCCGACCAACAAACGCCGTGCGTACCGTGTTTGCTGACCAAACGGCTTGCAGCTTGCATCATGACGCGCGTGCTGTATTAGATTCTGGCCAGCATCAAAGCAGGCGGTTCTGTTTGCTCCAGCTGGAACTTTTGGTCCCAACGGCACTCAACGTTCTAGAGGGATAGGATAGGTAATGCATGGGCAGCCCAGGCCGCGGGACGCATGGCCACGCGGCCCTGGGTGGCGAGGATCTTTTAGGTACAGTTTGGGCGTTATTTAGGCGGGCGAATTTGGGCGGTCACAGATAGAAGCCGGCAATGGCAATGCCTTTGCCAGGGCGGCACGCTACAAATGGCATACAAAAAGGGTTTACCAGGTCTCTCAACAACCAAAGGGAGAGAATGCCGCAATGCAAATATATAAATATATATGGCGTTACATCCGCGCTGGGTCTGCCCTCTCGTTGGTGATGTTTCCCGCGCCGACACACAGTCCTTGAGATGACACGCGCAGTCTTCGAGATGGCGGGACTGGAGGAGGGGTCGTGATCGATTATGCTTCGACCGTGCCTCACGTCGTCTGCATACTACCAAGGTAAGCTCACGGCGGCCGGTTTCGCGGCCACAGAGGCGGCTTCTAGGGGCATACAGATGAACCAACGTTCTACAGCGGGCGGGCGTCAATGCGTTCAGAAGGTCCGACGGCCAGGGGATCTCGCACATACCTAGGAAGTAAGGTAACTTAAATGCTGCAGACGCCGGCGGCGGTGAAGCGCCGGGTCATCATATTCGTCCCTCCCGTCCCTTCGTGTCAACCTTGACCCCGAGTGCCAGGGATCCGTCTACTTATTTAGGTAGGTACAGGCTTCCTCGGCCAGTATTATGTACGTGGACAATACGTACTGCCCTGGCGTGCTCAACCCCTATCCGCGTTAAAGGTGACACCACGAGAACGCGCGCGCGAACTGGGGCCGCCGCTGGGGCCTTTGGCTCAATGCAGGCACTGACCCACGCCCATGTGAGCGGAAAGGGGGCCTGCGAGGCCGGTGCATGCACGGCCGTTGGTGGGCCCGTTGTGTACTCGTAGGTGAGGTCCCTCCCGTCTCCTGCCTCAGCAGAAGCTGCTGCCCAGGGCAGGTACCTCTAGTACCTTCCCGGGAGGTACTGCGTCAGGTACCTGGCATCTACCATCCCGCTACCGCGAGCATGAGGAGGACTTGGGCTTTGAGACCCTGATGCAGGAGTACGATGGACGCACAGACGGAGAACAAGCTGGCGGGAGGATATCTGCTTGTCTGGTTTAAAAGAACCTTGCTTGGGTAACGAACACTCCTTGCGACGCCGCCTCGTTGGAAGAAACAGAAGGCCACATACCTGCCTGCACGCCGTGCAAGCAGGCGCCCCGAAAGTCGAACCTGGACCGGTACCTAGCGCTAGCCGCCCAGTACTTGCTGGCGCCAGACAAGCAAATGGGCATCCATGTGTCTTCTCCTGCATATTCTGACTAAGACAGGTATCTACTGGTAGGGGTACCGACCCTGACTCCGTACTTTCATGTCTGCTACCTCAAGTACCTTAGGTATATGCTAGGCAGGTGCCTCAAGGTACCTAGTAGTCCTACAAGGTACATCACCTCAGGCATCTCGCGAGTTCCCGTGGCCCCAGGTAGATAGGTGCCGGGTACCTACCTACCTACGATCCCTGGATGTACTGAGGTGCGGCCCAGGCGCCTGCGGGTCCCACTAATAAGCAAGCCCCCCCAACAGCCAGCCTCCCCCAGGGGCCCAGGGGTGCAAGTCTCGGCCTAACCCAGAAAACGCGTGCTGGCATCACTGCTCCGAAGCACCCCAAGCTCGTGCGTCCAAAGTCGGCCAGCCCCTTGCTTGACCAACGTCCTTTTTTTTTGTCGAAAGGTCCTTGGTCTTCCTTCGGCTTTCCCCGAGGCCATCTTGTCCATCTTCAACCAAAGAAGCCGCCAGGTTCTTCGACCCCAGCCTGGCTGCCGACTTGGGCTTGACGACGACCCGCGTCCACGCCTATCGTTCGTTCCTGACGCCTGGCCCCCCTTGGCCGAGTCCGCGTCCAGCCCCGACACTCGCCCGACGCCGCATCCAATTCGACGACACAAGACCAGGCGACTAGGCGAATTGGCCACGCCTGTCGATGCGTTGCTCCCGACCGACGCCATTGTCAACAACCCGCCTTCTCCCCAGTCCTCGAACACCCCGCCCGTCGCCCGAGCTCCATCAGCGGCTCGAGCGCCCCCGGCAGCTTCGCCCTCATGGCATCGACCTACGATGTTGGCACAAGAGCGTGGCAGCCAGACACTGCCGAAGGCTGGGTAGCGTCTGAGCTTATCACCAAGAACGTTGACGGGCCAAAAGCGACGCTCGTGTTCCAGCTCGAGAATGGCCAGGTAGGCTTCAGACGCAGTTTGACGGCCGCACTTGGGAACCCCGATCGCTGATACTCTGGCTCTCGTGCCATGCGTCATATAGACAAAGACGATCGAAGTGCCTGCCGAGGCTTTACAATCCGGCAATGATCCTTCCTTGCCTCCCTTGATGAACCCCACGATGCTCGAGGCCAGCGACGACCTGACCAATCTGTCCCACCTCAATGAACCTGCGGGTACGTCCCACCTGAATGCTTATCCCACGTACACAAGCCCAGCTCGCTCACCATGACTACAGTCCTGCAAGCCATTCGGCTGCGATATGCGCAAAAGGAAATCTACACCTATAGCGGCATCGTCCTCATCGCTACGAACCCATTCGCACGAGTCGACTCTCTTTACGTCCCGGGCATGGTACAAGTCTATGCCGGAAAGCAGCGAGCCACACAGGCGCCGCATTTGTTCGCTATTGCCGAGGAGGCATTCATGTACGTCCCCGAATCCGCAGGCACATGGTGTGACACATCCTGGTTGCTGACGATGGCGGTCCCGCAGTGATATGATTCGAGATGGCAAGAACCAGACTATTGTTGTTTCTGGCGAGTCCGGTGCTGGAAAAACCGTCAGTGCGAAATACATCATGCGATACTTTGCGACCCGAGAATCTCCAGATCAACCCGGGGCGCGCTCCAAGCGAGGGCCAGAGGCCATGAGTGAGACGGAGGAGCAGATTCTCGCCACGAATCCCATCATGGAAGCTTTCGGCAATGCCAAGACTACGCGCAACGACAATTCGTCACGATTCGGCAAGTATATCGAGATCATGTTTGATGAAGGCACCAACATTATTGGTGCCAAGATTCGAACATATTTGCTTGAGCGGTCACGACTGGTGTTCCAACCTCTCAAGGAGCGCAACTACCACATCTTCTACCAGCTCGTGGCTGGCGCTTCAGATAAGGAGAGGCAGGAGCTCGACATTCATCGGGTCGAGCAGTTTGAATACTTGAACCAGGGCGATTCCCCCACCATTGACGGGGTCGACGACAAGGCAGAGTTCGAAGCCACCAAGAAGTCCCTCCAGACCATTGGTGTGTCGGATGCCCAGCAAGCCGACATCTTCAAGCTGTTGGCTGGTCTGCTGCATCTAGGAAACGTCAAGATCACGGCCTCGCGCAACGACAGCGTCTTGGCTCCTACTGAGCCGTCCTTGGAGCGCGCCTGCGACATTCTTGGTGTCAAGGGGGACGAGTTCGCAAAGTGGATCGTCAAGAAGCAGCTCATTACCCGCGGCGACAAGATCACCTCCAATTTGAGCCAGGCGCAGGCCATTGTCGTGCGCGATTCCGTCGCCAAGTTCATTTACTCAAGCCTGTTCGACTGGCTCGTTGACATTATCAACCAGAGCCTGGCCACGGAGGAAGTCTTGAGTCAGGTCAACTCCTTCATTGGCGTCTTGGATATTTACGGCTTCGAACACTTTGCCAAGAACTCGTTCGAACAGTTCTGTATCAACTACGCCAATGAGAAATTACAGCAGGAGTTTAATCAGCACGTCTTCAAGCTCGAGCAGGAGGAGTATCTCAAAGAACAGATCGACTGGACCTTTATTGACTTCTCTGACAACCAACCTTGCATCGACCTCATCGAAGGGAAAATGGGAGTCCTTTCCCTCCTGGACGAAGAATCTCGACTCCCGATGGGCTCAGATGACCAGTTTGTCACCAAGCTTTACCAGAACTTTGCCGCTGAAAAGCAGCACAACTTTTTCAAGAAGCCCCGCTTCGGAAAATCCGCATTTACCGTGTGTCACTATGCAATTGACGTTACATACGAGTCCGAAGGGTTCATCGAGAAAAACCGCGACACGGTTCCGGACGAACACATGGCCGTCCTCCGGGCCACGACAAATCCCTTCCTCAAGGATGTCCTGGACGCCGCCTCTGCCGTGAGGGAGAAGGACGTTGCTTCTGCGGCCTCAAATGCCGTCAAACCCGCCGCTGGCAGGAAGATCGGCGTCGCTGTCAACAGGAAACCGACGCTGGGGGGCATCTTCCGGTCCTCGCTGATTGAGCTGATGAACACGATCAACAATACCGATGTCCACTACATCCGATGTATCAAGCCCAACGAGGCCAAGGAGGCCTGGCAGTTCGAGGGACCCATGGTGCTGAGCCAGCTGCGCGCCTGCGGCGTTCTCGAAACCGTTCGCATCAGCTGTGCTGGATACCCTACCCGTTGGACCTATGAGGAGTTTGCGCTTCGATACTACATGCTGGTGCACTCAAGTCAATGGACGTCAGAAATCCGGAATATGGCCAATGCAATTTTGACCAAGGCTCTGGGCACGAGCACGGGCAAGGGCTTGGACAAGTACCAGCTGGGCTTGACAAAGATCTTTTTCCGGGCAGGCATGCTTGCTTTTCTGGAGAATTTGCGCACCAACCGTCTCAATGAGTGCGCCATCATGATTCAAAAGAACCTCCGGGCCAAGTTCTACCGGCGTCGCTACCTGGCAGCTCGCGAGTCGGTCATCAGGACCCAGTCCGCCGCGAGGGCGTACATTGCGAGGAGACAGGCCCAAGAGTTGCGCACCATTAAAGCTGCCACGACCATTCAGCGAGTCTGGCGCGGCCAAAAGCAACGCAAGAACTTCTTGCGCATCAAGAAGGACTTGGTTCTGTTCGAGTCGGCCGCCAAGGGCTACCTGCGCAGAAAGCACATCATGGAGACCCGTGTGGGCAACGCTGCGCTCGTCATTCAGCGTGCATGGCGGTCTCGACGGCAGCTGGCGACATGGAGGCAGTACCGCAGGAAGGTTGCCTTGGTTCAGAGTCTGTGGCGCGGAAAGCGCGCTCGCCGCGAGTACAAGACGATGCGCGAGGAAGCCCGTGATCTGAAGCAGATCTCGTACAAGCTGGAGAACAAGGTTGTTGAGCTCACCCAATCCTTGGGCTCGATGAAGGAGAAGAACAAGAATCTGGCGTCGCAAGTGGAGAGTTACGAAAGCCAGATCAAGTCCTGGAAGTCCCGCCACAACGCGCTTGAAGCTCGTACCAAGGAGCTCCAGACTGAGGCCAACCAGGCAGGCATCGCCGTTGCCAAACTGCAGGCCATGGAAGACGAGATGAAGAAGCTGCAGCAGGCATTCGACGAGTCGACAGCCAACATCAAGCGGATGCAAGAGGAGGAGAGGGAGTTGCGGGAGTCTCTCCGCCTGAGCAACACGGAGCTAGAGACGGCGAAGCAGACGAGCACCGAGCGAGAAAAGGACAATCTGAGCCTGCGACAAGAGCTCGAGGCGCTCCGGGACGCACTCGAGGTCGCCAAGAGAAGCGCTCCCGTCAACGGAGAGCTCACCAACGGCGCCGCGGCTCCTTCGGTTGCTAGTGGCCTCATCAATCTGGTCTCGTCCAAGAAGCCCAAGAGAAGGAGTGCAGGGGCTGAGCCGCGAGACATGGACCGCTTCAGCGGCGCGTACAACCCTCGTCCCGTGTCCATGGCGGTGACGAACACGGCGCATCGCCAAAACCTCTCGGGCACGACGTACATCCCCGGTGTGGACAACATCGAGATGGAGCTCGAGACGCTGTTGGCCGACGAAGATGGGCTCAATGAGGAGGTCACCATGGGTCTAATCCGCAACCTCAAGATCCCCTCACCGAATACGACACCGCCGCCCTCGGACAAGGAGGTTCTGTTCCCGTCGTACCTGATCAACCTGGTCACATCGGAGATGTGGAATAACGGCTTCGTCAAGGAGTCTGAGCGTTTCCTGGCCAACGTGATGCAGTCCATCCAACAGGAGGTAATGCAGCATGATGGCGATGAGGCCATCAACCCCGGGGCGTTCTGGCTGTCCAATGTCCATGAAATGCTGTCATTCGTGTTCCTGGCCGAGGACTGGTACGAGACCCAGAAAACTGACAACTACGAGTATGACCGCCTGCTCGAGATTGTCAAGCACGATCTCGAGAGCCTCGAGTTCAACATTTACCACACGTGGATGAAGGTTCTCAAGAAGAAGCTGCAGAAGATGATTATACCGGCAATTATTGAGTCTCAATCGCTTCCTGGCTTCATCACGAACGAGAGCAACCGCTTCCTGGGCAAGCTCCTGCAGTCCAACTCGACACCGGCTTACAGCATGGACAATCTGCTCAGCCTCTTGAACAGCGTCTTCCGCGCCATGAAGGCCTTCTACCTGGAGGATTCCATCATCATGCAGACTGTTACGGAGCTGCTGCGCCTGGTTGGTGTCACGGCGTTCAACGACTTGCTGATGCGTCGCAACTTCTTGTCCTGGAAGCGAGGTCTGCAAATCAACTACAACATCACCCGCATCGAGGAGTGGTGCAAGAGCCACGACATGCCTGAGGGCACGTTGCAGCTGGAGCATCTGATGCAGGCAACCAAGCTGCTTCAGCTCAAGAAGGCGACGCTCAACGACATTGAGATCATCCAGGACATTTGCTGGATGCTCTCACCCAACCAGATCCAGAAGCTGCTAAACCAATACCTGGTAGCGGACTACGAGCAGCCCATCAATGGCGAGATCATGAAGGCCGTGGCGTCACGGGTGACGGAAAAGAGTGACGTGCTGCTGCTCCAGGCAGTGGACATGGACGACAGCGGCCCTTATGAGATTGCCGAGCCACGATCGATTACAGCGCTTGAGACATACACCCCCTCCTGTGAGTCGTCCACTGAGTTATGCGAGCTTGACGGTGAGAATTCTGCTAACGGGAAGCGCAGGGCTGCAAACACCGCGTTTGAAGCGATTGGCGGAGATAGTATCTGCACAAGCCATTGCGCAGCAGGAGAAGCTCGAGTACGCAGACGGCGAGGGCTTTGACGGACAGGATACTCTGGCTGAGGTAGACGAAGCCGCCGAGGAGGCCGCCGAGGCCAACTAATGCTGAGAGATGATATGCCGTCTTGGTCTCTCCGATACGGACTGCCCGATATTAATGTCAACGCGACATGTACACATGGGATAGAGGCTGCATTTGCTGGGTTTTAGCGGCTCGGGTGTCCGATTTTCTGTTGCCATACAAGCGCTCGATGGCGGACGCGGGCCGAAGACGGGTGGCGGCGTTCACGTTCGCCGCGCCCGGGGAGGCATGCGCCATGTGCCCTTTCTCTCTGTGCGTATCGTACGCGAGACCCGCCGCCGCGAAATGGCCATGAAGCAAGTGGATAGAAGAAGAGAGCATATGTGGGAGGAACAGGGGCGCTGCAGCCGATGCTGCCCGTCATGTCTTGTACGGATATGTGTATTGCGTTTACGTGGGGGAAACGATTCTTGCCGTCGCTGCCTTTATCTTACTGCCTCCTCTGCCGTTCCATGTACAGGGGTGATGATGGGCATGTATGCAGGTACTGTATATGAAGACGCGGCGTTTTCTTCCTGATGATAGGCAGACTGACTGACTGACCTGATGGGTGGTGGTGTTTGTGAACCTGGTGACTCGACCGTTCCAGCCCACTCGCTAGATGCATACAACCATTTTTAGCCACTTGGTGCGCTTGACCCACAACATCTCTGGCCTTGACTTTTTTCAGATGAACCATATATTTCATACTTGTACGCTCGTTCACACACTTGCCGGCCCCCCTCTACTGCTTTGATTGAGATCTCAAGCGTGCGAAGTTGGGAAAGCGCTCAGACTTTTTTCCCCCCTAAACCGTCGTTCTCACGTTCGCAAGTCTCGGCAGGCGCTCGTTGACTGTCCCGTGGTGCCAGGTGACGACGACGGACAGAATATCCAGCCAAGATGAGGCAGGCGCCCAATATCATTGTGACGGGCACGCCAGGCGTGGGCAAGACTACACATTGCGAGACCCTCGCCGAGAAAACGGGCCTGCGACATATTTCGGTCAACCAGGTGGTGAAGGATAAGCAGTGCCATGAAGGCTGGAGCGAGGAATACCAGAGTTGGATCGTCGACGAAGACAAGGTCAGTGAGCTGGGCCGCAGGGCTGTCCTCCTCAAAGGCCGGGGCCAGTGACTGACGACATGCAGCTGCTCGATGCCATAGAAGACGATGTAGCGGGCGGAGGCTGCATCATTGACTGGCACGCCTGCGATCTGTTCCCCCGTAGCTGGATCGACCTGGTCGTCGTGCTCCGGGTGGACTCTTCGACTCTCTACGACAGGCTGAAGGCCAGGTACGTGGCCCAAGGCCCCTTGCCAGCACTGATCCCCTGCAAGACCCCCGCCGTGCCGTGCGCAGATCCTGACATGACGAGTAGAAACTACGCCGAGGCCAAGCTCCAGGAGAATCTCGACTCGGAGATCATGGAGGTGCTTCTGCAGGAAGCGAGGGAGGCATATGACGAGGAGGTAGTCATCGAGCTGACGAGCAATACCTCGGACGAGATGGAGAGCAATCTGGACCGCATTGAGGCATGGGTGAAACAGTGGAAGGCGGACAACGCACAACAATGATGTAGTATGTTAATTCACGATTCACGAGCCCATTCCTACGCCCTCGATGTCCTACCCAACGATGCGTCGAGGCCAAATTTACCACACAGCCCCGTCAACTGTTTGTTGATAGGTGGGCGGTTACATTGCCGGCAGAGTGACAGTCTGCCCAGGCCCGCCCAGGCGGCAAGTATTTATGCACTTATCGGGGCGCCTTCCCCAGCAGCTTGTACGGGTATTAGTGCAGCACATCCATCCACTGTCATCGACTTCGTCCAAAGTCGCAAAAAGAGTCCACGCACGCCTGCCAGACAAGACTTACACGGCCACACCACAAATCGGCGCCGTGAATTGGTACCTCGAAATCCGTGCAAGTACCCTTCGCAGCTGCTACGGCTCCGGAAAAAGAGAACGGCAGCTATGACGACCCAGGTCAACTTTGTCACGGGCAACGCCAACAAGCTTCGGGAGGTCAAGGCGATTCTGGAGCCAGCCATCGAAGTTCGCAGCAGTCCACTTGATCTCGAGGAGATTCAAGGCTCCATCGAAGAGGTGACCGAGTCTAAATGCCGTAGGGCCGCTGAGGCCGTATGTTTTCATCCGAATATCCCCTCCCCTTTCCCCGCGAACGCGCGCTTCATGGGCAATATCTGTGTCATTCAACGACGCATGCGTCTAACCATTCGCCGCGCTACATGCAGGTCAACGGCCCCGTACTAGTCGAGGACACTGCGCTATGCTTCACGGCCCTGGGCGGACTACCCGGCCCTTACATGTTGGTTCTTCAAGTCATCCGCTGCTCCTCGTCATTTGTCTCACGTCCTCCAGTAAATGGTTCCTGTCGGAAACGGGCCATCAAGGGCTGAACAATCTGCTCGCAGCCTACCCGGACAAGTCGGCAGAGGCTGTCTGCACGTTTGGCTACGCCGCCGGTCCCGGACACAAGCCCGTCCTTTTCCAGGGGCGCTGCCCGGTACGCGTAGCCCCAGCCGGCATGGACAAGTTCCGCCCAGCTGACAGACAGGTGTCAAGGGTAAGATCGTGCCACCCCGAGGGCCGACTCATTTCGGTAAGCCAGTCCAGCCTACTTGATGAAGACACCTGCACATGCAGCACGAGAGTCGGTGCTAAAGTCCGTTTTCCCAGGCTGGGATCCTGTCTTCGAGTACGAGGGTCAAACGTAAGTTCACACCAGTGCCAGTGGTCCCTAGTCGCGAAGCGTGTTGCCAAGCGGCCAGGTACCTAACACAACTGCTCGCATAGGTATGCCGAAATGGACGGGGCAAGAAAGAATGCCATCTCGCACCGAGGCCGTGCTTTGAAGAAATTGCAGGAGTGGTTTGAGAAGCACCCCGATGGCGAGTAAATCACGAAGCCTTTGGTGGCGCTGTCGGTGCGTCTGAGACGAGGCTGTTCCATCCACATCAGAAAAATACAGACAGACCAAGGGCATTGAAGAGGGTTTTGCAAGCGTACCAGAGAATCTCAAACTCCTTCCGCTTGATTAAATACTTTGCTCCTCGCCGGTACGGCTCCACAAGGTCCTTCATCCCGGGCATGTCTTTGCGAACACGCCGGCCGACGTATCTCTTCACCGCGGCCGAGTCCCGGCAAGATGGATCAAACACGAGAAGGTGGACCCGGTCGTCTTTTTGTTTCTCGATACCGACAACGGTGAGAGAATGTCCTGGTTGGTTTAGAGGAAAATGTTGGAATTTTGTAATAAGGTGACATTGTGTGGATAGCAAGCTCACCTTGATACTGTAAGTAGACTGGCGGGAGGCTCGTTCTCCGTACCTTCGATTCGCCACTCCCAGTCCATCCTGCTTCAAAATAACCTCCAATGGCCCGAAGCAGTTGACTTGCTGCAGTTCCGTCTTCGGCATCTCGAAAGGACTGCACCGGAGAGCTGTGCAGCCGTTGTCAGTGATGAGGGCGGAGGGCGCATCTGCGTAGAAACTCACGGGATCTGAAGGCTACGGAAGAGCGCTTGTGCCTGGACACCGCTCAGCTTGGCCCCAACCGACATGCATCAAATCAGAGTTACCTCCGGCGTGCCGATAAACTTCCGCGTGCCTTTGATACCGCCGGTTTCAATGCGCCCCTGGGGGTTGTATCCCATGTCCCATGCGGCTTCAATTAGGTCTTGAATGTCAAAGACTGGCGGCACTCGGTTGCCAAAGAGTTCGGCCCCGAATGCCTCTGCCCCAACAATGTAAGAGATAAGCATTTGAATGTTTCGATACCCGCAAAATCCGCCTGAGACCCAGGCAGCGTTAGCCCTGGTCACCTTCTCTTCTCCGGAACTGGCCTCTGCACGAACCTTCACGCCGTAGTTTCGAAATATGCTGCACACATGGGTGGCATAGGTAGGCACGAGAGGTTGCCGGAGAGTGCTCTAGAAGCTGCGCCAGTACGGGGACGATATCTGTATGCGGGCTAGTTAGTTCCGTTGGGTAGTCCAGGCCTCGCTGACTGACCGCGAGCGCAAACGTAACCGTTCTTCTTCAAGGCCCTGGTCAGCCACTGGGGCATCTCTCTCTCGTGAGCGAATTTTCCCAGATGCGCGACCTGACGTGACCCATGTCAGAGACAATTGTAACGGGGAGAGGGTGGACGGCTGGTGGACGGACCCCCAGCTGGCTGCCGTGGGGAATCTCATCCTGCTCGGATGCCTTTGAGCAGGCTCGCCCACTACGGGAGCGATTGGCGTTCTTGCTTCGATGATGGTCTCGCGTAGGCGTATCCTGCGGCTGCGACTGACGTCTAGTGGAGCGGAGGAACCGTGTCAAGGCGTGTAGCATGGTCTGTCTCGATGAGGTTGCCTCTCCTGAGGCCTCTGAAGAGATGGCACGCCTCATCTTAGCCGCTGCCGCAGGCTGGGAAGGCCGGCGACGGGGTGAAGTCGGCGCACGACGCTGAAGCTGTGGTTCTTCCATGTTGCATCCGCTGCCGTGCGTCATCGGCGGACAGTACACATCAGCAGCCAGCTCGGCCGTTGCCGAGTGCAGCACGAGTCGGTCACACAGAGCGGTGCTGATAAAACGTGCCTGTTGAGAGCCCAAGGCAAGAGAGGTTACGGGGCCCTACGGTGGTGAAGTGACGGTGGTGAGTTGGAGGGAGCGCTGCCTGTCGGTGTGAGCGAGTGACCTGAGTGGACCGACTGGACGGCACCTGGCGCAGCACTAAGGCAGGCAAGTACCTCCCCGTACTCAGCACACTGTCGTGGCACAGCAGCTGCTCGTTCGCCGCGGGGACCTGCCAATCAGTTAATGTCGCAGGCTCACGCAAAAGTGGATTAATTGTAGGAAGTAGAATTGAAGCCCGTCGCGAACGGCATCTAAACGTGGACTCGCTCGCCGGGCAAGCAAAAAGCCCAGTCAATTCCAAGGTGGCAGTTGCAAATAGGTAGCTTCTTTCGTCTCTCGTCTACTCTTTCTTCCTTTTCCTCTCTCTATCCGTCCACCGCTCCCTCATCCATGGCAGCAACAACCAATTGCCAACAACCCTACGCTCATTTCTGGCCCTTTGTCCTCTGGGGCAGCGACTTCTGGGACGTCGACTCCTTGGGCAGCTCCCTCGCAAAGGGGATGAACTCCGGTGCCCCCGGCAAGTACTTGCGAAGAGGCTCCGGGACGCGAAGGCCCTGGCCAGGAATCATTAGCAGATGCTTCCGAGCACGTCCACGTCTTTCCAACACTTACCTCCTCTGTCTGGTAGTTCTCGAGGATGCAGCACATGGTCCTTGTCGTTGCGCAGAGCGTGGCGTTCAAGCAGTGCACGTATTTCTTCTTGGTGTCCGTCTGCTGCTTGGCTCCGAAGCGGATCTCGAGGGCGCGAGACTGGTAATCGGTGCAATTTGAGCACGACACAAGCTCCTTGTATTCGCCCTGGAATGGAAACCACGCCTCCAAGTCAAGCTTCTTGGATGCGGCGTTGTTGAGCGCTCCAGAAACGATCGCCACCACCTGATACGGCAGGCCCAATGACTGGTAAAACTCCTCGGATACGTGGATCATGTCATCGAGTGCTTCCCATGACTTTTCGGGATCCGTGAGGAGGAACTGCTCAATCTACGCCACAGCCCGAGTCAGCACCGGGCACATTCATTATGCGAGGGTTATCCAGTGGTACCTTTTCAAACTGATGTACACGATAGATGCCCCAGGCATCTCTACCGTGTGATCCAGCCTCGCGGCGGTAGCAAGAACTGTACCCAGCGTATCTGCCCGGGGTCAGTCTGTGTTTGGCTCGGCGTTGCTTGCGTGCACCTCGAACTCACTTGATGGGTAGCTCCTTGGCGATGAGCCATTCGTCGGCGTGGAAGGCTGAGATGGGCTGCTCGGACGTCGCGATCAGGTACTTGTCGTTTTTGGCGTCTCCGTCGACGACCTTGTAGAGCTCTTCATCGAAGTCCTCGAGCTGAGCCGTCTTGGCCATGTACTCCTTGAGCATGAACTGGGGGGCCTGCAGGGCGGTGTAACCCCTTTGTGTGAGGAACTCGAGGCCGTAGTTGATCAAGGCTTGGTTGAGGAACACGCCCCATTGGCGGAGGAAGTAGCCGCGGTGGCCGACGACCTTGACACCACGATCGGGGTCGTATCCATCGAGACGGAGGAGGACCTCATGATGAGAGAGGACATTGCGCTTCTCGGGTGAGGCGCCTTCTGGCCACGTGCGCAGGACTGCGTTGTCGTCCTGCAGCGGAGACGGCTGTCAGCAACCCACACTTCGAACTCGCAACTCGTTTCCCGGCGGCGTAGTTGTCCTACCTCGTTGTTGCTGACCGGGACGGAGTCGTGGACGTAGTTGCCAATTGTCTTTATCTTGCTCTTCAGCAGGGCGTCTTTTTCCGCGGCGGATTCGACGAGGCTCTTCTTCTCCTTTTCCAGCTCAATTTTTTGCTGGAGCAGCTCGTCGGCATTCTCCTTGGCCTGGTGCCTCGACGGTTAGTCCTCTACTTCAAGATCGCCCCGCAGCCCGCGTACCTTCTTCTTGGCGCCAATCTGCTTCTGAACCTCGTTGATCTTGCTGTTCACTTGGGTCGCGCTGTACTGGGCTGCAGGGACGTGCCAGGGATTAGCACCAAACGCCTTCCATTCCCCGTGGTGGTCAGAGCAATTAGGGACGCACTTTTGCGATGGTCTTCGAAGAGGGCAATGATTTCGTCGACGAGCTCGACATTGGCGTGTCTTCGGCGCTGGGACTCTCGGACCTTCTCCGGATCGCCACCCCGCTCCTTAATGAAATCGTTGACGTCCAACATTGTGTCGAGGATCGATTCGTTCGACGTCTGCGTGGTCGGGCTCGGTCCTGTACGCCCGCCGAACTCAGAATGGACAGACGAAGGGGAAATCCGGTGCGACAAAACCGGAGGGCGGGAGACAGATCAGGCTGCGGGTGGGAGGTGCGATTGGACTTACCTCGTCACGTCCAGCGAACGCGGCGTGTCAGGGCGGGTTGAGTCACAAGACTTGTTGGCTGTCGAAGCAGGAAAAGTCGTGGTGGTGCAACGAGCTGACTGATTGTGTTCATGGTGGGGGCGGGGTATTACCAGCCCGACCAAGCACGGCACGGACAGTGGCGGGGCACAGATGTGGCTGTCCCCAGGGGAGGAGGAGCCAGGGGATCCAGGCAGCCCCTCCGCAAGCCCGCTAGGTACGATGCCGACGGGAGTTCCTTTCAGTACTAGGTAGGTATCGTCATACCTGTCGCCGTCACAACTGCATCACACTTGCAAAATGCTCTCCCCACTTGCACACTTGCCAGGTACTTCTCGAATTGCCTCGTGGCTTGGTGTCTCCGGCCAGTGTGCGTCTGTCTAATCCAATTGACCAGCCACGTCTATGTCGGCCGCAAAGCAAGCACAAAACTCGACCAAGTCCCATCCTCTACAAATACAGCAATGAAATGACTAACCACCCCGTCCCAAAGTTCCTCGTGCTCCTCGTCCACCGGGGCTCGGCCGGGGGCGAGGCGTGGCTGCCCGCAGCCTTGGCCTCAGTCATCGCATGGCCGCCCACCACGCCATGTCGCTGTCCGCCTCACATGATGAGGCAGTTGCTCTTCTCGGGCGCCTCCCCGGGGTTCTGTGACTTCTCGATCTGGGCGATAAGCAGCTCGAAGGCACGGCCGACATTCTCGTTGTACCGCGCGCTGGCCTCTGTCCACCCACACTGGAGCTTTTCCGACAGCTTCTTGCCCTCTTCGGCGCTGACCTGCCGTTGCTCTGGTCGTAAATCGCTCTTGTTGCCGACTATGACGATCGGCACCGATTCGGTGCCCTGTGGGACGCATGAGCCATGGACATCGGCAAGTGAGCAAAACAGCTGGTCGAGGAGCTAACCCACCAGGTGATTGAGGATCTTCTCACGGATGACCTGGACCATCTCGAAGGATGGAAGTGAAGATACCGAGTAGACTAGCATATATCCGTGTATGCCAATGAAGTGTTTCGAATTCAGTATGCTGTACTCGTCCTGGCCAGCGGTGTCGACAATCTCAGTCGAGAAGTCCTGCCCTTTGTATCGGATCGTCTTGCTAAATGTATTTTCAATGGTCGGGTAGTAGCTGTCGACGAAATGGCCGTCGACAAACCTCACTGCCAGTGACGACTTTCCTACATCCAGAGTCTGGTTACTGCATGCTCTTCCGGACGTGGACATGGTCACCCTGACGTACCGACGGACCGACTGCCAACAATAGCCACCTTTCTCTGCTTTGGGGCGCTCATCTTTGGCCAGATGTTTGTGCGTGTCTCCCGATGCGATATGCTGTCCTTCTTCAGCGCGCGCTCGTGGCGAGGCTGGCTGCTGAAAGTTGCCGACGAAGCGCGTTCTGGACTCCCGCCGGGTGAGTCAGGAATGACCTCGTTTTTCGCACCGCTGTGTCCGTTTTGTCGCCTGCCTGTGCGCTCTTGTGAACGCGGTCGGTTGGTCTGTCAGGGCGATTGCACGTTGGGGAGAGCGTGATGATTCCGAGAGCGTGATGAAGCGATGTCGTCGCCGTCCGACGGCTTGTTGGTGGGGTAGAGCTAGTGGCCCCTCCGAGGGGGGCAATGCCCGGGGGTCCATGAACGTACGCAGTACATGTCGCAACTTGCAGGTGCAAGCCGGATGGGAAGTACCTCGAGTGCAGTCGGTCCACCACCGCCCCGAATCAGGCCGAGGGCGTTGGCCACAACCAGACCAACCCACGACTTCGGATCCCAGCGGCTGGCAAGGCTGGCCCAGGAAAAGCCCCCCCCCCCCCGGGGGACGCCAAGGGCCACTCAACGAGCGGTACAAGAGCACATCGACAGAGGTACTTACCTAGTAATAAGACACACAGGGAACATCTCATACCCAGTAGTCAATGGATGCCCCGAGCAAACAGCGTGACCATGCGAGACCCCATATCGCTACGCGCGTTACAGGGTAGCCTGCGATCACCTGCCTGCCTAGTCCGCCTTCGAGTGTTACACGCCAAGAAGGCAGCGGAACATGTAGCACTCCTTGAAGTAAAGGTATTCTAGATGCGCCCATCCGCTATGACCCTGCCGATACTCGAATAGGCGGCAGGACCGCAGTATAAGCCGTTCCGTCCCGAGCATGACATCGCCGTGTCCCGTGTGCCCCATTGACGCCCCATCGCCCACGCATAGTATCCAAAGCACCAGGTCTCCGATCCAAATTGACTGCTCATCCATCGTCGTATAGGGTCGTTCAATCACACAACGTTAAACATCAACCAGCCTGCCCGGAAAGGGACTCGTGGCGCATCATCTCATTGCCAGCTTCCATGCCAGAAATCCTACCCGGAGTGGGCCAGCCTTCGCAGGTCTGTCACAAGGACCTCCAGCTCGTGTGATTTACCGTCGATGGCCTTGTGCAGGGCTGCGAAATCCCGAATCGACCCAATGAGGCTCCGTATCCCATCGCCGCCTCCCATTTTCTCCCGACCCCGCTTGCTCAGGCAGAGGTAGCCCAGGAAGACCGATAGATACTCAACAGCGACGCCGAGCTTTGACTTGTCGACCGAGTCGGCCTATCACACACCCGTGGTTAGCATTGCCGACGATGGACACAAAATCTCCACCAGTGAACCGCCACAACCTGCGCGGCCGGTACGCGATAGGGCTCACATACCTCGCGTATGACCCGCTGGTTCTCACGCCAAACCTGCACCAGATCGTCCAGCGACTTGTCCTCCACTGACGCCCGGGCCGAAGGGCAGTGTTCCACAATGTTGATCATCAAGCCCAGAATCAGTAGAAGGCCGTCGAACAAATCATTCTCCAGAAGGCCGCTGCCGACAGCCTGCTGTGCCTGGACGATGCCTACCACGACCCGCTCCGCCAGCTTCGACAATAACTTGCTGTCATCGAAGAACCGTGCCCCGTGCTCGGTGTTGGTCGTATTAATTGCCAATTTCAGCGCGGCGTCCTGCGTCTCGCCTCGACTCAACGGCCATCCTTCGACTGCTCTCGAGAGAAACTTCGCAATGCTGGCTGGATGTTGTGATGCCCAGGCTCCCGCATCCCCCGAGCCCGGTATGATCCCAGCGCTAGACAACACCTCAAGGCAATGAAGAACAAGCCGATAGTCCGCGTCTTCGCTGGCTTCCTCCGCATCAGCACAGTCAGCTGCAACCACAACAAGCTCTTGTTCTAGCTCCCCCATTACCTGTCTGAGCAGGTTGTGTTCCGAGCACCTAGACAAAGTCTCGAGGAGCCGCAAGCCGAGAGTACGGGGGCATAGCCGACGTGGTGCTGTCCCGTGCCAGATGTGCATCTGGAGCAGGTCGTTCTTGACTTCACGCAGAGAGGCCCTTGTCATCCCTGGTACATTGGCTTTTATCTGCGACGCGATGACATCGATATCTCCATCTTGTTGCAGAAGCCGGCCAAGCAGTCTCCCCAGTCCTTGATCGCAGAGTCGACGTTCGAGGTACGGTGCCGGCCCGCGATCGAGTAAGACGACTACGGCCGCCGCCAAAGCAAATGCGCTTGTCGGGTCCTTTTCATTGCCGACACCCTTGGCGACATTGTCGCGAGAGGGGTGGTCGCGAAACTTGACCGCAAAGCTCTCCCGTTGCAGCCGATGCGCCAGTTCACACAGCGCGTTCCTCCTCATTGTCCGAGATGCCCCTTCGGGGTTTCCAATCCTCCCCAACAGGTCATCCATCTCGTCTGAAACCCGGTGGTTCGCGCCGGCACGGCGCAGTTCGTGTACGCTCTTGATAGCGGGCTGTGTTTCTTCGTCGTCAGGCAGATCATCGAATCCGAATGATGGCGGCGCCAAGGGACTGGACGGGCCACGGGCTTCGGACGCTATACCGTCGTCTTCCCCGCCTAGTAACGGCGTCTCTGCCAGGTCCTCCTGCTTCTGCGATTCGCTGAGCGTACTTCTGGCCTGGCTGTATGTGAACTTGATTCTGCTGCTCGCAGGCGTGCCACTCCTCCGATCGGTTTCCTGTAGTCGTGAGTCCTGGTCGGCGATAGAGCGACGCGCCAGGGACGGGCTAGCGGCCTCACCAAGACCCTCTTCATTTTCAGGAGTCACGTCTCGCTGGGCAGCGAGAGTATCTATCAGGCGGCGACGCCGGGTCGTCGTTGGGGTGCTGGCCCCTGCCCCTGCCGGCCTTGCGGGGATCTCATTGTGTCTTGCGCGTGGGCCTGCCCAGCTGTCGTCCATGTCACGGTCGCGATGGGCGGTCGGATGTAAACGTTTGACTGATTTGTCGTCTTTGTTGATCGGAGACTTGCTGCTCATCTTTCGAGCGTCCTTGCCGACGACAGTCGCGATGGTCTCGGTACGGGATTTTGAAATGACTGCCTTCTCTGGATTGAGCGATGCTGGTTGCTTTGGGCCTCCCTTGGCACCGAACGCCGTGGCATGGTCCCTTTTCCGTCCATCACTAGCTCTCTTTGCGCCATCCCCGCTTCGTATCGGCGATGCATCGAGGTGCGCGTGTCGAATGGGCGAGACTGATGAGCCAAGCTCGTTCGGGCCCAGGTCTCCCATAATGCCGGCAGAAGGCAAGGTCTGCATGCGACGAGCAATGTGGCTATTGCTGTCGACTATGGATTTGCCTGGCGGATGTGGCTTCTTTCGAGACGATGCTCCGTATGTCACGACTTTCTTTTGCCCGGCGGACCGGGCTCCAGAGGGCGAAGCCATGGTTAGTGGTGCGGCGACGTGGATGCAAGTACAGCATGGGTTGGGCGGTGGTTGCGAGGTGTTATATTTCCGATGCCTGTCGAGAGCATCTGGCTCTGGGTGGAACGCCATCCACCTCGCACCCGAGAACGGCCGTTTGCGACANCCCCCCCCTTTTCTTTTTCTTTTTAAGTCAGGACCCCTATAGATAGTTACCCCCCCCTATTAAGCAGTGATATTTACTGAAATCTACTCTCCTCTTTATATTTTTATTATTAATATTAAGTAAGCTTTAAAGAAATTATTTAAGTATAAAAATAAGGAATTTATTAAAAAACTTTAAAAAGATAAATAATTAATATATAAGGGGTAATAAAGCTAATATTAATAAAAAGGATAAGGATTAGTTTTATTATTAATACTATAAGAGAATTAAAAGAATAGCTAAAAAATAATATAAATAGTCTTATTTTTATATATATATTTCTCTATTTTTATATAATTTTATTATTAAAGCTTAAATAATTATTAAGAGCCCTTATTATAAGCGTTAAAAATAAGCCTATTAAAGTATTATAATACTATTTTATATTAAGGGTCAGTCCTTAAAGTCTAAGCTTAAACCTAGCTTAAGTTACTTATTAAGTTATATAATACTATAAGGTAAAAAAGGGCATTATATAAAGAAAAAGGGCATTATAAATATAAAAGTAGCTAGCTTATATAGCCCTATTTTATATTCTTATAGTATATTTAATATTTATTAATTAACTCTTATTTATTAAAGCTAGCTTTATTATAATATATATTATTAATTAATAAAATAATATAAAAGAATAATAAATAAAATTATATTAAATAAACTAGCCCTTTAATTAATACTTATAGCTTAATAAATAAGAATAGCTTAATAAATAATAATAAAGTAATAAATAATAATAAAGTAATAAATAATAATAAAGTAATAATTTATTACTTTAATATAAAATAAATATATTTCTTTAATATATTTAATATAATTATATTTAATAATTATATAAAAAAGACTTTATTAAAGACCTTAAAGAATTTAATTATAATTATAATTAAAAAGACTATAATTTTATATTTATTATTATATTAATTATAATAAATAAAGTAAAATTAAAGAAAAAAAAGCTATTTATATAATTAAAATAAAATAATTAAATAATTTTTTAATTTATATTTAAATTAATTATAATTTAAGTATATTATTAATAAAGTAAAAGACTTAAATAAATTAAATATTATAATTTAATTTAAAGTTATATATACTTTTTAAAGCTTAAAATATAAAATATAAAAATATTTTAAAAAGAAAAAAAGATTAATAATAAAAAAGACTTTAAAGACTTTATTTATATTTTAAATAAATCTTTAAGAATATATAAAAAAATAAATATAAAATAAATTATTAATGTTTATATAAAAAGATAAATAAAGATTTAAAGACTTTATTTTAGACTTTAAAAATATATTTATAATTATAAATAATTCTAAGATAATATTATAAAAATATATTTAATTATAGAATTCTTTTTTTTATATTTAAAGAATAATTTATTATAATTATATTAAAACTTAATTTTTATAACTTTATTTAATAATTATATATTATTATAATTAATTTTAAAGTAATTAATTAATTTAAAGAATATAAAAAATTATTAATATTTAATTAATTAATAAATTACTTTTTATAAAATAAAGAAATTAAAGCTTAAAAATAAAAGAAAGACTTTATAAATAATATTTATTATAGACTTTAAAAAAGATATTTTTATAATCTTTATTTATATTATAAATTATAGCTTTAAATCTAAAAAAATAAAAACTTAAAAGAATATTTTTTATATATTAATAAAAAAATTAAATAAATATTTAATAAAAAAAGAAATAAATAATATAAATAAAGGTATTATTTATATTATAAAAAAATATTAAAATTATAATTATTTTTATATTTTTATTTATTAAATAAAGAAAAATAAAATAATTTTAATAAATAATATAAAATTTAAATTAAAACTTAAAGATAATTATAATATAAAAAATAAAATTAAGAATATAGAATTTACTTAAAGAAATATATTACTTTAAAATAAAGTTATATTTTAAAGCTATAAAAAGTATTAATATAAAAAAAGAAATTATAAAAATACTTTAAAATAAATTTATTATTAATTTTAATTTTAATTAATAAAAATCTTTTATAAATTATATTTATAAATTAAAAATATTAATATTATATAATAATAAATAAAAAAGTTATTTAAGACTTTAAATTATTATTAAAAAAGATTTATTTTTATAGAATAAAAAAATCTTTAATATTATAATAAAAGTAATAATTAAAGGTTTAATATAATTTATTATAAAGATTAATAAGATTTTTTAATTAATATATATTTATATAATATTTAAGCTTAAATTCTTTTTAATTTTAAAGAAACTTTAACTTTAATATATAAAATTATATTTTATTTTATATAAAAAAAATTATAATATAGCTTTTTATAAATATAAATATAATATATATATAATTTATATTTAAAAAATAATTTTATAAAAAATATTAAAAATATATAATATATTATTATTATAATTTTTATAAATTATATAAAAAAGATCTATAAAAAAATTATAATATAATTAAAATTATAATTTTTATTATTAATTTAAAATATATTAAAAATATTTTATTTTTTAAAGTAATTTAAATTTAAATAAAAGCTTTTATATATAATCTTTTTATATTTTTATTTTTTATTTTTATTTTTTATAAAATAATAAATAAATAAACTTAATTTATATAAATTTAATATTAATTATTAAATCTTTTTTAAAAAAAACTTAATAAATAAAACTTAATTATATTATAAAAAGTATTATATAAAATACTATAAAAAAAGCTTTTAATATTATAAAAGATATTTAATAATTTCTTAAATAAAAAGTTTATTTAAATAAATAATTTAAAAATAATAATATTAAATTTATTTATATAAAAATTAAAAAATAAACTTTATTTTTATTATAATTATAAAGCTTTTAATATAATTATAAAAATAAATTATTATTTAATTTTATTTCTTAATAATATTATTATAATTTAATAAAAGCTTATTAAATTATTAAATTAAATATAATATAAATATTTTATAAAATATAAATTATATTTAAAAAAAATAAAAAATTAAATTTTATATTAAATATAAGCTTTTTAAATAAATAGTTATATTATTTAATTTAAATAATATATTTATTATTTTTTAATATTATATTAATAATATTTTATAAAAATTTATTAATAATTTTTATTTATATATATAAATAATATATTAATTTATATAAATAAATTATTTAAAGAATATTATATAAAAATATAATAAATCTTAAAGTAATTTTAAGAATATAATTTTTATTTAAACTTAAATAAATAAAAATTTAAAATTAAAATTATAAAATATTTTAAATTTATTATTTATATAAAATATAATATTAAAATAAATTTTATTAAAATAAAAATAATAATTAAATAACTTACTTTAATAATATAAAAAAAATATAAAGTTTTTTTAAAGTTTATTAATTATTATTAAATATTTATATTTAATTTCTTAAAGATAATTATTTTTTTAATATTTTTAATAAAAAAAGTTTATTTATATAAAAATAAAAATATTAATTTATTTATTTAAATATTAATTTTAAATTAATAAAATTTAAATTTATTTATTTTTTTAAAAATAAATTATAATAATATTATATTTAATAATATATTTATATAAAAAGTTAATAAAGAAAAGAAATTAATTATTTTTTATTTTTAAAAGTTTTTATTTATAAAATATAATTATTTTATTTATAATAAAAAGATATTAATAATAATTTAATATATAAAGTAATAAAATATAAAGCTTTATAATTATATAAACTTTATAATCTTTATAAATTATAAAAACCTTAAATATTTTATAATATAATAATAATTATTAAAGTAATAAATAAATTAAATAAAGTTATTTTTATATTTTAATTTCTTTTTTATTTATAAATTAAAGAAATTAATAAAAATCTTTAATATATTATTAAAAAAAGATTAAAATTAAAAAATAAAAAAAATAAAAAACTTAAAATTTATAGCTTATTTTAAAAAATATTTTTTATATTTATATATAAATAATATAATTAAAAATAAGTAATTTAAGAGATATATTAATAAACTTTAAGCTTTATTTATAAAAATAAAAAGCTTAATAAATTATTATATATTAAAATATATATTATTTAATAAAAAGTAATATTTATATATTAAACTTAAAGTTTAAATTAAACATATAAATAATAAAATATAATATAAATATTAAAAAATACTCTTTTTAAGATTATTTTTAAGTATTTAAAGCTTTTTTTACTTTAAAGGTTAAAGTAAAGGCTATTTTTATAAGAATAAAAAGACTTTATAAATTATAAAAGAGGCTTATTTAATAAATTTATAATTTATTTATAATTAAATATTTAAATAAAAAAAGTATTATAGCTTTAATAATAAAAAGTTTTATTAATTTTTTAATAATAATATATTAAAAAGCTTTTTTATAATTATAATATTTATAAATATATTAAGATTTAATAAAAATATAAAAAACGCTATTTAAGCTTTTATTTATATTAAAATAATTTTATTATTAAATATAAATAAACTTTATTATAAATCTCCTTTTAATATATAAAAGCTATTTCCTTTAAGTTATAAAGGATAAATTAAATAAAGAAATAATCTTTAAGCTTATATTATTTATAAATATAAAGGCTATATAAAATACTTCTTATAATATTATATCTATTTCTATAAATATTTAATAATAATAATAAATAATAAAAGCTTTAATTAAATAAATAAATTTTAATAATATTTATATAAATTAATTAATATAAAATAATAGCTTAATATAATATATTATTTTTAAATAAATAAAAGTATAAAAAGAATTAAC